GGGGGGTGAGCGCGGGCGGCGGCGCGGAAGTGTAGGGTTGGTATTGGGGGCATTTTGGGTGAGTGGTGGTGGTGGTGGTTTAGTTGGATTGGGTTGGGTTGGGTTGTGGGTGGAGGTTGGTAGGTGAATACTTAGGTTGGAGAGGAAGATGGGGTGTGGAGATGGATTGGATGGAGTGATGATGATAGGCACGTGATTTGGACTGCCCTGATTGGGTGGTTCGATGTATAAGGTATTCGCTCCGTGGGTTGGGGGTTATGCATTGTCACAATGTTGGGTTTGGAGTAGGGTGGGAATATTTAGTAGATTGATTCTGATGCTACTGTGTGTGGCTGTGTGCTAATTCACCACTACCTTGTAGGTCCCTCCCCCGCTGACTCCCACCGTCGCCGTCTGGTTGGCATATTGCACTCCCCGCGTGATCTCCGTCCCGTCGATCTGGATAGTCGGTTTCGCGGCGCTGATGTACGGCAGAGTGAGGTTTCCCTTAGTCCCCTGTGGGACGGTAAAGTCCAGAGTGTATCCTGAAGATGTCCGCGACCACCCCGCCTGGAACGTTCCGAGAGACGTCGTAAATCCAGCCTCCGCCGACTGCAGATCGACAAATTGCGGGGCGATGCGCCAGGTCGCTCCCAGTGGGGAGGTGACGGTGATCCCCACAATGTAGTTTGTCAATGCGGATGTTGGCCCCGACGACCACCCGTGCGAATGCGACACATACGCCGTGTCGTCGTAGTATCCTCTATCCCATCGGTACCCGAACGTGCCGTTTTGTAGGTATCCCTCGATGACGGTGCTTTGCGTGCCGTTCGGGTTGTTGTAGTACCAGCCCCAGCTGCGGCGGATCAGCTCCAGTGCGCGCTCTGGTTGCCCCACTGTGAGGTGGCCCTGGATCTCGAACGACGAGATGAACGGGGAGATGTTCTCCGGTAGTTCGGGGGCTACAGCCCCGATCGGGGTCCAGTTGTCGGTCAACCGTTCGGAGATGCTGGCGGCGCGGTCGTCGTCGACCACTCCGAATAGCAGGGCCATGCTGTTGGCGTCTTGGGGGTGGAGGGTAGTGTCGGTGGCGTTGTCTTTGAAAGCCCCGTATGCCTCATCCCAACAGTATTCGTTGATGGCTTCACGCAGCTTCGCGGCCCGACTGGTCCATGTGTCGGATAGGTCGCTGGAATCTCCGACCCAGGTGGCGAGCTCGGCGCCGGTTTTGAGGGTGTGGTATAGACTAGTTTGGTTAGTAGATTCCATGTGCAAGGTGAAGCTTTCCTACATCATCTGTGCCTCGGAGTTGTTGTATCCCTGCTGCCATCGAGCCCAGTCGCGCGTGCCCGTGACGTTCAGCAGGCCGCTGGGGTAGGTCACCTTGCCGTAGATATAGTCCATGGCTCTCTGGTACCCGTCCCAGTTCGTCTCGAGGAAGTCGCTGTCGTTGGTGAAGAGCATGTAGTTGTATGTCCCGACCATTGTCCACATGTGGTATGTGTCCGAGTCTTTCTGGCTCAGCGGTGGTCCGGACTCGTCGAAAGCGCCGGTGGAATTATTCTATGGAATTAGTATTTTGAATAAACAGTGAGACGTGGGGCATACCTGTGTATCGTACATAATCTGCAGCGCATTCTTGACACTTTCCAAGTTCCCCAGACTCACAAATGCCGAAGGGACGGCGATGCCCATGTCGCCTGGCCACACCGCACGATCACGCTTAGCCCCGTCAACAATGATTGTATCGCCGTATCCCAGCGTGGCATTGTTTGCCCAGCCTACGGCAACCGCTGGGATCTGGCGCCCTGTGTCTATCGGGACTTCGTTCGTCTGCAGAGTGTAGGCACCGGTGTACCAGATCTTGTTCAGCAGGTCGTCATCCGAGTGAAAGTACCCTTGGTATGCCTTCAAGTTGGACCAGGTTGGCTGGAAGCCAATCTCCAAGCTCACATCCTCAATGTGAGCGGAGACGTTGCCGCTAGTGATCAGGAAAAGAGTCAGATAGCGAAAACCACCCCGCAAGTACTTATCCGGCATCACATAGTAGTGGCTTCCGGCCTCGGTGAAATTGCCATAGAGAGCGCCATCAGGGCCTTTGAAGCCGCCGTTTGACGAGTCCGACCACTCGCCAATCCAGTTCTTCGCCTCGGTGAATGCCACCCCCAGTGCACCGCTACCTGTGGAGCTGAAATTCACAGAGACAATGCCGCCAACCTCTTTCCCAAAGTCGTAGACCACCAGAGAGCCATTTCCATGGAGCGCAAACGGGGCATAATCTGCCGTCTTGCTTGGCTGCGAGATGAGAAAGAGCGTCTCAGGATTCAGAGTTCGCGAAGACGGTGCGAAGATGTTCTCCTCCCATGGGCCAGGAAACGCAGTGTCGGTCGGACCGGAACAAGTGGTGTCACGCCAACAGCTTTGTGCCACTGAAAAGGGAAGCAGAGCGAGCACGCCCGACAGAACGTTAGGCCAGCGCATTTTGTCGCCTATGACCTATGCACGTAGATACCGAAGCCGCTGGCATGAATGCGGGTCCAGAGACCATTCTGGTGCGCAGGGCCATATAAACGTGCTTCAGAATAATGTTCCTCCGGACTTTTACCCGAAGGTAAAGAGGGGTCACTCGTTTCCTGGAGTAATATACCCTCTGGTGGTGATGCTTGTCCGATGGCGCGGATCCATTGGCTCCACGGTCTGGGGAATTAACCAGGACAGTCCTCGGCTGAAAGGCAATCACGTCAATCGGATATAAGCGAAGAGCAAGCTTTCTGACTCGTCCAGGGACGTACGGCGTTGGTTGGCTGTGCAGTCAGCGACCAAGGCATGCAGGCGTCATTGGTGGAAATTCCCCAGGAAAGCCCGTCGATCCTCCATCGCAGCGTCAGTCAAATGCCTGTGCATGATGGATTTCCCCGGTTTTTCTCCGCACCGTTCAGCCGGCGATATTGCTGGATCGTGTTTCGGTGCAAGTCGTGCCGAGTCTGGTCTGATTGCCAATCGATGAGCGAAGTCGAGTTAATAAAGGACGGTGATGGATGGACCAGGATGTCGGATGATTCCTAGGCAATTGCAACGCGGAACCAACGGCAACCATGCAACTGTTGGCTTCTCTTTCGATCCTGTTGGGGCTGTTGGCCGTCAGCCATGCCGGCAATGTGGAAAAGAACAACAACGTCTGCACCGTCAAGGCCAACGGAGGCCAGCAAGACGACGTCCCCAATCTGCTAGAGGCATTTGAGCAGTGCGGCAATGGAGGCACCATCATCTTCCCCGAGGATCAAACGTACTGGATCGCGACGAGGTTGCATCCGACATTGAATGACGTGGCGATCGAATGGCGGGGGAAGTGGACAGTAAGAGAAGAGCCTGTGTCGTGGTCCACTCAACATCAGCTGACTTGGGACTGGCTGTCTAGTTCTCCGACAACCTCACATACTGGCGCAACAACTCCTACCCCGTTGCCTTTCAAAACCACCACGCCGGCTTCATCATCAGCGGCCACAACATCTCCGTCAATGGCTACGGCACCGGAGGCATCGACGGCAACGGCAATGCCTGGTACAATGCTGAGAAGGGTGATACGCAGCCTGGACGCCCTATGCCTTTTGTCTGGTGGAATGTCTCCGAGGTCGTCGTCGACAGTTTCTACGTCAAGGACCCGCCTCTGTGGAGTGTCAACATCATGAATGGGACTAACATGCGCTTCAACAACATCTACTGTAACGCCACGGCCGTGAATGCTCCCTGGGGTGATAACTGGGTGCAGAACACCGATGGCTTTGGTAGGGCGTCCATGTCTGTGCCCCTCTTGAGACAGAACTAACTATCAGAATCTTGCATACAGACACAATGGATGCCGTCAACATTCAACTTACCAACTTTGTCTACCAAGGCGGAGATGACTGCATTGCCATCAAGCCACGCTCCTACAACATTGATATACAAAACGTCACCTGTGTCGGTGGAAACGGCATCGCCATCGGCAGCTTGGGCCAATACCTGGAAGATAGCAGTGTGGCCAATATTCGCGTGGACAAAGTCAAGGTATCCCTCCATTCCCATCATCTCACAGCCGCAGCACTGACCTCCTTAGATCGTCCGCTACAACGAAGACATGCACAACAGCGCCTATCTCAAGACCTGGGTCGGAGCCCTCGTTCCCCAGAGCTCCTACGAAAGCGGCGGTGTCCCTCGCGGCAACGGCTGGGGTAGTATCCGCAACGTCCTGTTCTCCAACTTTGATGTCCACGGCGCCAACGCTGGCCCTTCCATCAGCCAGGACAGCGGAGACAACGGCTCCTATGCGGGAACGAGCAAGATGTCTATTTCGAATGTCGCGTTTGTCAATTTCACGGGTTGGGTGGATACTAGTAAATCGGTTGTCTCGACGGTCTCGTGCTCCGAGGTTCACCCATGCTATAACATTGACTTTGATAATGTGGTGCTGTATCCTGGGAAGAATGCAACAACGCCGGGGACGGGGTCTTGCAAATATACGGCGGACGGAGGGGTGCATGGCTTGAGCGGTTGTTGATTCTGTTTTGTATTTAATGGATGACATATATATGGATGGCTGTCTTCTAGAGATTGGATCCTGGCTGGATAGCACACGGCCTACAATGTGAATCCTCTCATGTGAAGCTTCGAAGTGATGCCGTCCTGACCTCCCCAGATGGCTGAGTTAGTGACTATGACTGGTGAATTCCGGGTGATTTCCACCATAGAAGTGCAGCAGTCCTACCTGTAGACTGACATGTTGTAGGGAGCTGGCATATCGTCTCTTATCGTCTAGCTACAGCCGGGATCAATTACATGTTACGCAGCTCAACATTAGCCGATTGTAGCCCAGATATCATACCCTCTCCTTTTACCCCCTAGATGTTGGGAAACTGACCAAACGCTTTTAGTGGGAATTGCATGGAAACAACCATCGTTACGATTAGCATTTATATCAAAAATAGAAAAGAAAGAAAAGAACCCCACGGAGTGTACTGAACAGCAGCAACTGGCTGAGCAATACATTCCTATCTGTAAATCAACAGGCAGAAGCGAATATGGGAATTTCCACTGTGGATTGTCAAACAAGAGCCGCAGGATCCCTGGGGATACCTATCCTGTGAAGAGTTCGGGATCATTTCACAAGACTAAAGGTAATGTAGCTCTAATGAATATAAGCTCTAGCAATATAAATAGCAAGATCATCTTTCCACCTCTGCCAAATTCCCTTACTATCCTCCTCATAAGTTATCTCTACCTGTCCCATGTCGCGTCAACGGAGGATGAAGTAGTCAATTTTTGACGTATATACACTGCAACGGATACTAAATCAGCAAGATCTTCCGACATTCAAGCTACTTTTCTTGCCCTGAGTCAAGACCAAAGACCCAGGTGTTTATGCAAAGTTGATTTACTGGAAGATATTCCCCGACGATATCGAGCACCACTGGTTGCATGTTGTATCAGCAACAGAACTAAACAACACAGGGCTAAAAGAAAGAAGAAAGCCTCTTGAGAACAAGCGATTCTATTCCAAATGCCCTAAGGGCCTGACTCCAGTGAAGAAGATGTCCGTTTCACGCGGATTCACTGCCTGGTAGCTGAAGCTGAGGCAGTATTCAGCATAATGCTAGGAGCTCATTCGAACAGAGCTGGTGAGGAAGTAAGGGATGTATGTGTGTACGGGGATCCCGAAGAAGTCTTCCAATGGTACGGTGCATGCAGCTATTCCTGCATGTTGGAGTCACAGCGCATCAAGGTCAGATTTGCGCTCGAAAACGATCAGCAGGAAGAAAATACAATATTTCTCGGTCGGTGGGCGAATCAGAGAAAAGCTTTTGGCAATCGTCCTTTCAGATTTGAAACACCAGAGGTTGGAAAGACATCGTTTGATACCGAAGGTCCTTCTATCTGCCAAGAGTATGACGAGTATGGTCTTCATCCGGCTCCGAAGAATGGGACTGGAAGAGAAACATATACGCAAAGAAAAGCGAAGATGAGTCGATCAGAAATCTCCGGCCTGAGAGCTGGAAGAGCCACGAGGCCATGAGACAATGGCGCGCAGAGTATTGGAAGAAAGGGAAGCATGACGGATATGGCGTGCGAAGAATCTTGGCCTGACTTCCTATCAAAGGCTGAAAAACTGGCAAAGAGGGATCGCAGGGCGGCCCAGCAGAGGGCTAACGACCCGAACTACAAGCACAAGAGCATGCTACAGACGCGAGTGACTCGATCGAATCAAAGGCTTGAGGTAGTTGAAGCCGAAAACGCACCAGATGAGGAGCTCAGAGCAGCGAGACTGGCGCTAGGCAAGGCACGCGTGGACCGATTCCGACTACACGAGCATTTGGGAATATCATCTGCTGAATGGACTCAGTGGATTCCGTTCATTACATTCAAATGTCTTTCTCAGTTCTTAGACTCAGTGGCAGACTTGCTCTGGCTTTCTTTCCTATTATCTCTATCTTCTGTTGTCTTGTTCATCAATCAGTGAGATTGCTGCACACGAATGCTTCATGGCGGAATCGGTTGACGGGGATATCAGCTTGTGGAAGGCACAGTACAAGCACCAACGCTCATAAGTCAGTGATTATGCAAAGATGTACAGACTTTATTTCAGCCACACCAACCTGGTTACAACATGCCAGCATCCGCTACAGCCACACCTTCGGCCTACTCAACCCATATAATAACGCAGTCTGTTCTATATACAAGTCTGATGAATTGATATAAGCTATTATATCAAGCACTTATCACCATACTCATCTCACAGAACCTCCTCTTTAAAAAACTTATTCAGATCTTCATGCAACTCATCATATACTTTAGACAAGGTTTACATAGGGCTTCAGATAGAAATTCACACCAGACTTTATATAAGGTTTCATCAAGGACTTCACGCAGGGCTTCATATATGTCCTCAAGTAAAGCCCCAAGTAAGACTTCAAGGAAACCCTCACTACGAACAATAAATAACAGCTAAAATCGTTAGTCCTAACCTAAACCATGTATCCAGCCTTGAACTCTGTAAAATATCTCATGTACATAGACCCAAATAGTAGAAGATCTACTAGCTATACAAAACAATAGGCGGGGTTGACAGAATGTATGGTTATAGCAGACGCCGATACCTATAGCTATAGCCTGGCCAGTGTGGCTGTAGCGCATTCCTTTCAGTAACCGCTAGCTACTAGTATCTAGGTGCTCTATACAAATTTAGCATACCTTTGAAACATACGTGTCCAGCGAAGCCCGACAGAGTGATCTCGGTTCTGTGTAGGAATTGCTGTATATAAGTGAACGAGCTCTTCCTGGAGAGAGTTCAAATTAGTGGTCATTTTGGTGGATGACCATATAGTTCGTCATAATCTAGATTGATTCCAGAGGGTGACCGGATCAGAGGACTCGCGGCGTGGGCGTTGAAGCGGGCATCGCATATTGCAAACTGGTCAACGGTCAGCGCCGCGTGAGCGAGGTAACTGGTCGGCTGACGAATAAGGTAAATCCGGTGCTTACTAATTGGATGCGGCGCGACTAACTAATATCAGCATCCCGACCTATCTAGATTTCATCACTACAGCTTCAAATCCATCTACAAACGTTTACAAGGAGCAAATTGAACGAAACGATTCGTGATTCAAGTCCTGTAGGATCAACTACATAAACTGAAGTCTAATTCCGTAAATCCACGTTTTGTGATCATCAAAGGTTCATCATGGCATATTTCACCCTGCACCAGCTTATTTCTTACCGGCCTTCTGGGCGGCCTTGGTGACCTTACCGGCACCGGCATCCTTCTTCTCAACAGCCTTGATAACACCGACAGCAACGGTCTGGCGCATATCACGAACGGCGAAACGACCGAGAGGGGGGTACTCAGTGAAGGACTCAACGCACATGGGCTTGGAGGGGATCATCTTGACGATGGCAGCATCACCGGACTTGATGAACTTGGGGGAAGATTCAACAGACTTTCCGGTACGGCGGTCAATCTTCTCAAGGAGCTCAGCGAACTTGCAAGCAATGTGAGCAGTGTGGCAGTCAAGGACGGGAGCGTAACCAGCGCCGACCTGACCGGGGTGGTTGAGGACGATGACCTGGGCGGTGAAAGAGTCACAGCCAGCAGGGGGGTCGTTCTTGGAGTCACCGGCAACGTTACCACGGCGAACCTCCTTGACGGAGACGTTCTTGACGTTGAAACCGACGTTGTCACCGGGGAGACCCTCCTTGAGCTGCTGGTGGTGCATCTCAACGGACTTGACTTCAGTGGTGACGTTGGCGGGAGCGAAGGTCACGACCATACCAGGGGAGATGACACCAGTCTCGACACGACCGACGGGAACAGTTCCAATACCGGAGATCTTGTAGACATCCTGGAGGGGAAGACGGAGGGGCTTGTTGGCGGGGCGGACCGGGGGCTCGATGGCGTCGATGGCCTCGAGGAGGGTCTTACCGGTGGACTTGCCGGCCTTGGTCTCCTTCTCCCAACCCTTGTACCAGGGGCAGTTGGGGGAGGGCTCGAGCATGTTGTCACCGTTGAAACCGGAGATGGGGACGAAAGGAACGGACTTGGGGTTGTATCCGACCTTCTTGATGAAGTTGGAGGTCTCCTTGACGATCTCGTTGTAACGGTCCTCGGACCACTTGCAGGTGTCCATCTTGTTGAGGGCAACAATGAGCTGGCGGACACCAAGGGTGAAAGCGAGCAGAGCGTGCTCACGGGTCTGGCCATCCTTGGAGATACCAGCCTCGAATTCACCAGTACCGGAGGCAATGATGAGGATAGCGCAATCGGCCTGGGAGGTACCAGTGATCATGTTCTTGATGAAATCACGGTGACCGGGGGCATCTAAGATGAATGTTAGATACATACCAGATGATGTCGGGACCACATGTAGACTTACCAATGACGGTGACCTCATACTTGCCGGTCTGGAACTTCCAGAGGGCAATATCGATGGTGATACCACGCTCACGCTCGGACTTGAGCTTGTCAAGAACCCAGGCGTACTTGAAGGAACCCTTACCGAGCTCGGCGGCTTCCTGTAGGACAGAGTTAGAACCTGGTCCTTGTAGTGTCCCGTGTTGGCATCCTCCTTACCTTCTCGAACTTCTCGATGGTACGCTGGTCGATACCACCGCACTTGTAGATCAGGTGACCGGTGGTGGTCGACTTGCCGGAATCGACGTGGCCGATAACGACGATGTTGATGTGAGTCTTGTCGTCCTTACTGTAGGAGGATTGTTAGCCGATGATCCCACGATGCGACCAGGTGATGAGCTGGATGCAAGACATACCCCATGGTGACGGTTGTGTATGAACTTGGAAGTTCTTTTTTAAGAGATAAAAAATGGTCTGTAGAAAATTGCTCAGATACTACGGCCGACTGCGTAGAGGTGCTGAGCAACGAGGTCAGTTAGAGAGAGAATGAAGAACGAAGAAAGGAAAGCCAGGTGGGAGGGGAAGATATACGTACTGAAGCGGACGAGGAGGAAAGGGAAAGGAAAATTTTGTGGGAGGGGGAGGAGGGGAAATCCTTATATGGAGGGGCAAGCGAGCAGGCGACTAAGCGGGCGGGCTTCAACCCTTGGCGACCAGTCCTTATCATTGGACATGGAGGGGTAACTGCCCCACCTCTCAGGTGCGGGACCAACGCAGAATCTTCACGGCGGAGCCTTTCCAGACTGAACTGGACACGCTTGCAGCCCAGCGACTCAGCGCGATCAGCCTGCCTTTTCCTGCCTTTTCCTTGGTTCCTCGCCCTCGGAGCGCCGACTACGACCCCACCTTAACCACTTTCCCATAGCAAATTTTTTCTCCTGCTTGCTCTGGCTCTATCGGCTCACCCCTCCGTGGTGGATTTTGGACTGAAATCCTGGGCATCAACGCAGACGTGGGCAGCGGATGGTCTGGCTGTTGGACTTGTTTGCAACCGAACCCCGCGGCAGGCGGCTGATGCTATTTGTCCGCTCCAGGCAACTGTGGCACGGCCGAGTGGCGCCCGCCCGATCCACTGTGGACATTCATGTGAGGTCAACGACCACCCTAGCAAACGGTGTTGGTATCTACTCTGTAGTTGGTACTCGCTATCATGGCCATCGTAGATGTTACGACTAGTGATTGACGCTAATGATGTGGACAATCCTAAACACCATCCTTGTTGATAGCCAAATGGCTGGAGCGGGAGACGATCTGAGAAAAAGTTTTTCATCCTTTTTGCCATCAATTTGCCATCACCACGTTGGGTGGTGGTGCCCCCTCAGTTAGTGTCTTGATCCTACAGTAGTTTTTTTTTCCCTCCCCCTTCCTCTTTGAGTCCCCGACAGTGGCTGTTGGGGAATAAGGAAAAAAATGACTCAGATTTAGTCCCGTACCCAGAAACAACACACAAAGGAATTTAGCTGACCTTGGATCCGGCCAATCCAAATCGGGGTATTAACTGCTGTTGCCAGGTTACCACTGTTCTAGGCGGCAAAATCGAGGGGTGAAATAAAAAAAATCTGAAAATTTAATTAAATTAGAGGAGGCGGGAAGAAAAATTTTTCTTTTGCGCTTAATCTGACATACTTTTTAGCTCTCTCAATAGGGAGTAGTCCTGTAGTTTAACCACTACCATATAGTATATACTAGCACTACGAACTGGTGTCATCATCCATTGAGGGGTATCTATAATTTAGATGCGAATCATCGCAGAGGGAGGTCACAATCGCAGGGGCCCAGATCATCCGAACAATACGCCGTAGCACCAGCCCCTTTATTATTCGAACAACAAATCGTGTTCAGGAATATAAAACTCTAACGATGGAGTAGCATCAATTTTCTCTCCATCTGGCACCACACGTGGTACACTGTCAACCGCAGTCAGCAAGGTATGTCAGGCCATATGCATCATGTCCGCATAAGCTGCTGGAGCGCACCCACCTTCAAGAATGTGGTCATCGGCTCATCTGCACTCCGAATCTGCAGCTGGAAAAAGTATGCACGGTCGCCATTACAGTTTTCTGCGGGGCATTGAGCTGCGGGTAGGAAGGAAGAGAAAGCACAAAATTAGCCCCGGGATCAAATTCCAATGGTAGAGTGCCCAAGCCCTTGACTTACTGGCCACACTATCTGCGTTTGCGAATTCTTCCTTTCCTCCAAAGACATCCTCCACTTCTTTTTGCTTCATGGGCGTCTTCTCAAACCAGCTCTGGTCCAGGGCGTACTGGTACGGACATGTGCGGCACTCAAAGCGATTGACGCCTAGAGGATGCCTTGGGGTCGGTTCCGCCCGTGAGATCGTGAGCGCATTGCTGCAGTTGGGACAGACTAGAAAGACGTAGAGTTAGTCGACAGCCGCGGTAGATGCATGGATATGATGAGGGAGGACTGACAAGTCAACGGCATGGTGAAAGTTGCTCCCTGGGTAAATTCCGTCAATAAAGAATAAGTCAATCAGTCAATATATAGCAAGATTCTCGCATAACGTAGCCTTCATAGAGGCGATTACGGGACACCGGTGCAGCTGCCACAGTCGCGCAGTAAGGGTCGCAGCGATCTCGACGATAATCGCCGGCTAGCTGCTGAGGCTCTTATCGACCGGCGATTTCGTTGGCGGAGAGATTGACAGCCGCCGATTGGGCGCGGGGCTGCTTGGGCGGGTCGGAGTAACCACGATTCCGTGTGGCCGTCGGCGGGAGGCGTGCATGCTCAGCAGCGGGGAACAACAATAATAGGGACAGGGTGCAAGTATACTCCGTCTAGACACAACTGCAAGAATCTCCCAGTAAGTCGAGCCTTTTCATCTTGTCACTCACCCCCTCGGGAGTATCTATTGTTCTCAGAAAGGTGGTGCCAAGTGTTTCAATTACCTCTAGCATTTGCTGATCTCTCCAAGTCGTCGTTTCCGACACCGCCTCCTTTACCACCTTCGCGGCTAACCCGGCCCATACTTGCGGCATTTGTTCGAGCCCCTCCACGCACCCACCTTCGGTATCCCAGGAATCAGTCATCTTATCTCGCTCTACACCCACTACGACCTATAGTAATTCATCATGGCGGACGAAGTGAGTGGATTCATGCCTCCCACCCGGCAGTGTTGCTCACAAGCATTGATCGCATAGGGCGCTTCCCCCCGTGAGCTGGTCGTGGAGGCCTGCCGTCGGGATCAACCTCACTTGATTGAACAGGTCCTGGTGAGCATGGAAGGGAGATCGAACGAAGATGTGGCCGAATTCTTCAACGGTGTGACGGATTCGATGGGAAACCATGCCCTTCATATATGTGCTACGTACGGGAGTTGTAAGTGGACACTCGGCCATACCCCGAACACTCTTTATCGGGATCATCCCCGCATCCACAGCAGTGGCATTTACTCCGCACACTTCAACTGACACCTCACTATCACAGACGACGTCATGGACACCCTCTTCGATATCCAGTACTTTGAATGCGATCCCCTTACCCGCCTGGACAAAGACACCCCACTCCACACCGCAGTCCGCTATGCCAACGAGAAAGACGCCGAACTGGGCGAGGCGATGATCAAGATGATGTGTGAGGCCGGCTGCGATCCGCGTGTCAGGAACAAGCACGGTCAGAAGCCGGCTGAGCTCGTCTACAACAATCAGGAGATCAAGTCCACGCTACAGCAGGCCGAGTACATCATGGCAGAGGGACTAAGGGAGGATGCGGACAACGGATCGGTTCACGACAGTGCCAGTGACAGCGACTAGACGGCAGCAACTGTGTATAGCGACATTCTTGACTATAGATATACCACCGATGATAATTTGTTCTTGTATTTTTGATGCATAGATGGTTGTCTGGATGCATACGGCGAAATCGTGGGTCTAATACAAATAGTTCGTTACAACTACCACCGCTGGTTCTTGGGCCGTCGTCAACTACATTCTTGATTCCATATACAAAACGGGTTATCCCGACACAAGACATGGACCATAATCACGGGTATCATTCAGGCGGATGTTTAGCTGGCAACTGCAATAGCACAAACGACAACTCCTTACATAAACAAGACATGGTCAACCATCGCTTTCTTCCTCATACTCAGGCTCATGCCTGTTACCACGTCGTTTAGGCTGCCGCTGTCTCTCCCTCTGTCTCTCTTCCTGCTCCTCTCTATCCTCATCGCCATCTTCAGTCGGCTCTTGAGCGCGCGGCTCCGGTTGCTTGAGTCCAAGACTCCGCGCCAGGCGGATCTCAAATTCATCGTCCCTTTCATTCGGATCAGACTGTCCATAGACCTCGCGTACCATTCTAGCCACCCCTTTGGCACCCACTTCAACCTTCCCCCTCGGTCCAAGCATATACTCAATGACCTCTTCGCCACCATCCGCCTCTCTATTCCGCACCAGGTACCCTTCCTTACAAAGACGCTGAAGGAACCGATCCGTACGATCAATCGGCGTATACGCATCAGTATTCGTACGCTTAAGATACCGATCAAGCTTCTGCTCGTTGATCGTGCCCCCATTGAGCAAAATCACGGCAATAATAAAGCTATACAGACCCGTGTAGGTACCTTCCAGCGCCGCCTTATTCGGCGGCAGGATCTCAGGCCTTCGATACTTCAACGGCAGCGTACTCGACACTATCCAGGATTTATTCGTAGACGAGGGCTTTTCAACCTTCTGCGCAGCTACACACCCCGTCAGCAATCAGCACCAACATTAACACCAGTCGGTCACTCACCTCTCCGCTGATTGATCGTCATCTTCTCCTTCACCGGCAACTCCGTCATCTGCATCCCAAACTTCTCATGCAGAAGCCTCTGCGCCTCCTCAAACACAACCTTGAACTGCCGTGCCCCCTGCTCCCCCAGAACCTTGGCACTAATATCCGTTCTCCGAATAGGCTGTCTCGAGAACTCACTCGCCAGCGCCAACCGCACCATCTTCTTCACCATCACATCCGTGCTACTCGGAGCACGGGTATCGTATGCGTCCGCGTCGTCATCATCGTCACTGGCTGAGGGTTCCCGTGTGCATCTCCGCTGACGAGCAGGTGCTTGAGTGGCAGGCGCAGGGGATTCATCTTCGCTGGATGGTTCGGGCTCCGGAACCTATGGCTCTATCTTAGTGTGTCTGTTCTGTTTAGGTGGATTGGTTGTAGGTGATATCGACATACCGCGCGGCGTTTACGGGGAGCCATTTTCTTCGCCTTGTTCGAATAGAAGAGGTTGGAGCGGGTGGGTTTCTTACGCTGGGGTTCTGTGTATCGCTAGTTCGGGTTATTGACCACCTACATTGCAACTGGGGCCTTGTCTGGTTGGGGGAGGAACTGATGTCGAGGGTTCTTTGTTCGATGGCGGACGCGCTGGACGCGCCCGTTTCGTGTGGGGCCCGCCGATTTATCCTGTTCGGGAAGTCACATGGTAATCGTGACGATAAGATGGATGGCTCCGTTTGATACAAACTAAAGCGCTCGAATAACAGTGTTGGCTTTGGAATTGCTACGGTCATGTACCTTCTACTGACATTCCCATACTAGCATCTTCACTGATCAGGAGGACCTCCCTAGGTAGAGAAGAAAAATAAACCTACCCTCCCAATATAATAATGAACAGGTCGGTCTCTTTGTTCCACGCTCCCCAACCCAGCCAATCACCCCCCTCCTCTTGTACATCACCCATGCAGGTACCATGGACGTGCTCCCTCCAATAAAAGCGATACAGCTACCTGAAAGGGCCTGAATACGAGTCTGAGGACAACCAAAAAGAATAGAAAAAGAAACCTCCCCGACTGGGAGTCGAACCCAGGTCTCCCGCGCTTGTTCCCGAGTGGGATTGACAAGCGGAAATCATGACCGTTAGACCATCGAGGATTTGATATGTTCAATGTTTCTGTTTTGACATTATGTTCGGGCTCAAATGGTCTGGTTCCCATTGACATGCCGTAAGGCTGATTCGATGGACTTTGTGATTTTACTGGGGCTGGGTTGTACCTTGGTTGGGTGTGATTTTGCTAACTTTTTTTTTTTGCTTTCTTTTGTTGTTGTTGGTGTTCTTTTGGGAGCGCATCTCGAGTGGTTCTTCAGCAGGACGAAGCGTACCTCAACCCGACGACTTTATATATAGTAGTAGTGTCCGACAATGATGAAACTCTGAGTGGTATCCAACCCACCCAACATCAGCAAGAACTTGACTGAAACAATGGTGATTACCGAATAGTCCCAATTCTAACAGGTGTTATTTTATTTCAGCCAACCACTAAACCGAGCCGGGTAGGTTCAAAGCCCAGGTCTCTCCTACTCCCAACCCACCTTCTTTCTCCCTCCCCAGTTAAACGTTGAACCTCCATTCGTGATTAATTTAGGACTTCCAGGTGGGAGAGGTTAGACCATGGTCACGTAGGCTGAGCTGCAGATTAACGGCATGACAACACAACCCTGGTAGCCCGAGATTGATGGTCCAAGGAAAAAGGCAGTACACTGCAAAGCCCATCATTCAGCCTGGGGTCTTGGATCATCAGCGAAAGAACCCGGCGGAAGATGAGACTCCCTCCAGATGACGCAGCATGTGGGATCCGGACAGACGCCTTGTGTTTCGGTTCCGGTGGGATGATGGGCGATGGGCGATGGGCGATGGATGGAGTACCGGAATACCTCGAAATTGCCCCAAGCCATTGTAGATGTATCATATCAGGGCTGTCAACCCAGCTCAATGGATGCACGAGAGCCCTACAGAGTATCACCTGCATATCCATCACCCCAACAGTATCAGATCTCTAGGAAGGTTGAAAACCATGAAGCGTCGCGCCCAACCAACAATCCCCGCATCGCAGTTCCGGCGCAAGAACGGACAACAATCCTCCTGCGAGAATTGTCGTCGATCCAAATTAGCATGCGATCATGCTATCCCACATTGCGGTCGGTGTGTGCGACTGAAGCGAACGGAGACCTGTATCTATGTCCTATCGCCTCTCGCCAGATCATCAGCCTCCGCCTCCGCCTCCGCCTCCGCCTCCGCCCCCCCAAGAACCCAGCGGCGATCAAACGACCAACAACTCCCAAATCCCGACCCACCACTCGCAAATGCAACTTACCAGAAACCCCCTGCGTAGAGACTGCAATTGTCTCCCCAGACTGGCCACAGGAGGTATTAAGTCTCGAGGGCCCGTTCAGCAGCAGCTGGCTCGAAGACCCCATCAGCAAACCGACCAGCACCAGCTGGGGGTCCATCTTCAGTGAATTCAACATCGACGTCGAGCCTGAATTCACAATTCTTGGTCCCACAGCCCCCGGGTTGGCTCCGACATGGAAAGATCCTGACCTACTGCAACATGCCACCACCGTCCTGACCCAGATTCCACCGCGAGCAATGTGCGAGGGAGCTCTCGAACATGCGCTGAAATATCCAGACTTCGGGTGCCACGAGCCCTACCTGCGCATGTTGCACGATGGCTGGTGGGAGACCTTCGAAGGGTATCTGGAGGCGCCAGATCCAGGGCTTTGGAACAGTCTAGAACCGGTGATCGAGCAGCTCTCGGCCAGTACCGTCAATCGGGCGACGACGACGACGACGCAACCTCCGTATTTCGACCCTGCAGAATGGTTGCAAATGTGGACAGGGTTCAATACAACATGGGATTCGTTGGCGTACCTACTCTCCGCGTATGGCTCGGCATGTGCCAGTCTGCCCTCGTCGCATCCTCTCTTGGCCGGCGAGGAGAAAAGCCGCGTCTGTCGAGCCCTGGGCAAGGTTATAAAAGCGTGTCTTGCCATTTGCGAATCGCAGGAAGTCTTCAGCGTTGACCTGATTAACGCCCACGCGAGCATGGTATTACTGCAGAACTCTTATGATGGTGATGACTGTATGTGCGTTCCTTTGCCCCGTGGACCGGTTTAATCTACATCGAGAGGCTGGCTAACGAGGGACCTCACACAGCGAAGCAGAACTACACGAATGTCGGCCATCTTGCGCGTCTCGTCACCGACATGGGCCTCCACCTTGGATCATCATTCCCCGGCGGGTGTTTTATCCAGGAGCAACTGGAGCACAAAGCCTTCCACCGAGCCTTTACAATGGATAAATCCATCTCCACCTCCTGCGGACGGCCCCCTCAACTGACTCGCCGATTCAACCAATGTCCACTCCCTCTGGAGCTGAGTGACGAGCAACTGCTACTACCGGGAGATGAACTCGAGGTCGTTCTCGGCCTACTGGACCCAGAGGGCTGGAGTACCGGCGAATGCTCCTACCCAGTAAGTTATTTACGGGCCCTCTCCCTCCTGGGACGCCATCGGGAAGAGATCCTAGAGCTCGCCATGGGGCCTAGTTCCGGGGCATTGGAGTATCTGCAAAGGTACGTACTCACTCACCTTTCGAGTCTCGGGGGGTACATTTGGAACAGAGGGTTAGCTGACCCAAATAGGGACATCGTGAACCGCCTACAAGCCACCTACACAAGTCTTCCCTTACGATTACAGTACGACGCCAACCACCATACGCACCTCGCCCCATTTGACCTTCTCAACACCGTATTCCTGCACCTAGAATACCACAAAAACATCTTCCTCCTATACCGACTGTCACGGACCGTTCCACTGAGCCAAAACAGACCCCTATTATCCTCAGCCAAAGCCATCATCAACGCCGTGACCATGCTATACACCTATCGGGATCGCCTAGGGGAGATGTTTCTATTCTTTCCATGGGCCGTGATGTTCTACGGCACGCCCGCAGCAGCCATTCTCGCCATCGAACTCTTAATCCGACCTCCGCCCTGGGCCTCCACCGGGCCCAACTTTCACCCCCGCTCGGAAATCATCCAGGAACTCAGCGTGTTTATCAGCTGTCTGATGAGCATCCCCACCGCGGAAGGTAACCATGCCCCTTGTCGTCGCGTGGCTTCTACGCTCCGGAAGATCCTGGATCAGGTTCTCGAACCCGTCATGTCGACTACCAGCAGCGGCAGCAACTGCTGTAGCAGCAGCAGCAGCACCACCACGCCAGGGACGGATGTGGATTCGGCGATTGGGCTGGATATCGACTGGCAGGTGTTTGTCACGGGTCCTTGTGACCCGGATTATACTCAGTGGTTAGACGTCAGGACCTGGATGGATATGGATATGGATATGGATCTGTCCATTCCTTTGGACTTGGATCATCATGGATTGGACGCGATTGCCAGCGAGGCTTGTTTCGATGATCTTATTTATACATAACCGGGACAGAAGTCGGGAAGGGTGGCCCGACATTTATGTGTGTAATGAATGTCAAGATGATTGGATTAGATAGAATACCCTTCAAATTATCAAATTATTACTATTTTTACTATAGCAATCGTTAACTTGCCAAGCCTTTTTCCCGCATATCGCTGATTGGCTGTAGTTTTGGCACATTTTGGCCTCTCTGATTGGCTCTACATCCCGCTGGCACATTTCAGCGTCTGTCACTCGCTGTTATCGCCGGAGACTTTTAGTGGGTCGGATTATTCCAGGCTCTTTTATTGGTCTTCTTATTTTAGCACATTTGATGTTTCTTGATTGGCCAGTACAGCTGTCTCTGTTAACTCCTTACACATCTGCAAGTTATTATGCCACCTGTCGTATTATTTCTTAAATCGAAAGAGCAGCCTGAGATTAGACCTGTATATTGGGATCTTTCAGGGCGCGCCAGCGCGCCCTGAAAGGTCTTGTCACAAGGCAAAACATTGTCTATGGAGCTCCGCTACCGTGGTAGATGGATTCCCCTCGATCATTGCACGCAGCATATACTCCAGACGCACAAAGAGAATGTTCATCAGGGTCTGCGGCATCAGAACCTCGTCCCATCGCAAGTCCACCGTCACCCCCCCGTCCTGATTGATAGTACATTGGACAATGAGTCCCAAATACCCGTCCAAGTTCATCGTGGGCTCCTCGATTTGATGAAGTAGCCTACTTGGATCTTCCTTCGTTCGCTGTTGTTGTTGTTGTTGTTGTTGTTGTTGTTGTTGTTCCCCACTATTGCCATTGTGGATGACCAGCATGTGGTGGAAGTCAAAGAGACGCGCTGCCGTCGTCTCCGGCATCAAGGTGGCGATGTTCTCCATCCCCATCTCGACGTGAGGCATCATCTCCACCATCTGGGCATGGATTTCAGCGAGGAATCCCCGCACCGTCGAGTGCAGCCGTTCCTGTATCTTGATGCGCACGGGCACCAAAGTGATCGTGGGCCCTGCGAAGCGATCGATCTTCTCCGTCGCGGCAGTGCGTCCGCCTAGGAGATGCTGGTAGGTTACGTCGCGTGTGCGCGTGAAAGAGGCGACGACTAAGCCCCATGCGGCATGGATCATGGTCGCTATCGTGATGGACTGGCTAGTCAACCGCTGAAGGGTTAGGGCTAGGCGATGAGTCGCATGAGGGCGGACCACGTATTCCGGGGACGGATAGTGGGGAAACACGCTTGGGTCGGCGCCCTTGAGGTACCGCGTCCAGTATTTGGCCGCTGGAACCGAATCGTGGGCCTGCAGGAAGCCAATGTATTCTTGAAACGGGGCGGGATGATGAGAGAAGGTGTGTTCCTGATATGCTTCTACCAGGGCCCCGCGGACTTCCTGAAGGGTACGCGCATCGAAAATGGCGTGGTGGATCGTCCAAATGAGGTACCATTCTTGCTCTTCTCCTTGGCCAACCTGGGCGAGGAGACCCTCGTTTAATGGGGCACCTGGCCGCGTCATCTTCAGAACGGCCTGCTGCATATGCTCACGCAGATCATCGAGCGTGGTGAAAGGAAGTGTCTGAGGCGCTTTAGCCTCAGGGAACACGGCCTGCAAGACATCGCCGCTTTCCAGACACATGAGGCTGGTTCTTAAACAGGGAAACCGCTGGCAGACCTTTTTCCAGGCCTGCTGCAATCTCGTGGGATTGAGATCACCAGTGAGGCGATACCGGGTCTGCAGTACACAGCTGCCTGGGGTACGCAAGGAGTCTAGGAAGGTTGACTTTTGGTAGGCGGTGACGGGAAAAAGGTCCTGCAGAGCATCCATCTCATGGGCTAGGGTGGCCAAATGCATTGCCAACAAGGAGTTTCCTCCCGAACAGAAGAAGTCTGAATGCGAGTGTACCGTTTGGACCGGCACTTGTAGTGTTTCGGCCCACATCTGCTGTAGCAAGCGTTCTTTCTCCCCCAAGTCCCCAGATTGGAGAGCGACGTTTTCAGCCGGGATTTCTGCGCCATCTTGCCTTTCGCCCGTCAACAGCTCGTTGGCCAGCTTGCGTAACGTTTTGCGGTCTGTTTTGCCCGTAGTCCCTGTTGGTATCACCTCCACCTGGAATATACGCGAGGGAACAAACGCTGGAGGAAGCACTTGGACCAGACCTTCTCTAATTTGACTCTCAATTTGGTCAGTGGATACGTGGCCAACTGAAGAGCCACATAACTGGATAAAAGCAACCAGGACCTTGCCTCGTCCGTGCGGGTTGATCACGTCTACCACTGCGCGTGAGTTCCTAGGCAGCATCGACTGGAGCCGGGTCTGCACCTCGCCCAATTCAACGCGTTGCCCGTTGATCTTGACCTGGTCATCATTGCGACCCACGCAAGTCAATAGTCCGTATGAATCCAGATACCCCATGTCACCTGTACGGTAGAAGCGTCGCGATGGGGCCCAGGTGAGCCCCTGGACGAAGGCGTGGTCAGTTTCAGTTGGGTTGCGTAGATAGCCGCGAGACACATTAGGCCCTTCAACCACAATCTCGCCAATAAATCCACGGGGCAACTGGCGATGCAAATTGCTTGGGTCGACAACAAAACAGCGACTGGCTCCAGCATGGCCAATCACATCTGAGGCCCATCTGGGATCTGTGCAGCTGATGACGGCCGACTGGACGGTACATTCCGCAGGGCCGTAGTTGTTCCAGACCTCCACCTGCGAACGCCACCGATCTACACTGGCAGAGGTCAATGATTCGCCGCCGAGAAAGAGCTGCTGCACTGTTGGGAAGTCCTCCGGGGAGAGCTGGGCTACGATGGAGGGTGTAAATTTCGCATGAGTGACACCCATGCGGGTCATGGCTCCAGCAATATCGTTCAAGCGTTCGTCTTCCGAGAGGATGCAAAGACAGCCCCCATTCGCTAGCGTATAGAATATCTCATGGATGGACCCGTCAAATGCGTATGAGAGAAATTGGGATTGTCGAACTCCGGCTCGGTCCAGTGCCATTGCCTCCCCACCGAAGTACCGGCAGGAGCTACAGATGTTGCGATGCTCCACCACCACCCCCTTTGGCACCCCAGAGGTTCCCGACGTAAACATTACATAGGCCGGATCGTGAGGCTGAGCCCTATTATATCCGACACCTGACCTCTGCGGAGTCCCCACAGTAGTTGTCTCGTCCACAGGGATGACCCGGGAAACAAGTGGCGCCAATACATCCGTTAATGAAGGGGAGCACAGCCCGAGGACCGGTTGACTAGCACCCCCTTCAGGCGTTAGTTGTGCCACAATCGATTCGATCCGTGCCAGAGGCATATCGGCCGGAAGGGTAGTAAAGGCGCCCCCAGCCTTGAGAACTGCGAGCTGGGCCACGTGCGTATAGGCGGACTTCTGAAACAGCAAGGGGACCAGGATCCCTGGCCGGACCCCCGCGTAAACCAGCTCCCCGGCTAACTTTGTCGATAGCTGGTCGAGCTCCCGGTAAGTGAGATCGGCATCCCAGGAGCAGATGGCGGGCACATGTGGCCGGGATTTTGCGCACGAGGCAATCAGCTCGTGGAGAAGCTTTGAGATGGTAGGCTTGACTGGATGAACATGCAGCGACAAGTCTCTTTGATCGGCGGGACTGAAATAGTCAAGGCCACTTATTAAAGGGTATGTGGAACTGGGAGATTGGCCCACTAGCTGTTGCGCAATGAGCTCCAGCTGGGAAAGGAGTCGAACGGGCAGATCGGGATCACCCCCCGCCGAGGAGAGCCGAGGATCTACCCAAACCGACACTTTCTCGGAATCATGGCGCACGATGATATGGCATGAGGGTAGCTGTGCCAGGATTTGGGAGGTGTTATTTCCTTGCGTCGGGCGTGGGGCTGCAACGATGACAGTTCGAAAGGCACCGTCCACATGAGCCAGATGGCGCTTGGACAGCGGAAACGAATGCACGCTGCCCTTCGTGAGACATATGTCGGCTCCAGACAGGCTTTTTGTTACCTGTGCCACCTCTTGTAGGCGCGTGCCTGCCTCAAGGAACAAGGTTATCGTGCTGGAAGATTTTACCCGAGGCTTTTTGATGCACAAAGTTTGGATATCCAAGGAGTCTGCCCGCGCATATCGAGCCAGTAGCAGGAACCAGGCTGCCCGTATTGTTTCTGGTGCAAGCAGTCGAGAGGCAAACGTTGCGTCGACAGACTCCTTGCCCAGGAATAGGTGGAAGAAAGATTGATCAAGCTCCTGTCGCGGGACAAGGGGGTTGCACTGAAGGAGTGAATCGAACGCACGCATTCTGCTCCTCGGAGATGCCGTTCATAGGATTTGCGGTGGGGTGTGTCTGTGATGATGCTCAATCATCATGCCCATGCTGGGCGAGTCCTGTTGATGGCGGTTGATTTCTCCTCCACGATTGACCCGAATCATCACGGAGTCCAATGATTTGTAGAGCCATGCATGAGGAGATCGGACTGGACCCTACCTAGATACGGGGTCGGGGTCGGGGTCGGAGTACGTAGTCGGAGGGTCGAAATCGAAATCGCAATCTGGTACGGCGTACGGAGTAGAATCTCGACTAGAACTTCCCTGGCGGTCATGTGGGGGGCATGTGATCGATCACATTGTTTCCCACTTCAGTGACTTCACATTCTTTTCCACGGAGTACTACCTTATAGTTGACCCACCTTGGTCAACCTCATAGCTCTCTTCATCCTTTCCATTACTGCTGTTACCTAAACCTTTCCCCCCCCCCCGAGACTATCACGTACAGGGCGGTCGTCTTGGCTTATTTGCAAGATGAATAATTCTCTGGTCAAGGAGCGCCCAACTCAGACAATCTGACGATATAGCCTCCCTTGCTATCGGCAAGGTACACGATCTTAGTATATCTCATATTCTATTCATTCTGTGCAGCTTTCCAACATGCTCGTCTGGGCCAAGTCAACTCATGTCTTCAACGTCAGCGTCATTCCCCCATCCACCACCCAGTCGCTGCCTGTCACGTAACTAGCCCGGGGACTGCACAGGAACAAAACGACATCAGAAACTTCCTCAGCTTGCGCCATGCGTCGGAACGGCAGCACGTTATCCATAAGCGGGCCTAAATCGGGATTTCCATTGAGGGCCGCCGAGACCATCGGTGTATCGACCCACGAGGGACAGATGGTATTGACACGTACTTCATGAGGGGCCAAGTCCAATGCTAAATGCCTGTCAGTGAGCGCTAAAGTGGATAGGAGAGCGAAGGAAAGGAAAGGGGAGTAGAATGCGGACCAGCGTTGCGGGTAATTCCCAGCACGGCGTGTTTGGAGGTGGTATACTGCACTATGCCACGGGTGGCCATGTAGGAGTTGGCAGATCCTATGTTCACAATAGCGCCTCGACCGGCATTGCGCTCTCCCGTGCGGCCCAAAACAGTCATGGGGGCTTGCTGGCACATCACAGCGCCGACTGTCTTGACGCAGTGCATGGTGCCCAGCACGTTGACGCGGTAGAACTGGTCAAATTCCTCCATTGAGGCATCCACGACATACCTGGGCTCGCGCACTCCGACCTTGAAGAGTTCAACACGTTAGAAGGAGCCAACGCACATCAATTATGGGGGATGGCCATACTCCTGCGCTGTTGACACAGTAGTCAATCCGTTTGAAAGTTCCCACCACGTCGGCCACCATCTGCTCCACGCTGGCAAGGTCCGCCACATCTACTGCAATGGCGAGCGGGTAGTAGGCTGGGTTGGTGGCGTATTCGGCGCTGCGGTCCGCGCTCTCCTGTGCGGCTGCCAGGTTCACATCGGCAAATACCACTCCGATGGCGCCTTCAGCAGCAAATCCGATGGCGACGTCGCGTCCAATGCCGCTTCCTGGTCCGAATTGATGTCAGAGGGGAGAGTTTTGCCCTGTCCTTACCCCCTAGCGATTGGAAGGAGACAAACCTACCGGCCCCGGTCACGAGGGCGACCCCGGTGATTCCTAACGCCATGACTACTCCAGAGGGGCAAAAGAGCAACCAGTAGAAATTATGAATGCTGACAGAATTAATTGATTCTACTGCCTGGAAAAGGTCTTCTTATGTAGTTGGATAAGGCGGCGTGCCTATCATACAAATCATAATCATAGAAGTCATATCCGATGCATCCCACCTCGGCCCGGTTTAGCTCGCCCCATCAACGCTTGGCCAGAGCAGCAAACAAAGCCAATCCATGCCACCGTGACTGCTCTCCACAATATCCCATGAGATCCGGTGGTTCTGCACTCGTGGTTACTCCACTGCCTTGCCCTCGGGGATGCGCGCCAATCTCTGCAAGTGGAACCACTTGGCGAACAGCCCGTCCTGCCGCTGTTATTAGCTGTGATCTTTTTCTTCTCCTTTCTTTAGGTTTCCCTTTGGGTATATACTCACCCAATATGTGCGAGGCAAAAACATATCGCCCCAGCGACACATGCCGGTTCGCGCTCCGTACCAAAACCACGCAGCCGGGCGGGACTTTTGCACCTCGCGCACCACGGCGGCGGCATATTTGGCTGGGGTAATGGTTCCTGATTATCCAGCTTGGTTAAAACCATACTTCTTGCCAAGAGCACAATGAGAATCAGGTAACATACTGGGGGTTCGCCGGACGTGATTTCGAAATTCATCGGCTAGGGACAGATATAGCGAGTCTATTCACCAGATCAGCCTGAGGTCCGTTCGTCAAGGGACCAGAAGAGACCATACCAGCGGGGAGAGAGCGCGCCGCATCGCGGTGGAGGATGTTGGTCCCAATTTCGCCCGAAATCACATTGACCACCCGTACTCTGTATGCATCATTGTCACTAGCTGGTCGGAGGGCCACTCGTAAGATTCCGGATCATTAGAACCACGTACCCGAAAGGCTTTAATTCTGCGCGCAGCGTATTACCGTAATGATGGAGAGCGGCTTTGCTGGCGTTGTAGCTTGCTAATTAATGCTCCAATGTCGAGTCAGCATTCCCCCCCCCCAACATCTTGCATCATGGGTGGGAGAATCTTACCCCCGTAGATGTAGGGAACAATGCCACCGATCGATCCAATATTCACCACAGTTCCCTGGGCCGCCACCAGCAGACGATGGAAGTAGTGGATCATGCGCACAGGGCCAAAGACATTCACCGCGAACATCTTTTCCACTTCCCGAACTTCTGTATCCGTCGCAGGCATTGTGTAACCTAGAGGAAAAGAAAGACAATAGAGATGAGCTTCCATCTGTGGCGCTAGGGAGTGGAGACCCTACATATTCCCCTGCATGGTAATAGTTCTGTCAGTATTCGAGGCGGAGTGGAGAAAGAGGATTGAGCATACGCATTATTCACCAGCACATCTAGCCGACCCCCGGATATGCGTTCGACCTTGTCCAGAAGAACTTCGGTATCTTTATCACTAGTCACATTGGCATCGAAGACATATATGCCTCGGTCGGTCAAGTGTTGGCGATGTTCATGAGGAAGCAGGGTGGCGAAGACGATAAATCCTGAGAAACACCATCAGTGAGTGCGACGAGCTGAGGCCAATCCCCAGTCCGACCAACCTTCTTTGTGAAACTGAACGGCGAGCGCATGTCCAATTCCCCCCTCACCGCATCTGCAGGCACCTTGAGCAAGCTGTTCTCGGGGACCGGATTCAACAGACTTACCCGGTAATCAATGCATATCGTGTTGTTGACATGATGAATGAGTAAAGTGTTGGCTACACAGGAATCTACTACCCTCATCAGACCTCGCGCACCAGACGCTCTAAATATTCCTCCAAATGCCCTCCTCTGGCCCCCTGTGAGGATCTGATCGCGAGAGGAGGTATATTTTGGCCAAGGCACAGATCGCGACATTGCCAGCATGCCTTCCGGAGGGAACAATCCTGTGGACCCGATGGGATACACATGTTCCCGCCCCGGCTCTCCCGCCACCGATACAAGGTGTTGCTTGATGGTTTAATTTGCTTTGGCCGTGGTAGCATCCGAGAATGAATTAGATAGCCCTGCTTCGCGGTCGATCGATGCATCAAATCCTACTGATTGATTGATAGATTGATTGATCGAGACTGTGCCCCCCCGGAAGCAAGCCAAGAACCCCAGCAACGTATTACTATCTCACCAGTGTGTTCTGATGTATGCCCAAAGATTAGGTAACCTGAGCACGTGGGTAGTAGTTCTTCAGGGTGCCAGACAGCTTGTCAATGAAAGGCGAGGCAACTCGGTCAGACTCGAAAACCCATCTAGGTAGTTCAACGCCTCGGGGTATTGGAGATCCAAGCCCCTGGCCATGGTAAGCTCAGATTCTGATACGAGGATGAAAAACGTGTTGCACATTTCTACTGGCCTTGTTCACACTTCCCAAGTTGCACCGCATATATTTATTGAGGGTCGTATCTGGCATTAAGTAGCTTCTAGAGGCCGATTGGTGACGAGATCCCCTTTCTTCATCTCGCCTCTTACTGAAGGATTGGAGATACTTGCCGTGCATGTGTTGATTAAAAAGCTTGCTTTATAATGGACTTCGCTCCCCTGAAATGCCCCGGTCTTGAATCGATCCTCATAAGTAAATATAGGACCAAAATATATAGGCGCAAACCACCGCTATGAGAAAAGACATCGATCGTTGATTACTATCTGGAAGTCTGCCGATAGTTCGCTGCTACTATAGATATACATTCAGTGTGATGATTGATGGCTGGCTTTCTCCTTCCTTCTATCTCGCCCCGTCTTCTTTTATCCTTCCATTTTTCTCCATTTCCCCCCCACCTTTGTCCTCTTTCTCTCTGGATTTTGCCAAAGCAAGCATATTTTCTCTCAATGAACAAAAGTGAAGGACGACAGGACAAGTGGTGGTAACTTTCCCACTTTGCTTCACCTGCGCATCCGAGGAAAATTAGATTGCATACCTGCTGCTGGAGGACAACATGATAGCCTGTGGGGTAAATGGTGCCACGGCAGGTCCGGATACGGCCCTTGGGTGGTCCTTCACCGCATCGGGGTCGGAATCGGCCTAGGACAGGCCAGCTTCACTCTCCGGGTCCCTTTCAGACAGAGACGCCCTGAGGACTACATGCGTGAGGCAGATGGGATATTAGAGAATGCAAGACACCCCCAGGGGATGAATAGGCAATATCAGGTCCCTATCGCCAGGAAAGACAAGACAGCACAGCACAATCGACAGCTCTACTCTGAACAAACCAAATCCACCGATCTTACAACCTCATTTCTTACATAACAATGCTCGCACTTGTCTTACTTGGGTTGGTGGTTGCCTCGGCCGTCACCTCGTGGATGAGAGGCACTTTCCCGGGGAGTCGGGGACGAGGATTACCCCCTGGTCCTCCATGCATACCCCTCATAGGGAACGTCCTGCAGCTCCCCACGACCGGGATCCATCTCAAGTGAGAATCAGCGCTTCAAGACGACCAGCCGCGTTCAAATCTAACCGGTCCGGCAGATTTACGGAATGGGCCAAAGCCTACGGTCCCATCTTCTCCCTCAAAATTGGCTCGTCCACCACGGTCGTCATCAATTCCCCTCCCCTCGTCAAGCATATTCTCGATAAGCAGTCGGCCATCTACAGCCATCGGCCTAACATCTACATTGCTAGGGAGCTGATCCTGCGAGGGGATCACATGATGTTCTTGAACTTGGGGGATGCGTGGCGCCGAGGCCGCCGACTCTACCATCAACAATTTAACGAGACGAGGTGTGAGAAGCAGCACGTCATTCTGCAAAACGCCGAGGCGATCCAGATGCTACGCGACTTCTGCCTCAGCCCAGAGGCCCTGATGAGCCACCCCAAGCGCTACAGCAACAGCATCATGATGAGCATTGGTTGGTCGTTCCCCTTGTTGCCTGACTACAGCTAACAGTATCCCTCTCGTAGTCCTTGGAATTCGCACCATGACGCCCGACACCGCTCATATGAGAGGGCTCTATCACTTTCTCGAGGGGCTGTCGGAGATTCTCGAAATCGGCGCCACCCCTCCCGTGGATATTTTCCCCATCTTCAAATACCTGCCGGAGTCCTGGTTCCACAACTGGAAATCCCGATCTCGCGCCGTTGGGGCCCTTCTCACCCGTCTCTACGAACCCTTGATTGACCATGTGATTCGGCGACGCAACCGAGTGGGGAGTAAAGAATGCTTTTTGGATAATGTGCTGGATCAGCAGGAGAAGTTGGGTCTCTCGGATCGGGATATTCTGCTCATGGTGGGCAACCTCCTTGAGGGCGGCTCCGACACCACCGCCAGCATGCTGTTGATTTTCATTCAGGCCATGCTCAAGTATCCCGACATTCAGACACAGGTACAGGCCCAGATAGATAGTGTCGTGGGTGAAGATCGCTCACCCACATGGGACGATTATGCCCGCCTACCCATGGTGGCCATGGTGGTCAAGGAGTGTCTGCGCTGGCGCCCGGTCGCGCCGACTGCGTTTCCACATGCTGCCAAAGAAGGTAAGACACTTTTACACTAAGAGGGATAACTCCAACTGACTTGAAATCCAACCATACCAGATGGTGAAATCGATGGGATGAGGATCCCCAAAGGATCGACCGTGGTGCTCAATGTCTGGGGCCTCCACCATGACCCCGATCGCCACGCTGACCCGGATATCTTCAACCCCTGGCGATACGCCGACCGCACTTTACCAGCACCATGCTATGCGTCGAGTCCCGATTACGAAAACCGGGATCACTACGCTTACGGGGCCGGGCGACGCATCTGCCCGGGCATTCAGCTAGCGGAACGCGGGTTGTTCATTGGAATTGCCAAGATGCTGTGGGCCTTCGAGATATCCGAGCCGGTCGATCCACAGACGGGCAGGCCGATTCCCGTGGATGTCGACCCGGTGACAGGCTACTTGGAGGGATTCTTAAACTGTCCCAAGGATTTCCAAGCGACGGTTCGAGTGCGTTCCCAGCGACGCCGGAAGACGATCTTCCGAGAATTCGACGCGGCAGAGCAGGAAGTGTTTCGTCACTATGAGTGTTTATGATGATCCAAATATGTACAATAATACAATACCAAACATTAATCAAGTTATACCTACTGGGTGCGATTCTTAGATGATCTTGTTGTGATCAGTACTAGTAGTGACTTGATACCGGGCAAGTGGTAGGTACCTTACCTAGATCTGGATCAGAACCCCTGTCTGGCCTCATTCCCAAGGCCCAATCGGATCCAAGTGGGATGGCACTAAGTTCCCCACCACCGTCCATCCCACCGGAACGTCCGTGTTCCATACTACGTACTCCGTAACTAACCAAGCTTTCTAACAATCCATCCATCCATGTTTCCTTTTCTCTCCTTTCCTCCCCATTCCTTTGTGACTGCGAGCTACGAAGTGGGATTTCGAATCCGTTCAGACGGATGGGCTCCCCCCGCTTCCCTTTCCCAGCGGGGTTTGTTTCCCAGCAGGGAAGGGAAGGAGAGGGGAGGGCGGAAAGCAAAGTAAGAATGTTTGTTATAAAAGGAAAGACGGTAGCTCCCCGTTGGCAAATACTACCTGTCTTCCCTTCCCCGCGGCTTCCTACGACAAGCTCCCAGCCGATGACAATTTCCCAGCTGTCATGATTTCCTTCTGACACATACTGGACTTGGATGATTAGGTATCTTTTTGCAATACCGCTACGCCAAGTGACCGCGTGCCTGTTCCCCCCCTTCCCTGCCTTTCATATTGGCCGGGAAGGGGGGATAGATTTAATGTAAGTGAGTGAGACCAGGTCCGGTGGTCGGGGTTTGCTTTTGGTTTTGTTTCTTATTGCGTTTGCGTTGCAGGATCATATCATTGTGCTAACGGATGTCTTGTACACAGACCATGCCAGGAGTTGAGCATTTCGGGTGAAAATATCATGGCCTCTTCGCGTCCATCATCGAGCAGCAACGTTTTGATATATTATCATCGGATGCAAAGGGGAGAAGGATTGCTCAGCAGCGGTGGGGTTCCCACTCTCTATCTCCGTTGTTGCTGCCCTTGCTCTTGGCTTTTGATGGGAATGGGCGTCACCGTGTGATTGATTGATTACCTCGGTGATCGCCCAGTACTACTAGTGGAGAGGGTAGGAGATGAGTCAATACAAGGAAGGGGTGACAGTATAACATTGCATTGTTCTATTCTAACTACGGCAAATCATTATGAAGGGAGGGGGTTTCGTTTTTTTTCATATGTGTCTTTCGTGATCGTTTCATATCGTCAGGGTGAGAAGAAAGGCGATTAGTCGCGACGAATAGACCGGGCTGGAGGCCAATCGTTCGCGATACCACGACGAGAAGCGAGGGAGGGAGAAGGCATTCAACGACAATCCATCCACGGTGACCCGACCACCACCACCCTCCTGGGAGATCCACTCAGCAAACTCGGGCGTCTCCGGGAGCTGGGACTGGGTCAGTTCGATGGTCGGGGTCTTGAACGCGTCGTCTTCGGTGGCGGCGGCGCTGGAGCCGATGCTGGTCGCCTTGGCACAGTAGAGACAGACCACTACGGCACTGGCCAGCAGACCGGCGGGTCCGAGCACATTCCCCAGTCGTTGATCATTCGGGCTGTAGAGCATGGTCTCGTGCTCATAGATGCGCTTCAACTGCGCGGCGTGGTAGACGGCCTGGCGGGCATCGGGGGACTGGGCCCAAGTACTGATGACATCCTCCACGTCGATCTCCTGACAGTGAGCACAGCACCGCTTCTGCTCCAGGAGGCGCAGGTTGGCATGCAGTTTGAGACAGACCAAGTGGTACAAGGTGAGATTGAGACCCAAGAAGTGGTTGCTGTCGCCTGGACTTTGGGCGAAAAACGATTCTTCCAGCCGGTCGGTCTTTTCGATGTGGTCGCGCCATTCTTGAATATACACTTTCCATATCTTTACTTGATCTACTGTATGATTTCTCTCGGGCGAGCGGTAATGCCGATGGTGCTCCTCGTGAGCCTCCTTGCAGACCCCCCACAGTTCTGATAGAAACGAGCAGATGCTAAAGTGGTTGTCCTCGAGCGACAGATGGGGCATTTGCAGATACCCCGTCACAAAGCCCGCCGTATCGAGCCCGTCTCTCATCATCGTGCAAAAGGCACTTCGTGCTCGCCCAGCGGGCTCACTCCAGTGCAGCTGGGTTCGCGCCACCCGAGTCTCGGCTCTCCACAGGCCCTCGGACACGGGGAGAGGCACCCCGATCTCCTGGTACCGCATGGTAGGAGGTCGATCCAGAATGATGGACAGGTATGCATCGATCCGTAGAACGGCAAATACCAGTCTGGAGAAGATCCCCCGAACCCCCCCGTTAGAAGGATGACATTGAGTGGAAAAGGGAAGGGACAACCCAGGGCTTACCGTTTCATCTGCTCACATAAAACCCAACGTTCTTCCGCCGATTGCCGTCCGTCGTCTGGGAGCCACTGATCGTGCAGGACCCCCAACTGTCGGAACGTGGAGATGGCCATGTCTGTCCACTGCGCCGCCCAATTAAAGGTCGAGGCAGGGGCCTGGGGCGATTAGCGGGCGTGCTTATTTCATACACCAATCGGGGGAGAGGGTAAGTCTTACATCGCCGAGAATTGAATAGATCATGGTGATCACCAACGCTTGCAGGGTTTGCAATGGTATGTCCGCGGCCGGCTTCTCCGTCCACGACTCTTCCGTCTACATCCCAGGTCAGCATCGCCGCCCCCCTCCGGACGACTCGACGATGCATGATACTCACGATTTTAGGCATCAATGCTCGCGTTAGCTCTTGATTGATTGTGTATGGGATCAAGTGATGGCGATAGGTGTTTTGCATCCACATAGACAGGTTGGCCAAGGCACTCGTCAGCAGGGTGGCCTGCTTCTCGGGAGCAAAGGTGGGCACGTGCAGAAAGGGCCAGGCTTGGTGGAAATGCCCAAAGTCGCTCGAGCGGATTTGGGTGGTGACGAACTGGGCTTGACTGGCGGCAGCGTCGTTCAGTTGCCAGCTGCCAGACGACGATGGAGTGGTAATGGCAGTGGAGGTCATCCGCCTCGACGACGACGACACTGCATCGTTATCAGGACCCGGACAGGATCTCATGGGGGTTGGGTTGGGCGGTCCACTTACCTGACAAACCGCGACTGGTTGGGAAGCTAGCACTCTCACTCATCTGCACATCTGAGGCTTGGTCGGTGGAGAAGGGATCTCCCGATTCCAACGGCCGAGGAGGAGGCGACTCGAAAGAAAAGTGGAGCAGCGAAGGTGCTTCGCTAAAGTCTCTCGAAGGAGATTTGCCGGGAGTCGAGGTAGTCATGGAGATGGCCGGCATCATGGCTATTGTGCCTGGGTCCAGCAGCGGGTCCAGATCCACACTTACCGAGGCCGGGCGTTTCCCCGTGACGCTACTACCACCACCCACACTCATCGAAGCCCCCCAATCTGGTTGCATTGGGGGGGTGCCCCCCGTGCTCGATATCATTTCATTCCCTTCCCCATCCGGGTCTTCTTCTTCCTCCGGAGCGTTGGCCGGATTCCCGGGCGAGCCTTTGCGACGAGATCGCGTCATCGGCATGAACGCCTGCATACTAGACGGCTCCCGCACGCATGGCTCCCCCGTATCTGCACATGTGGAACAGGGGTGGTTGGAGTCACATTTGGTTTTGCGTCTCCGGCAGGTTTGGCAGGCCAGCGGAGTTCGCTTGGCCCCGTCTGGCGGCACGTTGTGCTGCAGAACATGCCGATTCAGAATATCGCTGGCAGCCTAATCAGAAGGGTTGTTTCCATAGCTCGGTCCAGGGGGTCCGCCCCTACCTTCGGGCAAAGGTTCGCCCACAGATGAAGCATTTGTGTGGACGGGAGTTGGTATGAATGACCATATGACGATTGAGGTGTTCTTTACGCAGAAAGGATTTGCCACAGTCGGGATTCGAACAGACAAAGGGGCCAGACGACAACGAGGGAGGCTGGCGAGAGGCTGTGTAATGCATTCTTGCTGGGTCTGCTTGGGCTTCCGATGGGAGAGTCCGCAACCGTGGATGGGGTCGTTCAGCTTCCGGGGTGGGTGAGGAGGAGGAGAAGAAGAAGAAGAAGAAGAAAAAGGCCCATCGACCAACGGGGGCCCGGGGCGAGGCTGAGGCGGAGAGGTGAGCATGGACCGAGGAGACTCTGTGGGTCTTGGAATGAACTGGTGATGCTTTTGGTGCGTCCAATCTCCGTGGACACGCTGGATTGCAACCCCTGCTCAGAGGTGACCGGGGGTTCCCGGTAGCGTCGTTGCGCCATCCCAGAAGTGTTGCCCCCTGATAAGGTGACCGCAGAGACAAGCCGAGTGAGAGGACTTGCGACGGCGTCTTATTTTTTGATGAGCTCGCGAGGGCCATACTCTTGAACCCAGGCCCCATTCATCCTGACGAGGCCATCAGTCGAACCCCCGGGGATTGTTCACAAGAGGTGTTCTACAGCCCGCCGAGAAGGGATTGGTCGCGTTGTCCAAATTTGTGATGACTGCGTGGTAAGCCTCCTAACCGCTGGGCAACATTGTATAGATGGAAAGGGCGTGGGCGAATATTCCCTATCAGAAGGCCAACAAACACCGCGTCAGACGGACGGGACGAAAAAACACATCAATTGTCCGACCCCGTACGAAGGAGGCACGCTAAGCAGAGTCAGAGCCTCGACCCCTCATTTTGGGATCCACTGAGTTTCCTTCTCTCGACCTGTCGGACCTAGTCTGCTGGTGGCTGACCACTAGGAACCGGGATAAGTCAAGCCCCGGGGCAGGTCGCATGGCCTCGCGCGCGCTATTATCGGCATCCCACTCCTTTCCGAAGACGTACTCTGCATCATCCAGGCCAAGACCCCCCCCTTTCCGTCATTGTGATTGATCCAGTGCAGCCAGGTTATTACTACTATCTTAGGTGCTTTGGTGGTCTGGACGGCGTGGACGCTAACGCTATAGTCGGATAAGCAATGCCAAGACCATCGGATGGTCCAGAATGTTTTAGCGAAGTGGCAAATCGGATCGATGCATTGTATTGTTTGACACGCCAGTCTGGTCAGTGCTGGATTGGAAACACCCCTGGTGGTGGGGGCTAAAGAGATCAATGGCAAGGTCAGTTTCCAATGCACAGTCTCTAGTCTTGACGGGGATAATTCCTCGGGGCTAACTGCGACTATGCGCTGCTTCGTGCTTTGGCTGGTTGAGTGGCTGTGAGTGGATACTGACCTCAATTTCTTGCACGTGTCTTCCTCGAACTCGCTAGTAGCCTGCCTCTAGATAATTGTTTCCTGGAAGCGTGGGTTTGGATCCTCAGCATCGATCGCCGGTGCACGTGGCATCGGCCTGTGGGGGATCCGCCCGCTGGGACAAGATTATCCATTATTCTCTCCGTTTACCCGTTTCCCCTTACCGGGGAAGAAGAGGATCCAGGATCCATCTCTTATCTTTCTTCCATGATCACAATCCATCCCCCCCCCCAAAAGAAAAAAAAAAAAAAAGACACTCTGCTGCGAGACTTGCCAAGGCGATTCTGGAGACAGTTTGACAATTTATAGATTTGTATACTCCGTATTACTATTCCCCTTGGGTCCGATGTACGGACTCGGAGTCGGGCTTGGGGTCAGCATCTGACTCGGGTCCCTCCTGCGACCCCGAAGCCTCATTCAGGTCCATCCTGGCGATTCAAAGCATTGTTGAATTGTTGAATGGTTGGATTAGAAAAAGGGTCTACAAATGCTCGATCTTGCTGGTAGGTATCATGATCCAGAGCCAGGGACCCTCCTTTTCTGCCGACGACTAGTAAGCTTACTACTCCGAAACCAACCATGGAGCCGAGAGATACTCCATCCCCAAGCCCCCGTCTCAAGACGACAGGGGGAAACAATCCCATCGTCCTCATTCCTCAGCCGTCCGACGATCCTAAGGATCCATTGGTGCGATTATCCCCTCCCCCCATGCTAGTCTCACGTACCAGGAGACATGCCACACGTGACGGACTATCTACTGACTCGGAGTGAGAATAGAACTGGAGCCCGGCCAAAAAGTACGGGATGCTCTTCCTGCTGTGCTATGTCGGGTTTGCCGCCTTGAGCCTGCCTTCCAGCCAGCAGCTCACCTACTACGTGCAGGCCTCCGCCTATCCGGGTCGCTCGACGGTGGATCTGTCCTACTCGGTGACCGTGTGCGTGGTGGGGGAGGTGTTTGGTCCCCTCCTCTTCTGGCCCCTCGCTCGGAAGATTGGCCGCAGCTCCCTGATGCTGTGGAGTCTGGTCGTGGGCTTGGGCTGCCAGATTTGGGCGGCCCTCATGACGGGGCCCACGGACTATATTCCCTTCATGATGTCCCGCCTCGTCTCGGGCCTGGCCGCCTCCATCCCCACCGTTCTGGGGCCTTCCTACGCCGTAAGTCACATTCATCAACTCGGCCGGATCCCTCCCCACTCACGTCTGACAGGTTGATATCTTTTTCCTTCATCAACGGGGGCGGGTCTTTTCCACCTTCGAGCTCAGCTTCCTCCTCGGCGTCAATGTCGCCCCCACCATCAGCGGCTTCATCGTCAATGACGCCTCATGGACCTGGGCCTTCTGGTGGACCCTCATCCCCTGTGGGCTAGCCATTCTGCTCGTCTTCTTCTTTCTGGAGGAAACGGGCGGCTTTTCTTCTTCCTCAGGCTCAGTTTACCCAGCCCAACCCTCCTCCTATTGGGCCAACCGTGTAGCCACGTTTTTGCCAGGCCATCGCATCATCCCTGCGGAACCGTGGTCCCAAATTGTACGGACTAAGTGCCCTTGTCCTGCATAAAACGCCACCGATCCCACTCTAACCGAAAACTTGCTCCTAGGCCCGAACCGCTCAGAAGCCCTTGGTCATTCTCACGGCCCCCATCACCGTCATTGCCGGCGGATACATTTTTATCTGCTTTGCATTCGTCATTCTGGCCAATGTGCTACTGACCATGTTCCTCGAGGCCCCCGTAACTCAGGGTGGATACGGGTTTACCCCAATGCGCAACGCTTTCTGTAAGTTGCCCCTTCTTCTCCCCCTCCCCCAACACCAAAACCTTACCCCTCACTCATCCACACCAGTCACCCTAGACGCCTGGTTCGCCATCTTCATCTCCCAGATCGCCGGCTGGTTAATGGGCGACCGGATCCCCCTGTGGGCCTCCCGACGATTCGGCCGAGGCCACTGGCACCCCGAATACCGACTCTACAACATCCTCCTCCCAGGCCTCCTCAGCCCCATTGGACTGGGTCTTTTCGGCGCCGCCCTCCAATACCACCTGCACTACATGGTGATCGCAGTGGGCTTTTTTCTCATCGTCTTCAGTTCCATGTTATCCGTTCCTATCTGCCTCAACTACATCGTCGAATGCTACAAGAACGATGCCACCGAAGCGGCCATCGCCATGAATGTCTGGCGGCTTAGTTTCGCCATCGCCACCGGCTTCATTTTCACCCCTTGGATGGATGCCGTTGGTGGTCCTGGCTGGATGTTCGGTATGGCTGCTTTCTTTTCCCTGGGTGCTCTTCTCATGGTGGGGGTGTTGGTTTGGAAGGGTAAGCTGTTGCGGGATATGGCGCCGAGGCTGTTGGCTTGTGAGGGTGGGGTTCTTGTTGATAGGGGGTCGACTGCTGCAACTGGTCAGAAGAGCTCGGCCGAGCTGTCGGACGTGGAAAGTGAAAGTGCTCGGAGTGATGAGACTATCACGATTGAGGTTCTTTCTGCGGTTAAAGCATAGAAATTGTTGCTTGCTTGTTTGCTTGTTGGTGCGGGAGGCTGGCTATCTGTGGGACGACAACGACAACGACAACGACATGCAGAGAATGATATTGATTGACTGATGAGAGGTTAGGTATTCCTTTTCTTTTCTTTTCAATTTTCATTTTTCATCTCCTTACTTATTCATATGTACATATACAGGAAAGAAAGAGATGGAGCGGGGAAATATTCATGACTCAACATCATGAAAGAAAGGATACTTATAGACTATTCTGTTCTTCTGGAGTATGAGGTATTTCTTGTTACATCTATGTTTCCCCTCCTCTATCTCCTATTATCCTGTTAGTATGTCTAAAGAAGGAAAGAAAGGGAAAAAGAAAGACATCAATTTCATTTTCTGAGTAGTCCGTTCTCTCCCCCTTCCTCTATCTATATATTCTTTGGTTCTTTGGTACCTTCACTCCTTCCCAAATTCAAATACAGACGAAGAAGGAAGACACCTTAGGATTCTGGACGCCTCTCAACCTTCTCCATCACTGTCTTAGCCAACGAAGCCACCGTGACCGTCTTACTCAACAACTCGAGGAACGAAACATCCACGTCGAAAACGCGAAATAGCCAAGTCCGGAACTCAGACGCAATCATACTGTCCATGCCAAACTGCGCCAACGGTTTGTTCACATGCACTTTCTCCAGCGGGAGGAGAACTAAGTTGCCCAATCGCCGGGCTAGACTTCGTTGAATGGCTTCGGGTAGCGGCAGATTCTCTTCTAGCTCTGGGTGGGGGGCTGATGCGTCTTTTGGCTTCGAGGCGGCGGCGGCGTCGTCGTCGTCCATGACACGGGAGAGGATCGCGGCACGAGGATCTCGGAATGTGAGATTGGTTACTTGGAAGCCCTTTTGACGGAGGGCCATGAGGCCGAAGGGCTCGAGGCCGGTGAGGACGTGGGCGTTGGCCCCGTGGTCGACTGGATGAGGGATGGTGAGGTGGTTGTTGGAGAGGGTAATGTCGAGCATTTGGAGAAGCTCGTCCTCAGTGATGGCTTGGATGCCCTTGCGGACTAGCAGCGCCTGGATGTCCGGGTTGTCGTGGAGATAGCCGACGCCGGTGATCATGCCCAGACCGATTGCTTGTGCTGGGAGCCCCTGTTCTCGACGATACCGCGCGAAGGTGTCCAGAAAGTAGTTGCCAGAGCAGTAATTGGACTCGGTGGCGGTGCCGACGCTGCCGGATACGGAGCTCGTCATTAGGAAGAACTCTAGTGCTTGGTCCTTGCCCTTGATGGCGTGGTGCAGATTCCATGATCCGCGCACCTTGGGGTCAATGCCCGTGTGCCATTGTTTGTTTGACATGGCGGTGAAAATGGCTTCCTGTTAAGACGGGATGAGCTTCATGTTTCGTGTTGGGGGGGTGGGGTGAAGGAACATACGCTAAGACCCATGGCAGCCTGAATCACGCCTCCTATCAATCCATCCACGGCTGCAACGGCAGCCTCGACATCAGCCCGGTTGCACACGTCGCCACGGATGACCTTGCACTGCGCACCATGCAGGGCGAGATCCTCAATGAGTTGCCGCGCACTGGGCTTGTCCATGCCTGACCGGCCAAGGAAGACGAACTTTCTCGCGCCCCGCGACATCATCCACTTGGCCATGCTACGGCCCAGTCCACCCAGACATCCGACCATGAGATACGTCTTACTGGGCGAGAAGGTGGTCCGGTATTTGAGGATTTGCACGGGGATGGTGGTGGATTCGCTCTCGAGGCTCACTACCACCTTGCCGATACGGTTGCGCGACGAGAAATACCGTAGACTGTTGCTTATCTCCGACACACTGAACACGCGGATGGGCTCGACCTTGGCAATCCGGCGGGACCGGTAGAGATCAATTACCTGGCTGAGTAGACCCGACCACAGCTCGCGGTAGGACTCGCGCGGGTGGTAGTAGAGATCCGCCAAGTCAAAGGCCGAGAAAGTGGCGTTGTGAAGGAAGCGATTCATCTCCAGGCGGCCGTCGTCCGCCAGATCATGCTTGCCGATTTCGATAAAGCGGCCAAAGGCGGCACAGCAGCGCCAGCTGGCGTGAAGGAGGTCGCCTGTTAGGGAGTTCAGCACCACGTCCACGCCCTTGCCGTCCGTGGCGGCGAGGATGTTGCGCGCGAACGAGTCGTCCCGGGAGGTGAAGATGTGGCCGGGGTCGATGCCGAAGTTGGTGACCAGGAATTGCTTCTTGGCCTCGGTCGACACGGTGGTGTAGATCTGGTCGGAGAAGGATTAGCTGGATGTAAGACGAGGGGAAATGGAGGGAGGAAGCTCACCAGCGCCCCGATGACCTGCGCGATTTGGATGGCGGCAATGCCCACTCCACCCGCGCCCGAGTGGATCAGCACCGACTCCCCCGGTTGCAGACGAGCCCGCATCATCAGTGCATAGATGGCTGTGGAGTACACCAGGGGGAGGGTACACATCGTTGCATCATCCTCATCCTCTCTCAGCTTCTGGCACGCCCACTGGGGGACAATCTCGGAGGATCGGAAATGGCCCGGGGCCATGGCCACCACCCGGTCACCAACCCGGAGGCCCTCGACTTCATCGCCAACCCGCTCCACGACCCCGCTATATTCAAGCGTGCAGGTGGCATCGCGGCTGTCGACCTTGCCCGCTAGCACGTAGACATCTTTGGCGTTCAGCCCCACAGCCTTGACCTGGACCTGCACCTCGTCGGGTGCCAGAGTCCTAGGAAGCCCAATCTGCTTGAAATAGATGCCGTCGAGCTGACCGGGCTGGTCCAGCGCCAGCTGCACTGGCCGTGCCTCCTGCAGGGACAGCTCGACCATTTCGGACCCTTGCCTCTGGCGGAACTCGCGGTTGAGGTCGTCGTCCGGGATAAAGCGGCTGATATGTACCACTCCATTCTTCTCCACGTACTCAAAGTCAGCGAGAGGCTCATTTATCTCCAGCAGGGTCTGCATAAGATTGTGGGTTGACCGGGACGGGTCCCTGGTGGGATCGTCAATGTCGTACGTCAGAAACCGCAACGAGGGCTGTTCGAGCATCAGCGCTCGGGATAGCCCGGATGCCAGGGCAAAGTCCGGACGTGTCCCACTCATAATGTCACCGTTAGTGACCCAGACGAGGGTCGAGGCGTTATCGGTGATGACTTTGATGGCGCCCATCTCATTATCGCTGATGGTAGCCAGGAGAGGGTGGCTTACTTCGATCAGCGAGATGACCGTAGCGCCGCGCAGAAGTGTCTCGGAGTCCGCAGCGATCCGATCAAAAGCTAGGCGCGTCGCCCCCTTGATTGCGACCAAGGAATCGCCCAGCGCACTAGGGTCCTTTTCAATGACGACAAGAGGTTTGTTCTTGGCCACCTCGGGCAATGATGAGGCCGTGGGGGACCTCGCTAGCAGAATCTCCTCGCCCCCGTTGGTAAGCCTCGAGCGCAGCGCATTATAGTCACTTGAACTGTCCTCGCCCAGCCATGTACCCACAATCGGCTTAGCCAGTACCACGCCATCGGAGGAGAGAAACTTGGTAAGGCGGTGCAGGTGGTCGCGCATGTACCTGGTGGCGGAGGGCGTGGCTGGCAGCACGATCAAATCCCACTGCTTCTGGCCATCAGTCACAACTGGGAAGCTCTCTGTCTCCGTTGGCTTGTGTGCCTTGAGATCCCAGTCAGCCGCGTGCAGGTGGCGTTCCTCATCAAGGTACCCGGTACTGTAGAAGGCGAGATGGCGGTAGTCGTTGTCAGCAGATAGAAGAGCTAACGCGGCAAGGGTAAATCCATAGTCATCAGATCCCAGTTCTAGGATGCGTAGACGGGGGTTGCGATGCGAGAGCAGGTGGATCGTTGCCATTAATTTCAACAAGCCCTCGTCGGCCATGGTGGAGGAGCCGGTTTCTCCCACGAAGCTGTCCAGATAGCGAGCAAAGTCCAGATCTCGCATGAACTCCAGGCCATAGATCTTGGGTTTCCACAGAACCCGCAGCATGGGGTGACGGGCGATAGGGGCCTTCGTGCGATTTGGCTCATACTGGCGGAGACGCCCCCATTCGATCTGAGCCATTACTTGGTTCTCTGAGGTGACTAGATCGGCCTGGAAGCCAGCGGCACCGAAGCCGACGGGCGACGCGGTGGCGTTGATGGAGCACTTAGTCTCCGGACTGACGGGGCCTGGCACTCGAAACGTGGCCCAGCGGATGGCGGTAGGGACAAAGGCTTTCATCTCATGTGTGCAACCGGCACTGGTGGCGATAATGCCGGCTTGAACCATGGCATCTAGAAGGATCGGGTGGAAGGGGTACTCGGCTTCATAGCCCTCGTTGCCCGGAGATTGCTGGGTGAAGCGGACCTGTGCGCGGCAAGCCCTCTCGGTGGGGGAGCAAGGCACCGACACGTCCATGATGGAGGTGAAGGCTTTACCGTAGTTCAACCCCTCACCAACAAAGCGTTCGTACCAGGCCCCGGCCGTGGAGGGCCGGAGCACAGCCGGGTTGATGTCACACACTGGACGGAGGGCCTCTTGAGAATCCAATCGACTGACCGATCCTGTGGCCCGAACGGTGGCGGTTCCTTCTTCGTAGGTGGAAATGCTAAAGTCCCACCAGATGCTGGACGAGACCGTTTTGGTATGAGGGGTCTGACGCAGACTGGTGAAGAGTTCGACGGGAGGGGCTTGGGAACTGGGCACAGCCAACGCGGACAAGAAATGGACATTCTGAAATTGAATTGTATGACCAGCGAAGTGGGCCTGGCCGAGAGCTTGACCCAGTGCCTCCGCAGCCATGGCCAAGTATCCGGCCCCGGGGAAGACAGCCGTTTTCTCCAGAGAGTGATCCAGTAGCCACGGGACATCGTCGCTATGCAGCAGATTGCGCCACACCAGCTCGGTCGCATTGCCCGCTGGGACTTTGGAGCCAAGGATCTCATGCCGACGGTGCTGGCGGTGGCGGAACTCGGAGCTCTGCCGACATTCGTTCCAGAGGAGAGTATCGTATGTCCAGCGATATGGCGGAAGGTCATGGAGAACCTGGGGTCGCAGGCCGCCAGCGTTGCCCTTGTAGTAGACGGGATGGTTCACCAGGGACATTTGAATCGGATGGTTGTTCAGCCAGAGCTGTCCCGCCAGTGAGAGCACGCTTTCTGTGGAATTTTGACCTCGGATAAGCGCACTGATGTATGGAAGCTGATCTGCCGAGAGTTGTAGCTGGGCACGGATCTGCTTGATGGGCAACTCGAGGGCGGAATGAGGGCCCAGCTCGATCATCTGATGGCGCCCGGACTGGGCCACCCGGCTGACAGCGTCAACGAAGCGCACCGGCTTTTCCAAGTTTTCTCGCCAATATGCGGCCGTGAAGCCATCGACCTTGAGCTGCCCGGTAATAGAGGAGAAGAATGAGGCCCCTCGGGCATACTGGAAAGAGGGGATGCGGTGATCACTGAAGGCGACTCCCATCAGGGTCTCATATTCGCCCCCAATGGCCAGCATATGATGAGAGTGATATGCGCGACCGCCCGTCTTGAGCTTTCGCGCGAATATATTGCGGGCTTGCAGGGTGGCGACTATGGCATCGACCGCCGGTTCGTCTCCGGACAGGGTGACACTCTCTGGGGAGTTGATGCAGGCAACAACGATCTGGCCTTGGAGCTGGGCCCGAGCGATCTCTACGCTGGCCGCGTCACTGGACAGCCCGACGGCAGCCATGGACCCCACGGTCGGTAAAGACTTGATAGCCAGGCCACGATAGTAGGCGACTAAAATGGCTTGCGCGCGAGACAAGTGACCTGCCGCATATGCAGCCGCGATCTCCCCGGACGAGTGACCCAGGACGGTAGCGGGACGAATATTCCACGACCACAAAAGATCGACGAGGCCTACTTGCACGGCAATACACACAGGCTGCGATCGGCTTGCGTCGTGGATCTGGCTGGTCTCGGGAGGTTCGAGGATAGAATCGCTCAGAGTCCATGACGGCGGGTTGGGCAAGGACTGCAGCACGGCATCTTGATCCGCCAGGGCAGCACAGAAGACGGGAAATTCGAGGAGAAGGTCAGCGCCCATCTGAGGCCACTGTGCCCCCTGGCCCGTAAACACAAATGCGTACTGGGAAGGGGGCTCCGGGGCGACCCCGGACAATGTGACGAGGTCTCCCTCGGTCAGTTTCTTTTGTAAGGTAGCCTGGCTGGCCACTACGAACCCACGAGTGCGGAGCTGGGATCGGCGCTCTCCCAGTGTATACGCAAGGTCGGCGAGCGATTTGCTTGAAAGGTCATAGCTGGCCAGATCTTGGCACCGGGCTGCCAGAGCCGCCGGGGTGCTGGCTGATAAGGGGAACAAAAAGGTGGTGCGTTTCTGGGAAGGGCGGGCCTGTTGCTTAGGAAATGGCAGACCCTGTAGGAGCGAGGATGCCCCCTCTAGAATGATGTGAGAATTGGCTCCTCCGTACCCAAACGAATTGACGCCCATGCGGCGAACATTGGTGGATTCCGCGCCAGGCCATTCACGACCCTTTGTCACCACTTGTACGTTCCATTTGCTCGATTTGATCTTGGGACTCAGTCGTTGAACGCCTATGGTGGGGGGAATAAAGGCATGCTCGAGCGCCAGGGTACCCTTGATGACGCTGGAGATACCACTGGCTGCTTCGCTGTGTCCCAGGTTGGACTTGACCGATCCAATCAAGATAGGCGCAGACCCTTCTGGACGCCTGAACGCTATGGACACAGCCTCGACTTCAATCGGATCGCCCACCGCAGTTCCAGTGCCATGACATTCAATATAGGTGGTTTCGTCGAGGGACAGGCCGGCCTTGGTGTACGCCTTGCGGATGACTTCTGCTTGCCCGAGACTACTGGGCAGTGTGATGCCTGCCGTCTTTCCATTCCTATACAGTACATAACGCGGTAAGCAGACAGCCAAGAGAAATAAGGGAAGAAGAGATAGGAAGAGAAGGAATTCATACGCGTTGATAGCACTTGCTCGGATGATGGATCGAATGGGATCGCCATCTCGGCGGGCATCCCCAAGCCTTTTGAGATATAGAGCACCCACTCCATCTGCCCGACCATACCCATCGGCAGTGTCAGAGAAAGTGTGACATGTCGAGGTGGGCGATAACACGCCCGCTTTCATGGTGGCCAAATGTTGCTCGGGGGTTTGGATGAGGTTGGCCCCTGCCACAATCGCCCCCTCACATTCGCCGGCTTGCAGAGCCACACAAGCGATGTGAAGGCAGTAGAGAGAAGAAGAACAGGCTGTATCAATAACCAGGCTAATATACACTCACGTTCGTTCATCGGTCATGTTCATGAAGGGTGGTGCAATGAGCAAAAGGGTGAACGTACCTGGGACCCTTGAGATTGAATGCATGGCTGATTCGGTTACTCAGGATCGACGTGCCCATTCCTGTAGCCGTGTACCGGTGTAGGTATTCAGCATCACGCAGCTGCATGAGCTGAAAGTCCACGGTAAAATTGCCCACGTAGCAACCAACGTTCGCACCCGACAGCTTTTCGAGCGGCAGACCAGCACTCTCAAAACACTCAAAGACCACCTCGAGGAGCTTTCGTTGCTGAGGATCCATGTACTTGGCCTCCAGGTTGTTGATGCCAAAGAACTCGTTCTCAAAGCTGCGGATATCCTCATCCTGCAAGAAATACCCACCCCTCATGTGCATACTTCCTGGCCGGTTGGATCCATTGGGATGGTAAAAGGCGTCCACATTGAATCGAGAGGAGGGCAGCTCGCCCTGCCCAGATCGCTCGTTGACAAGGAGTTCCCACAGTTTGGACGGTGAGGAGGCACCTCCGGGGAGACGACATGCTGTGTAAGACTTTAGCTGGTCTGTCTGTCCACGGGTTGGTGTCAGTTGATGCTCACGGACCCATGCCTACAATGGCAATGTCATCATCGGAGATGGACCTCGCCACTGCCTGGCCGTTCTCATTTACGTGCCGAACCATCACTAAGCACTGAAGGAGGAAAGAGTATCTTACTGAAGATGATCAAATAGGAGGAGGATGGGAGAGAGGCAGTGGTGACCACGTCAATTCGACTGGTTTGGATCGTCGGGGTCTTTGCGTGGCGCCCTGTTATCCACAGTACATGATGTGACTGCCGCACAGGCAAGGCTTTTATCCCTATAGGAGAACCGGTGCCATTTAAACCATCATCTGTTCAATGTGGGATGCTTCGTGCCCGTCGGCTGGACTTTCTTCCCGCCACCCTTCCGGCGGATCGATGGAGGTCATTCTTCTGCCGCGCCGAGGGCACGGCAAAATCGAAGATCGTTGCAGAAGACCTGTGATTCTCACTCCCATCTCTAGTGCTGATTGAAAACTAGGGTCCATCCGGAGGGCGTACGACGAAGTTGACCGCGGTAGCAATGGGACGAAGCCTCTCGAAAGCCGAGGCGGCGGGGGGAGAAGCGGATGAGAAGGCGGAAGCAGCCGGTGGGAGCCGGAGTTGAGGAGACTTTGCACGAGTACGGGAGGACACGAGGACACAAGTCTACTGGGTTGTCTTCCCAAGGGCGGCTCCTCGGGGCCCTGTACTGGGCTTCTCGATCGCGCACAGTTAATCAGGCCTATTGGAGCTTCTCCCCAAGATCATAAATACAACCTGGTGGCCTAGAAGCTGCAATGGATACCGCAAAGTTGTCGTTGTTCTACTCAGCGCCATGGCCATCATTACCACTGCCTTCCCGACCAGGACGCATACTTTCTCGAAGAAAGCCCCAGCCAATCTGACCCTCAAACGGCCCAACGGTGTTCAGACGCCTTTCAAAAGTTTCCAACGGCCGCCTGTGAATCTTTACCCTGCGGATGGGGAAGAAGAACACTCTATCCGTTCATTGCCAGAGATTATTGAGTTCAATGCCCAGGCTAATCCTGATCACCTATTCTGCATCCAAGCGACAAAGGAAGCAGACGGTGGTTCAGGCGTCTGTCGAGTCTCGAACCACCAGTTGCGAAATGCTGTCGCAAATTGTGAGAGATGGCTGCAGGAAAATGTGACTGCACTTCAACTTCCTGCTCTCGCAACAGATGACGGACAGGTGCAGAAAGGACGTCCGGTGGCTCTGCTGATGGACAGCGGTCTGGGCCTGTTCCTCCATCAGATGGCTCTCATTGGACTTGGGGTCCCGGTGAGTTAATTTCCTACAGCCTGACTGTTGTGCATCGTGTTTGATGTTAATAGGTGCTGCCACGTTCAGGTACTCCTGCTATCCGCCCGTCTCAGCGCCACAGCAATTCATCATCTGCTGAAGAAGACAAATGCGGCTGCTGTCCTAGCATCTCCTCGGCACCAGGGAACCGCCGCACAAGCTGTGGACCTTATGTTGTCCACGGACGAGCGAACCATCTCATTGTACAAGCCGGTACCCTATGCCACGTTCCTAGGGCCCGCCCCTGCAGTGGAATCCATCTGCCACACCCTTCACTTCTTCAGTGAAAAGGATCGTGATGTGCTTATTCTCCATTCTTCCGGAACCACCGGCCTGCCCAAGCCCATCTATGTCTCTCATCGTCACCTTCTCTGCTTCACCACCTGTCACGCTTTTGAGACAGAGCAGGAGGCCCAGGGCATCAACGTGTCTACGCTGCCCCTGTACCATGGATATGGCCTCATGGCCCCCGCTCTCGCCATGGGCGCCGGCAAGACGGTGTGCTTCCCGCCCCCCGGCACCGTTCCCAGCGCCCACAGCGTTATCCGCCTGATCAAGACCACCCAGGCTGCGTCGCTGATGTCGGTGCCATCAATCCTCGAGGAGATGACGCTGGCACCCCATGATGATGGTGTTCGTACTCTGGCAGCCCTGGACTTTGTCACTTTCGGTGGAGGCATCTTGCCGCCTACAGTGGGCGATCGACTGGTTGCAACGGGAGTGAAGATATTGAATCACTATGGGACCACCGAAAGTGGGCCGCTGTCGCCCTTCTTTGTGCCTCCCCCCGACTATAACTGGCATTATTTCCGGCTGCGGCGTGATATGCGCCTGTCCATCACGGAGATTGCCCCGTCCGAAGGGGAGCGGCGCTTCCGGCTTACCACGTATCCGTTTGGGTGGGACCAACCCTTTGAGATCCAGGACCAGCTAGTTTGCAATCCCGAGCATCCGACCACTGATTTCAATGCCGTCGGACGGACAGATGACCTCATCGTGCTAGCTACCGGGGAAAAGGTCCTGCCACAGATCCTGGAGTCTCTGCTAGTCGAAAGTGGCTTGGTGAAATCGGCGATTGCTTTTGGAGACCACCATTTTGAGATCGGGGTCATAATCGAACCGACCACTCCGATCACGACCTTAGACGATGCGCATGCCCTCAAAGAGACGGTCTGGCCGGTCATTCTCCGGGCTGGGGAGAAGATGGATGACCACGCCAAAGTCTCATCACCGGAAGCGGTGATCGTGGTGTCCGCGGGGGCTGTCATTCCCCGTACGGATAAAGGCTCCATTGCACGCAAGGAGGTCTACAAGCTTTTTGAAGCGGAAATCAGCCAGGTCTATTACACCCTTGAGACGCGCGGAACAGATGGTCCGGTGACCCCTCTTGACCCGGAGAATCTGGAACAAGGAATAATTGAATTAGTCCAGACGCGCCTCCACTGGGCTATCCCCTTGACGGACTGGTCGGTGGATGATGATTTCTTTGAGCGGGGCATGGATTCTTTGCAGGCCATGCGGCTCCGACGATTCCTTCTGTCAGCCGTTTCTACGGCCAACCACCAAAGTTCTCTCGTAAGCTGCATAGGACGCGACTTCGTGTACGCTAATCCATCCGTGCGCCAAATGGCGGACGCTCTCCGTCGGGCACACGCGCCCACCCCGTCTGCCCGCCCGGCAGCGAATGAGCTGCTTCCGCAGCTCGTGCAGGCGCATGCTCTCCATGCAACATGTTCGCTCACCAGGTTGGATCCGGGGGCGATCGTCGTTCTTACTGGGTCAACGGGAAGCTTGGGATCCCACTGTCTGGCGGAATTGGTGAAGTCTCCGCATGTGGCCCGAGTGATTTGTCTCAACCGATCAAGAACAGAAGTGTCAGCCACGAGGCTAGCTGATGTGGATGGAACCGCTCGCCTGTCTCGTGCCTTGGCGGACAAGCGCATTGCTTTGGACGGGGCCGGATGGTCAAAGATACAGATATATGAAACTAACCTTTCTGCAGACCTCCTCGGCTTATCGCCGTCCGAGTATGCCATGCTTCAATCCGGGGTGACTCACATAGTCCATACTGCATGGCCCATGGACTTCAAGTGGCAACTCTCTTCATTCCGGCCCCATTTGCAGATGCTTCACAATCTCCTCCGACTGGCCCAAGATGGGCATATCGCGCGGCCTACCATTAAGCCCCGTCTGCTCTTCGTGTCGTCCATCGCCACTGTCGGACGGTACGCCTTAGTGCGCGGAGAGCGGATCATCCCGGAAAGTCCTATGGATACGGTGGACTGTGCTAACTCCATAGGGTACGCCGAAGCCAAGCTCGCCTGCGAGTGGATCTTGGAGCAAGCCACACGAGAACATCCCGAGGAGGTGGAGGTCTGCTATGTACGTCTGGGACAGATTGCAGGAGCGCGCTCCACGGGATTTTGGAATCCGCAGGAGCATTTCCCCGCGCTGGTGAAATCATCGCAACTCGCAGGTGCCTTGCCTCAGTTACAAGGGGTAAGCCTCCAGACCCTTCTTCTCTTCCGCCTTCTTTTGGACGAACACTAACCGTACCCAACCAGACCCTATCATGGATCCCCGTTGATGATGCAGCTAGAGTGCTGATCAACCTGGCATTAAGTGAACAGAAGCCAGCAATAGTCTACCATCTTGAGAACCCTGTTCGACAATCGTGGAGCGATATATTGAGTTCAATCGGGACCCAGTTGGATATCGTGCAGTTCCTTCCTTTCGAGGGCTGGTTGGATCGCATCACCCACATTCCGTCGACAGGTAAGCCCGATCAGAACCCTGTCCTTCAATTGGAAGAGTTCTTTCGGCAGGACTTTGTGCGCATGGCATGTGGTGCGGTGATTATGGCGACCGATGAAGCGAGAAGGAGATCAGAGACTTTGCGACGCGTGGATGTGGTGCCGGACGAGGTAGTGGCATCATACGTGCAGTCCTGGCGCAAAATGGGTTACTTGTCTTGATAGAAGCTTCTGGTTTGATTCAGCACCTGGTTATTCCTTGATCGTATTCGTATATCAGAATTGAATCTACTTCAAAGCCTGTTATACTTTGTTCTATCACCCATGAAGAGATTCAGGCTCTGATCATCAATTTTATCAAATGTCGTTGACGGCCACGAGGAATTCTGAAATAAAGTGGTAGGGTCAATGAAGGCCTGGTACTGCATGGTAGGCCGTAGTGCCTCTGCGTCGCATCATCGCATAACTTTGCATAACGCCACTCAGTCAAGTGCTGGGAAGACAGGGCCATGAGTCGGAAAATGGGACCCAAGTCCCAACCAATCATGGGGAGAGTCTGTACGCCGTTCGTTCATTGGTGAGATTTTTGTGTCGTGGCAATTCCCCGGTCCTTACTTCCAGTCTCCCTTGTTCCGGTGGGATGGTTAAGCGTGGGACCCGAGTCGGCCTCGAGTTGGCCTCGTCAACCCTACATTAGCAGCTTCGTCGCTATAAAAGAGGGACAAAGACCAGGCGACTTTTGTTCGACTTCTATTAACAGCCTTGGCGACTCTCAATTGTTCCCACCTTTTTTGAATACCCATCGTTGTTGGCTTCGCTCTACCCATCTTCAAAAAGCAGCACTCGTCGACATGGATACTCTCGCCGGCCAGGTCGTTATCATTACTGGGGGATCCAAAGGCATCGGCAAAGCCACGGCTCTCCGTGTGGCTCGGGATGGCGCCAAGGTAGCCATTCAGTACTACTCGGACGATCAGGGTGCGCAGGAAGTAATCAGATCGATCGGCGAGGAGAATGCTCTAGCGGTCAAAGGAAACGCCGCCAGTGTGACAGACGCAGAGGAGCTGATCCGTCGCACGATGGAGAAATTCGGCCGGATTGATGTCCTCATAGCCAACGCAGGGTCATTGCCATACAAGGACCTTCTGAGTACTTCGGAGCAAGACTTTCAAGATTGCATGGATCTCAATGTGAAAGGGCCGTACTTCCTGGTCCAGGTAAGGGACTCGTGCCATCCAGTGGGATGTCGCTGATGATTGATATTAGAAAGCGGTGCCGCACCTACGGCCCGGCGCCCGGATCATCCTGGTCTCCACCACGCTGTGTCACGCCTCCACCGTCAACCCCCGCTATCTCCTCTACTTGACCACCAAGGGCGCCGTTGAACAAATGGTCCGCGTGCTGGCCAAAGAATTGGGGCCTAAGGAGATCACAATTAATGCGGTTGCGCCTGGCCCTACTGATACCGCTCTGTTTAGTAATGGCATGAGTGCCCCGGTGCTTGCTGCTGTAAAGAACCTCATTCCCCGCGGGCGGCTAGGCACTCCCGAAGAAGTTGCCGAGGCGATGGCATTCTTTAGTTCCCCGACGAGTGGATGGGTATCAGGACAGATCTTGCGAGTGAATGGGGGGATGGCCTAGAGAAATCTATCGGGTCGCGAGGCGCGCTAGCACTGAGAAACACTACTATGTAATCCCCAAAGGATATTAGAATAGGAACAATCAGACAGGATACGGAGTATGACGAATCATTGCTTGCCTTGTAGTCATACTGTATTCAGAGGGGATCTAATTCCAGCCTGTTTTGGTGGGCATTATTATCAACGCGAGGGACAAGGAAATGCGTCGGTCGCGGCATGGAGTAAGTGCGCATAGGCTTGAGGATGTGGAAGTAATAGTCAACGGCAGCGTGTGGGATGATGGATGATCGACTCGGACGGAACAATCAGCGCTCCGCTCCGGCCTCCCGGCCTTTCCGGGTCCGGGAGGGGTTCAGCGCTTCAGTTGCACCCACGTCCTTTGAGTCTCATTATTATTGCTTGCGGTCACTCACTCGGCAGGAGATGCAGCTATCTAATAAGCTTCAGTATGCATGAGCTGTTGCTGCCTTAGCTGTTCGATTACCGTATGTCTCCAATGATGTATGATGGAGTGAATACATCGCGGCTGGTATCTATCTGGCATCGGAATGGGGACAACGCAATCTAACTGATTTTGAGTGCCTTCTAGAATCCAAGATAACATTTCAAGGTGCTACGCTATCAATTGCCATCGCGGTTATTGACAGACTCGAGACATATCCTCGTCTTTTACGCGTTATGCAAATTCTTCCCTGTATTTGATCCTCACACTCAACCCGGTCTGGTGAACAAACCATCGGTTTTTGACCTGCCATCGAACGTCACCAGGATGAGCAAAGCAGAGCTATGGAACGTCAGCCATGGTTCTGGAGTATCAGAGAATATGGCAAAGGACCCGCTTCCACCGCAAGGACCCTAGGATTAGAAGAGCAACGCACCTCGTATCGCTGAAACAGGGTCGGTACCAACTTGTAGATCTCCAGATATGAGATGTGCTTGCCAAGACACACGCGACGGCCCGCCCCAAACTGTTGGTGCGCATCCATCAGTGAGATTGGCCACATGGATTGTGGATGGTTGGAAAGAGGAGATAGGGTTGGTGCTTACTGTCATTAAAGCACTGTCCATCCTACGTCGCGTATTCTCGTCACAAAGCCATCGTTCTGGCTTCCATTCGTCACAATCGGCGCCAAACGTCTCCGGGTCGCGATGGATAGCCCAAGCACTGATGCCCACCACTGAGCCGCCTGGAATAGACTTTCCGCAGATGACTGCTCCCTCCGGGGGAACCACACGTTCAAAGGGCAACCCGAAGGGGGGATGTAGCCGACCAGACTCCTTGATTACCGCGTCCAGGTACGGTAGCTCTCGGGCTTCTCGCCAGGTTACCACGTCGGACAGCTGCCCCTGCTGGCGGGCTCTCTTGAGTTCTCCGAGCAGCCGCGCCAGACACTCAGGGTGCTTGAGTAGCTGGTAGATGATGGAACGGAGAAGGATGGCCGTCGTGTCGCTCCCTGCACCCACGTTGGATGTTGTCCATGCTGTGAGCGCCCTGTTCCTGCATCAGCCAAGGGAGATCGATGCTCGTCAGGTCCAGAGGACGTGGGATGGGCACACTTACCAGGGCGGTATGCTCGGGTCCTTCTCGATTGCCTCGAGGAACTGAGAAAGGAAGTCTCTGGTATCAGAGCGTCCGTTCTCATTGGCCTCTTTCTTTTCACTTTGTCGTTCAGCAGCACGGGCCAGCGCAAAGGCAACGATCGGATTCACGCTGTGCTTGCGAAAGCGCTGGAGAAGAGGGTTCTTAGCCCAGAGCCAGTCAACCCAGGGTATTTGCGACACAATAGCTGCAGTGTCGAAGTACTGATCGATAGCGTGAATAATGCCATCCACATCGCCACCATGTTGTAAAAAACCCAGGCGCTTGGAGAAGGTCAATTCTCCGATAACATCAAACGCAAAGTACTGAAGCCAAGCCTCAAGGTTGCAAACGCTGCCAGAGCGGACAAACTCCTCATCGAGTCGTTCGAATAGAACCTTCATCGTGGAATCGACATATGGCTCAAATGAGACCACGTTGCTCATCGAATACAACCCGGCGATGGGCCGTCGCAGAAGGTGATGGATCCGTTCGTCCTGTGTGGCGAAAATAGTCTGCACGGGTTTTCCCCGCACATAGAAGGCAAGGGCCCGGTAGAAATCGGACTGGATATTGGTCAGCTGCCGATGGCTTATATAGAAGGGTCCTGTCCCTTCTTAAGGGGTGGACGTACCTTGCCAAAGGTGCCTGCAAAACTGTAGATGTGAGGGATCTCCCGGGGGTCAGTCACCGAGATCATATTTGGTCCGAAGCGGACAAGCCGCCCGTACTTTCGGTGCAGATCAATGTGGATCTCGTGGGATCGATTGGTCCAAATCCAATACGAACGAGGCACATTAGATAGGGCTGATAACCAAGGGCCGGGGATGTGTCGGAGTCGTAAATAGCCACGGAGGAGCCATGCCGCCAGAATGAGCGTCCCCAAGGTGAGGACCACGGGGAACGAGAAGAGCATTGCACGGATCAAGGCCTGCAATATGGAATGCAGCCCGATGAGCTAGTACTGACAATTGTGAGCAGGTGAACTGAATGCGGTGCGTGAGGCTCGGTTTATGGTCTGGACAAGGGCTATCCCTCAATCCCTCACTCCCTCAATCCCACAATCCCACAATCCCACAATCCCGCGGCAAGCAAGGAGAATTGCATCCCACCCCATCCGAGTCCATCCCACCTCCTGCCAGTGCACCGCCTACCGGGGTCCCGGGGGTCCGGTAATGCTTGCGGATCCCTGTAGTATGGTGCATTGGAACTCGGGTCCCCATGCTCGTACGAATGCTACCCGGGGTCGTTCCTCATGATTCGGCCCCCCTACATCAGGTAATACAGTCCCGAAATCAACGTTGGATATAAATCCAATGTGAACTGCCTGCAAATTGCGATTGGTGCATAGACCGCAACACAACACAACACAACACAATAACAACAATTTTGACCGAAGCAGAACAAGATGGCTCCTGGACGCATCGATCCTCCAAATCTCCCCGCCACCAAGCTTAAGATCCCCACCGTGGACATCTCCGCCTTCCTGGCCGACCCAGATTCTCAAGAGGCCCAGTGCATCGTGCCCATTGTGAGGGCGGCCTGTCGCACCACTGGCTTCTTTCAGATTACCGGTCACGGCGTTTCCACGGCTCTCCAGCAGGCCGTGTTTGAAGGGGGCAAGAAGTTCTTTGCCCTTCCCTTCGAGACTAAAAAAGCCCTTGACTCCAAGACCGTCCGCGGCCACCGCGGCTACGACGTGCTAGCCTCACAGTCATACGAGCCGGGTATCCTGCCAGATCTCAAAGAAGGCTGGTATGTTGGAGAGGATCTTCCAGATGACCACCCCCGAGTACAGGCAGGCCGCTTCTTCATGGGGCGCAATGTCTGGCCGGATGAGGCCAAAGTGGCCCGCCATGACTTCCGAGAGCCTTGCGAGGAGTATCACCGGGCACTTAGTGCCCTCAGCATCCAAATTTTACGACTCATCGCGCGTACCCTGCCGTATGGCTCGGGCATCTTCGACGACTTTGTCTCTCACCACCCCATCACTCCAATGCGGATCTTGCACTATCCTCCCGCCCGCACAGGGACGGACAAACCTCAGTACGGGGCCAGCGCGCATACCGACTTTGGCGCCATCACGCTGTTGTTGCAGGACGAAAGCCCCGGGCTGGAGGTGTTGGACTCTCGCACAGGGACGTGGGTGGCCGTACCGCCCAACCCGAACGCCTACGTGGTCAACATCGGTGACATGCTCAGCCGCTGGACACGGGACGAGTATGTCAGCAGCGTGCACAGGGTTATTAACCAGAACCCATGGGATCGGTACAGCATCGTCTTCTTCTTCGACGGGAATCCCGACACGGAGCTGCGGGCATTGGATGGCAGCGAGGCGGAGGATTCGCACCCACTGACCCCGGAGCAACACATGCTGCACCGTATGACCGAAAGCTATGGGAAGAAAATCAATAAACCCGAGGTTAGCGCCTGATGCCATCTGCATATCATGAGATATGGGGATTCCCTCCTTGCCCCTCTTTGCGCAATGCAGAAGGACCACCACGTCCTTCCTCAATGTACCCTGACTTTTTCACTCCCCGGCATTCCTTTCCAAATTTCCCAATAATCATAAGGAAATCTTTTCTCCGTAACAGCGAGGGCCTTTTTTTCCATCCACAACCCTAGCTTAGGTCACAGACAATACAAGAACTATTCCAAGCTCAATAGAGGTTGCTATACATACTTCCCAATACCTACACCCTCTTGTATAGATAGATATTTCTTCACCACACTCACAAGAAAAGACCTCTTCCGCAAATCCCACCCCTCTCTTCCCCGATCCTCCCTGACCTTGACCTTGACCTTGACCCTCCTTCCTCCCCAACGCCACCTACCTACCCACCTACCTACCCATCGGTCCGTAATATCATCAAATAAATATCCATGTACATTGTGCCTCGTCATTACACCCAAACCAGTACCTTACGTTATCGTCTGCATAGATATTGATAATGACTGACTTAAATAAGAGTAGTAATACAGTATATCTAATATCGAGGACCTTCTATCATTGTTATTGACATACAAGGACTGAATTAGCACCTAGCTATAGTCTTTATTTGACTCGGTAATATTTTTAGGGTTATTAGTCAATGACAGGAGAGACCTATGTCACTCTTCTGCACCGGTTATAATTTATTTCTATTATTTCAGCACGTAGGTTCGAGTGAGATACCTGCAGGTGGTGGTGTCAGTGGCGTGGCTCGATTTTTACAAGTGAACCTGCATGTGGGTAAGGTCGTCGGAGTTCGTTAGGACAGTCTGGGATGTAATAACAGATAGTTGTGCATTTTCTGAATCTAGAATGTAGAAGTGACATTTCAACAGGCCAATTATGTATGACACAACAAAAAGAAGAAAGAACTCCATACTCCGAAGATTCCTGCGAACTTCACTCCACACGCCAAGGTAGTACTTGGAAGATAAGGGGATCGATAAGAAAAAGTCCAAACAGTCAAGCAGCCTGACCGTATTTCCAAACCAAGGCTCCGGTAACTCCCGCCGCCGCTTCAACGCCGTCTCGCCAGCTACTGGCCTCGACAACGCTCAGCGCTTTGCTCAACATCCAAAAGACGGCAGCCCGATCGGCAGCAAATGTGAATAGGCTCCTGGAAGCCCATGAGGAGGCAGGGAACTGAGCAGATGTGGAGAAGTTAAATGGAGGAGGATCAAGCCCCGATCCGTTATTGATCACCACGCCGGCCCCGGTGGGAAAGTTGGTCGGTAGGCAGAACCACACACATACCCAGACCTTACCCAAGAGTTGCAGATACGCTGAAAGTGGAGCGTTAAACTGTCAGTTCCGGTACAAGACCCCTATGGATGACGGGGACTCACGACTGTCTTTGATACCCCAACGTTTTCCATAGTAGATCACCAAGTCTTCCAGCATGATGACCACCGCCTGGCCCAGCCAGAGATAATACATACCACCATGATTACGGCCAACAAGATAGGCCCCCGCATGGTGTGTGAGAGCGGAGATGTAAAAGGAGACAAACAGCTGCGTGTACTTGCGGATAAGGGACCCTTTCGGGAGTTGGAGGAAATCGGCTAGAATCTTGGACGGTTCGACTACCACGCGTCGGAGATGGCCATGCCAGCATTTACTAGATTTGTCACGGTCAGTTGTGTCTAAAGCGAGCGTTGGAAATACTTACCCCCAGACCTGTCGGACACTCCACATCTGGCTGCTGAAGGATCCCATCAAATTAGGCCACTGCTCTGGCCGGCAAATACCCAGCGCTGTGGTGAGCGTCGCAACTAGATAGAAGGGCAACTGTAGGGCATTGTAGGTCTCCAAAGCGCCAAACCAACCAACCACGCTGCGCACCAGAAGCCCCTCGGAGAAAATGTCAGGCGTCTCGCCTCCCTTGCTCAAGGCATACCAGCGGATGCAGGCGTGAACAAAGTCTAGAGCCAGATAAGAGAAGAGGAATCGATGAATAGTGTGACGCAAAAATTTCCTGGGGGTGTTTTAGATCAGCCACATCGCTCAACAAGGTCTTCTTGCCATACGAGGCACCAAAATATCAAACTTACAGACGAGGATATCCCGGCGCAACGGGCTCCGGAACATTGGAAACCTTCCAGTTCCATCCGATGCCTCGAGTCGTCAACCACAAGCCCACACTCCATCGCAACCGCTCCAGCCAAGATGCGTTCTCACCAGGGCCGACAGGAATGTCCGGGTTGGCAAGCGTGACGTCTTTCGTGTACACAACGGTAGCGGTGGCGACGGGTGGTTTGTTTTCTTTCGTCTTGACTAGAACCAGATGGTCTGGGGTCTGGCGTGCACCTTGGTTGGCAGAGGGTGCTTTGTAATCGACAATGATCGGCCCCTGGGCGCTCAGAGGCTTGGATTCAATAATCTTCTGTGCTTCCAGATCGGGTTTGCCGGGCTTCGCGCGAGGGCGACTATCGGCCACCCGCCAGAACGAGCGAACGGGGTTATGGAAGACAGCAAAGTCCAACCATTTGATGACGGCTCCTGTCATGAAGACTCCGGTGACGAAGTCGAGAGAAACTTCGCCCGTGGTGTAGCTGGGTGCGTGAAGCAAGAGGCCGGCAAAAATCGGAGCACCGACCGCCAGCCGTACCCATTTGCTTTTCGTAGGGAGGAGACAGGTGATTGAGCCCGTGGCGAGAAACGAGGGAAGAAACCAGGCCGGCATTGGTTGCCGGCAGTCCAGTGGTGTGGATAGTGGAGAGAACAGCTGGCCCAGCATGGTGATGGATGAAATGGATCGGGATCTATCCGGTGGTTGTCTGTGGGTAGAACCAGGTTGATGGAGGTGGGATAGTGAGGATGTCGAAGCCTGGTTTATATCCTATAGATGATCCAGGGTCGCAAGAGATGACTCTGGAGCCGACTCAGTCCTTTCCATTGCTGCACTCTGGTCAAAGCGAAGGATGTCACCCATTTCGACTGGCAACACATGCTAGAACGCATGTGCCCTGGTGTTGATGGGGGGACCGTACGCGTAGAATGGCTCGTGGGACCCAAAGGCCACTCCATACTCGGGTCTTGAATTATGTCAAATGTGCTGGTATGAAGATTAGTCGAATATGATGTGAAGGAGAGAGAGAGAGAGAGCGAGAGGGAGAGTCGGATAGACGGGGTAGACGGGGTAGACGGGTCGCTCACTCGGGTCCTCACAACGCCACCATGTCAGCACTCGGGTCAACACCAACACCAACACCAACTACACACGGAGATTAAAAAGAGCAAGAGCAGAAGGGCTGTAGTATCATATCATCCATTGTCAAGTCAGTGGGTGTCATATCTAGAGTTGGAAAATCCACTTCATCCGCTTTTTCGTTCTTTCGTTTTTTTTTCGGTAGTAAACTTTGAGCCGCGCACATGGATCGGTCATCCCTCGAGTGACTTTTTATATTCAATTCCTGGTGGAAAATACAAAGGAGATCGATGAAGCTAGGTGCAAAAGGGTTGGGTACCATGATCAGGTTTGAATCATCTTATCTCTGCTACAATCTTCGAGATTTTCGATTTTCTTCTCGGAGAGAGCCTTAGGATTGGGGTGCGGAGGGGCGACTTACTTCATTTGACGGAATGGTGAATTCTCTCGTGTCCTTCTAACTTATAGGCACGCCACAGGGCGTCGAGAAAAGCTTTCTGGAAGCTATGCACGTCAAATTTGAAAGTTATCGTGGCGTGTCTGTGTTACAGTAAGATGTACTGTGTACAACCTTGGTGGGGCCAATCGTGAGTGGCTAGGAAATCGCTGACTCAGCGCATCTAACGCGGGGCGGACCCCTAACGGAGTGTACAACTACAGTGTACACAGTACCTAACGGACCCGAGGTAGGTACCTACCTAATCGGGTCTAAATGAGGTTATATCGAGTGGGAAGTGGAATCCGGGTCCTTCCTTCCCGAAAATCCACGGAGGTCGGACACATCGGATCCCGCCTTTCCGGGCTTCCAGTGCTCACTTCTCGCTTCCCCCCATCTCCGGGTCCGGAATGTCAATTTCATCATGACTAGCTTATAGTCTAGGTTTAGCTTCAGGGGTCCCGGCCCAGAACGATCCACTAGTGACATCACCTGCATGCTTCGTTTGTTCGTGCGGTGGTTGCCATCCACCCCAAGCCCTCTTTTTCTCTGATCATCATCCTCTCTCCTGGACGTGTTTGGGGTTGGACATGCCTGCAGAAAGGGGAACCCATCCTCGCCGGCGACGCCTTCGGGTATGTACGGCCTGTGATGCCTGCCATCGAAGAAAGGTGTGTTATTGCGTGCTTGATTCGTATGGTACGTCCACCCCGGTCTAATGCCGTCAGATCAAATGCGATGCGGTAGAGCCCAGGTGCAATTGGTGCTCGCATCACGATACCCCTTGTATCTACTCCCGCTACCACCGAACGTCCAAGAACGCAAAGTGCGTTTTTCCTCTCTTCGTCCTCCCAGCTCTCCGAATTTCATATACACGTCCTCCCTGCTCAAGGAACGCCTCATGAGTCCTAACGGCTAATAGTACCGGGCATCCACAACTCGTTGGGCCTGACAACACTCCTCCGGCGGGATCATCAATGAGTAAGTACTTGACGGTCCTAGGTCAATAATAGTCAACCGCTACTGATTGTTGGCCAGCTTCAACTTCAGCAGGCAGTTCCACTCAAGGCAATGACCCATCTTCAGAAACCCAGCCATTTATCCTGAGCAATTTCAGACTGCAGACGCATCGCCCCGTGTTCAGGTTGAATCACATCAGTACCTTCAATGGGTTGCCGTTTTTCTCATCAAGTGGACAGCAGTGGATTGAGAAAAAGACCGGGGTTGAGAACAATTTTCACGAGTATTACGCCTCGGGGCCGCCATGGCAGGCCAAACCCAGGTTTAGAGCACAGACAAAACACGGTTCACCTGATGGGCGAAAAATCATGGGCCTACCAGCTAGGCTCGTGTTGAGCAAACTCCTGCACACAGCTACCTCCGTCGAGTTCGTGCTAGCCGCTTTTCTCGTCGATCAGAAGTTGTTTGAATCCACCATCAGAGCGGCTTTTGATGGCCAACTCTCGCAGACTTCACCGGGACCTGTGAGTGCGAGAGCGTGCATTTTGGCATTTACAGCACTTGTACTGGAGATGGTCCCTGATAGGGACTTTGCGGTGGATGGGGTCAGTGACGACTACGCACTGGAAGCACTTGCGTTGTTACCGGAGGTTTTCGCGGAGTCAGTGACTATCGATGGGCTTCAGGCACTTTTAATGCTGGTAAGCTTGTTCATCACCATCGCCTCGACTAGGCTCGACTAATTCCGATTATGCAGGCCATCCATTGCGAAGTATCATGGGGAGATATCTATATCCTCAACATGTTAATCTCGAGTGCAGCGAGGTTAATCTTCCAATTTGGAGGAAACCTTTATCCGATCACCACTGCCTTTCAATCGCCCTCGCGGGCAGATCTACACGTAAGAAATCTGTTCTGGATATGTTTCCTCATCGACAAAGAAATCTGTCTGCGAACTGGTTCGCCGCCGTGTTTGGTGGATACCCACTGTGATCTCACCGTACCACATGGGCTTCATCATGCCGAAAGCCTTGATGAAGCGCTCCTATACTTTTCTACCATGACGCGGTTAAGCATCATACAAGGCCATATATTCGACCGGCTATATTCAGCACGTGCTCTGCAACAAAACGAAGCCGAGCTCCTGGGAGCTATACGTGTGTTGGATGCGCAGCTGGAAGACTGGCGGTCCTCGCTCCCGGCTTCCATCCGGCCCTCTCTTTCTCCGTCGCCTCTAACAGGCAATCGTCTGGCTGATAAACATGCGACGATCTTCCAGGTGCAGTGGCATTACTGTATGATGACTATCCACCAGGCCAGTTGTCGATGCATTACGTGGATGGAAACCCGAGAGACGCACATCGATGGACTCAACTCCAGTTTGACGATCTCGGTGCAGGCTGCGCGTTCGTTACTTCGAGAGTTTTGCGACTCGCACCTTCTATTCGAGCAGGATACAATTCGGTGAGCAGTATCCTGTGGCTATTATCCATTGCTTTCAGTATTTGGGAAAGACCGGGTTTACTGACAAGAGCCTCCATCAAGGTACTCTCTCTTCCATATAAGCTCGGCTGTGATCACCCTCTTCTGCAATGTTCTGCTTCGCCCCTTGAACCCCGACAGTGTCGATGATGTCGCCCTGATTGAAAGCCTACGCGGCCGGTTCAAAGACCATGCCCCCAGAAGCACCATGGTTGAACCATTTATTGAACAATTGGGGGATTTGGCGAGATGCGCCGTTGTCAAAGCAAATGCCTTGTTCCGAGTCACTTGAACTCTACTTTTTTGATGATTCCGAAAGCATTGAAGAAGCTGCCGCCATCGGGAGAGGAGCCGAAGTTCGGCGACGACCTCGCTATGAAGCCCGATAGGTCGGAACCACCGATCCTTCGGGCTCCTCGCCCGTAACCCAATCTGGCCCCCGCCATGGGCTTGATCGAATATATCTATCAGTGCCAGGTCCCTCTTGTCCAGGACCTCCCCCGCTCCCACTTCCACTTCCATACCAACAATATGGCCGTCGAGCAAAAGCATGTCAGCTCGGTCGCCGAACAACCCTGGCGTTCCACGCACTTTCAAGATCCATCCGACCTAAGCTGTGCGCACCTCAACTCCAGCGACGGAGCTCCACGTTCGTTCGCGATCATTGAACCGCCGGCCCAGCTATCCACCGACACCAGCACCTTTCACATTCGGGATCCTGCCCCAAATGATGTTTTCCCCGATGGTGGTGCCCGGTCATGGTTCGTTGTTCTGGGGTCCTTTTTCCTGCTGATGAGCAGCTACGGCATGATGAACTCCACTGGTGTTCTGCAGAGCTATTTCGTGAGCCACCAGCTATCTAGTTACTCCACCAGTATCATCGGCTGGATTCCGGGCTTGTTTGTCTTCTGCGGTCTCAGCTTGAGTGCCCAGATTGGGCCGCTGTTTGACAGATACGGACCGACTGGCATCGTGATTGCTGGGACGGCGTGCTACGTGGCAGGTCTACTATTGATGGCCGAGTGTCGACTCTACTGGCATTTCGTTTTGGCCTTTGGCATTCTCACTGGTATGGGGGCGGCATTGCTGAGCACAGCAGCCATGGCCGCCGTTCCCCATTGGTTTGACCGTCGTGTTGGCATGGCCATGGGGACTGCGATGGCTGGGGCGGGACTTGGGGGTGTGGTGTTCCCTTGGGTACTCCGGACAGGGTTTACCAACCTTGGGTTCAAGTGGACTATCCGGCTGCTTGCATTGATTGTGGCGGCCATGTGCTCAATGGGCATTGCATTTGTTCGATCTCGTCTGCCCCGAGGACAGAGCAAGCCAAGCATCAACCTGCGTGCGTTCCAAGATGCTCGGTTTACTTGGTTGACCCTAGGAACATTCAGTAAGACCAGCCACCCAACTCCAGACCCATAAGAATATCGGGTCCTGACAACACGTAGGCTTGGAATTGGAAGTCTTCGCCTGTCTTGGTCTTTACCCGACCTACGTCGTGATGCAAGGTTTCAGCACCACCACTAGCATCATCCTTCTCTCCATCTTGAATGTGTAAGCCGTCCCAATCTAACAGTCCACATATTTCGCCAGTCCTAACATGAAATCACTAGCTTCTCCACCATCGGCCGATTGATCGCCGGTGGTGTCGCGGACAAATATGGCCGAATCAACACGCAAGTCGGACTGATCAGCCTAGGTGCCTTCGCCGTCTTTGCCATTTGGCTCCCATTCGGTCATAAGCTTGCAGGCCTCTACATATTCAGCTGCATATATGGCATGGCATCCGGCTCTTTTCTCAGTCTCGCGCCTGCCTGTATTGGACAAATCTCCAAAGCCAGCGAGGTCGGGGGGAGATTCGGCCTATGCTACTTGGCTGTCAGCTTCGCGTAAGCCCTCTGCCCCCTCTGCCCCCTATTCCTAATTCCATAACCCATAAACGCAATATACTAATGGTCATCTCTACAGTACGCTAATTAGCATCCCCATTGGTGGAGAAATGATCGAGACGGTCGGGAAACAAGCCATGGTGGCGTTTCTCGGGGGTGTTCTAGTGATCGCAATGGGCATGTTTGCAATGGCTCGATGGTCGTGTTTGAACTACCGATGGAGGTGGCAGGCCAAGATTTGAAAGTCGCTTGCACATAGATAGCCTGGGTGTATGGGGTGAAGAGAAGAAAGGAAAGGAAAGTGAGCTAAACAAGAGAGATGGCGAGAGAAAGGGCTACAATAGGACAACTAATGACTTAGTGGAAACACAAATATATTCTTAATCTTATGAAGCTCTCATAACTATCCAATGCACACTGGAACCTTTTCGCTTCATACACCCTTGAATTCCTCCAAACGATTTCGGCAACAAAAACAGGACTGAAAAGAGAATAGCCGGAAAAGAAAAAACGTCGACGTACTCACAGACATGAAAGGATTCATCTGATTATGTGAGTGATGATCGAGAATCTCCGGGGGTCAATCAAAATGAAGCCAGATGAGCTCCTATGGGATCTGTCTGCTGGCATCATGGGACAGGGCTCGTCAGTCGACGCGGGGCCTGGATGATACAACCCGTTGGCCTAGTCGGGTAGGTAGTCTAGGGGATTAATTCCCTTGAATGATGTCCTCGGCGATCTTCTCGGCCAACGCATCTATTCATCGTATACTCTGTTAGGTCTTGGGCAAGTGGCAAAGAGGAGAAGGGTTATATAGAATAACATACAGATAGTCGACATGGGATGGCCAGGCACCAAGATGGGGAAAGAGGAGGCATCGACGACGCGAAGGTTAGAGACGCCATAGACGCGGGCCTTGGAATCGATGACACTCATGGGGTTGGTGACATTGCCCATGGCGCAGGTGCAGCTGGCGTGGAAGACGGTATTGGTGGCGACGCGGAGCCAGGCGACGATTTCCTCGTCGGTCTGGACGGACGGGCCCGGGAAGTACTCCGGGCCGATGACCACCTCTGACAGGGCCGAAGTCGACATCAGCTGGCGGGCGCGCTTGAATGCGGCAATGGACACCTCGACGTCTGTGGGGTTGGTGAGCCAGTTCGGGTTGACGGCCGGCAAGTCGGAGGTATCGGCGGAGACGATCTCCACGGTGCCGCGCGACTGAGGGGTGATCAAGGCAGAGGCGATGCTGACATAGTTGTAGCTATCCTGGGGTGCATCCTGGACGAAGTTCTCCTGGTTGCCGAAATAGCCCCCGATGTGGATGTACTCTACCTCTGGCCAGTCAGCCGGGTAGCGCGCCAGCTCGGCCTTGGCCTGGGTACTGAAGTTGGCTCGCAACTCGTCGGGGATTTTCTCCCATGCTAGATAGAGGCTTTGGTCAGTCGGGGTCTGGTAGAGAGAAGGGAAATAGAGGATCGCATCGCCTGGTTCTTACTGATGAGATCACTGCCGGGGTTGGTGAGGATCCCCGTGGCGGGTTGGCTGTTGTATCCTTCAATCGCGGCGGATAGAAATTCGGGGAACTTCACGGATGATCCGGTGACGAGGTTCACTCGATACGCTGGACCAAAGAGGATGTGGTCCTGGGTGGAATGTGAGTTCTAGCTATCGCTTTTAATCCAATGGACATTGGACACGACTCACCTGCATGTTCTGACCGACTCCGGGACTGTCGACGAGAACCGGAATGTCGTACTTGTTCAACAGCGCAGATGGACCGATGCCCGAGACCATCAGCAGTTGCGGGGATTGGAAGGCCCCAGCAGAGACTACGACCTCACGCGCCGCAGACAAGACGTACTCTTGGCCGGCGGATGTGACCCGGACTCCCGTGGCCTTCTTGGATGCGTCGAACAAAACCTGCTTGGCCATGGTGGAGGGATAGATTATGAGGTTTAACTCTTCCGCGATGGCCGGCCGCAAGTAAGCAGTCTCGGACGTCTCCCGCTGTTGGTTGCTGGCCTGAATGGTTGCCAAACTGTAGGAATACCCGATCAAACGGCCACTGGTGAAGCCATCAATAGCCTTGGCTCCCAGTTCCTTCCAGCCCTTGGCGACCCAGGTCGCGAATGCTCCAGCGTAGTTGGGGAAGGTTACCGACACCGGGCCATCGGTTCCCATGGTGGCCACGTCGTAGGAAGGGGAGGAATTCGAAAACCGGGTGGCATTATCGGGCGGGGTGAAATGCATATGTTTCTGGAAATAAGGCAAAAAGTTCTCGTAGGTGTAGCTGTCGTCTCCGACCATGTCCGCCCACATTTGGTAGGAGGCGTTTGTCGCAATTTGATAGGTCATGTAGTTGCGCGCCGTGTTGCCTCCCAGGGTCTTTCCGCGCGTGTAATGCGTAGATGCATTGTTAAGCCCCTGTCTCATCTTAGTCTTCTTGCTCTTCGAACAGGGGGGGAAATCCCTACCGCTTGAGGAACCGTCATGATATCCCAATCCACCAGGCTGTTCGTATCGGACGCGTCTTTGCCACACCAGTAGACATCATCCCCGGGGATTTGGGTCAAATTCCCATTAGAGATTTCACTGCGTCCCTTGAGCATCTAGCCACGGATTCCCGGGGGAGGGGAAGAGAGAAGGAAAAGACGTACTAGTAGCTTCCGGCCTCGACAAGAGCAACCGAATAACCCGCTTCTGCGAGGCGGTAGGACAAACCAGCTCCCGCGTTGCCGGCTCCGACAACAACATAATCATAGGTAGCATTGGCAGGATATCCAAAGGACGAGCCCAGGGGCGTGCCGTGGTCAAGAATGTTTGAAGAAGCAGAGCTCCTGCAACACGTAGGGAGAAGTAGGCCGCCATCTTGATCGGGTTTCACGGTTTCTGGATTTTGCTTGTTCGACTCTGTTGATGATTCTCAGACAGGTCGTCGTGCCCGATATAAATACATATTGGCCCGTATGAGAGCTGAGACCATACGGACAATGCTTACTCCGTAGGTCAAGACCTCGAGTTGGCCTTCTCGACCCCGTAGTCCGTATCCCGTATCTCGGTATCTGGTATGCCTCCTGAAGCATGGTTGCACAAGTGCCAAACTTGGCACTATGACAGATGATGTGCATTACTCCGAACCATGTGGCCATACACGTGGGTACGATCGTTCGGAGGCTGCCGACAGAGCCCCGTCCTGCATGAAGCTGCAAGTAAAGCCATCCCACCGGCCGGGCCGGCGGGGGAGGCGATTGGAGAATCGCCCCCCTGGCCCTTGCTCTGGTCCTCTCCCCCCGTCCCGGGAGGGAGAGGGGGAAGGGGGAAGGGGAAGGGGGAAGGGGGAAGGGGGAAGGGGGAGGATCAGGGTAAGCCTTGGCCAAGGACGGATGGCAGCCCGGATGGGGTGGGAGGGAGGAAGCATCCTGGTTGACCAATGCTTCCCATGCGCCCATAGATTAGGACTCCCTGCTTTCTGGACTGAAAGAACGCTTTCGCGTGTTTTGTTCGGCCAGCAATAAAATACGCTCATCCACTTAGGGCTGTCCCCAGCGACACCATTCATCAATCCTTCCTCTCCGATGACACGGATACCATCGCCAACAGCGGAACAAATTTCCTCCACAGCAGGACCCAGTCCTGCTAAGAATGAATCCCTACCGCCAATCGTATCATTGCGTCTGGCTATTGTCGTGGTGGGGATTGGCTTTGCCATCTTCCTGGGTGCCTTGGATGTGAACATCACCGATGAATTTCACTCCTCGTCTCTGACATACCACTGCTCGGTGGGCCAGCGTGTAATCCCACCACTAACTTCTCATTCGGTCGATAGTCTTTTAACACTGTCCAGTCTGCAACTGGCCTGGGGCCGTCTATACAAGTCTTTCCCCGCCAAAGGGACCTTCCTCGACGCTCTGGTGGTCTTCGAGGTCGGATTCCTCGGGTGCGGCGCATGCCCCATCTCAGTAGACCTAATCGTCGGTCGCGCGATTGCAGGTATGGGAGTCTCTGGAGGCTTCTCTGGGGCGATGATGTACGCCCTTCTTCTTCTCCGGCTTGATGACCAGTGTGACGCCAGCCCCTGACTCCCTCCCTACCGAGCCCAACAGTATTGCCTCCTATACCATTCCGCTGCACCTCTGTCCGTTGATGAATAGTGCCCTTGCGGTACTCATGGGATCGACTCGCGCCCTGGGACCCGTAAGTGGAGTGGCCCTCATCATGAAGGCTAGCTGGCGATGGTGTTTCTACATCAATCTCCCGTTGGGGGCCCTGTGTGGCCTTCTCATCGACCTGGGGGCCGCCATCCCACAGAGCTCTGGCACGTCGTCCAAATCATGGACCACAAAGCTCCGCTGGTTTGACTGGATCCGCATGCTCCTCTGGATCCCCTTCACCGTCTGCTGGTCCTCATTTTACAGTTCGGGGGCGTCCAGTTCACCTGGCACAACGCGCGCCTCATCGTGCTGTATATTCTCGCCATCATCTCCCTCGCTGCCTTTATTTCCAGCCAGAATTACCTTGGAGGAAAGCCACCGTTCCACCGCGATTACTGAGGCAGCGCAGTACGATCTGGGGCACGATCTTTGAGTTCCTGATTGGAGGGTCGAGCCAGCTGCGACAACACTTTGTGAGACTGCCTGAATCTTCGGATGCCAGCCAATCAGAACTGTCGGGCTAACGGACCTCATCAGCTCCCCATCTACTTCCACGCCGTGCAAAGGAAATCCGCTCTCACCTCGGGCACCTCCACTCTCCCACTGCTCGTTGCCTACACCACATCGCTGATCTTGACCGGCATCGCCACCTTGGCGGTGGATCAATACGCTTCGATCATGCACGTGGGCAGCGCCATCGCCTCGGTTGACATGGGGCTCCGGACCTCAGCAGTCAGCACGCTGACCGCGCACACGCACCCCGAGCCGGTGGATCGGGTACCAGATCCTCAGCGGGGCAGTGGGAAGCAGCATCGACAGCAAGCGGATGGGATGGCGGCCTTGCTGAAGACGCTAACGGGTTTGGGCCTAGTGTACGCCTTGGAGATCAAATGCCCTTCAGCTCGTCGGGGCCGATATCTTCCGATGCGCAACAGCGAGGTGAAGAAGGATTGAATGAATCAAATAGATGGAATTGAGAACTCTATCTCCGGGACCAACCCGGACAGACATAGGGCGTACATGAATGATCAGGAACATCTCGAGGGAAATCAGCACACGGAGCGACTCGGGAGAACAACCCGTCTATACGTGAGGGGTGCTTCCCCGGCCCGGCTTCTCTCTTTCCGGCACTCCGGGCGCTCATACCGATTGGGCCAGAGACTCCGCACTACTAAGCTTCATCTTTACTTGTTTCTGCGATTTGAGGACGATATCCATGATATGACTGAGAATCTCGGGCTGCACATCTTCTAGAAGAAGGTTGTACTTAAGTGCTTCCACCGGCTGTCCTGCATCCGGTAATACGGTGGGAACACCCCCACTAGATGCGGCTTGCAATAAATCCACCGATTCGTGGCCCGGGATGTGTGAGAGAGCATCCAGCCATGAGTAATCATCCTGCGCGTGGAACAAGGAAGACGTGGCATCTGTCAGTTCAGGCGGGGTTTCTGGACTGGCGATCCCCAACTGGGGGGGGTCGAGAGGATCAAATGGACCGGGAAAGGAATCTATGAGTTCGGGCAGCAGGGACATATCGATATCTATATCCTCCCCATCAAGAAAGGGCGCCAACGACGAGAAGTCCCGTTTCAGAGGGTCAGCGGCAGCCGGAGCTCTAAATGCGCCGGCGGGAAGATCACCACTCAATCCACCGTTCGAGTCGGACTCGTATGTCATATCCGAGCCGGAGGTGCTGTTGTCTGGGGCAAGGCCTAGGGTGTCAGCTGGCTCGAACTGTGAGGGGGCCATTTTTCCACCGGCTCGCTTGCGCTGGACCATCATATATCTGCAAAGGGGGCGGGCCCGTTAGTCCCAGACGACCTTGTCTGTCCATGTATGCCAGGGACGCGACTGACCTATTTTTGATATCTGTGACCGACCTCCGAGGAAATTCTTTCTCACTGATCACGCGCCACGTACGTCCATATGCCACAACGGCCTCAATAAGGCGTGCATCTTCCGCTGCTGTCCATCCGTCGTGGATGAGAATGGGATCCAGGAAATGATACCATCGCTTCGCACATTCTGCATACTTGGATTAGCAACGGTCCAGTGTGAAAGACGGGGGGGGCACTCACGGTCTGCATGCCGAGTCTGGACATCCTGGGCCACTACCGTCCAGCTAAACCGATACGTGAGCGAGAGTGATCCAAAATGGTCGTTGGCTTGGTTTGGATGGTGAGGGAAGGAAGGGGGAAAGGGAGTGAATGGACCTACGCAAATCCATACTGTTCCACGGCCCTGCGAAGCCGACCGTCCTCATCCGGGCTCCAGACGCCCTTGTTCACATTACCTTCAAGCTTGCTCCAGCGTTTGCGACAGTCCTTGTTGGTCCTGGAACCCAGCCTGGCTGCAATCGCATTCCAATCCTTGACCGATCCCACCGCGTTCACTACCGTGGACACACCTATATAAGCACGATCCTCGGAATCATCACCGAGGGAAGTTGTCTTCATACCTTGTGACATTACCTGTTCTCTCAGAATCCGATCTTCCTCCGCCGTCCAATAGTTGCGTGTCCGGGATGCGGCCTGCATGGCTATCATGGAATGGAATAGTGTAGCGATTACCTTTTCTTGCTTCGCCTGTCTCACATTTCATTCTACTCCCTTCCGGACGTCGAGTTTATAAAGCAAATGTACGCATGGGCCCGTTTCGAGCTGGCCAGCTGGCCGGACCAGTGTAGGGTTCGGAGTCGGGGTTGCACTGCTGACCCACCCCCTTCGTTCGGAGTAAGCATGATCCTACAGAATAACAGCTGGGCTGTGTCTCGGCCATTGGCTGTACGATGATAGGAAGGTGTCGAAGACCATCGAACAACATGGTCGGAGTCACTATGCCAGGATCATGCAGGATGACGAGGATGGGCCTATTCGAAGGGGCGGGGGGGGCTACCTCAGCCCAAGTCCGTTCCGGTGTGTAATATGACGCCCAGTTCCAGGACCTTTGAGGAGTGCCCGTATACCCAAGAATGAAAAGAAAAGAGAGTAACCCCCCCCCCAACAGCGTGCACCTTATCCACCGGGATTAGTCTCAACGTGACACGCATTATTTCCACCCCGGGGCAGCATAAAATCAACATCTAACTGCTTTCTTCAAATCAACTGAGTGATGTAAACACACGTAGTCGTTTAGAATAATCTTGATCGAAGAAAAGCGAGCCCTAACTCCAGTTATCAAGTCTTGCATTGACACGGACGGGAAAATGAGACAATCATGTGATCAGAACCCCTACCAGCTAGTCCCTATCATTAAATCATGTCATTGAACGAGACCCAGGCAAAATAACACCATTCTCATGCCGGGGACAACAATAACTAGCTCTCTATTCTATCACCACCACTCCGGTCCTGTCCTCCCTACCGCTCTCACCCCTTCCAGTGGCTGCCAATCACTTAGCCAGTGCTTCGGCGTTCATGTTAGCAGCCACCCCTAATTTCTCGCCTTCTCTTTCTCTGCAACGTTTGCACTGCTAATGTTGATCAGGATGATGATGAGAATCATTCAATCCTTACTCTTTCCATAAACAGCGACTTCAGATCCGCTTCCATACCCAACCAACCTGCACCACGCGAGCCAGGAGAAAGAAGGTGCTACCCACAAACATCGTGACCCCACAGAAGATTTGTAGGTACAGGTAGCCGCCTCCGTCGCGTGTCACAAGCACGCCGGCAATTGGGTTCCCAGTCAAGGCTGCAAGGCTGATAATAAAGAAATTTGACCCGTTGCGTACGCCGATAGTGCGGATGTCCTTAGTCACCTGGGCCACGATGGCAGGGACCATACTCACGAAGGTACCGCTGGTGAATCCAAACAGTGCTGCAAAGATAATGATAGGCACATTGGAGTCACCGGGGATCCACAGCGCCAGGACGATGATACTGGTGAGATAGGTGGTGACGATCATGACGTTGAAGCGGCCGACCCGGTCTCCGAGCCAGCCTGGAAGGATACGACCCAACACGCTAAGATGGCAGGTTAAATTCCGTCGTAAGCTTTGATGCGAAAAGAAGAGTGGGGGCAGAGGGGGCAACGTACCTGCCAGCATTCAAGATAGACAGAAGATACTCCGACAGGCCATGCGACATGCCGTCATGCTGCGCCTCAAGGATAATGAAATTGGTCGGCAAGAAGACTCCCCAGAAGAAGAAGAAGCTTCCCAATGCAACACAGAGAAATGGTAGCTCCGTGAAAGGAACCAAAAACTGGTTCAGGGCCACTGGCGTAGGCTTCGGAGGTAGTCGCGATCGTATCGTCAAGTTGCTAATGGCCAGCAGGCCCAAAAACAGAAAGGCCACGGCACGCATGGACCAGCCAAAGCCGACCCGGGGAATGAGACGCGCGATCATGATGCTAGGGACATGTCAGCAAGGCGAATGTCTTGATCCGACAGGACACTTACGGCAGGATGACGCCGGCCAGGGAGGCCCCGGCGGCAATGATACCAAAGGCAAAGGCACGCTTCTTGAAGAACCAGGTGCCGATGGGATTCAAACAGCCGTAGAAGAGCGCACTCGCCCCCAGGGCACTGAGGATAGCCTGGGCCAGGAAGAACTGATAATACTTGGACGCCAGGCTGGTCATCATCAGGCCCAGCACGTGGCATACCGTGCCCGCCAACAGCATATATCGCGGGCCAAAGTTGTCGAAGATCTTTCCAAAGACTGGGGCGCCCAAGAACATCATGAAAGTCTCAGTCGAGCTGATCCAGGCAACCGTAGAGGGCGAGTAAGAAGACAGCTGATTCTGTTCGTAGTAGTCTTGGAAGACCCCAATGCAATTGATCCATCCCATGGAGGCAAACATGCAACACCAGGAGCCTACCACAACCGTCCATGCCTGCAGGCCCCCATCGGGAAAGTCCGCCGGATTGGGACCACTGGGCTTGGGGGTCGGGATGTCTTCGGAAGAAGCTCCATTAGCCTGAAGAGCGAGTTCAGAGGATCCACGCTTCTCCAGATCAAGGGTGGTCGAGGACGAGGAGAAAGCGGCTTGCGAATGGCCGGGTGCCGAAGCGGAGTCTGCCATGCTGAGATCCTGTGAGGCGCAGGTTCGGAGAGGTCCAGAGGCTTGTGCAAGCAAAGATTGAAGTGGTTACGTCCCAGAGGACCATGCACGCTCACAACGAGTGCAAGAAACAAAACGATATACCACTGCTGGTCGTGATGCTCTCTTTGTTTGGCAGGGCTGTCTTCGCGCTTTATAGAATGATGGACCATATGCATCGCTGGCTGATCACTCTAGTAGGAAGACCCGAGTAACAGCCCACCGCGGGCCCGAGACCAACTTCCCTGATGGATCGATTAGCTCTCGCCTTGATAGTCCAGTTCACCAATCACAACCCTTTCTAACCACCTACCCCTGGTCCATCCCACCGGGTTCGGGTCCAGCCGTGATTGGTGCCTTGGCCCAATGCGCTGGCATCCCACCGGGCCAACCCCGACTCCGAACCAGAATAGACATGCAAACAGGCCTTAAGTTGACAGTTGGGGTCGAGAGAGTGGCTCAGAAGATGACTTCCTTTAACCCCTCTCCTCTCACCCGGGCTTTTCTTGTAGCTACAACGGTTGTCATCGTCCTCATTGCGTCCCTTGGGCACCATCATTACCATCGGGCGCAGCCTGTTCTCGCTTCTACCACTGCCACTATCAGTCCCTCCACGGCCAGCCCAACCATGTCCAAGGAAATGATGCGCGCCATCGTCATGCACGAGATCGGTGGGCCTGGAGTACTGAAGCTCCAGACGGTCCCCAAACCGATCCCCACCGCCGGCGAAGTGCGCATCCGCGTCAAAGCTTTTGGACTCAACCGATCCGAGCTGTTCACTCGCCAGGGCCATTCTCCCGGGGTGAAATTCCCGCGTGTGCTCGGAATCGAGGCAGCCGGGCTTGTCGACGATGCCGCTCCAGAATCAGGGTTTCACCAGGGGGAGGTAGTCGTCACCGCGATGGGAGGGATGGGACGTACCTTTGATGGAGGATACGCCGAATACACAGTGGTACCCGCGATCCAGGTGCGACGCATCAACACGACCGCTGCATTCGGGCCGGATAGGCCTGTGCCATGGGATCTGCTTGGGGCCCTTCCTGAGCTTATGCAGACAGCGTGGGGATCGTTAGTGACCAGTCTTCAGCTGGGGTCCAACGATCGACTGCTGATACGGGGAGGAACCACCAGCGTAGGTCTGGCCGCTGCAACCCTCGCTCGATCCCAGGGTGTCTCCGTCACTGTGACCACCCGGAACCCAGCGCGCATCGAGTTTTTACGTGGACTCGGCATTGACGACGTCATTATAGACAGCGGGTCGATCCTTTCCGAGGTCCAAAAACGAAGCCCGTTCAGCAAGATCCTCGAGCTGGTCGGAGTCACCACCTTGGAGGACTCCCTGCGATGTGCAGCACCCGGTGGTACCGTCTGCATGACGGGCATTGCGGGCAACAAGTGGACCTTCGACCAGTTCACCCCCATGGCCTCGATTCCGACTTCGGTCAAATTGACCACCTATGCCAGCAGTACGGAAGCCCTCCTAAAAACGCCCCTCGAGGAAATTGCCCGAGACCTGGCTGCGGGGAAGATGCAGTTGCCCATTAAGACCTTTCCGTTCGACGGCATTGTGGAGGCACATCGGTTGATGGAGGAGGGTGCCTTGGCGAAGATCGTCATGTTAATCTAGGATCATTTTGCAGCACACCTAGCCCCATGTAGGTATAGACGATAAAAGTATTAGCAATTTTAGCCCCTTTCTGAATTACCAACCCACGTTGGAAGTACTAAGACGCGTAGAACACCATGAGGCATGAGGGCGTGCGTAATCCAGGCGCTTGAGGTGCGTGCGCGTAATGGCGTAAACGCGTAATCCAGGAAAGTTGGTCCAGCCGGATGGAACAATGGCTATCCCGTGTCACGTGGCTTCCCGCACGCTACGGAGTATCTGAGATCATTCAACTTCAAGCACCGACATACTTGCTATTGCTTGCTGTGAGATACGAGCGAAAGTGTTCTACTCTTAATAGACCCGAGCCGGGATAACAGGAGAGGATGACAGGTGTCAGAACAAGGTCCCGAGCCTTGGATTCCCGGCCCGATCCTCCGCCGCATGCAAGATGGTCTGGTGTAAGACCACTCCAAGAGGATTATTCCTTGCGGGGATCCCACCGGCACCTCAAGATTTCCCCATGAATGAATCTCTAGGAGGCTGATGTCCCCTCAGGAAATGGCGGCTTCATACCGGTATCTACCCTGTGGGCTGGCCGTCCCTCCCGAGCCGCGCGGCTCATCTGGGACTCTGTGATCTTGTTTTTTATAAATCTGCCCATCATGCAGTAAACAATGGGCTGTTCTATCAACAGAGACCTACACCGCTCACTCCTGCAATCATGTCGTTCAACACCCCATCTATGTTAGTCTTCGGACCTCAGTCGTCAACTCCATCCCTAGAATGCCTGGCTCAGCTGCAAAGTGTCCTCGGGTCCGAATCCAAATCCCACCTGCAGTCCCTTCGTGCTGCAGTAGAGAGAGCCTTCACCGTATGGCCCATGTTGCTGGCATCAGATCTCTCCTTGGCCGATCTCCCCGGGGACCAATACATCAAGCAACTTCTCGGCCTGGTTTCAGCTGATATCGACCCAGCTGTCGTCCGCGTGGGCGATCTACCGAGCACCGTCGTGACGCCTTTGACGGTTCTGTTGCATCTCGCCCAATATCTATTGTACGTCGGTTCAGGCTCAGCCCACGGCATATCAACCCATTCCCAAGTTCTAGACCGAGTCCGACTTCAAGGAGGTGTCCAAGGTTTCTGCACGGGCCTGTTGAGTGCAGTTGCGGTTGCAGGAAGCCATGACGAGCAAGAATTGATACACCGGGCCAGCACTGTCCTACGACTGGCCATAGCCATTGGTGCCTGTGTTGACGCAGACGCACACGGCCAATCGTCATCTAAGGAAGCCGGCTGCATAGTAGTCAAGTGGTCAAATGAGGAGGGCAAAGCACAGCTGCTCCGCTCTCTTGCCCAAACTGCAGGGGTACGGGTTCTCTCCTTATCTGTCTCTTGGAATCCCTGTCTTTGATTCAAGTTGCTAATCTGGGCCGGTTTCACAGGCATATATCTCTGTGTACCCCGATGGCAATGCTGCCACCGTCACTGTACCCACCAACGCAATGGCTACCTTATCACAAACCCTCCAGACCCACAATCTGGTGGCCATTCCGCTTGACATGCGTGGACGATTTCATACCACGGAACATGAATCAATTGCTGGTCAATTGAAGCAGTTGTGTGCTATGACTCCCGATCTGCAGCTGCCGCGAGCGTCGGAGCTACTAGTGCCCGTTTTGGGCAATGATGGACAGGCTCTTCCTTGTGATACATTCCTCCACGACCTCCTTATCGATGCAATACTTGTCCAGACGTGCAACTGGCACGCGACGGCGTTGACTGCCGTATCCAATCTTAGCACAGTTACTGCCCACCCATCCTCTCAACTCATTCAGTTTGGAAATATCGATTGCATCCCGCCCTCGGTGCTGCGGACTCTCCCACATACCACCGTATGTCGGATGCCCAAGTCTTTGCTGGAGATCAGTGAGGTGGCTATAGACGCCTCTACTCCTGTTCAACCGCCACTGTCGGAGAACGCGGTGGCCATCGTGGGCATGGCCGGCCGCTTTCCCGGGGCGGATAATCTGGACGATTTTTGGTCGCTGCTCTGTGATGGTGCGTCGCAATGTCAGCAGATGCCAGAGGAGAGGTTTCACCGTCATGGTTTGCGCCGCTCCCCCAATGACAAGCTCGCCTTCTGGGGGAACTTTATCGCCGATATCGACTCATTTGACCACCGGTTCTTTCGCAAATCATCGCGCGAGGCCGCCAGCATGGACCCACAGCAGCGTCTATTTCTGCAGGTGGCTTATGAAGCGCTGGAATCGTCTGAGTACTTTTCCCGTCCCAGGGATCCATCGCAGGATGTGGGCTGCTACGTCGGGGTGTGCTCGTCGGATTACAATGACAACGTAGCAGTGCATGCTCCAAACGCCTTCTCGAGCCTGGGAACGCTGCGTGCATTTCTGACGGGCAAGATCAGTCACTTCTTCGGATGGACAGGGCCATCCATCACCTATGACACCGCCTGTTCCTCCTCTGCCGTGGCCATTCATGCCGCATGCAAAGCTATCCAGACAGGCGAGTGCTCCATGGCGTTGGCCGGGGGTGCCAGTCTGTACACCAGCCCCTTCTTCTACGAGAATTTAGCGGCCGCCTCATTCCTCAGTCCGACGGGTCCCACGAAACCCTTCGATGCGAAGGGAGACGGCTATTGCCGGGGCGAAGGCGTGGCCTTGGTAGTGTTGAAGCCCCTCTCCAGTGCGCAGGCCGATGGAGACCGCATCCTGGGGGTCATCGCCGCCACGGCCATCAATCAGAATGTGAACTCGACCCCCATCACTGTGCCTCATGGCGAGTCACAGGTGCGCCTCTATGAGAAGGTCGCATCCGATGCCGGGATCCATCCCCACGACGTCTCTTACGTGGAGGCTCACGGAACAGGCACGCCGGTCGGCGATCCCATCGAGCTGGCCAGTATCCGTCGGGTCTTCGGGGGCTCCACGCGCAAGAACCCCGTTCATGTTGCCTCGGTCAAGGGCAATATCGGGCACTTAGAAGGCGCCTCGGGGGTCGCATCCTTGATCAAGACCGTGTTGATGATGCGCCATCAAACAATTCCCGTGCAGGCCAACCACACCCAGCTCAACCCCAAAATTCCTCCCTTGGAGCCAGATCATCTCACAATTCCCCAGTCTACACAGCCCTGGAAGGCGCCTATGCACATCGCGTGCATCAACAACTATGGGGCCGCAGGGAGTAACGCAGCCATGATTGTGCGCGCCGCCGTGCCCACCAGGGGTTCCGATCAGTTCCGGGTGCTGCCCAAATACCCCGTTTATCTGGCGGCCAATTCGGCGGCGAGCATGCAGGCCTATGGCCTGTCTTTACTGAAATGCATCCAGACGTGGAGCCGCCAATACGGCGAACGTGACCTTCTAGCCAGTGTTGCCTTCCATTTGGCGCAGCAGCAAAACAAATCCCTGGCCCTAGGCTCCGTCGGCTCCGTGTCTTCCCTGCCCGAGTTGATCAAGTTGCTCGGCGATCCTCAGCCGCAACCGCGAGAGTCGCCAGCTGCCCGGGGGAAGGTAATTCTAGTTTTTGGTGGACAAACTAGCATGCATGTCGGCCTGAACCGACAGGTTTTCGAGGCCTCTCCCCCACTACGACGCCATCTGGACGCCTGCGATTCGGCCCTCCGGGCTCTGAATCTCGGCAGTATCTATCCGGCCATCTTCGACACCCAACCCATCCAAAACCTGGTGCTGCTTCACTCCCTCTTCTTTGCTATCCAGTACGCCTGCGCCCGGGCCTGGATGGATAGCAATGTTCTCCCCGATGCCGTCATCGGCCACAGCTTTGGTCAGCTGACGGCGCTATGTGTCGCCGGTGTCTTATCCCTTGAGGATGGACTTCGGTTGATCACGGGGCGCGCAGCCTTGATGGGCAGTCACTGGGGGTCCGAAGGTGGATCTATGATCTCCCTGCAAGCTTCCTTGGACGTAGTTGCCGGTGTCATGGCCAGTGTCGATGCCCAGCTGGAAATTGCCTGCTACAACGGACCTCAAAGCCATGTCCTTGTTGGGTCTGAGACCGCCATCGACCGCGTGGAGCAGCTGCTCCAGCGAGAGGATAGCCCAGGGTCGCGGATCAAATACAAGCGGTTGGCAGTCACCCATGGCTTCCATTCACGGTTCACCGAGTCGCTGCTCCCTCGCCTCACCGAGTTGTCGAGGTCTTTCACCTTCCATGACTCCAGTTTCCCCGTTGAAACCTGCTCCGAGCACAGCAGCTGGTCGAGCATCACGGCCGATCGCATTGCGGAACATACACGGACGCCGGTCTACTTCGCACAGGCGGTGCGACGATTGGAAGAACGGTTGGGGCCGTGCATTTGGCTGGAGGCAGGCTCCGGGTCGGGGGTAACGGGGATGGTGCGCAATGCCCTGGTTGATCCATCACCACACATCTGCCAGTCCCTCGACCTGCGCGACCCCGCCGGCCTGTCGAACCTGGCCGATACCACCGTGCAATTGTGGAAACAGGGGCTTGACGTGGGATTCTGGCCCTTTGATCGTCGCGACCGCCATCACTATGTGGACCTTCTCTTGCCGTCGTATCAATTTGAGAAACATCGGCACTGGCTAAAATGGCAGCCATCCGGGATGGCCACAGCCGCGGCCCTCTCGGCCTCGGAGACGGGTCCGTTGGATCCCGTTCTCCTGTCTCTGGTTCGGCACCTGGATTCAGACCATCAGGACGCCGAGTTCGCCGTCGATCCTCGCAGCGAGCAATACCGGTCACTAGTGGAAGGGCACGCGGTTCTCGCGCAGCCCCTGTGCCCGGCTCCCTTGTACGTCGACCTAGTCGCACAAGCCGCACTCGCGCTTGCAGGTGACGCGGGCGGAGTACCGAGGGTCGAGAACCTGGAAATCCACGCTCCGCTGGGGGCGGGGGATAGACGCATCCAGCTCGAGCTTCGTCGCATCAACCCCATGACGCCGGCCTGGAAATTTTCCGTCTCCAGCCATCGACCTGCCACCCCGGCCAGCAGGGACCGCCATGCCACGGGAACGGTGCGCCTTGAGCAGGACACTGCCCGCCTGTCGGATGATTACGCTCGCTTCGAGAATCTGTTGGGCCCGGAGCGATACGAGCGGATTCCGCGAGAGCCACAAGCAGAGGCTCTCCAGGGGTCCCAGGTGTACAAGGCCTTTGGCAAGGTGGTAACCTACCGGCCCTACTATAAGGGAGTACGGAGCGTACATGCCTTGGGACGAGAGGTGGTTGGCCGGGTCCAGCTGCCTCAGCTCCCTCTTCCAGGGTCCTCCGATAATGCCACCAAGCCCACGGCTGCCTTGAACCCACGCGCAGTCGACAACTTCATTCAAGTGTCCGGCCTTCACGTCAACTGCCTCACCGATTTGCCGGAGAATGAGGTATATGTCTGCACAAAAGTCGATTGCGTTCAGGCCCGAGATCCGATCGAGGATAACGGTAACTGGCTCGTCTACTCCAGCTATCGCCCTGTGAGTGATAAGCAGCTCGTCAACGATATTTACGTCTGCGACGCGACATCCAAGTCGCTGGTGATGTTCATCTTGGGTGCGCGATTCACTAGAGTCCAAATCTCCAGTCTGGCCCGAGTGCTGTCCCGAGCCAATGATCGATCCTCGTCCTCGCGACCGGTCTCTCCTCCCCCTTCGGCGTCACTGGCACCAATATCCCCTCTACCAATCGTCAGAGGTAATATGCGTCCAAGGAGTTTGAAGGCCACCGACCCAGTTGCGGCTCGAGACCTGGGTGCGGAGCTTCGATCCCTTCTGCAACGGGTTGCCGAAGTGCCGGCCGCGGAAATCCAGGATCAGGCGAGTTTCGACGACTTGGGTATTGATTCCCTCATGGTCACCGAAGTTCTGAGTGAAATTAACAACTCCTTCGCCGTGTCCATCTCAATGGACGAGTTTGCAACCATGACGGATATCAAGGCCATTGTTGTCGCCCTTCACCGGTTGCTCGGAGTTCCAGCCTTTGGCTCGGGATCTGCGACCCCATCGGACACCGACTCAGAGGACGAGATCTTTGATGGGGCACAGTCGTTGACCCCCGGCCCCAGCTCCGGGGCCAGCACGCCCCCCGCGGTCGACGAACCCTGCAAGGGTCCAAGTGTCGTCGACAAGCTGAGCCATCTTTTGGCGGCACATCTGGAGTGTCCTGAGCCTATCTCCCCAAAGGCCAATCTGGCCAACTTGGGGTTGGATTCGTTGCTCTGCATGGAACTGGCAGCCGACATCAAGCAGGACCTTGGGGCAGATGTAGACATGGTCCTTCTCGACCAGCAGTCCACATTCGAGGACCTCATCAAACTGGTCGACCAGGCCCTGCCCGATACTAGTTCATATTTCGGGTCCGTCCGCAGGCCTCAACTCCCAAAGCAAGGAGCAGATACGTATCTGCAGCCCAGCCTAATACCAGCTGCGGGTGCCACGGATGACTCTCTGGTGGGAGCCCAAGCCGCTTTTGAACGCATTCGATTCGACTACGACCAACATGCACAAACGTCTGGTTTCGCCAACTTTTGGACGAGCGTATACCCCACCCAAGCCAGGCTGGTTCTGGGCTACACAGTCGAGGCCTTTGCCCGGTTAGGATGCGATCTGGCCCGCCTTCCGGTTGGTGAGAGCTTGCCATCCATCTCCTACCTGCCCAAGCACAAGCCACTTGTACAACAGCTTTACCGCATTCTTCAAGACGGGCAACTCGTGGCTATGGATGGCTCGACTCTGGTGCGGACCGACCGACCGGTCGATGCCACCCCTACTACTAGGATTTTCGAGCAGCTCCGAAGTCGAGCGCCCCAGCACGCTATGGAGCATCAGCTACTGCATCTGACGGGGTCCCGACTAGCCGAGTGCCTGACCGGGGCGGCGGATCCCTTGGACATCCTCTTCCGATCCAAGGGGAACCGCACCGTGCTGGAGGCGGTCTACGCCAAAGGCCCGATGTACGAAGCCATCTCAGAGCAGCTGTGCAGCTTCATTGATCAAGCCTTCTCCTCGCCTTCCTCCACGGCGGCGCCCTTTGAAATCCTGGAGCTGGGGGCTGGGACTGGAGGCACGACGCGGTATGTGGTCGAGCTCCTGGAACGGCGCGGCATCCCGTTCCACTATACCTTCAGCGACTTGTCCGGATCCCTCGTGGCCGCCGCCCGGCGGAAGTTTGGGGCTCAGCACCCATCCATGCGCTTCCAGGTGGTCGATATCGAAAAGGAGCCCGAGGAGGCGCTGCAGGGCCGGTTCCACGCTATCATCTCTACCAACTGCATCCATGCCACCCGGGATCTGGAACTCTCGACTCGGCATATCCGCCATATGCTACGACCGGACGGATTTGTCGCGCTCGTCGAGTTCACCCGCAACATGTTCTGGTTCGATCTTGTCTTTGGCCTCCTCGACGGATGGTGGCTCTTCTCTGACGGGCGGCCGCACGTTCTCGCATCCGAATGGTTCTGGGATGCCAGCATGCGTCGTGCAGGGTATCAACACGTCTCCTGGACGACCGGTCCCTCGCTCGAAGCACGCACCCTGCGAATCATCGCCGGGTTTAATGCACCCCCCACGGATCCATCCTATGTCCCTGGGCGAGCCCCTAAGGATGCGGAGACCAAGATGGAACTTGTGCGCTACAAGCAGCAGGACGGTGTTTCCCTTTTTGCCGACATTCACTACCCGCCTTCGTGGAAACCTTCGGACCCTCGACCCGTCGGTAAGTCTGTGTCCACGCCGTGTCTCTATTCCCGTCCTCCTGGTCAATGACTGACTGCTCTCGGCATGCAGCTCTCATGATCCACGGAGGGGGACACGTCATGTTGTCTCGCCGAGACATTCGTCCCAAGCAGACGGCGATCCTGCATTCAAAGGGATTTCTGCCAGTTTCTATCGACTACCGCCTCTGTCCGGAGACAACCTTAGTAGAGGGCCCGATGTCTGATGTCTGTGACGCCTTCCTCTGGGCCCGGTCAGTCCTCCCCACCCTCCCACTGCTGTGCCAGGACCTGCGCATCGACGCATCCCGCATCGCTGTGGTAGGCTGGTCCACGGGTGGGCACCTGGCCATGACAACCGCTTTCACCACCCTACAACGCGGACTGGCGCCCCCCACGGCCATAGCGGCTTTTTATTGCCCCACCGACTACGAAGACTCTTGCTGGCAGCATCCTAATTACCCGGAGAACAGCCGCGAGCTGGCGGTCAGGGCTGCGGGCTATGACCTGCTGGAGGGGGTGCATGAGCGCCCGATCACTGGCTACCAGGTACCTGCGAAAAAGCGGGCCGTGGGCGGCTGGATGGCACCGGACGACCCGCGCTCGCGGATTGTCCTACACATGAACTGGAAGGGCCAATGCTTGCCGGTGCTCCTACGCGGGCTGCCGAGGCCCGGTGCTATATCTCCGGAGCAGAGACAGGCTCTCATCGCCCAATCACAGCCCACCAAAGAGGAGGTCCAGGCGATCAGTCCCTATGCGCAGATTTGTCAGGGCCAGTACACCACGCCCACGGTGGTGGTGCATGGAACAGAAGATGATCTGATTCCCTGGGTGCAGAGTCAGCGGACGGTAGAGGCGTTGCAGCAGCGGGAAGTGGATGCAGAACTGCTGCTGGTCAAGGGCAAGATCCATCTCTTTGACCTCTATGCGGATCCCGATGGCACCGGAGGCGAAGCCGTGCACAAGGCTTATGAATTTCTGGCCCGTGAGGTTTTCGGTCGTCCAACTTAATCGGTGCTTTTGTTTTTGTTTTTTTTTTTGTTGTTTTTTTTTCCTCTATGCATAGCTTGTCGTGTTTTTTGATCCAACCGCTCCTGGAAGTTTCACTGTCTGTATTTCTATCCAGACTGAAGTCGGAATACGGAGTACGGAGTACTAGTTGTGTGGCAATAACATCCAGCTGTACTGGGTACCAACTCCAACCGGACAACATTTATATATCGTACTAATTTTCCACGCACAGAAATGAAGCTAGCACACCTCAACTAGTAGTACCCAACACACTAACATTACGAACTCATTATCTATTTAAAACCACATCTATTAAATAGCTGTAATCCAATCGTCCTACCAAGAAATAAAAAAACAATAACTTCGATGATGTTTAGTTGATTGTCCCGAAACCCTTATCCTACCGACCTCAGCTAAGAACGAACCAATCAGAACACTGCTCGGAAACGGCAGCAGCTACTACCTACCACATGCACGTAACGAACTTGCAACAATGCAGAGTTCAGAGAGAAGAAAAGAAAAGGGAAAAAAAGAAAAGAAACTCGTCAGCGACAGGATTCGAACCTGTGTACGCGAACGTATCAGATTTCGAGTCTGACGCCTTAACCACTCGGCCACACTGACTTGTGAGTAAATAAACAATCCGATGTAATGAAGCACCATTGGCTTTCTTGTATAGAGTTCAGAGGAGTATATCGAGATATCGCCATTAGTTGCTATTTGTTTATATATTCTGCAACTTTCCAGAGGAATATCAATAAAGCTATAAGTTGAATATTCCATCTGCAATGAGCGATCATGTGGAGTTTTATCACTCTATCGAATACGAGAAGCGGGTGTAGTCTGAAGTATGAGAGTGTAAGTTAGTCCTGGAAGGAGTTAGTATAGCAGTGCCCTTAGCCATGTTTCGTTGCCGTTTTCTGTCCGGTGTTATCTTCACCTCCTACACTGCCCGGCCTAGTCTTCCGCGTGTCTTCATGATATATATATGTAGTAGGGCGTTGCCAACTAGCATGACAATGATGACATGCAGGGCCGTATCGAGAAGACCCTAGTCATGCCATCATTTCTCCCCAGACATCAGATAGAATGAAGCTCTGTTATTATTTCATGCGAAACTTCGAGGTCCTTGCCGAAACATGATAATGTGCGGAGGTAGTATTCTGATGTCAAGGTTATCGGAGGCGAGATCCAGACTCACTGGCGTGGTCACCAATTCGTCATTACCTGCAAAACGACTTGGAGTTAGCCAAATATAGCATCATGTATTGCCTCGGAGGGGATCTTCCGACTCTGATCCAACGGTTTGCTATTAACGTCACCGCGGGAGTGCAGGAAATGGTTCGGCCGATGTACGGCGAGAGTAAGTGGCCTGAGAAGAAAGTCTAGCAAGTATGGACTGTGAGAAGCACTGGAGGGGAATCTTTGCTGATGAGAACGAGCGATTTGCCCAAGAGATTAGAAGCGTGGTCAGGCCTGTACACCTGCGGATGATTTCTTCTGAGGATAGGGATATCGAGGAAGAGGAGCAATGTACCCCGTTGGGTCTTGATATTTCCTGAGCTGGATTGAGGTGAGAGCTTGCGTGAGTGCTATGCTGTATGAAAACCGAAATAACATTGGTAGGTGTTGTGATCCATGTGCGGCCAAGGAAGCCAGGCACATGATCTTGCTGACATTGTTTGGGATTGACGTGAATGTGAGAGCATCTATGCAATATTTGCAACGAGCCTTAACTAACTGTGTAATCGCCTAGTACCGCAGAAGGACCCAGACATTTATGCAGTAAGCTGCCTTCCCAATATATACCACAGGCCAATGACTCCAACGTTTACCGATCCCAAGACTCCATAACCAGCATGATCGACAACCCAATCTCAATCGAATACACGAGGACCATACTTTCCTCAATGCTGCCCACGCTGAAGCATCCATTGAGGACCCTACCTACCACTCAAACCCCAAACATCCAGGCAAGATACCACACCCGAAAACCCACTCTTCAATAAAATTAGTCAACTGCAACCTACAACTCACACGAGACAGAAACACTCTGCCATCTCCACCACATATTACTACATCTCAAAAAACAAAAATGATATCAATGAACAAAAAATTGAACAAAAAGATCTCCCCGACTGGGAGTCGAACCCAGGTCTCCCGCGCTTGTTCCCGAATGGGATTGACAAGCGGAAATCATGACCGTTAGACCATCGAGGATCTTTGTTGAAGAGCGCTTCAAAATAATACTATAGTAGCTAGGCCTTCCAACATAAGGCCAGAATGAGTGAGTGCTTGGTTACAAAAATGCCAAGCACTAGGTAGACCCCACTGGACCAACTCCATCTTTCTAGAGTAGGTATCTATAGGTACCCTAAATAGACAACGCAACTACATTTACTATGAAACCGAGAAGGATAGCTAGTATTCACTCATATCAAAAGGTCACACTACTAGCATCTGCCATCTACATCACCAGGATCGATAGATACTACTACACTATCTAACTATATCATAGAGCGACCCTCCGGTACCAACCCAATGGATACCCAATCTCATCTCCCTACTTACGTAGTGACATTTGCAAGTTAACTACGGAGTACATGCCAATCAAACTCCCTTGTCTTATCAACAAAGAGAATCCCAATGCAACCAAGAATGAGAATCGCTGGCGAATGTAACCCATATCTAGATTCTACCCGGAACCAAACTCCGTGTCCTCCCGGAACCACCCCGCTCAACCAACAATGATAAATTAACCCTAACAGTGCCGAAAACGGTGAAAGCCCACCAGCAGCCTTATGTAGGTAAACCTCAATAAAAACAACATATCAGATCCTCGATGGTCTAACGGTCATGATTTCCGCTTGTCAATTCCACTCGGAAACAAGCGCGGGAGACCTGGGTTCGACTCCCAGTCGGGGAGATCTTCTTTTTTGCTTTCATTTTTGCCTTTTGGAGGGCCTGACACTGTATTTCAACGTGACTCTCAAAGTTAATCAATGCCTAGGTATCATTATCAAGGCTATGGTATGTATCCAAATGCGGGTTCCAACAGCACAATGCGAATCAAACGGAACCGCCCATGTTCAAGACAACAAAATAAAGGAGACAAGCCTCCCAGAGCAAGCTTTCTAGAGATTCAAGCACACGCACAAGAACATCTCCAAATCGCAGAACAGACCAGCTGAAACACCAACAACTACCCACCAACAATCGCCTAGTTGTCGACCCTGTCATTGACCGCTTCCTTGACCTGCGCCTTCTTGGCCTGTAGCAATGAGCTGACGTAGGCCAGCGACTCCTGCGACAGCACCAAGCTGGTCGTGATAATGGCTTTGCCGCTCGCGACCACTCCGTCTCCTCCACATTTCTTATACTCGGAACCATAGGTATCAAAGACATGACCCTTGAGGTCATAGACAAACCGCACAGGAAAAGAGACGCCATCTTTGATCGTTCCCTTGAGCGTGCTCGTATCCTCCCTGATGAACGGGAACGTTGAGTCGACCTTGCTCAGACCCTTATCTCCGAGGGAATCGGCCTGCGCGACGTATGGGGCAACATAACCGTAAGGCTTTGAGAAGTAAGGAAGAAATGGCTTGGCCAAGCGAGTGTAGCCTTGATCGGCATATTCCAGGGACTTTGCGGCGTACTTATTGGTCTTGAAGACTGTGATGGAGTCGGAAACAATAGGATAGGATGTCAAATGCTATCCAAGCGGTAGGATCAGCGCCCGTCACGGGCGATCGACAGCCAAGCATTAGAATTAGAACAACTCACATCGAGGAATTGAGAATGGACGGCATCCCCGTTTACAGAGTTCTCACCCATAGTGCCGTTTTCTGCGTGCGGCATAAGTTCCTATCGAATAGAAAAAGCATTAACACTAAACACTAGAAGGAAGTGTATGGACTATGGAGGGGTGGGTGGGCGATAAGATAAAACCCTTACCGGATAGTAGTGCGGTAGTCAGGTTGGGTGAGAGAAGCCCTGGGAAAAGAGATGAGGAACAAAGGGCGAGAGGCCAAATAAATAATGGGCCCGTGGCGGAAGGAAAGAAGGATGGAGCAGTCGAAATGATGAAGAATGAAGAAAGGGTGAAGGAAAGGGTATCACCTACCTATGTACGAGGAAAGTCGAAAGGAGCGGTTTTGGATGGACCGGAAGGAGGTGAACCGTAGTTAAATTTAAGGTAAATTCAGTTTGCTCAGAGGTGAGAACACGCCATCAGTCGATCCATGAGGCTTGAGTGATTTGATTTATTTTGTTTTGTGTCCAATTTGATTTATTATTTTCAATTTAGAAATTTATTTATTTTTTATTTTTCTTTCATGATGATTTTGATTGATCAGAAAGAAATTTTATCCCGCTGGCGGAGTTCGTCGCAGGCAGAGAGAGAGCGAGAGAGAGGTAGCAAGCATGTGATAGCGGGCCCGAAGGTGAACAAAGTCGCTTGGGGCCTTTGGAGGGGCAGCCGTTGGTTCCAGGAGGTTTTAGACCCTCGTAGTACGGAGTTAGTCGATTCGTGCTCAATCCGGCGGCTTCATCGTCATTATCATTTCACCTGCAGGGCCTGGAACCCCGGTGATGGCAGGAGGAACGCGACCCAAGATTGAAGGGACTAGGATCATGCGTCGTCCCATTCCGCGCCCTCACTCCGATAGCCCGCATCCGAATCCGCAGCGATGGCAGGCAACTCAAGCAATGGCAGAGCAGCAACAGTACTAAGTACCTAGTAGTACCTACCTAGGCCCAGAGCTGGCAGGTTGAGTTCAGACCCCTCGGAAAGCAGTGTCGAACCAAGCCACCCGCACCTTGCCTACATGATTTCTCTCCCCTTAGTCATGGAGTCATGGTTTTCAACAAGAATCGAATGATTTATGATTTTTGGCTTCGATAACGGCGGCAACGGTTGCGTTGTCGGGGTGGCAAGGGAGACCAAGTCGACCAGATAAGTGGCCGGTATTGGACAGGAAACTAGGGCCATGATTCGGAGCATTGCAGCGAACAACTACTAGTATGATGGAATCCGGAGTTGCGAACAGAGAGAGGCGTTGTTGGTCCTGGAAGGTTTGGCCTTGGTGCATGGGCTGATGGCATGTGATTGCGGGTCGCGGTCGCCCTCGTTGTTTTCTTGTCGGCGGCCGCCGGTTTGCCCTTCCTCTATTCACCTACTAGTCTGCTTTCCCCCGATGATGATGATAATCTGATGAATGTACTTGGGATCCTCCGACCATGCCTAATCCCTTCCCCACGACGACTATTTCAATGAGATTATTGATTATCTACCTACACTTCGTTTTGAAACCGGGTGGCAGAAGGCCTTTCTGAAATCCTTCTTCGTTCCTCCGATAAGACGGAACTCCTCCGTGGTTCGCTTCCGCATCCTTATCAGGGCGCTTGGATACGACTGTCACAAGGAAACCGGTCTCAAACAACCTAACGAGACACCGACTCGGCTGGAGAATAAACGTCGAGGATCAGAACACAGGACGGACTAGGTACTACGGACTACTGTGTGCCCCTTTTGTACCAGACAGGTAACCGCTCTCGTTGATCTCCTGCGGGAGGGGGCAAGCATCGTTGCGCCTGGACCCCGTCTGGGGTTGGCAGCGCCCTGGGAATCTCATCAGTTCCCATCATTTCCCGCCGTCCCTGTGCGTAAGAGATGATGTCTTACAGTCTTAGAATCCAACCTGCTCCGTACATTCCAGGTTAGTATGGCTTGATCCACCCGTCAGTCTCGGCACTAACTACGCCATCCGTCTGGTGGCAGTCCTGCAAGTAGATAGATAGTATGTACAGCTCTTTCACACGACGATTTGGTAAATCCAAGCAAGCTTTGACGGAAATTTGCCCCCCATGTGGTTGTATTCACGAGCTCGCCCTCCAGTTAGGTCCCTTTTAGTGCTGACCATGTGCGTCGTACTTCTGTTCATGCGGCACTGATTGCCATCTAATTTTGTTTGGTTGTCCATCGACTGTAGGTAGGTCAACGCTAGCATACCCGGAGGCCAATCCATAATCCCGGATCCCGGTCGATTTTGGCCTAATTGGAGTGTAACTAATGTAGTGTCTTGGTGCTTACGAGACTCAAGTTTGGTAATTGTTCCGCGGCAAATGCACGTTTGTCTCTGACGCCTGGATGAATGTCAGACCTGTACTTCCCCTCCTCAACACATTTCTCAAATTCCCCAGCAATTGAAACCACCGGTCACTGTCGGTGGCTTTCTGCATCACCTGGCTGCGTATATCATAAGCACCAATACATTCCCTGCTGCCCTGAAGGATCCCCAGCATCCTACAGTCTGTCCGAATTGCAAATACATCCACCCGGCCATTATCTAGGCCGGATCCGAAGGATTGTCGCACTACCGCCAAAGCCCAACGCCTAGACGGCTGCTCCCTCCCTCGGGTAAGGAACAACGTGCACAGATCGCAACCTCTAATTGCACTTCCTCATTTGCGAGGTACATGGGGTCCATGTACCTAGCCAGCGCAAGTACGCGCTACACCTACCTTCCAGGTACCTAGCCCCCGAAGGCCCGAAACCGGACAAGTCCTAACGTCATCTAGACGGAGGGGCAACATCCGTGCGAACATGGCCTCCCTGTAGTAGTGGATGGAACCAAGGTAACAGACCGTTTCTAGTCTCTACTCTCTACAGATAAATGACATAATCCCCGGAGTAGGTCTGGCCTACGTTTCTATGGGTGGGGATAGTTTCTCCTCAACTCCGCTTTTACCCCAGCATGCGGGATAGGCTGGGATTCATGTACGGGGATTATTGGCCGTGCGGGGAGGGAAGCGCAGCTGCGGTGGACGGAAGTCGGTTTCCAACAGGTTTAAAACGGACCCGACACTTCCCTTCTGGCAGAACTAATCAAGGGCTGTAACTGAATAGGTCCATTGAACTCGGATGATTTGATAGGAATCCCAGGGCCGTGCTCGTTGCTTAGATCATTGATCGGGTTGTCGTCGAATTTAGTAGACTGGAATCTCTTTCCCGATTCGACCGGCTGTAGTGGAAGTCCGTTCGTGCAGTAGTAGGTAAGGTGTCGTGATTATAATCAAACACATGGAAAGCCGGGTATTCCTAAACAAAGAAAAGAAATTGAATTTGTTCATATTTTCCTTTTCATTTCGAGACGGACGCCAGATCTGAGTGGCCTCCCTCATGATAAGAAAAATCGGCCAAGTCCTGGACCTGTACATCGACACATTCCCATTCTTATCTCGTGCTATGGTATACTTCACGTGATCCCATGCTTATGAACCGGATGTCTTCGACGCTTTGCTTTTTCCCTTTGCCTCATCTAAGACCTTGCGCGCTCAAACGACAAAACGCCCCATATTATCCCGTTTAGAAACCTGTACAACGTCAGCACGCGACCACCGCATCGAAATGGAGGTGTAAACATACGCAGAGGAGTGAAGAACCATCTGTTCTTGCCGCTGGTGTAGCGGTCCTCAAGAGCCTTCTTGACGTTCTTCTTGGCGTCCTCACGCTGGGAGACCTCCTTGAAGGTCTCGGTGGAGACGGCACCCTTGAGACCCTCGAGCTCGAGAGTGTAGCGGGTGGGCATCAAGTGGTTGTAGTTGACGACCTTGATGAAAGGCTTGATGCGGCTGCGCTTCTCGACAGTCTTCTTACCCATGCGGCGGGTGACCTTGAGGGGGTAGCGCTCGATACCGGCGACGATGGCGTAAGGGAAGGGGTGCGCCTTGGAGCCAGTGTCGTTAGGCTGGACAATGACGACCTGTCATATCGCAAAAGACCCTCGTCAGCACATATCCTGCAGATCCGTCCGTTTCCCATCCAGTCCGTATGTTCATTCTCCTCGCTCGTTTGTCATAGCCCAAGTAGATCGATTCCCATCTCTTCCAAGTCGCGACAAAAACGGCGTCCAACCCATCTCGCCTCCGGATGTATATATATGTATTCCCTCGCCAGAAAATGGAGCAGATCGATGTCGTACCTTCTTACCGGCGTAACGGCCACGGGTGATGATGGCCACACGGCCCACTTTCATGACTATCGCAACATCCTGTCAGCTGGGATCGAAGACGAAAAAAGCAGAGTCGAGGTGATTCGGAATTTCACTAACACTTCATTGTGAAAGTCCCGGTGAGCGGCAGGTCGATGGGGTGGTTGTCGATGTGCTTCGGTCGAGTAAGTGAGGTTCTCCGCGCTCGACGTTCTATTTTTCTGAGTGAAGAGGGCTCAGGGCTTTGTGTGCCAAAATCTCATTGGTCACCTTACCGACAGAAAGCTACTAGCCGCTCTGGGAATGTTTCTCCAAGGGGCTTAGTGCCCGAGTTTCGGGAGGCCGGACAAACTGACCGCCTAGATCGGGTCTTGGCCTTTTGTTTACCGGACAACCACCAATGCATCGGTTGCTATGACGGGCGCCTTGATGTGTACGCCGCACATTGGATCGGGCTTCCGTTGATGCCCCATGAGCTACCGTTCCTCTCAGCCATCAACTCCACTTGGATGTTTGACTGGATCTTATATTAACTGTTCTCCTCTGGAGTCGGCTCTTCCCTCGGTCTTGTCCACCGCCTCGTCGCATTGTTTTTGTCGCCGTCCTAATTTCCCCTCATCTCTCCCTAGCAAGCGCATTTGTATCAGCATTTGATTTTAATTGTCTTTCCTGTTCCTTTTCCTGCGTTGCCGTTCATCCGCTTCCAATTCCCCTCGCCTGCTGCGTTTTTCTAGCTTTGTTTTGACGAATTGACATGCCCTTACGACCCTGACTGCTTTGCTTGTGATGATCATTCCTCTTGCGCATTCCAGATATCCCCCGATCGACTTGCTTTTAGTTTCAACATCGACAGACATACCCAGTTTACTTGTTTAACGACATTTTGAGTTACAATATGCCCGCGCACACTCGTGACGGTTCCCGCGACAGGGAACTAGTCATTAGACATCAGTCGGTGCCAATGTATGTGCGAACTCTATATCTGAGTCCCTCCCCCATCGGCAAGCATAAATCGTACCAGGCTGACCGTGAATCGTGGAAACGAAGGTGGGACAGTTCGGACCCCGAACGGGCACCCCCTCCGCTACCCATGAACCCCGTTGCTACCAGCCCTGTAACCAGAGGAAATGTCTCCCCGGGCATCCAAGCCGTGGCGGCGAATTTCCAAGAAAAGATGCGCGAAAACTCCCCGAGTCCGTATACGACCAATCCCATGCCGCCAAAGTCTCCAGAGAAGTCCCTCATCAAGGGTCAATTCCACAGGCGCATGCAATCTTTACAGAATACAGATGCTCGCAATGAGTTCCTCAATTACCTGGAGAGCCGGTCACCAGAACGGCCTCTCCGCGCATCGACCATGGACCAGAGCCCCAAACAACACGAATTAACGCCGACGAACCCCCCTAGCTCATCAGACTCAAGAGAGAACGAGCATGAGCCGCCCAATCTACTCATTTCCAACCGTTACCTTTCCAGACCAATTCTCGGCGAAAGTACTCCTCCATCTGCAACTATGTTAGCCCTGCAGAATATGCAGCTGCCTACCGAGAGTGAACCACAACCGAAGAGTAACGATGCAGATCCATTTATCGGGCCTCGGCGTCCCGACAATCACAGCTTTGAGTCGCTGTCGACCCAGATCCACAGCCTCACAGACATGACGAGCAATCTTCAGCGCGAGATGGCTCAGCTGAGCCGACGAAGCAAGGATAATGCTACAGACCTGGTCAGCCTCAAAGCTGCAACTAATGCCCGAGATGAAGACATCCGCAAGAGCCTCCGTGAATTGTCCTCCAGCCTAGCTGCAAAGTTCCTTGATCCTGATGCTGCCACAAGGTGGGACTTCAGTACTATCCTGGGTTCTGAGAATGGTATTAACAACAGGGAATCGGATAGTTCTCCGAGTTCGAAGAAAAGCTATTCGGCGCCACGAATGTCAAGTCCTAATCCATTTGCCGCAGCGATGGAACGTGAATTGTGTGGATCACCTACGCCTGTTTCTGATGGTTCCGCCAGCATCGCATTGCTAGAGAAGGTCCTACGAGAGATGGCGACGAAAGAAGGCCAAGAAAAACTCCAGGAACTGGTCGAAGAAATCAAAGCCATGCCCGCCTCCGAAGCTCCCAGAAATGATGAGATTATCACCAAGATGCTTGAAGAGATTCTCGACCATGTGAAAGACGACCCAGGGAGCAAGGCCCTGATACGCTCTCCGGGTGCCGCCGGTGTTCCTCTACAGGGAAATACCGATGCTTCCGATGAGCATATGTATACACCTGACATGGAGCTCATGGATGCTGGAAACGCCCGTGGCCCGGAACGCTCTTTGGTGCTGGCGGATGGCCAAATGGCGGACGAGATGCTCGCGATCATGAAAAGAGTGAAAACTAGTGTCATTGAAGGAGGCGGCATGACGAACGAAGTCAAAGCTCTCGTACGAGAATTGCGGGGAGAGGTTTTAGGGATGGGTCGAAATCTCGCTCGACAAATCGAAGATGTTGAGGCTTCCCGGGCTATAGAAGACCGGCCGGATAGACCTACCCACGAGGAGCTGGCTGGTATGGTCGAAAACAGCCTACATGATCTCAGGGGTCAGCTGGCCTCAATCATCGACGAGAGCAGACGCCACTCATCTTCAATCTCGGAATTCCGAGCCGCCATGGATGGCGCAGAAATATACTCCATTGTCAAGAGGGCTTTGGATGAACTGGATCTGTCTTATCTACGCCCGGAGCCACAGGGTGTGAACATGGAGAAGGAAGAGATCCTGGAAACGGTGAGGGAGGCCTGGGAGACTTACAAGCCAGAGATTGAGTTGCAAAACTTTGGATTGGAACGTGAAGAGATCTTGGAGTGCCTGACCGAAGGGCTCAAAGAGTACAAGCCGCAGCACGAGGAGGCCGTTACCTACGACCAAGTCTTGGCAGCGGTCCAGGCCGGAATGCATAGTTTCGAGCAACCACCTAGTATCACAAAGGATGAGATTGTCCACACAATTCACGAGTGCCTTGCCAATTTCGAACCGCCCGCCCCTCGACCTTTGGAACGCGAACACTTCGACGGCCTCCGGGATGAGATTCTGCAGGCTGTCTCAGAGTCCGTTACATCCCAGAGTGCTCTCACAAGGGAGACTCTGGAGTCTGGACTTGGTCGGGACGAGATTCTGAGCGCACTTTCGGAAGGGCTTGAAGCGCACTTTGCGACGGCCAAGGAAACAGAGCATCCACACATCACCATAGACGACGTTGCCAACGTAATCAATGAAGCATTCATTGCACAGCAATCAGCCGTCAGCACCCATGTTCAGCCAAGCTTTTCCCGCGATGACATTCTTAACGCCATAGCCGAAGGGATGGAAAGCCAGAACTCTGTCACGAGAGAGATCGAACTCAATAGGGATGACCTTATGGAGGCTATTTCGGCCGGGCTGCAAGAGGCCAACGAGGCAAACCAAAGCGTTGGTGAACAGATGCTGGAACGTGTTCAAGAGCAACTAGATGGCATCAAGGAGGAAATGGGCCAGCATTTCTCGGCCAACGAAAGGGACTCGGAGCAGCTGCTTAATGCTGTCAAGGATGGGATCGCTGTTGTACGACAGGAGGTGGAAGGGTACGCTGCGACTGCATCTGAGGCTTCCGGCAAGCACGAAATCATGGACACCGTCAAGGAAGGGTTCCGGCTGTTGCAGGCTGACATGGAGAAGACAATCACGGAGACCGCCATGTCGAACGGCCCTCGTGGTAACCCGGATACGCCAGAGCTTCTTGATGCCATGGAGAAGGAGTTTGAACATCTGCGCCAAACCATGAGCTCCTTGCTGATCCGGAACAACGCACCCAACGAAAAGGACGAAATCCTTGACGCCATTCGCGACATCGCAGAACAGCAAAAGGCCGCGAAGAATGATGAGGTGCTTGCAGCCATTCGTGAAATTTCGGAAAAGGAAACCAGTACTCCTAGTGATGAGATCCTCGCATCGATTCGTGAGATGTTGGAGCAGCACAAGACTATGGACAACGAGGAAATCCTGGCTGCTATTCGCGAAACGTCCGAGCAGCAGAACAACGCAAGTAGCGATGAAATTCTTGCTGCTATTCGTGAACTGTCGGAGAAGCAAAGCAACACACAGAGTGACGAGATTCTGGCTGCTATCCGTGAAATTTCGGAGCAACAGAACAATGCGTATAGCGATGAAATCCTTGCAGCCATTCGTGAAATGTCGGAGCAGCACAAGGCTACGAATAATGATGAAGTGCTTGCTGTTGTGCGCGATATGTCGGAACAGCACAAGAGTACCGAAAGTGATGCAATACTCGGAGCTATTCGTGAAATCTCAGAACAATACAAGCCTACCAACATCGACGATATTACGAACATTATCAAGCAAGAATTTGAAGACCTTCGTCACTCCATGAACACGACCCTGGTCCGCGCAGAACCAACTGAGCCCAAGACCGACAAGGATGAGATTATTGCTGCGCTCCACGAAAGCCTGGAGGCCTTCAAGGACGAGAACAACCAGCCCAAGGAGGGTGGCGATAATGGGGCTTCTACTGGCGAGCTGATGGAAGCCTTGAATGATGGTGTCGGTACAATCCGGGAAGACCTGGCAAAACTGCTCGAAAGACCTGTTGAGATCGACTACTCTGAGCTCCTAGACGAGCTCAAGGAAGGCCTCAGCAGTCTAAAGACAGATCTTGAGATGCTGCGACAAGCCCAGAAAGAGAATGAGGAATACGAGACAACTCGGGGAGGAGAACTTGTACTTGCACGTGATTCCAACGCGGGCAATGATATTGAAGGTCTCAAGGCCCTCATCTCGCAGCTTCAAGTCAAAGTTGAGGCAATCGAGTCCACTCCTCGGGGTGCGGAGGCCCCGGAGGATATGCTGAAAAAAGAGCACCTCGACGAAGTTCTCCTTGGGCTGCACGAACTTCAGAGCTCTGTGACAGGCATTGTTGCTCGTGAGCAGCCTGTGGATGAGACGACAGCCAAGAAGGAGGATACAGACGCCATTGAAACGTTACTTCAGAACACCAAGGCGCAGCTGGATGAGATGACTTTCCCTGCTCCTGATGAGATCGCAAGGGCAGAGCAACTTGAAAGTGTGGAAGGTATCGTCAAGGAGACAAAAGAAGCGATCTCCGAACTTTGCACTCGGTTCGAATCGGAGTGCCCCACCAAGTCCGAAATTGGTACATTGGAGACTTTGATGAAGGATATGTGGATCGCACTCGACGAAATAAAGGGCAAGGGAGCCGAAGAGGAAAATGATGCCGAGAAGTTGGTCAAGGCAGACTTGCAGACCGTCGAAGCCATGATATTCGAGGTCAAAACGCAAGTGGAAGAGCTCAAGCTTCCCGACGTCGAGACTTTGCCAACCAAGACCGAGATCCAAGATCTTACAGCACTGGTGACCGAGTTCCGCGAGAAGGTCGATGCAGACAACGAGATGACAGGGCAAGCATTCGACGCCCGGAAAGTTGAACATGCCGGGCTTGCCGAAAAGATCGGGGAGGCTCGAGCCGTCGTGGAGGGGCTCGGGGACGAACTGAAGAGCAAGCTGGATGGCAGTAATGAAGGTCTCACCGAGCTCAAGCAGCTTCTTGAAGGCCTAGCCGCATCAGCAGAAAGCTTTACAACTGTCGAGAATGTCAACGAGCTCACGGAGCTGATCAACCGGGAGTTCGAGCGCGCCCGAGGCGAACAAGATGCGACCAAGCTCGAGAAGGAAGAGCGGGATGCTGCTGCCATGGTCAAGCATGATGAGACCAGGGCTGCCATCATTGTTGAGTTGGGCTCAAAGATTGACGAGAAGCTTGGCGAAATCGTAGCCAAGTACGAGGAGGCACAGTCCGCCATCGAAACTTCCCTTGAGACCAAATTCTCAGAGAGCGCAGATCGTGATAACGCCCACCTCGAGGCAGTCACTAACACCAAGGCTTTAGCCGAAGACATCAAGCTTGTCATTGGAACCATGGGAAACAGTGTCAACGAGGCTTGTGAGCGTATGTGCGCGGATGCTCAAACTTTCTTTGAAAAGGTCGATGTATCCTACAACAAGATGGAAGAGATGCACAATGAGGTCAAGACCCAGCAGGAGCAGGCTCGCTCGGATCTCGAACGCGCGGCAGCTGCCACTGATCGTGTTGAAAGCCAGCTACACGAGTTCCATCCCCAGGTGCTCGAGTCTATCCATGAGATTCTTTCCATCGTAGGGCAGCACTACGACCACGCCCAGCAATCTGCGCAGGACATCCGAATGGAACTTTCTACGATTCCCTCAGCTATTACCCCATTGCTCCCTGCTTTACCGCCGCCGGAGCCCGAGAAATACGATGATACCCAGGTTCAGGAGAAACTCAACGACATCCTGGATCGTGCGAAGAACAGTCAAGTTCAAGAAACGCTCAACACCCTCGTCGAACGCGTTACGAATAATCAAGTCCACGAGAAACTCGACGAGCTCCTGAGCCAGACTACCAGTACTAATGGTCAGGTCTATGAGAAGTTGAGCGAGCTTTTAGAGCATGCCACCAATTCCAACGGGCCTGTGCATGATAAACTGGATATTCTCATAGACCATGCAACCAACAATGACCAGTCAGTCACGCAGATGATGAAGCTGGACGAGATGCACAAGGATATCATGGATACGTCTCGCAGGATGAACGAGATGTTCGCAGCTCAGACCGCCATGGTGGCCGAAGACAACGAGCGACGACGGAAGGAAGCTGAAGAAGCGGCCATCGCCTTGGAGAGGAGAAACACACAGCGGGAGCAGGTGGAGGCCGAGATCATGACCCTTAAGGAGGAGAAAGATTCTCTGCTGAAGATACTCCAGAGCTTGAAATCCGAAAAGGATGACCTCGCCAAGCAGAACGCGAAGCTTAACAAGGAAGTCGCTGGGTTGGAGATGGCACTTGAGCTCCGACATGAAGAAATGCAAGTTATGGAAGAACGGGCCGATAGCCTTGAAAAACGGATCTTGGAAGGTGTTCTCGACCACGCTCGCAGTGTTCTCTTGAGCCGGCCGAACAGCGTGAAGAAGGGACGCGGATCCCGAGCTCGAGGACCCAGCGCTACCAGCACCGCCAGCACCGCCAAGGAGGCCCGCAACTTGCTTTCGAGCAGCGTTGGGTTAGCGTTGAGAAAGCGCGCGCCGACCGGGTCGCAGGCGGGATCTGTCGCGCCTTCCACCCCCAGCAAGGAACGGCGGATCTTCAGTCTCAGCAATGTGACGGGCAATCGCGGAGCCGGTGACCGGCAAGTGAGTGCTACCAGCGGGTTTGCAAGCCTGAAGCGGAGCCATTCGGTCCGGTCCAACGCTTCCCAGCGGAAGGCGTCCTGGGGAGGCCGGAGTTCGATAGCCAACAAGGAAAACGAGGTGTTTGCGGAGGAAGATGGGGAGGAGAGTGACGCAAGCACGGAGCGGAGGACCAGCTACACGGGAACCTATGCGGACAGCATGATCTATGGTACCAACAGCATGGTCTCCGCCGATCGACGGGTCAGTGCGGCTAGCTCCACCGGGTTGCGTTCCGTCGCGGATGAACGCGAGGGCTCCGATGAGGAGGACGCTCAGACGACCAAGGCAGACGAGGCGGATGAGGACGAGCTGGACCTGGATGAGGAGGGCTCGAAGATGGTGCTCTACGGACAGCACAGTGATAGCGGCCTCGGGCCGGAGGTCACGAGTGCTGCGGCATGAATGTCTAGGAGCACGAGGGGTCCTCGGGAGTAGCAGCATGACCCTCGTTATGAGTTGAGGGCGAGCAGTGTGATAGAGAATGTTCCTTGACATAGACCACCCGCGCACTTGGCCGAGCTGGATGCGGTATTGATAGGATCCTCGGTTCGGGCTTGGGTCCGGGATGGGTTGGATATGGGTTCCTTTCCTTTGTATTTCCTATGTTTTACGACTGATTATGCCTGATGTAACTATTCGATTCAACGAGAGAGAGGATGAATGAAGTTGTGTGCTGAGTTTACAGATTGGTGTTGTAGGACTATAGATGTAGTGGCTGTATTGTGTATACATTGGGAGATAGCTGCCTGAGAAAAAAGGAGAAAGAGGTCACATGGCCATAAGGTCATGCCGGTGGCTGAGTCAGCGAGCATCCCCAACCGAATGGATTGTTTGGGAGGCTCCCGATCTATTCTGGTGATTGCTCATTCGCTCACTCACTTGCTGCAACCCGGTCTGGATGCCTGCCTGCATGCATCGGCTTCTGTTCTTGGCTGGCCGTGGCGAGAGATAAATAGATGCTGGTGCCTGCTCTTGGACCTCACTCTGTGGGTAACCTCCAGGTCTCCACCCGGGCTGGTTTCTAGACCGACTAACCAGCGCCCTACTAGTCTCCGCCGTCCTGCTCCTCCTCGGCTCTCCTCTCCTCCCCCCTGCTCTCCTGTTCTCCTTCTCCCTCTGCCATAGTGGATTCCTTCCCGGTTCTCCCATCCTAATTCCTCTCCGCTCAGTCGGAGGAGCGGTCAACCGGCATGTTGGACCCTTTCCCCCCTCCGCCAGCTTGGCTGCGAGACTTTGTCGAGCCCTGGGCGCTTTATCTCAACGTTCCCGCCCTGACCGAGCATGCTCACGAGGTCGTCATTGCTTTTGTCGGCTACCTGTTCATCCACTTCATCCTCTCCCCCGTTCTGTCCCCGGTGCTTTTTCCCCGTTACTACCCGAAACTCAACCCGCGGACCAAGCTCAACTGGGATGTCCATGTCGTCTCGTTGGTGCAGAGCACCTTCATCAACGCCATGGCCCTTTGGGTCATGTTTGTCGACGATGAGCGGAATTCCATGAGCACCGGTGAGCGTATCTATGGATACACCGGAGCCTGTGGACTGGTCTCCGCCTTCGCTGCCGGATATTTTGTCTACGATCTGATCGTCAGCACTATCTATGTCAAGCTCTTCGGGATCGGAATGCTGTTCCATGGCATTAGCGCCCTGTGGGTGTTCAGTTTCGGATTTGTAAGTCCGGTTTCCCCTGCAGCTGTGTACCGCATCAGCAACTGACGACCCAATCTTTTACTCACAGAGACCATTTGTCAACTTCTACTCTCCCATCTTCATTCTCTACGAGCTCTCCAGCCCCTTTCTCAATATCCACTGGTTCCTCGACAAGGTTAACTTGACCGGTAGCAAGATCCAATGGTACAATGGCATGCTTCTGCTCTTCACTTTCTTCAGCTGCCGTCTCGTCTGGGGCACCTACCAGTCCATCGCCGTCTACCGGGACATGTGGTACGCCCTGAAACAGACCTGGGATGCCACCGCGGCATCCACGCCCCTCGACCCCGTTGACATCACCACTCAAGTCTTCCAACTCCGTGGCGGCTCTGCAGCTGGCCTCGAAATGTCTAAATACGCCCCCTACACCGCTGGCGGCGTCCCCACCTGGCTGGTCCTGACCTACGTGATCTCTAACGTTGTCCTCAACTTCTTGAACTACTTCTGGTTCTCTAAGATGGTCGAGACCGTCCTGAAGCGGTTCCGTGGACCCGCCGAGAAGAGCGGACCGGCAGGCAAGCCGTCGAAGGAGGAGAAAATCCACCATCTGCAGGAGGATATCGCGCAGAAGGTCATCCTTGAAGCCGCTTCCAAGTTGGAACAAGAGGAAGGCAGCCCTTTCCTCGACGGCATTTCTGAGGAGAAGGTCGCCTCGGCGATCGACTCGGGACTTAACGAGGAGCTGAGAAAGAGGAAGGCCAAGTTGTCTTCTTAACTTCTACCTCTTCTGGTTCTAACAGAACCTAGCTACGGACCCACACCACTCCTACACAGAGCAGGAGCCGAAGCAACAGCAGAAAACTATCCCCTTTCTTAACTATCGAACCTACTACTAGAAATCCATGTCCCCTCACGAGAACACACCTAAACCCGGTCGATTGATTGATTGATCACTTCATATCTTTGTCTTCCCTCCCTCCCTCCCCTCATCCCCTGCAACTGACCAGATTAGCACACATATCAGGGGGTACATCTTATATAACGCGATGTTATTGATGTTTAAGCATGCATACTCTTTTTATTACCGAGGAGTTAATCTGGTTAGGAGACCCGGTTTGTTGCTTTGCTTTGCTTTGCTTTGTTTTGTTTGTTTTTTCAGTTACATCTAGATTTCAGCAGTACCTATCAGGAAAATAAACGAGACACGGCAGTACCACTTACTTTGTATGGATATATATGACTCCGTATTGAGTAAACAGATTACTTACTTACCCGTACAGTACGAAGTACAAACCAAAACCAGCCTGAGAGGTGAAGCAAACCAAATCAATCACATTAGAGAACATAAGGGAAGAAAAAAGAAAAGAAAGAAGCCATCCCGAAATGCAAAACCAGGTTAACACCACGTGAGCGCCCACCACGCCCCTAACTATCATATCATACCTAACCTAACTAAGTAGTTGATTCTTTCGCTGCCCTGAACACAAGAACATACACGTACTCACTCCTATGCAGGAAGCATAGGATCTAATCTAGACAAGTTCCTTGGAAGAAAAGCATCTCACCGCCCCATCATCGCCTCCGGCTTAGCAAGCATGTACCGGACCGCTTCCCGAGCAACAGGGGTATCCCAGACGCCGTCGGTGCCGCCGCGACGGAACTCGGGCCCGCTGGCGTCTTCGCCGCCGCCGCGAGTTGCTTCGCCGAGGATGGTCTCCAGGTCCCGACGCTGGGAGTTGATCCAGCGACGGACGAAGGTGGCGGGGTCTTTGCTTAGAGCCGTGTAGAAGGAGTGTCTGGCACGGGAGTGAGTCAGGGCTTGCACGATGAGTGCGACCTGGTCATCGAGAGTGGCGATCTGGCGCATTGAGGCCGTGTATTGTGGGTTCTGGGTGAGGGCAATCATCTTAGAGCGCAGGGGGTCTTCCAGGGCGACCTGGATGTCGTAGACCGTGGGGGTTGGGTCCTTGTGGTACTCTTCGTCGACGCGGATGGTGTAGGGCAGACGGATGGGGTCGATGGGACTGGTGTGGGGGCCGATGCTATCGGGAATTTGAGGGAAGAACATTTGGTCGCGACCGAAGATCTAGATGTTGGTTAGTTGGTTGTGGATGAATGTGAATATGGGTGGATAGGCGTACCGATCGCAGACGATGATCACAGCGCACAAGTCGCTTTTCCTCGTCCTCTTGCAGGCCCATGGCGCGAATGTAGTCCCAGATTCCGAGGACAATTCCACTCCGGGTTTCTTCCTCCACGTCCAGCACCTCCGCCAGCTCCTTGCTCAGCTTGAACCGTTCTGGCGACTCATCGCGCACAAGACTAAAGGTCACGTTTAGATTTTCCTGCGACGCGCGGGTGAACTGCATCGAGTCAAAGTCCGCCGTGGGCGGAAGAGTGACCGTGTTAGGAGGTAATTGCGGCTTGGTCCAGGTGATCGGCTTGACTTCCTCCGGATTGGCCGTGGCGGGCTTATCAAAGTCGACAGTGACAGATTTGAGGAAATGCGAGAAACGCTGCTTAGACCGCTTTGTAGACGACTTCTTTGCATTGGGTCCATCCTCCTCCATCGCGTCACCGTTGCCGTCCTGCTCGGCACCTTCGTCGTCACTGTCGTCCGGGGCGGTCGGGTCGGTGTCGTCGTCCAGAAGACGGCCCTCGATGCGCACCTTGTACCGTCCCGAGCCGGGGTTGCTTCCGGGGGCGGTGCCGTTGGCAGTCTGCCAAGGTTGGTTTTCCACGGTGTTGGAGATCCAGATGCGCATTGTGCGATACTTCTTGACGGTCTTGCTAATCGAGTCTTGGATATCCAGGCGCTTGCGGACGATGGCGGCGTCAAGACGCTTCTCGAGATCGCGGAGGCTCTTGTATTGCTGCACGCCTTCGCCGATGACTACTTCCTCGATGCCATCGGGGATGTTCTTGTCGGTAGGCTTGCGGCTGCGGCGGAGGGCGGCGTCGTTGGGGGGCTGCATGTTGCGCTGAGGTTGGGAGTACTGAGGAGGAATGGCGTGCTGAGGTATCGGGACTGGCATCGGCGCTGTTGGGTGAGTTAGAGAGGGTTAAAGAAGATTGGTCGGAGGTTGTTGGCCAAGGGGTGGGAGGCTCACCTGGTCCTGAAGGTCCGCGACGAGGCGTGGCAGGCGAGCGTTGGGGGGCCTGTGGGGGAACCCCCGGGCGTAGGTGGGCGGGATCGGAGCATTCATGGTTGGTGGGTGATCAGACGGTGAGGCCGCAAGAGAGGGCCAGCGAATTGGGAGATGGGGACGCTGGAGGTGATGAAACAGAACCGCGCTGGGCGGGAGAGATGCTGTGGTTCTGGCGGAGAGTCGCTGCTGCTCGCGATTCTTTCGCCGCGGCCACGCTAGTCCTGTTTCGGCCAGCCCGCAACACCGGCCACCACCAGCTCTATCTACATCATCCACATTGGTCATTTACATTTATAGAGCTTTACAATGTATGTCAGGTCATTGTAATGCTATCTCATTCCAAAGCATAACTCAATCCTCTACCCCATCACTCCAGCTGCGATGCCTGATTAGTGTACAGTTCTTCCACCACATTGCTCAGCTTCTCAATCGTCTCCAACGCAGCATCATACGCCTTGTCCCGCTCCGTCTCGTCGTAGACAATCAGGCACCCGGCACCCTGGTCTAGCACGCCGATAATGACCTTGTCCAGGATCATCTGCGAGAGCTTCCGCTCCACCTGCTGCGTGTCCAACCCGACCATCTTGGCGATGTGGTCCAGCTCCACCCGGCTGAAGGGCTCAATGACCTTGATGAGGTTCTGCTCCAACATGGCATCGTACAGTCTGCGGAGGTGGTTGCGGATGAATGCATCGCTGCCCAGCTCGAACCGGTAGTCCGAAAGGGCCTTTTCGTACTGCTCGAGGGACCGGTTGGCATGTGCACGGGCCACGGCCTTCATGGCCTCGAGTCGCGGGCTAGCATACTTCTGGGCCTGCTTCGAGCCCAGCAAGTTCGTGACATCGTCCACCAGGTTCAACATGATCTTGCACAGCAACATATATTGGAGGGCCGCGGTGGCCTTGTCTCCCTCATCGAGGGAGCTGTACCCCTCCAACGCCTCAATGAAATAGGAAAACGACGTGTTGAAGTCCTTATCCTCTGCGTGTAGCATGCCGCTCTGCATGTCGAGACCGGCCTGCAGATTCGGCGGCGTATAGACGGAAGCTGCTGACGTGCGGGCCGCCGTCAAAGCAGCACGTGCCTTGGCCTGGTTGCCCAGAGCATGGTACACCCGCGACTCCAGCAGCTGTACCTCCACCAGCATGAGCTTGTCGTCCAGGCGCTTGAGCTCGCGGAGGAGGGAGTTGATGAGGGTGAGAGCGTCGTAGTAGGTCTGTTTCTGCATGTAGATGGCCACAAGGCGAGTCTGGAGATTCTGGCGAAGGAAGGACCTCCGCTCTGCGATGGCCCAGTCAATGCATGACTTGATGACGGAGACTTGGATATCGAGGGTGTTCGGGATCTCGCTGAATAGGTCCAGCAGCTGGCGGACTATACAGATGGTGGTCAGCTATCGGTACGTCACCTAGCCTGGTCAACCAACATACCAAGCTTGGCTGTCTTCGCCTTGGCAAATGAGGAGAATGAATCGCGGCTGGTCTTGATGAGTTCGGCGATCTCGTGGGGCTTCTTCTGGTCCCGGTAGAGCTCTCCCAGCGACACCAGAGCGGTCTCGTAATCGCGTGACGACGCCTCGGTCGAGCCGGTACCTTGCGAGAGGAGTTGCTTGAGGATGCTCTCGGCCTTCGAAGGATCATTCTTCGCGAGACCCCGGGCTTCCTCTATCCGTCCAGCGGTCGTCGAAGAGGGTGCCATGACTATCGGCTGTGAGGGTGGGAGAATCTGGAGGGATTGCGGGAAATGGGTTTGGCAGCTGAGAGATGGTCAATGTCAGAGCGAGCCCTCGACACGATGAAGATGAGATGAGAGTATAGTTGGATGATGGCAGACAGGTAGCTTACAGGTTTGGCCATCGTCACTGCGGTTGGAGCTGCAGCTGCCGCCCTCACCGCCCGCGGCTTGGCGAGCCAACCAGAATCGGCGGTACCCGCTCAAGAAAAAAGCGTCTGGAATTTTTATGTTCTATAGTTTTCTTCTCCAGCTTCTTCGAGAGAACCATCGGCGTCATGGTAAGTCGGCCTGCAGTCATCTTCTGTCCCCCACAGTATTTCTAACGAATATTCTAGAAAATCAAAGCTCTTTCTCGTCCTACTTCCTCGCAGCAGGCTCCGGGAACATCTGTCGTTCGACAGCCCCGAAACCTCGACCCGGCGCAGCATCCATTTGAACGGGCTCGTGAATACACCCGCGCTCTCAATGCAACCAAGCTAGAGCGTCTTTTTGCCGCGCCCTTTCTGGGTCAGATGGGCGACGGTCATGTGGACGGTGTGTATACGATGGCCAAGGACCCTGGCTCTTTGCAGCGGTTCGCCAGTGGCAGTGGTGATGGTGTGGTCAAGGTGTGGGATTTGACCACGCAGGGCGAGGTTTGGAACACCCAGGCGCACGACAATATCGTCAAGGGAGTTTGTTGGACCCCGGACCGGAAACTGCTTTCGTGCGCGAGCGACAAGACCATCAAGCTTTTCGACCCGTACAACTCTGAGCCGGAGGCGCCTCCGCTAGCGACCTACCTCGGTCAGGGCGCTTTCACCAGCCTCACACACCACCGGGATCTCCCTTACTTTGCCGCGGCCTCCTCTCAGATCTCTATCTACGATCTTTCTCGTCCTTCCTCTACACCGTCCCAGACCCTTCACTGGCCTACCAACGTGGACACGATCACATCCATCGCTTTCAACCAGACCGAGACCTCCATCCTTGGTTCGACGGGTATTGATCGCTCGATCATCATGTATGACCTCCGGACGTCGTCGCCTCTCCACAAGACGACTCTTCGCCTGGCGTCGAATGCGATTTCGTGGAACCCGATGGAAGCGTTCAACTTTGCCGTGGCCAACGAAGACCACAACGTCTACTTGTTTGATATGCGGAAGATGGACCGCGCGCTAAACGTGCTCAAGGATCACGTTGCCGCCGTGATGGATGTGGACTTTAGTCCCACCGGTGAGGAGCTTGTGACTGCCTCTTACGATCGGACCATCCGTCTGTGGAACCGGTCGACGGGTCATTCCCGCGATATCTACCACACTCAGCGCATGCAACGGTATGTAAATCTCCCTGTTTGATGAGGCGTCGTATTGACTTTATAGTGTCTTCTCCGCCAAATTCACTCCCGACAACAAGTATGTCTTGTCCGGCTCCGACGATGGCAACATTCGACTCTGGCGCTCGAATGCATCCGAGCGCAGCGGAATCAAGAGCGCTCGCCACCGGGCCAAGCTCGAGTACGACCAGGCGCTGATCAAGAGATACTCGCACATGCCGGAAATCAAGAGAATCCGCCGCCAGCGTCACGTGCCGAAGCCGATTATGAAGGCACGCGAGATCAAGCGGGAGGAACTGGGAGCGATCAAGAGACGCGAGGAGAACGTTCGCAGACACACCAAGAAGGAGAACCTGCCCAAGAGACAGAGCGAGCGCGAGAAGATGATCCTGGCGCGGGAGCAATAGATGCTCTACTTCAGATCGGGAAGGCTGCGCTAGACCGAGTAAATTGTCGACTATATACATGGACATTACAGTTATGTATTTTGCAGCTGTTCTGGTCAGTCCTCTTTCACGTGATCTAGCTCGCTCTGCAACTGCCGGCCCGACGAATCCGCGGCTTGTGCTACGGCGCTGTCGATCCCGCTCAGGTATCGCGCCAATCGTTGGACACTCGCCGGTAACACCGCATACCAGTTGACCAGCATGGCAAACGCGGGCAATCTAATCACGCCGCCTCTCCCGCTGTCGACCGCTGAGACAATGGCCTGCGCGACCTGGACCGGTTCCAGGACGGGGGCGAAGAAACGGTTAGGCGTTTTGACGGATTCGAACAGCGGCGTTGCAATCTGGCCCGACTCCACCAAGATCATCTTCACTTTTGCATCATCCCCGGAGACACGGAGTTCCGCCTCCAGCGAGCGATGGAGGGCGCTCAACCCCGCCTTGCTGGCCGAGTAGTCGGCCAGGCCGGCCGCGCACAGCTGCCCGAGCACCGAACTGACCGTGACGATGGTACCTCCATTGGGGGCTTCCAGCATGCGAGGCAAGAAGAGTTGATAGACATTCACGGCGGCGAGGAGATTAGTCTGGATGGTTTTCTGGAAGGCGTGGGACGAGAGTTGACGCAGGGGGAGACCGTTGATGCGTGCTGCAGCGCAATGAATCAACACCGTAGGAGGGCCCAACTAGATCCGTTAGAATCCATCTTCTTCTTCTACTTTTTCTTCTCTCAACCCCCACGTAAACAACCCCCCCTTCAAGAAAAAAAAAAAACAAAAACAAAAAAGAGAAAGACAAAACATACCTCCCTCTCCACCCTCCCCAACACGCTCTCCACCTCCCCCCTATCCCCAACATCACACTTATACGACCCCACCTCCCCCATCCCAATCCCACTCCCATCTCCCAAATCCACCTCAATCAAATCCAAAACCGCAACCCTCACACCCCTAAGAGCATAAATCCTCGCAATCAACAATCCCAACCCACTCGCACCGCCCGTAACAACCACCACTTCATCAGAGAGATCGACGGTCCGGGACGGTCCGTGAGCGAATTGCGCGTTCAGGTGATGAAGGATGTGGAAGGCTGTGAGGAGGAGGGCGTAGATGCTGGTTAGTAGGAAGGAGGGGGAGGTGTAGGGGGTTGCTTGGGCGCGGAGACAGAGGAGCAGGAAGGGGGGGGTTAGCGGGTGGAGGAGGGATTTGGTGAGGGTGGTGAGGAGGAGGTCGAGGGTTAGGATTGGGAAGGTGGTGGTGGTTGTGGATGGCATTGTGGTGGTGGTGGTGGTGGTGGGGATGTTATTGTTGATTGTGGGTGGGTGGGTGCATGGTATGGTTTGGAAGTCAGTGGTGGTTTGGGATGAATGCTGCGTGTGGTATTGTGGTGATTGGGGCTGTGATTGGTTAGTTTGGGCGCTTAGGTGGGATGTGTTTGGGAGATACTAGGACACTAGGTAGGGGGAACTTACTCTTTAGATTTCAGTCGAGAAGGAATGGGGTGGATTGTGGTGTGTTTGGTGTTGATAATCAAGTGTCAAGGTCAACTACTAGTAGTATGGCAGTTGTCAGTTAAGAGTTGAGAGAAGTGAGAGGAGTGAGTGGTGTTGGAGCTCCGATTCAATGTGGGGCGCTGATAGATCCATTCCAGTCCAGCTCAGCCAGTGGAGTACTGCAGAACGCCATGCAGTCTTCCCCTGCTATCTACGGAACAAACACTCCATATCTGTTGGAAAGATAACCCCCGGAATAAGTATATATTATTGGTAACATCATTTCTGTCAGTATACGCAGTTCGGGGAATCGTGCGTGCCATTCATACGAGCCACCGATCCCGTGATAAGAGATAAATATTAGATCTTTGTCAACCATTACTTCCATACATCAATTGATGACCATGCCACCTACTCTTAAACCTCTACAAACCATCCAGAAAGTCCGTCTTCCAGGCAAAGACGCAACCTGGGACATTGCCATCTCCCCCGATTCTCCCGGAATCATCACCTCCGTCACCCCGCACCTCGACCCCAATACCAATGAGTATGCACCTCTCGCCCTCCCCGCCCTGACACACCCCCACATCCACCTGGACAAGGCCTTCATCCACAACTCCCCTGACTACGCACACCTTCTTCCTTCCACCGGCTCATTCGCAGAAGCACTGGCCTTCACCACCGAAGCAAAGCGGTTCTTCACGCGTGATGATCTCCTCCGGCGCGGGGAATGGCTTCTGGCCGGTTCCGTCGCTGCAGGGGTCACGGCCATGAGGGCGTTTGTGGAAGTGGACCATACAGTGAACCTCACCTGTTTGGAAGCCGGAATTTCTCTAAAGGAGAAGTGGAATGAGGCATGTGCGGTGCAAATTGTATCGTTCGCGCAGGATCCGATATTCTCCACGGAGCATGGGGAGGAAAATCGACGGCTCATGGAAGAAGCGGTGCGATGGCCGCAGGTTGATGTGATCGGGACAACCCCGTATGTGGAGGCGACAGCGGAGGCGGCAAAACGGAACATCGAGTGGGCGGTTGAGGCAGCCCTGGAGTGCAACAAGCATGTCGACTTCCATCTTGATTATAATCTAGATGCCGGGAAAGAAGCCCTGGTATGGTTTGTTCTGCACACGCTGAAGGAGAAAGGTTGGACAGCGCACTCGACGGACAAGCGGGTCATGCTGGGACATTGTACCCGACTGACGTTGTTCAGTGATGAGGAATGGGAGCTTCTTTCCAAGGAGATCCGTGACAATCACCTCCCTATTAGCTTTGTTGGGTTACCGACGAGCGATATGTATATGGCGTCGCCGTCATCGAAGAGCAATGACCGACCACGGGGCACACTGCAGATTCTGGAAATGATCAACAAGCACGGTCTGGACGCGGTAATTGGCATCAATAACGTCGGCAATGCGTTCACGCCCTGGGGCTCTGAAGACCCGCTGTCGCTGGCGTGTCTGGGAATGGGAGTCTATCAGGCTGGTACCACAGCAAATGCTGAGCTATTGTATGAGTGCGTGTCGACCAGGGCTCGTGCGGCAATCGGGCTATCGCCCTCAGAGGCTAGTTTGACTTTGACTCAAGGAGATGGCGCAGATATTCTCTTGTTTTATGATGTTGATGATACCGGCTGCAACGTGTCGAGGCCGAGACATGGTGTGGCAGGCATTGTCTGGGACCCGCCAGCGAAGACAAGCAGGGAGGTCGTAGTTGCCGGTCGATTGAAGGCTTCCTCGTGTTCATTATGTCCGAACTCCGCATATCGCTTCGTATAGCGATAAGTCAGAGGAATCCTATTGACGGTGAATGGAAGTGTATTGATCGCTAAGCAAACCTCAAATACCCGAAATAGACACCACCCAGCAATGTATGCTATAAAGAGGTCTAAACGATCTATGACACGCATTTAACACTCGTATACTCAACGCCATAAGGATCAACTAAGTTGATAGGCTATCTCATGAACCCCAGACAGGAACCCTTTCATTCATCTGAGCTCGCACCCGCGCAGGCCCGTGCAACGAATAGCTGAATGTCGGACAGGATGCGTCCTCTCTCATTATGTCCATGTCATCCACATTGAGCGAAAGCCGGAATCCGTTTCCAGCGCGTGGATACAACCGGTGCTCCTGGAACTCATACTCCGAATCGTCATCCGAGACCTCCTCATATCTCCGAGTAGAGGATGATGGTGCGACGCTGGATGCAAAGCCTTCAATTTGATTCACTTCGGTGAAAGCAGACGTGGAATCTCCTGGGTCGCCCGAGACAGATGTGGATGGGGTCGGCACGTCGGAGATAGGCAGACGGAACGCAAACTTCGAGGATTGTTGTTCCCTCATATTCTCAGGAAACACGGGTAAAATTGGGTTACTGTCCGATATATTCATGAGAAGCTCAACGAGAGCTGCGTGCGACAGCCCCGACAGAAAACCTCGTCGCTCATCGGTTGAATATTCCCCGGCACCAACCTCGGCCCTGGGCACTACCAACGGAGGATAAGAAGGACCTCGCAATCCGGTCGTAAGACTAGGATTGCTCCGAACAACGGTTGGTTGGATGATGGAGATCTGGACAGGCCGGCATTCTTGACAGAACCATTCCTTCTCCTTCACGGTGATGACTTCTGCATCAATGGGAGGATCGTGACACAACTGATGCCATGCCGCATTGCACTCGTCGCAGAACACAATCGAATTGCTCAATGGACTATGGCCCCGCTGGCAGTGTAGACAAGTGATGATCGCATCTTTCCCTCGGCGGTGAATACGCTTGCGCTTCCGAGCGACGGCCTGTCCGCGAGCATTATCCGATGCGTCCAGCGAGGTACTATCCTTAGATACCGTAGGAGTAGACGGCGGAGGCACATATAACGACGGCCGATTAACCAGACGGCCGGATTTCGTTTGCGTCGCAGTCGGCGCAACATCGGATTCGTCGGTACTGGAGTCCCCGGCCCTGATGATATCTTCCCCGTCGCTATCATTATTCCGTTTGCGCTTTTTGCCGCGCTTTGTGCCATTCGCTGCGCCTTTCCGTTGGCGTGAGTTAGTTGCTGCTGATTTCTTGGGTTTGGCAGATGGGATTGCCGGGGATGTTTTAGCCGTTGAAGCGGGCTGTGGCTGTACTGGCATTGGCAATTCAGTTGATGTTGGCCTCGCACCATCTGATGGTATCTCTGTTGGCTTCTGAGCGACATTGACTGGAGCAGCGTCCTTGGACGGCACCGGTGCAGACAACTGTGGTGCTGATGCTGTAACAATGGACGGCGTCCCGTTTAACTTTGTAGAAATATTTGTTGAAGCTGGAGACCCAGACTTCTCTGGCACTGCATCGGTTGATAATGGTGCTGTTGGTTTCGCAGCAATATTGGTCGGAGGTGTGAGTTCTGATGGCGCCGGTGCAGACAATTGTGGTCCTGATACTGTAGCATCGGGTTGTGTCCCTGTTGGCTTTGGAGCAATATTGGTAGGAGCTGGAGACCCCGACTGCCCTGGTTCTTCTCTGGCTGGTGATGTGCTTGATGATTCGGCAGCGAAGCTGGGTAAAGCAACAGGCTTGACCGGGTTTCCCTGAGCCGTGGAGGGCTGGGGAACCGCCGGTGGCGCCACATTGTTTGAGTAGACGAACGGGGCCGTAGGCAGTTCGATAATGGTAGAAGACGCCCTCATCTTGCCCGTCCGCCGGGTATTCTGGTTTTCGAGTGTCCGAATAACAGGCGGTGGAGTCCATATGACGAACTTATTATCATCATTTCTCTGCTGCGCTCTGAGATTCTGGGTGACTCGCGCCAGTAACTCGGTGGTAGCTGCAGAGAGTCGCGGGATCTCGACCCTCTTGGAGAGGACAGTGGACGTTCGGGCGGGTTTGGATGGAGGCTGCCCTGAAGAGGAGCCAATGCTGGCGCTAGATGAAGAAGCTGATGGGAACGAAGCTGAGGTGGTGGTGGTACGCAGCGTTCCGTGGGTTGGAGGCGCTGTTTCTATAGACGCCAGGGAGGAAGGAACCCCATTGTGCGATGACATATCCCCAGACTGGATCCCTGAGCACCGCCTCTCCGTATGTTTAGTGGACTTGTTTCGACACTGCACCGGACACTTTACTGTCGCTGGGGGGGCGACAAGAGGAAGTCATCCCAAACGGATCCAGATTTATATAGCATCACGTGATGGGAGGAATCCATCCCCCGCGCGCCCTCGACGGAAGCGCCCTGCCACTGCAATAAGAATGCCCCGGACAACAGCCATGCTTAACATGCATGGCGGATTCAAACTACCTTCTACCTATCTATGCTCATATGATTTGTGCCTCTCCCCAGCGCGGACTATCCGGTAGCCACTGGCCAACTAACCATGTAGGGATTGTTTCTGCATGCGTGAACCTTCGGACCCCGGATCCCCGGCGCAGTTTGGAGTAATCCACCGGGGTGGGTTCACCTAGCTACTATATGATCGGCTTCTATGCTACGACGCCCTCCTGTTTCAACCGCGCAATCTCGTCTTTGCCATACTCGAGCACCTCCCCCAATATCTCGTCCGTATGTTGCCCGAGTGTCGGGGGCGGCGTCCGAATGCCAGGGGTTGCGTGCGAATACTTGATCGGCGTATTCACCAACTTGATGGGACCACAGGTCGGATGTTCGACTTCGGCGACCATTCCCCGTGCTTGCACTGCATATACAATATCAGCGGGTTTTATGAAAGAAACGGGACTCTATTATGTCGGAGGAGGGCTTACCGTGGGAGTGGTTCAGTGTTCCCTGGATATCGTTGACGGCGGCATAAGGCATCCCGCTGCCCTCCAAGATGTCCAACCACTCCTGCGTGGTCTTCTGCCTCACTGTCTCCTCAATCAGGCCGTCGATATCTCCACGATGCTTCACTCGATCACTGTTGGTAACAAATCGGACATCGGTCTTCCATTCGGGGTGTCCCAGTCGATCGCACAACACACCAAATAGCCTGTCATTGCCGCCCCCGAACAGAATATCGCCGTCGAGCGTCTTGTAGCTTCGGTAGGGTACGATCGATGCTGATGGCAGTCAGTCGCTAGTTTTCTACTATAACGCGATCACTCACGGTGTGCAGTTCCCCATCGCCCTGTATCTTTCTGGCCACTAATCAGAGCGGAACTGGCAATGTTCGCCAAGGTTGCAACCTGGCAGTCGCTCAGACACGCATCGATGTGCTGTCCCTTCCCAGTTCTCATCCGCGCAAGCAAGGCGGCCATGATCGCATTCGATGTGTACAGACCGGTCGTCAAATCGGTCACAGCAACGCCCACCTTGACCGGGTCACCCTCCCTGCTGCCTGTGATATGCATTAGACCCATCTCGGCCTCAACCATGACATCGTACCCTGCACGGTTGCTGTATGGCCCGGTCTGACCGTACCCGGTGATACTGGCGTAGATCAGTTTGGGATTGATGGAGCGCAGGGTCTCATAATCCATGTTGTATCTCTTAAGGCTACCAGGGAGGTAGTTCTCGACGAGAACGTCACATTCCTTGGCCAGTCGGTGTAGAATCTCCACTCCGGACTTATGGGCAAAGGATAGACCAATCGATTTTTTGTTGCGATTTACCTATGACGGTCAATTGCTTCCTTGGACTACGATTGTAGCGCATGCAAACCTACTCCAAGATAATAGGCACTCTCCCCCGGGCCCTCCGACCCGTCGGTGTACTTGGCGTACGGCGGACCCCAAGCCCGAGTATCGTCACCGCGCACGGGGTGTTCCACTTTGATAACATCTGCTCTGTTTCGACCACAAATCAGCTCTTGAAGACTTCTAGAAACACCAATGGGGAGAAAAATACCCCAAATCTCCCAAAATCTGTGTACAATATGGCTAGCGGGATGTCAGTACATCCACCCCCATTGTTGTAAGACAGCTCCACCACTCACACCAGCCAAAACTCGGGTCATATCCAAAACTCGCACGCCTTTCAATGGAAAAGTATCATCAGAAACCGTCGACGAGTACCACCGGGGACGATGGATGCTGCTTGCCGGTCGACGGGCGAGACAAGCCCGCTGGAACCTGAATCCAGTCATGCGGTTCATGGCTGAGTAGAACGATTAACATGCGAGACGAGATAAGACGATAATATCAATAATATGAATAGTAAATATGAAAACTCCAATAGAGATAAAATCTATACAAAATGAATGTAATTGCGAACTCAAGCAAAGTCTACTCCGTAGAAGCCCTGGGCTTTCGGGGACAATGCCGAGGAGCTAACAGTAGCAGTAGTAGTAGTAAGTAGTAAGTAGTAGTAAGAATCGCCCCTCAGCCGAGGTCAAGCCGCCCTCCCGCCTGTCTTTCGATCTTCAACCCGCTCGATATCCGCCCGCTTCCACGGTATCGGATCTACACCCTCCTCCTCCTCCTTTTTAATCTTACTAGCACCATGTTCACTGGCCTCGTTGAGAAAATCGGGAGTGAGTTCCTCCTCCTGCGATCCTGATCACATACTTCCTTCCAATTGAGACACTAATTGCCATGCGCGCGTCTCTCTGCAGCGGTCTCGTCCCTCGAGCCCCTCGATACCTCGTCAAGCGGGGGCGGGGGCACATCCTTGACCATCACCGATTGTGAGGAGATCCTTACGGATATTCACCTCGGGGATAGTATTGCTGTGAATGGTATGTATGATTGACTTAAGCAATTGATATCTCTATCCCCTCTACCTCTATTCCATTGATTACCCCTCGTTACCCATGCCCCCTCCCCCCTCCTTCAATCTTGATTTATCATCATCCTCAACCCCCCACCCTCCCAAGACAAAAAAAAAATAGGAATTACAACCAACCAACACAACCAACCCAGGAACCTGCCTCACCGTGACGGCCTTCACGCCCACATCCTTCAAAGTCGGCGTCGCGCCCGAAACCCTCCGCCGAACGAATCTCGGCTCCCTAACCACCAACTCCCCCGTGAATCTTGAGCGCGCTGTGCTAGGCGAAACGCGCATGGGCGGCCACTTTGTGCAAGGACATGTTGACACCATCGCGCAGATCCTCTCCGTGACGCCGGATAGTAATGCGCTGGTGTTCCGGATGCAGCCGCGCGATTTGGGCGTGATGCGGTATATTGTTGAGAAGGGATATGTGACACTGGATGGGGCCAGTTTGACAGTGACGAAGGTGGTGGATGGTGCGGAGGGGTTCTTTGAGGTGATGCTTATTGCGTATACGCAGGAGAAGATTGTTACAGCGAAGAAGAAGGTCGGGGAGTGGGTGAATGTTGAGATTGATATTGTGGGTAAGTATGTGGAGAAGAGTGTGCAGGGGTATTTTGCTGGGACGGGGGCTGGGGGCGATATGAAGATGTTGGAGAAAATGGTGGAGAGGATTGTTGAGGAGAAGTTGAGGAAGTAATTTGTTATTTTATTTTATTTTATCTTTATTTTTTTTACCTCTTACGATTCATGTTGTTGTGTGGATGAATAAGGTTCTATGGTTCTGTGTAGGCAGGATTTGGGTATATTTTGGTACTCCTAACGGTCATGACTGGTCTGGTGAACGCCTCGAGTGACTTCCGGTCATGACTCGCGACGTTCTCATCCAGTCTGCGGAATAACTCAGTCCTCGTTGTCCATGGCCGTCCGGCCTCCAATGCTAATGTGCAGAAAGGAGTCATGTTCGCCATCGCACGGATCATCACGATGATTATAACTAGACTTCACCATTGCAGCTTCATGCGCATTAGCCCCGCTCGACGGCTTGATGGCAGAAGCAAGTAGTGTAGTGGCATGTTGATGTAGCAGCTGGGCTACTGCTTGACACTGGGAATCCGGTTCAAGGTGATGAATTGTGCCCGTTTACTCCTCCATTTCGTCCTCGTCCTCGTCCTCGTCTTCATCCTCATCCTCGCTCTCTTCTTCGTCTTCATCTTCCTGCTCCACATTCTCATCGTCATCAAAATCATCACTGAGCCACTCATCATCGTCCATATCAACATCTTCCTCGTCATCGTCTTCCTCCACCTCCTTCCCTTCGGCCTTGGCTTGGGCCTTGGCTTGCTTCTTCTTCTCAATGTTCTCTTTCTGTTGCTTCTTTCTCTGCTCCTTCTCCTTCTTCTTCTGGTCCCAGTTCTTGTCCAGTTTCTTGACATCATCCTCGGACTTCTTGATGAAATCGTGCCACATCACCCGGCCTTCGCAGAGGCCTTCTTCAACCTTGAGCAGGCGGAGCTTCAGACGAGGGCCCAACTCAACCAGCTTGACCGCCCGCTTCTCGACCTCCGGAGCGTTGCTCAACTTCTTCTGTGCTTTCTCCTTCTCGCCAGCCTTCATGCGCTGCATTTCACGCTTCGACAGGACCTTTCTCGTGGTGCTCTCCGCCACCTCGACCTCTGCATCCGTGTCCATCTCCGTTTCACTGGCAGAGGTATATCCGGCAGCAGACGGGTCCAGCAAGTAATCCGCCGCATCCTCCAGCTTGCCCAGGTTGGGCACAGCGGCGCCCTTCTTCTCCCGGGTCCGGATTTCCTTCGGATCAAGACGGCGAATGCGTTTCGAGACACCCGTCTTCTTCGTGGTGATGGCGTAATGACGGAGGTTCAGGATATACGAGTCTTCTTCCTCGCCTTCGGGAGCGAGTTCACGGTTCAAGAGCATTACACGGCGGATAGAGGAGAGGGGGGTGGCTTGGGGGTTGATCGGCGGGAAGAGGGATTGGAAGATGGTCGTCGTGAGACTCTCCAGACGCTTGGGCACCTTGGAGTCCTCGGTGGCGTTGGGAGAATTGAAATTGTTCATGACCAACAAGGGAGGCGTCTTGTGGTCCTGGCCACCACCTCTCGGACGCTTCAATGCTTTCTCGACATCTCGGCATAGAGAGTAGTTTTCCACCTGGAAGTGCAATGTCGGACCCCGAGGCGTAAGCGCGAGGCGCAAATTCGTGTTTCCTGTCGCCGACTTCGAGAAGAGAAGAAGATGTGTAACTCCAAGGGGACCAGTCATAGTTGTGTAATCCCTCAATCTGTTGGATTTGCGTTCCTGAAGACCAATCCCATCAGCATAATCGACTACAGAACACAGGACACAAAATCACCTTCAGTCTCACAGCCGTGTCCGGCTCCAACATGGTCCGCACATCCTTGACCAACTGGCTCACACTGGAACCAACCTGTGAAGCGCCAACCCGGATAACCATCGACTTGGGAGTCTTGCTCATAGATGCGGCGCCGCCTTTGGCAGCAGCCGTGGCATTTTGCGCGCGCAGATGAGTGCGCTTCTTGGTACGTGCCTTAGCCATGGTGACAAAAGCGTGAGGATGAAAAAAGACCGGGGAACAATCACTCCGGACGGATTTCCCCAACAGGCTGGAGTAGGACAGGACTTTTTTCTGGCCCGAAGAAAAAGTATGGCGGAGCAAAGCCGCGGAGGAGCCCGGATCATCGTTTTTGCGGCGCCCAAAATTATATTTTTCGGGCGATGATGTCGACCACCATCGACTTCAATCCAGTCAATCCACGCAATCATGTCCGCCGTCAAGAAGCGCAAGGTCGCTCGCGAGGCCCCGGCCCCTGCTCCGGCTCCTGCGCCAGCCCCCGTGCCGGAAAGCGATGTCGAAGCCTCCTCTCCAGAGCCCGCTCAGGAAACCCAACGCCCCAAGACATTCCAGGAACTCGGAATCATCGACCAACTATGCGAAGCCTGCGATACTATGGGGTTCAAAAATCCCACGCCGATTCAGTCGGAGGCCATTCCGATCGCGCTACAAGGGAGAGATGTGATCGGTCTCGCTGAGACCGGAAGTGGAAAGACCGCAGCTTTTGCTCTTCCCATCCTACAAGGTACATTACAGTCTTCCAGCACCAACGGGCCGAAGAAAGTAGCAGCTAACACATGTATACAGCCCTGATGGAGAAGCCCCAACCCCTATTTGGCCTCATCCTGGCCCCGACCCGTGAACTCGCCTACCAGATCTCCCAATCCTTCGAGGCCCTAGGATCGACCATCAATGCCCGCTGCGCCGTAATCGTCGGAGGCATGGACATGACCTCTCAGCAGATCGCTCTCGGCAAGAAACCGCACATCATCGTGGCAACCCCTGGTCGACTACTCGACCATCTCGAGAACACCAAGGGTTTCAGCTGCTCCCGACTTCAGTACCTCGTAATGGACGAAGCCGACCGACTCCTGGACATGGACTTCGGTCCCCTCCTCGACAAGATCCTCAAAGTCCTCCCCCGCGAACGCCGCACCTTCCTCTTCTCCGCAACCATGAGCTCCAAAGTCGAGTCTCTACAACGTGCCTCCCTTTCCAATCCTATCCGCGTCGCCGTCTCCACAAGCAAATACCAAACGGTCTCCACCCTCCAGCAATCCTACCTCTTCATTCCTCAAAAGCACAAGGACCTGTACCTGGTCTACCTGTTAAACGAGTTCTCCGGAAAGTCGGCAATTATCTTCTCACGAACCGTGAACGAAACACAACGAATCGCATTCTTGCTTCGTGGATTGGGCTTCGGGGCCATCCCGCTACATGGTCAGCTTTCTCAGTCCGCGCGATTGGGCGCCCTTGGAAAGTTCCGTTCCCGTAGTCGTGATATCCTGGTCGCTACTGATGTGGCTTCTCGTGGTCTGGATATTCCGTCCGTTGATGTCGTTCTGAATTACGACTTGCCGAGTGGTATGTCTATCCAGCTGGCGAACTATGACTAAATTTGAATTACTGACTCTTTGATTAGACTCCCCCAGCTACGTCCACCGTGTTGGACGTACCGCCCGTGCCGGAAAAAGTGGTCTTGCCATCAGTTTTGTGGCCCAGTATGATGTCGAAGTCTGGCTGCGCATTGAAGGCGCCCTGGGCAAGAAGCTCAACGAATACGATTGCCCCAAGGACGAGGTTATGGTACTTGGTGAGAATGTCGCCGAGGCACAGCGGCAGGCCATCATGGAGATGAAGAGTTACAATGAGAAGAAGGGAATTAAAGGAAAGAAATTTGGCAAGCGGTCTCGGGACGAAATGGATCATGAGGAGGGTTAAGATATAAACAGTTGAAGATTAGCCCCTCAGTTTACGAAGTTAATACCCAAAATGATGATTGTTCGCTCACTTGTACGGTGTAGATATTTTCACGGCTATCTATCTAGATGAGTGCATGGTCGACTAGAATAGACACCGGCCAGGCTAACCACACACCTTTTCCAATTGACTTTCCGTCTACCGCTTTAGGAATAGCCTTGTTCTAAAACAAGTAAAATCCTACTGCCTTTGATATATTGACGCCTGAGGCTGTATAACACGCCTCAGGCCGCTAAGATAGAACTCACGCAGGACCCTACATAGAACCATGTAGAAAGACTTATTAGAGCCTCGCGTAGGGTCTTACATAGAGACTCGCGCAAGGACTCATGTAGAGATTTATATAAAGCATGTAGGGTCTCACATAAGACCTTATATAAAGTCTTACGTAGAGACTCGCGTAGGGTCATATAAAAACATACAGAGTATGATATTCTGCCTGGCAGCTTCCTAAAGTGGTAGGCGGAGAGTCAAAAAGGTGTGTGGTTAGCCTGGCCGGTGTGCCTGTAGCGCCCCCTAGAATATGCTCAAGGATTTTGCCGAAAAGTGAATTGGGAAATGGGACACACTCAAATGCAAAATTCTTTGGCTTCAATGCAGATTAAACTAAGTATCATAAATTCATTCATAAAAGTTCCCAGGGCGCTCATGAAGCAAAACAGAGATTTCCTGTTCCCGCAGCTCACATCTCGGCTTTGGCGGAGAAAAGTCGGTTTGCTTTTTGGCAGGCTGGACGAAGAGCAGCCTGGCAATCCAAGAAAGTAGTTGTTCAAGCAGACGGCAATGGGTCCTTAGCACTACCAGCTTCGCGGACAGCATTGGCAACACGGGTAGCAAGGTCATCCGCCTCAGACCGGCTTGCGGCTTCAGCATAGACACGCACCGCGTCTTCTGTGCCACTTGCACGAGCGAAACTTCTTCCCTTGTTGTAACGGGACTGCAGGGACTCAATCTTCGCCTGAAGACCCGGGGGGGACTCGAGCTTACGCTCGGCATCGTAAGCCTTGAAGATCGAACGATCCGCAACCTCCACACGAACGAGTCGCGAGGGAAGGTCGGTGTATGTGGCAAGCCATTCCTTGGGGCTCCATCCCTTGTGGGAAAGGATGGCCTCAACAAGGAGCATGTCAGAGATGGCATCACCGACCGCTTGGTTGATCAGGTCGGTGAGCGCTTGAAGGCACTCGAACGAGCGCTTTTGGGCAGGAGATTGAGGTTCGGTGTTCTTGATGGTCTTCAAGGCGTTCTCGGAGAAGGTAATCGTACCATGGCCGTTGGCCTCAAAGTAGACGCCAACATCGAAGCGCAGGGCCGCATGATGCAGATGCTTAACTCCAGTGTTGGTGCAAACGGAGGGCAGCTTCAGAACCTTTTCGATGTAGTCCGTGCTGGAACCGTTGGCATAAGCAGTCTGGACAACGCCGATCTTGAGCTTCTGCGCAATGCCAGCGCTCCGTGCAAGGTCGCCGATGAAGGATGCCGCAAGGGTGGCAATGCGATCACCATCGAGCAGTCTGAAAGTGTTGCTCTCATCCATGAAGTAGTAAACAATACGATCAGCATCGCCATCCAGCGAGGCACAACGGTCAAGAGCAGCTGCCTTGGAAGATGGCGGGGCTCGTTGCTTCGTCTTCACATAGTCGGCACCACACTAGAAGCAAGTCAGTATGCAGACGGGGAGCATGGCAAAACCATGGGCATCTTACTTCGAAATTCAGGCTATCGGGGTTGATGACATCATCATTAACCACCTTGATATCAAGGCCACCCTCCTCTGCACTGGGCAGGTACTTGATGAGTTCTCTCAGCTTGGGTCCACCAACACCATTTGCGCAATCCACGGTCAACGAGCCCTTGACCTTGACGCCACGCATCACTCTCTTGAAAGCCTCGGCAAGCTTCTCGTAGTAGCCCTGCTCCGTGGGCTCACCATACTCATACTGGGTGCCCAGGGTGTTCTTGCAGCGAACGACATAATGGAGTTGAGGAGTGGTCATGAACTTCAAATCAAGAAACTCGACCTCCGAAGCGGTTAGCGCGGCATTGATGACGGACACAAGACGCGAGCCGGAAGCACGAGTGTCACGAGCGAAGACGACACGAGCTGGGTTTTCCATGCTGACATCGATTTCCTTGATGAGCTCGTCGTAGACATCGCCAACCTTGTCAAGTGGAGCGTTGGCAAGTCTGGTGGCATAACTTTCCCATTCAGCCTACACCGGTGTAAGTTGGTTGACTCGTCGCTTTTCGGGCATTCATTGTTCTAAAAGCTTACCTCCAACATCTCACCCTATTCGATATTAGCCATTTGGTACATCACCGATGATCTTCGAGTTGTTTAGGTCCGCAGCGACTTACCATGGGATCAATCAACTTGACGCCATTGTCCTCCGCGGGATTGTGACTGGCAGTGACCATGACACCGACCCATTGTCCACTAAGCTTTCTGGAGCGAAGGCCTGCAAGCAAGCCAACAGTGAAGACTACCGTGTTGAGAAGGTCACTGGCAATACGTTGATTAGAGTGTGAGCAAAAGGGCGGCCGCGGGGTACTGTGGAGGTGGGGTCGATCCTTCGAGGTGTATATCGCAGGGAGCAACTTACGCCTTCATACGGAACTGCAAGCAAGGGAGGCAATCAGTATATCCCATTTTTAAACTGACAGAGACCCATATCCCTGGACCAAGAACTCACCCCTGCGGTGCCATACTGGAAGACCTTCCCTTCGGGCTTTGCGTACTGCGATGCCGCTTCAGCGATCGCTTTCTTGATAGCCGGGGACGCCATTGTGGCGCAAATTAGACCAAGGGGATATTGAATGGCACCAAAGGACCTTTAGAAAAAGAGGCACAACAAGTCCGGGAAGAGGAAAGTGCAAGGAGAAAATGGTAGGGCCTAAAAAATAGAAGGGAGGGTCAAAAAGCAAGGCCGAGCGAGTGGTAGAAGAGTGGGTGGGTGAGACACGCCCGACCAGCTCAGGTTAGCTCCTGCCCCTGTACTGCCACCACCAGGTCCCGAGCGGTGAGCGGTGAGCAGGGGAGGCACCCGCAACATGGCGATGGCGTGGTGCGATGATGGTGGACACCAGAAGCTGGAGGAAAGGAGTGGAAGGATGACTACTAGATAGTACCTACGGTATGCACATAGATTGACTGACTAAGTGGTAGGGTCTACTAGATCTATCCTTGATATTAGGGTACTACTAAATAGGCCTATTAGTTGGTTGGTTGGTTGGGCGCTGTTGACTCTATTATATAATACAAGCTATCCGGTCACCTGGACAGGGCCAAGGGCCGTGCGATGATGACGATGCATGCCCCCGAGACGGGCTCAATCAGGCTTTCAGCCGTTCTCCTGCCACGTCGTTCTGAATGTCCCGGATGAGAAACCTACCAATTGTCAGTCGTGCACCAATCCCAGCGTCAGTTCACCATAGACTTACAAGTACCACCACGCAGTTGGGATCACAGTTCCCAAATGCCAAAGGCTATGTGCGTCAATCAGCTCGTGCCAGGGGGGGAAGTCCAGTAATTCAAGGCTCATGGCCAAAATAATCCAGACCACAATCATTCCGGGCCAGGCCATCCACTCCTTGCCATACTTGCGATAACGATAGATACTGAAACCCACCCACAGGACATTTTGGGCCATTCCTATCACGATATTTGCAATCATGTTGTAGGTGTAATCCCATGACCAAAAGCTGAGGTAGCATACATGCAAAGTGTAGAGAAGAGCACAAACCGTAGTCAGCAGACGACGCAAAGTCGGTTTGTGTCTAGGCTCCTCTTGGTCCAGGCGGAAGATCCGAATGATCGCAAGATATAGCCCGTACATCACGTTAGCCCCTGCACCAAAATAGTCCAGCTTTTCGGTCAAGGACAGGTCTCTCGTATGGAATAACATGCTGAATGTCCAGCACGCTAAGCCAAAGTATCCGAAAACGATGTAGTAGGACCGTAGCGAGTGCCAAGAGGGTGCAGTTTCGCGAAGTCGTCCGATCCCATACCAATGAGCAAGAAAGTTGAAGAACGAGAACAGAACGGAAAACGGTTCCTGCATCCCAAGGATCCTGCGGAACGGCCATTTACCGTGGAATTGTAATACTGGGTTCAACATCGGAGGATCACGGGCGACTCGGCGGTCCGTCACAACATGTTGGCAGGTATAATCGCATTCGGAAGGACACGTCCACAACATGAGGCGGAGGTGGAAAGCTGATAGCAGATCGGTTAGCAACCTAAATGATAGAAAACGGTGGATAGGAGCTCACGAATAGCCGAATTGCCATCTTGGCAGTTCTCAGCCTGGCAAACCTGTTCGTTTCTTAGCCATTGGCTCTGTTTCGCGGGACCGTTGTAATGGTGTTTGCTGTACCTTGACGCATTCTTTGAAGTCGGGGAGATGATCACCAAGGGAGGCGGTCGACTTTCCAATGAGAGCAGCGAGAAGGAGGAATATAAAGCACCAGTACGTCTTCCTCCTTGCCGTTCCTAAAGCCATGATGTTTTCCGTATTTGTTGTTTGGCGATCAGGCGAGCAAGTGAGCTTCAGGAGTAGTGGAACGCCTCTATTCTAGACAGGCGGCATGTAGCTCCGGCGGGGGGCGGAGTGACATCGCGCGGCAATAACAATAATGATAGTTCTTGGCATTTAGAGCCACTCTTAAAGTAGCTGTCCAAGCTGAACCACCAACTGGTGTAACAGCCATACTGACAATAGCCCTAGCCAAGACGAAGGGCTCCTAGGTCACATGTACAAGTCTAAATTTGGCTTAGCGGGTGGTAGAATCAGCTAACCTTATCTGCGTTTAGCGCTTGTTGCCTTCGAGAGGAGAAATTCCTAAGAGGGCAAAAGTTAAAAAAAAAGAGGACCGCGCTCGAAGGGATCTTTGAGGCGCTCATATCTTTTCTTCATAACATCTCTATATAGTGTTACTCTTTCTCCAATCTTTTCCGTCTGACCCATTTACACTTTCCTCATACATAACTCTTTCAATTCACTTCGCATCCCACCAGACAACTGATCCGTTAATATGTCCGGAGAGGGACAGCAATCCGCAGAGTCTGCTGCAATGACCAGCAGCAGTGCTGATCGCATGGTCGGCATGGACCACGCTGAAGTGCGTTATTTCACGAGGTATGATCAAGACATGAGATCTTTCTTCGCATCTTTCCCGCTGACCAAGACCATAGTTATGATCACCATGGTAAATACTGTCAACGACCCAAGTACCTCAGTTGGATGTGGCTAATCTCGGACCCCGCTTAGGCATCCACGAGGAGATGCTTGTAAGTGAAGTCCTGCCCCAATACCCCTTCTTTCACTAACCACCCACGATCTATATAGAAAGACGATGTTCGCACTAGATCCTACCGTGACTCTATCTACCAGAACCGCCACATTTTCAAGGATAAGGTAGTCCTCGATGTCGGCTGCGGAACCGGTATTCTCAGCATGTATGTGTTCGATTTGGCCGATCCGTCGAGAAACAGGTCACTGATGCCCCTGGTTTGATAGGTTTGCCGCTAAGGCAGGTGCTAAGCATGTTATGGGTGTCGATATGTCGTCGATCATTGAGAAGGCGCGTCAGATCGTTGCTGCCAACGGTTTGTCCGACAAGATCACCCTTCTTCAGGGCAAGATGGAGGAGGTTGTCCTTCCTTACCCCAAGGTTGACATCATCATTTCCGAGTGGATGGGCTATTTCCTCCTCTATGAGAGCATGCTGGACACCGTTCTTTACGCTCGCGACCGTTACCTTGTTCCCGGTGGCAAGATCTTCCCCGATAAGGCCACCATGTACCTGGCTGCTATCGAGGATGGCGAGTACAAAGACGACAAGATCGGATGTAAGCATCCTCGTTTGTCGGACACCGTCTTTTTGCATCTGGAACGCTAATTGGCTACAGTCTGGGACAATGTGTACGGGTTCGATTACAGCCCGATGAAGGAGATTGCCCTTACCGAACCTCTTGTCGATACCGTCGAGATGAAGGCGCTCGTCACAGACCCTTGCCCCATCATCACCCTTGACCTTTACACTGTTACCACGGCCGACTTGGTCTTCAAGGTTCCATTTACGCTACCTGCGAAGCGCAGCGACTTCATCCACGCGGTGATCGCTTGGTTCGATATCGAATTTGGTGCATGCCATAAGCCTATCACCTTCTCTACTGGTCCCCACGCCAAATACACCCACTGGAAGCAAACCGTCTTCTATCTTCGCGATGTTCTGACCGTTGAGGAGGAGGAGGTGGTTTCTGGTGTCTTGGAGAACAAGCCGAATGACAAGAACAAGCGCGATCTCGACATCACCATCTCCTACAAGTTTGAGACCACGGACCAGAACCGTGCCTCCGAGGGCAGCTGCTTCTACAGGATGTGAGTACTTACTTGTCACTGCCACTAGCGGTCGCGTGCTAACCCTGGAAGGTGCTAAACACTTGCGAATCTATTGTTCTTTCGGTTGTTCTGCCGTTCGTCTTGCAGTCGATTTATGTTCAGTCAGTAACATAAGACGGTCCTGCCCTGTGGGCAGCATAGCATACTAACGGAAGTTCGCTCTGTGGATGTCGGGTTGATAAAAGGTTCTTTGACTTCTTTGTTTCTGTCATGCCATTTCTTCTCATCATTTTTCGGCGTTGTTTACGGAAGGCAAGGAAACGGCATTATCAGTTGGCGCGGTACGGAGAGACGGTTTCCATCAGGACGATTATGAAGCTCCTCGAATTTCCCAAGTAGATACCCCGAGTCGACGCTCAGTCTAACACCTCCGACGTTCTCTCTATGCATTACTTAGCTTCAAATCGATTAATTTTACGAAGTTCGACTAACTAATTTGAAGCCTCCGGGGCATCTGAACCACTTTACTGATTGATAAATTCCGGAAAATATCTGTTCTCGTATTAGCCGACTTGCCAAGTCCCATTGATCGTTATTGAATAACAATAATAATGAGGGGTTGTTATATAAGTGTTTCGGCCAAAGCGGCTGATCCGGCATCGAGCCTCGGTTTGGCCGCAGCCCCGCAACGGATTGTACTACCTTGTTGCCTGGGGCTGTTACTCCGCACTGATCTAGCTACCTTACCCAGATAAAGGGGCGTCCTTTGTAAGTTCGTGATCCCCACCATCTTTGCTCTTATTTCGTGATCCTTGGCGTTCCATTGTTATCCTTCCCCAATGTCGACCCCAGGATCTGGTCATGAATTCCCTCGCCAGGAGGTGTCTTGGCAGAAGCGTGACGTCCTGCTTTTTGCAAACAGTATCGGCTGCAAAGCCGATGAACTACACTTCCTCTACGTGGGTTGCATTCGGCATCTCATACCAATTGCCCTTTACTTGACTGATAAAAACATAGGAGCTTCATCCAAACTTCGCGGTTTTTCCCACATATCCTCTTATCCTTCGTATGTACGACGCTTTCTGTTCGACGAAGAGGTACTAATATGGGTTTCCATATAGCGTTCAAACTCACAGACCAAGAAGTGACGGACTTTTATACACGTTCCGGGGGTTCTCCTATTCCTGACGTCCCGAAATTCGACTATCGCCGCGTCGTCGACGGTCAGCGCAAGCTCACCATCATCAAGCCCCTTCCCCCCACCAGTGCGGGCAAGGAGTTTGAGCTGCGCAACAAGGTCATTGGAGTCTACGACAAGGGTAAGCCCGGGACAGTGGTTGAAACAGAACAGACTATAGTGGAAAAGGGAACGGGTGAGGTCTACTCAAGAACTGAAAGTAGCGGTTTCTTTGTTGGTCAAGGTAACTGGGGTGGTCCAAAAGGCAAGGCTATCCATGCGGATCGTTTCATCACCTTCATTTGGTTCAATTGCTGACTCGTTTTGCAGGCCCGAGCAACGTGAACTATCTTCCGCCGGATAACAGAAAGCCAGACGCTGTACATGTAGTTCAAACAACTACGGAGACAGCTCATCTTTATCGGTGAGACTAGTGCTAGCGTAGTGGGAAAGGTGGATCCTCGGATACTGAGTTACTGACACCTTCGGTTACCTAGGCTCAATGGGGACTACAACCCTCTCCATGCTACTCCTGAACCAGGTGAGAAAATGGGCTTTGGGGGTGCCATTATTCATGGCCTCTTCAGTTGGAACTCTGCTGCCCATGGTGTTCTGAGAGAGCTTGGGGGTAGTGATCCGAAGAATCTCAAGGAGATTCAGGCGCGTTTTGCTTCACCGGTTAAGCCTGGTGACAAGCTTATCACTGAGATGTGGAGAATGGGCAGCTCTCAAGGCGGTTACGAAGAAATCAGGTTCGTGACTAAGAATGATAAAGGCAAGGCGGTCCTGAGCAATGGTCGCTGTCTGATGAAGGTCACTGGCCCGAAAAGCAAACTTTGATTGGCCCTGTTGTCTAGTTGTAGATTGTGGAAGAGGAAATTCGTGAAAGAATGTACATGTGCGGATCTTGATGAAATGTAAAGGCAAACATAGCCACGGATATGGAGTTATGGGGATTTATCCGCCAAGGACAAGCTCTGAAATTCTGGATTGCGGCCCGAGGCCGAGATAACGGGTCACACGTGACATGGGACCTAATACGGGGTCTTTGCGGAGAAACAGTGACTCCATCCTCAAGTGTCATCGCTTGGTATATGGTGAGAGGAACCATACATAAAATGGCCAAGCTCTCCTTTCTTAGGGCGCTTATTTCCCTGAAGCATGCTAGGTAAGACCCTCGGGGGTTTCTCGCATGTATCCAGTAGTGGCTGATCGAGGTGCTAGCACATCGCATTGCGTGTCATCACTTACCCGGAGATATGTATTGGTAAGAGGCAGATCAGCGAAGCTATACAGAGCCCTGGGAATCCTGACTTGCGGAACTCATCGGTCATAAAGCCTTACCAGTTATCATTCAATCTTACTCGGCGTCCTGCTCTCCTCCGTGAAATGTCGTCTGATGCAAGAATCGCGCCAGGCTCTTGCTCTGCAGGTAAGAGCGAGGATTCCTGGCCATCGCACATGGAGAACTCTAAGTGGAAGTCACTGAAACTTGGCCATGGGGATCAATACGGGCCCTTGTAAGGATATCAATGGGATAGCTTGGATCACATGCTGATATTAAGTCACAGTGGAACGTTCTGGCTTCGGTAGGCACATAGTACTTCAAGAAGCAGTATCACACATGTGCACAACCACTAACCCATAACTAGGGATAACTGCCAATGCTCCAGATGCATCCATCCTGATACAAGACAACGAATTGTTGATACTTTCGCGGTAGGCAGACAGGATAGTCTCTTGGTTGAGTTTAAATATTGATTGTTCTTCATCGCAGATACCCGAGGACATCAGCATCAAGACTCTCGCTTATGGGTTGAAAGGTGTGGACATAGAATGTAAAGTCAATCTTATCCCACAGTCTTATTTCAGGGGCTGACGTCACAAAGGGACCGACGGACATCATGCCTACTATCCTTTCTCTTGGCTCAGAAGCAATATTTACCATCATGACCCCAGGTTGAACGTGAAACCGACCTTAAAATTCAGGTAGCTCAATCCGAGTTGCAGCGATTGCCCTTGGTATGTCACTAACTTTACTTAGACGGTCCAAAACATACATTCCCAGCAAAGATGAGACATTTCCAACCTTCTCGTATGCCGAAATCATGGCCGACGATGGGGCTCTGCTTGGCTGGCTCGATGCCATAGTAAGTTATGTCTCCATTCCCCGACTGGGATCGCCTGCTTATGCTGCGGAGTACGAGTGGGGGTTTTCCTTTGTTAAAAAAGTTCCTGTCGACCCGGAATCAACCGAAGGCCTCATCAAGAGGATTGCTTTCATTAGAAACACCCATTACGGTAAGACCTCAGGCCTAGGATTTTCCGTGTGGCCATTCTAATCCTTCTCTGTCGATATGAAGGTGGATTCTGGGATTTCACCGCCGACTTGACCTTCAAGGATACCGCCTATACGACAGAATTCCTCGGTGCACATACAGACAACACATATTTTACCGATCCTGCGAGACTCCAACTCTTTCACCTTCTATCCCATACCGATGGTGATGGCGGAGCTAGCCTACTTGTAGATGGTTTCCGGGCCGCTTCCATTTTGCGTGACGAGCACCCGCAGGACATCTCAGTATTGGCATCAGTGAGACAACCTTACCACTCGAGCGGCAACGAGGAGACATGCATACAACCTGCAGAGCAAGCCCCGGTCCTTAAGAGTCACGGTCAGCTAAACCGGCTGTATCAGGTTCGCTGGAACAACTATGACCGGGCAGCCAAGAGTGACTGGAATTGCGAAGAACAGTCTGAATGGTACACTGCGGCACGACACTGGAACGAAATCATAAGTCGCAAAGACATGGAGATCTGGACACAGCTTGAACCAGGAACGGCTCTCAGTAAGTGTCTGCGGGTAATATCACTGGCGAATCCGAGCTGATCTTTCATAAGTTTTCGACAATTGGAGAATGCTTCACGGCCGCTCGGAATTTACGGGAAAGCGCAGGATGTGCGGTGGCTATGGTGAGTACCCGGTTGCTTCTTCCTTCTAAGACTGCCTGGGCCGGCTTTAATTGCCGGGATTTTATATTATATTGGTTTTGAGGAACAAGTATACTGACTCTAACCAGTCAACAACGATGACTTCATTTCGCGGTACCGTCTTCTCAGGTTCGGCCGCGAACAGGTCCTGAGAAACATCGGCAATGCTCGTCCGGAACAGGATAACCCGAACTTTTACATCTAGTCAATCGTTTCGTATGGGTGGTGTGCCCAGGCGGGTGGGATGCCTCCGATTTGACATCAGGGAATGGTTCTCATGTACATATGGTAGACATCAGTTAAAAGAAGCTCTTTGGGCGTAGTGGTTGGTGCGCCGGCCTATTTGTAATAGATCACGTGATGCAGGCCGGGCAGCTGACGTTGTTTGGCCGGAGCTCAGAGCATCACGACTCCAACACAGCTTAAGTTCCCTAACCATCATCACCTTCGACCAACCACTTTTACCCTCCGATTCGAATACCTTCTTCTTTCCCTAACCTTTTTATTCCTTATACGACCACACTCCATCTGTCACCATGTCCACCTTGGAAGATCTCGACGACCTTGAACGTGAGCAGAGAGACAAGAAGGACCAGGGGAATGGCGACGGTGACGGCAGGATGCCCGAAGGTGAAGGGGATGCTGAGATGAAAGACGCCGATTCCAAGAAGGACGAGGCTAGTGGACTCTTGGACGAGGAGATCCTTGGCTCAAGCACAGCGGACATCGTCAAGCGACGGCGGATGCTGGAGAATGAGCTGCGTATAATGAAGAGCGAATACCAGCGGCTGACCCACGAGCAAAACACGATGAGAGAGAAGGTCAAGGATAACCAAGAGAAGATTGAGAACAACCGGTAAGCTCCGAGTCCGGCTGCCTTCGGTCCGCCGGCGTCTGCTCGACGCAGTGGCAAGGCATAACCCTGGTCATGCGCTGACTGTCTGCCTGATAGGCAATTACCTTACCTTGTCGGGAATGTCGTCGAGTTGCTGGATCTGGATGTCGAAGCTGAGGCTGCCGAGGAGGGAGCCAACATCGACCTTGATGCTACCCGGGTGGGCAAGTCGGCTGTCATCAAGACGTCGACCCGTCAGACGATTTACCTCCCGCTTATTGGTCTAGTAGACCACGAGAAGCTCAAGCCTGGCGATCTGATCGGTGTCAACAAGGATTCATACCTGGTCCTGGATACGCTACCCGCTGAGTACGACAACCGTGTTAAGGCCATGGAGGTCGACGAGAAGCCGACGGAGAAATACACCGACATCGGCGGCTTGGACAAACAGATTGAGGAGATTGTGGAGGCTATCGTGTGGCCCATGAAGGAGGCTGACAGGTTTAAGAAGCTTGGTATCAAAGCACCGAAAGGTATGTAATTGTTCGATTCTCCATCCTAGCATGGACGCTCTGACACACGCCTTTCTAGGTGCTCTGATGTATGGCCCTCCCGGTACGGGTAAAACCCTCCTCGCCCGAGCCTGTGCGGCAGAGACAAATGCCACATTCCTTAAGCTTGCCGGTCCGCAGCTGGTGCAGATGTTCATTGGTGACGGTGCCAAGCTCGTCCGCGACTGCTTCGCCCTTGCCAAAGAGAAGGCGCCCTCCATCATTTTCATCGACGAGCTGGATGCGGTCGGTACAAAGCGGTTCGACTCCGAGAAGTCTGGTGATCGAGAAGTGCAACGAACCATGCTTGAGCTTCTCAACCAGCTCGACGGGTTTGCATCAGACGATCGGATCAAGGTCCTCGCGGCCACGAATCGTGTTGATGTCCTCGATCCAGCCCTGCTCCGTTCCGGCCGTCTGGACCGCAAGATCGAGTTTCCCCTGCCCAACGAGGAGGCGAGAGCCAACATCCTGCAAATCCACTCCCGCAAAATGGCTGTGGATGACCGGGTTAACTGGGCGGAACTGGCACGCAGTACCGATGAATTTGGTGGTGCTCAGCTGAAGGCCGTGTGTGTGGAGGCGGGTATGATTGCGCTCCGGAAAGGCATGAGCAAAGTAGGCCACGAAAACTACGTCGATGCCATTTCGGAAGTACAGGCAAAGAAGAAGGACACCAACATGGGGATCTATGTCTAACTTGGCCATCGTCATGATTCTTGCAGGATGGCCCTCCGCTCTGTACTCTGAGCTATCCTCATGCTATGTATGTACGTCTACCGGGGCTTGAGGGGTGCTATTCACTATTTCTCCTGAGCCTAAGATGCTATTACCTGTCCTATTCTGCTCGGATCGACGCCACATAGATGAGTCGTAATGATAGTTTCGAAAGAAGAGGGTTTCATTAATGTTCCATGTGGATATTGTAACGGGTGGGTTATGCCGCATGCGGCCCGTGTAGAATTGTCACCGGTCAGGTGATGACCCCGCCATGCATTCAAGCAATTCCTCCCTTCGCGTCTGATCATGGATGATCGATGGACCCACCACCGCATGTCCTTACCTCTGTCGTTTTAATTTGGAGTATACCCTTTCTTATTTCTCCAAAGTACGGATAGGGAAGAGAAATTCAACGAAAAGTGAAAAGAAAACCCCCGAAGTGGAAAAAAAAGGAAACTCCATGATGGATCAAGTCGTTCCCATTCGACTCAATCTTCCCTTCCAGCATTCAAATCCACTTACAGGCATTCTCATATGATTCACAAAATATAGAGAGAGATAAAAGAGGCCGTACAACAAGCGCTAGATACACAGAAATTGCCTGATTAATAGTACAGTTACGTGTCAACTGACCTGCAAACAGAGCTGGGACTTATTAAAATATAAGGCCATGTATCCTTGTCAAACTCGAACCGAGACGAGTTCAGAAAACCACGGCGTGGCATGAGCAGACAAGTCCGCAAGAAGCGTCGGATCAACCGTTTTCAATGTAACCAATGAGTGTTTGAGACCACAGGGATATGGCATTTATGCATTCAACGACTGGGAACGGGGCCATGGCGCCAACTCTACCCGGCTTGCAATGACACACCCCTGCAGGCAGAAGATAACGACACGATCTTGCAATGCGACAGCGACGTGTGTGGTCCAAAATACCAAGACCCATACTATGGGACTAGCCCTGTCAACGGGAAACGGATTCTTTCCCCCAGTGACAGACGGGGCAGGAGTGGCTTCGGGAAATCCCAGGTATACAGCCGTCATTCTGAAGAATCTGAGTTGTGCGAGAAAGTCCGCAGAGACGAATAGCCTATTCAGCTATCTAGGTTACCTGACACAACGAAGGACTGGTCTTAATATGGAGGAGAGCCATGTTGCACGGACGATCGTGATTCACCGACCAGCTATATACAGATAGGCTATCAGGTGAATTGTATTTTACTGATCATGATGAATATTGGCACTAGGGATCCTGGGTCGTTATCGGCCGTCAACCATCTAATGCACTGGGTGGATCTTCCAAGAATTTAGATGCCCCATGAGCTGACACTTCTTGCGGTACAAGACTCGCAACTTGTGACAGGGTCAACTCACGGCCATGGAAGTTTCTTTTCAAACCTAATGAATTCGGCTCGATTTCACTACCTTACTCTAGCCGGTTGTGCCTTTTCACTAGGTACAACGCGCCCCGGGCGTCGAGAGCACAACAGATACGACATCTATTGCGTCAGACTATGATTTTGTGGGGCTTGAATGTTCATCCCTAGTCTTCCTGGATCCGCCGTTACGGTGTTCTTGCTTTTGCTGAACCCGGGGGGTAAGGGGGCGCTGTCGCGTACCTCGTATGGGGTACTCTGCAAACCATCATCCCTGTCGAAACTCGGTTGCAAAGTGCTACCTAGTTGCATGGCCAATGATTACTACCTGATCTGTGTCGTTGGTCGTAAGTCGCTCTCCCGAATCGCCCCGGTGATCACGGCGAGGTCTTTCCTGCTTACTCCGGCACGGTTTTCGAATGCGTTGTTTCTCTGACAAACAGCTTTATGTAAAACAGTGGAAGTTGGAATGAAATGGGCGCATCTCCTAATGGCCGTCTGTGACTCATGTCACCGTATAGCGACATTTTTTCTTAAAGGCTATTGGGGGATTAAGCCCAATAACATGCACGCTACTTGGCTGAGTATGCCCAATAGGAGGTCTGGGAAAGTCCAGGCCACGGGCAGCATTTCAGGACGGCCGGACCCTTTGATGATGTCATGATATATTGACCATACGCATTGAGAACGATTGGGCATCCAGAAAGATAGCCTTGGTACGATGCACGTCCAGTTGGAATGGATGAGGGAGAAGAGGCAAGGGGCAGTCTAAGCGACGCACTCCGGTAGGTCAGTTATGCTTCACGTCCAGTGCTGCCCATCTTCAACAACGAAGAACAGACGGGCCCCTTCTAGCCGATGTTGGAGCCCACGCTGACTACATGTCAGGTCGGAATGTCAGATCCCAGTGGACGCTCCGCCCCTGATTCTGAGAATTGATCGCCTTCATTGGTCGTTGGAGGTGGCGGACCATGCAACCACCCACCGTGAATGCTCCGTACTTGCCTGCCTGCTGCTTTGAGCTTCATTATTATCCCTGGGCTATGATGCATCGGCCAAGACCTGGAAACCGAATTATTTGACATGGATTCCTTCCCTTGAGAAAAGTCTCCAGCTCAGAGATCCATAATCAAGATTGAAATCATCAACTGGTGTGCCTCCATCTTACGCTCCCCGCTAGAACATTACCCTACTTGCCTCCGCTGATCGGCAAAAGACTTCTAGTCATGCTAAGTCATTAGGGTGTTTTACTGGATAGACCACGTTGCTGGCTCCCAGTCCTATGATGGAGAGAGACCCTATCAACTCCTTCGGTCGGGGGTAAGAAAAGTCTTCCCAGCTGACAAACGCTCAACCGAGACATGGTGTAACATAGGCCAAGCCTAAGACAGCTTTGCGGCAAGAAGGGGTGATCAAGCTACGAATGACAAGATGCCGAGCATGATCCATCTCAGGAGAGGTCACTTCAACCTGATCACCTCTAGAAATGAAATGAAAACAGGACCAGTTGTGTGAGACAATCGGCGGAAAGGTCCGGCTTCCAGTGACCGGCAGCACCCACTTTTAGGCCCTGTATTGATGCCAACGCATCCAGCCTCGGACTCACCTGGTGAAGCACGGTGCCGAAGGAAAGCGGAGGAAGCGCAACTCCAAGCCCATACTTTGCCCCCGCCCCCGCGCAGCCTAATTTATAAATGCAATCTGCCTCTGATCAAAACTCACGGTCTCATATATCCATTCGCAATGGAACAAGCTTCTGACATGACCAATCTTTTTCCCGACAACGAAATGTCCCCTGTCGATAAGGGCAAGTCCCCTGTTGGCAAGGGCCAGACTTCAAGAGTCTCCGAGCCCGGGCCATCATGTCGGCATCCGCATTCGTCGGAGGCTGAAGCCACAACGTGTGCTGGCTCACATTCATCTACTGGATGTCTAGATTGCCGACGTCCTTACCCACATGGTTTCACCCCCCCCGCTGGCATGTCCATCATGTCACCGGCCTTATTCTGATGAGGAGAGCTCATGCAACCCCTCTGCTCCTCCGAAGGATGACCCATCCGCTCCGCCCGAACCACCAAATGAGGTTCAAATCGACCCTCATACTCCATCACATCGCTTCTTATATTTTTTCGAGTCCGAGACATACGTCTATTTTCTTATATGGATTATGCAAACCATAAAGGAGTTTCGTGATTCCCGGGTGGTAATCGTGGGGCAGGTTGCACGCCAATACCATCTAGATGCTGGTGTAATTGAGGTATGTCCCTTTGTGATATCCCACGGGCGGATAGATAGCTTACTCAATACAAAAGAAGGTTGAACTTGTTGTTCAGTCGGAGCAAGCACCGGCAACACTTAGAATCGCTCTGCTCAATGCGCGAAAAGGACTCTTTACACCCCTCCGCAAGAATTCTGTCAATAATGACGCTGACCTCTAGATGAGGTTCTTGGGCGGAGCTGTCGGTATAAAGATCCACACTTTTCCCGTTGGAGGTCCACTGCCGCCAACGGTTGATGACGAAAGAATCTATCGTTTCGCCCTACGACGCACCAGTCAAACCCTTGGAGACCTCCTCCCGCATTCACTACCAATGCTCCCGCTGCCCCTTCTTATTCTGAAGGCGGCCAACGATTGCCGAAGAACAGGGCCAGATGATGCAGAGCTCGTGTGGACCTTGGCCCAGAAGCTTGATAGGAAACATCGGTGGCAGGATTGGCAGCTCTATGGGTTGAAGGATAACCTTGGAAAGCTCGTGGGGGCAGACCCCGGGAAGGCCAAGAAAAGGACACGGGACGAGTGGGTGGAAGCCCTCCGTTTGGAAGAGCAAACTGGTCAGTGATGTTAACTAGTTGTTTTGATTGACATGTGCCCTACGCCTAAAGGATGGTCTGTGTCTAGTACTAAGATTGATGATATTGGATACTGAAGCTACAAATAAAATCCCCCCCTTCCGAGCCTCTACTCCACTCGCCTAGACCGCGCATCGATTTCTTCACCTGAGAGGCCCCTCATCTGCTTTTGATATTCTAGTTCTCCCTCGAAGTCTGGATCAACTCCCGATAATATGGGGTCCATCAGAGTGCCTTTCGCCCGCATGTCTTCCCATAACAGATAGAGTAAGGCTTTCAGCTCCCGTTGACAATCTTCCTGTTGATCGACGATCGTCAAACGGTCATAGATTGTAGCAAGAGGCTGTGGGAGGAGGCGAGGACTGAACAATTCCGGGGGAAGCGACCTAGCAGAGTCCCGATGGAATTCCTGGAGGATGCAGAGCCAGGGCCAAGTGTTGCTCCTGAACTTGTACTTTTTGGCAGGTAAATCACGCACCTCTTGCAGGATTATCGACTGCACCCACGGAACAGGCTTGAGGATCTTGACCGGGTAGAAATCCTTAGCATACCCGAAACCATCACAGTTGGCAAGGGGGAGATGGTGGTTTTCCATGAAAATCGGGTCGTCTTTACTGGGGCGGCCAACGGGGGGGTCGGGGAAGTTGCGGAGCCACTGAGATTTCCGTAGCAGACCGATGGCGAAGTAATCGGGGAGTGACCTTTTGGTAGAAAGACAATGGACGGGCCACGTATAAGCCATGTGGATTTCGGCTGGGCGGAACTCGCCAGTCAAAGCCCGTAACTCGGTTGGGATCCTCTTTGTGTCCATCGGCTTTGAGTACATCGAATGCCATTTTCAGGTATTCATCCGGGATCACCACCGTAATTTCATACTGCAATGGAGTACGTTAGTATTATTTCTATTCCTCCGGGGAAGGGGGGTGTCGTCACTTACATAGTAAGTACTGTCAGTCACTAGCATTAGTTCGTACATCATTCCACCCCAGATCACATAGGGCACCTCCACCTCAGTAAGTGTCTTGGCCACTGCAGCGGTGGCCATGTATAGATTTTTCTCCGGGTTCTTCTTCTTCCTCGTCGTCGTCCTTTCCTTCCCTTTTTTGTTATCTGTCCGTCTCATCTTGACGCAAGATAGTGTAGATTTGAAGAATCTGCAAATAAATAGCACGCAGTTTGGTGAGTGACACGGCGACAACAATGATGGACGCATCCAAACAAGCCGGGAGTGAACGCCTCTATTTATGTCCTTCTGAGAGTCAACAACCAGTTTAGATTCCACTATCCCGCTGAACATTCCATTTTGCACAGAGAGGGACCACGGTATGATCTCCATTCTCCCAGCGGGTATCGTCGTCGAACTCTCGTCATGGTAGTAGCAGTATCCCGAGCCCTGCAATCTGTCCGAGTCGATTCATGATCGATCATCCTGATATTTAGAAAACTTTCCTGGCCTAGTTGTCACTATCCTGATCAGACATAAAGCAAGCATTCTGCAGATGGTTTCCTTGAGGCCCTGACTGGAGGCTTCCGTGTGGCTGGAGGTGGTTGTCGAATCTGGACATCTAAACAGAGGATCTACTAACTTGATTCGAATCCTCGGCTGGGAAGATGGTGATCTCCTGTATTAATTATGAAGATGTGAATATCACTTGATAACATACATTCATATCGCGTTGCTTTCCGATATAACCCCTCTCCCTCTCTCCTTTTCTCCATGTTCCTCAATAAACATACCAAATCACTCGAATTTCCTCAATATCAAACATCACCTAATGACTCCCACTACTATACAAGCAGTGACCGACGATCCTGAATAAACAAACATACTCTCCCCCCCCCCGTTCAGATCTCAAACCCATTCCTCTATATTCCATACAGAGAACAAGGTAATATATCATCTGGATTGAGATCACTGACACTTGCATCACATTCCTCGTAAAAGTCTAGTTGGTTGTTAAATCTAACTACCTAATCTAATCGGATCTTATCAGATCACATGGTAGTGGTACATGGGTTTCCGGGACGTGACGTAGATCATTATGCACGTACCTACATCCATGTATAGTACGTGTGTCTATTATATTCATGGTCTGTGCAGATGACACATCTCCTCTACCTCTACCTCTATCTCTATCGTGTATTGTTGTACCATGAAACAAGTCAATTATGCCCAGGCACGACTCCAACCAGAAATACCCCAACATCTATGGGGGGGGGAGGAAATACATTCCACAAACAGCACCGATACCACCGAACAAGCAGGCAGCTCCCGAATCAGTGACTTCAAAATAAGCTGACATTATCTAGGTGTATGATTTCCAGTTGAAAATCTAAATGGTTGTTGAATGGTGTAAATAACAGGCAAACGTCTTCAATCAGGGGACGGACGGACAGACGCGCCCGAGAAACTCTACCCTGCCATTTACAATGCAGGCTTTTCGGCTTCTACCTTGCTTATCTTCGGGTACTGCCATTGATAGGATTTGTATATAGCAGTTATTGATAAGAGCATGTATCTCAATAATAGACGGATGATCACTAAACTACTTTGTAGTATGTATGTATATGTATGATGGAATTTCAATACCGGACGGACATACTTAACCACCCACTACGGTGTTTTCGCCTCTTTGGAGGTTCACCCGTATATACAACAATGCACCATAATGAATTTTTGCTGTATTATCTATGGCAGTAGGATTATTGAAAGAATTTTATTTGATCATAACAATAAATGACTAGTGGATGACTCGCCCGGCTGATCGGAAGAGGAATGGTATTCTGAGTGTTGTGTCAGGTTGGCGGGTTTGGGAAGTAGATAAGGTAGGTCGTTCGATTTTGGGCGCGATAAGTTTAGACAAAGACCGATGGGAATCATTAAATGTCTAATATCCAGGGATGAGAAAGGATATAAAACTTGATTTGGGGGATTTGAAGTAAGAATGGCGTGTTTCATGTGACATTTAGTTATTTTGAATGGTGGATGATGCCTGGGTGCCGACCGTGGGAATTGGCGCTGGTTGGTGGGGAGGGGAGGAGGGGGACGAGAGAGAGAGAACTGGATTGTGCTGCGTAGAGCTTCTTGGGTATCGGGTAAATAATAAATAAATAATGAAAACAATAAATGATAAAATAAGAGGTGGATGATGATGATGGTGGTTGTAGAGAAACAAAAAAAAAAAGATAAAAAAGATTGGGGCAAGCCGGGCTTGAACCGGCCACCTTCAGATTAAGAGGGACATCCTCGGAAAGGATGAAGCCTATGGCCGAAGTTAGAGCTTCAGTCTGACGCGCTCCCAGATGCGCCATTGCCCCTTATTGTTGTAATACACACTGTTTTTCTATCTCTTGTAGGCCATTAGGTTTGTTGGGTGATCCACTTTACAGGGCAATTTTGGCCCTGGATGGCAGAATGAATGGATTTTGATATAGTTTTGAGTGAGTCCTTCTATTATTAGACATTTTGAAAGCTGTTTTTCTGTCAATAATGGTGAATTTTATGACTAGTCGCGGTTCAATTGCAGTGGTTGGATACAGAGAGGTATGGCCCGTAGGTGTGTATCGATTTAATAAGTACCCTCATCTACCAAATCAAATATAAAAAGCCCAGATAGTCCCGGTATCAACATGACATGGGGAATTAGTAAATGGAACGTATCGTACAGTGGACGATATGCTTTGCAGGATGAGAACTGAGGGTGAAGCTACGGACTAGCTACAGGAAAAGGGTCGCGATAGAACGCCGAGTATGACTGGCACTAATCTCCATGCTGAAGAAGGACTCGTTCAGCCACACGCCATCAGTCCTCAAATCAGACCATCCAGCACCATTGACTCTACAAATCCAATCGCTGGTATGAACAATTGATTCCCCATCTGTTACTACCCAAAGCATGCACATACCTCATAATGTCAAAGCTACGGCCTCATCACAACAAGTACGGGGCAATGGCGCATCTGGGAGCGCGTCAGACTGAAGATCTGGAGGTGGCCGGTTCAAGCCCGGCTTGCCCCATTACTTTTTTTTTTGTGAGGCATTTATATGAGGAGTTCGTTCTTTTTCTACCATGTGGGGATTTCACTCGCGTTGCTGTATGTGGGACGGGACCGCTTGTTGCTTAGTCAGCTTTGAGTCAAATGACGTAGTTAATCAACGGTTGGGCGGCCCATCCCTTCGAAAACACCACCTCGAATTCCTACCCGAAGCCATTCGACCACTACAGATGCCACCAAAAACACCTATCTCATCAAAAGCGCAGGTGGAACAGGAAGGCAGGATCCTTCTAGCCATTGAGGCTATTCAGAAAGGCCAATTCGCCAGTATTCGCGAGGCAGCGCGTGTTTATGATGTTGCTCGAACCACTCTCCGCGCTCGATTATCTGGACGTGATTTTATTAAAGATATGGTCCACGCACGTCAAAAATTATCGAAAAACGAAGAGGATTCGCTTGTCAAATGGATTCTATCTCTAGATAAGCGAGGCGCAAGTCCCCGGCCGCTTGAAGTCAGAAATATGGCTAATGTGATCCTATCTAAACGAGGTCATTCAACCCCCGAAGAAGTAGGCATCAACTGGGCCTACAGCTTTGTCAAACGGCATGAGACCCTCCGTACCCGTTTTGCCAGACGATACAACTATCAAAGAGCTAAGATGGAGGATCCTGAGATTATAAAAGACTGGTTCAATCGGGTCCAGGAGGTCATACAAGAGTACGGGATCTCATTAGATGACATCTATAATTTTGATGAAACGGGGTTAGCTATGGGAATAATCGCTACATCTAAAGTAGTGACTAGTTCTCAGAGAGCTGGCCGGCCGTCTCTAGTTCAACCAGGGAATCGGGAATGGGTTACTTCAATTGAGTGTATTCGATCTAATGGGGTAGTTCTACATCCGACTCTAATCTTCAAAGGCAAAACACACCTCAAGGCCTGGTATGAAAGTCGATCCGTTCCCTCTACCTGGAGGATTGAAGTCAGCGATAACGGTTGGACCACTGATATAATTGGACTTCGATGGCTTCAAAAACACTTTATCCCGTTGATCAGAGGCAAATCAGTGGGCAAGTACAGCCTCCTGGTGCTTGACGGCCATGGCAGTCATTTGACTCCTGAATTCGATCAAACCTGCACTGAGAATGATGTTATTCCTATTTGTATGCCTGCGCATTCATCCCATCTACTTCAACCTCTGGATGTTGGTTGTTTTAGCGTGCTTAAATGCGCGTACGGAGGCATGATTCAAAAGCAAGCACAATACGGCCGTGATCATATCGACAAGCTTGACTTCTTAGAGATCTATCCTAAAGCGCACCAACAAGCTTTAACAAAGTCAAATATCATCAGCGGATTTAGAGCAACAGGTCTTGTCCCTTTAGATCCTGATCAAGTGCTTTCCCAGCTCAATATTCGCCTCAAAACACCACCTACTCCAGGTAGTCAGTCAAGCGGCTCAGTGCTTCAAACACCACATAATATAAGACATCTTTTAAAGCATCAAAATACAGTAGAACAGCTACTTCGGAAACGGCAAGCAAGTCCAACTTCACCTACTCACTCTACACTACGTCAGCTCCTCAAAGGGTGCGAGCTAGCGATAACGAACTCGATTATACTGGCCAAGGAGAATGAGGAACCACGCGCTAGCCATGAAAAGCAGCTACAAAAGAGGAAGCGTTCGAAGAAGCAGGTGGTCTATACAGAAGGCACTACCGTTGAAGAGGCCCATGGTGCGATCCAACAAGAACAGGAGGTGCAAAATGATGAAGATGTTGAGGTTGAACCTCAACCTCTATCTACGGAGACCCCCTCGCGCGCGCCTCCACGCTGCAGTAATTGCTTCATTATTGGTCACCGACGTACGCAGTGTTTGAAACCACCTAGTATTTGATTATATAGCATTTTTATAAGCGTTTGTGTTGAATTAAAGGCTTCATTTTGAAGATATCGAGCAGTTCGGGCAGGCGGGTGGGCCGCCCAACCGTTGATTACGTTGGTTATGAAAGTGATTAGTCATCATCAAGAAGGCATCCGTACCCTAGGTTGGCGCCCTAGCTATTTACAACCACAACCTTTGCAAAACTACCAAGGCGGACAGTATCAGCTACCAGAGTATTGCTCCATAAACTTGGCGATTCATTCATTCCTAAGACAGGCCAGTGGCTTCCACTGCACAGAACAGCTAGTCTTCCCATGATGTTAGAATGGGCGAATTGACACTGTAGTGAACTTCATAGCGGCATCTGTCTTATGTTAGGGACTTACTATAGGATACATTATATCCCACCATGACGATTATATAAGGTTTCCGACAGGTCAATCAATAGACACAAGGAATGCAGGCGACATTCCAATGGGATGTGTAACTATACTATTTCCAAGAGAACTGTTCTCTTGTCTCACTTGGACACTCACATGTCACACGTGGGTCTGCTGGGATGGGATGATTTACAAAAGTACAAGGTATGACATGATATGCAGTGTATCATGTATATGTTGTGTGACATCGATATGTTGTTGTCAATGGAACCATGCATATACATCCGCTTTGTTTTAAACTTTCGGTGTTGACTAGCTGAATTGTACACGTGGGTATGAGGGTGACACACGGATATACACGGGAATAATGGAAATGCCATGCATGTGAAAAAAGAAAGTGACACAGACGGGATATCAAATAAAGAAGGAACAAACAGGACAAACAGAGAAGGGGAAAGTGAAACCCTAAGTTACAAAATAACATCGCGGACAGAATGGTCCCTATTCCACCTATGAATATCAGCTAAAGAATCATATCAGATGTCAAAAAATGACAACTATGTAGTACAGTAACACGCAATGATAGATAGTGGAACTGTCAAGGATGATGATTGACCACGCAAAAGCGTAAAAATACTTAAAATGGGGCAAGCCGGGCTTGAACCGGCCACCTCCAGATCTTCAGTCTGACGCGCTCCCAGATGCGCCATTGCCCCATTGGTTGATGAATTAACTTTGAGTTACATGCTACATAAATCAATGCTTGATGTTACAGTGCATCCTCCCACCGCACTGGTTATGTAGGCTCTTCATGATATCATGCGTAGATTCCAACCCCAAGGATATCTAATCTCCTAGCAGTAGAATAGCACTTATCTCGAAGCTAGGCATTTACTACTGCCGGAATATCGATCTCTCTGTCTGGCAAAGAGATTCTGACACTATCTGCAATATCGAGAGCGAAAGAAATATACCACCCGTATCACAGGGATATACATCATACCCAATCAGCCAGACTTCAATATGATAGGTCTCGTACTGAGACATCATCTAGTACCCCATACACTTAGCAGCCACCAGGGATATGTTGTTTTTGGTCTACGTGGTAGTAGCTTTGACACACCATACTCATCCTTGCTCGCAGAAGCTCAATCTTAACTTCAAGGTAACAAACAAAGCCACTAGCCATATCCGACCAGGTTGAATCCACTATATCTTGTTCTCTCTACTCGCATCTTGATCGCTTCCAGAAGAGCTATAAGCTGGTAATGTCTTCACTGACCGAAGCCACTCACTTGTGACGAGTTACGATGGCAGCTGCACGATGAATTGGAGAAAGAGGGGTTTCTTCGCGACGGATATATTGATGTCGAGAATGTACCGAACCATGATCTGTCATTTCAGATTGACTACTGGCTAGGCACTTGGGGGTGAATAGTTGGGAAGAAGCAAGATTCCGTGCCAAGGAGAAGAAAGACAAGAAACCACATAAATTTCTACATTACTCCCAAGCAAATTGTGATGAAAGCATGGTGAAAATATGTCCAGAAAACCCTTGTATTCCAAGTACGATAATCATACTCGATTTGCACATATACTAAATCCATGCCATTTCAACATCCCTAGCGGATGATTTATCCTGTACTACATAGTACTATCACGCTGTCTACTATATATACCCATAGGTATTATAAAGTTATTAAAAATCTAGTACTTCAACCTCACTTTAATATCTAATATCTTCCACCCCAAAAAGCCAACAAAGAGCATTATCAATCATCTATATCCTATATCCCAATACCAATAATCCCACAACCCGCTCATTGCTTATACAAATCGTATCAAATTAAATCAAATAATATCTATCTTATTCACTTCACTAACCTATTAATTGATCCACTTACTCCATTCCGTGCCCTATTCTTTTCTACCACTCTACTCCTCGACCTCTTTCTATATATATACACACAGTCAACACACATTCTTGGCCGCTTGGAACTAGGTTTAGTGTGGACGTGGGATCACATTTACTTAACTATTCATTAGTGGTGTATTGCTTATTGTTGTTGTGTAGGGGGTTGATAGAGGTGTTGGGTAGGAAGGGAGAGAGGATCATGAGATAAGAATTGATTGGGACGGATATGAAAAGCTGTACGGGTGGAAGCAATAGAATGATGTTTGGGATGATACTATAGGTGTGTGAATAGCTGATAATCACCACTAGGTATATGTACGATCAGTCTGATCAATGTAAAATTGTACAGCAATCCATTATACAGAAGTAAGGAAAAATGCCACCCAGTTAAGATGTACAAAGGCACACGGATATAAGAACAAAATCACAGATTATTTAAGAAAGTGTCCGTGTGGACAACCACAATGTGCGCCAGATATGTCAACCGCAAATGACCCAGACCATAGGTATTAATAAACAGAGAAGAGTGTAGACCTTTACACTTGAGAGGTCAGAATGCCAGTTCAGAGAAAAATCCAAAACGATGATATCGTCCGTCCATCCGTCATCCGTAAACGCCGTTTCTGCGTGTCCCACTAGCATGTACCATGCATGCCATTCCTTTCAAAAGATATATATGAATGGGAGAATTCAATGCACGCCACCCGTGATGTACATCATCCTAGAAAAGCCGCATCACGTCGACAATTTCGACATTCCCTGGCCGGTCTCGTTCCATGTGGAACCACCAGTCCCGCCCGGTTTTGTGGCTATAGTTCCACGACCCCGTGCAGGTATCCCGGTCCCAAGGAAGTGCCGTGGACGAAAGACTCATCGGCGTCGCTGGGGTTGTGGGCGTGTTTGGGCTGGTCCCCAGCGCAGAACGACTGCCGATGCTACCCCATCCGAAGCGGGACGTTGTAGTGGAGGTTGGAGACGGTGGTTCTTCGGACACCGGTTTCGCGGCACTCTTGCCACCGAAGCAGTTCACCCCAACCCCAGCAGCGTAGGTAAGCGATTGGCTGGAGGCCAGCACATGTTTCCAATCAACTAGGCCTCCATCCCCATCCTGCCCTGCTATGTCGGGACGAAGGACGAACCGCGGAATTGAGACATCCCTGTCACTCGTCCTGCAGCCTATCCTCCCCATGAAAGCGGGCATCCGGAAATCATACACGGTGACGGGTCCTTCGCGGTCTTCGGATAGAATGTCATTCTTAGGCTGCACACCGCCCATGCCAAAGTCGTCCATGTCCAGTTCGGAGCCGTCATCCGAGGTATCGTCCATTGCACTGTCTGGGACGTACGAGTCGGAGTGGTCGGTAATGAGAAGCCGCATTCCGGTTTCTGTGTCTTTCGCGGCCATGTCGATAAAGGTCTGCGCTCGGATCCGAGCAGACGTCAAGTTGTTCCCTGCAGGCAGGGCCATTGGTCGGGTGGTGACCGAACCGTGGGAGCTGCGAGGGAGGCTGTAACGATCCGGCTTGAGCAATGCCTGTCCGTTTGGCATCGGTTGACATACAGCCTGGAGAACCCCCGGAGGTTCTATATCCGAGGGCGCTCGCAATGTTGCAAGACGGGGAAAGCCGGCTGAGAGGATACTCTGAGCGAGATGGGAGTTCGGAGACTCCGTGTGTCGTGGGGGTTTCACAAATGGAACGTAATCGAGCCTGCTGAGCGCGGCGGCAGAGTCAGGGCCCGTAACGTCCCAGTGCAGATATTTGAGGCTCGAGGAGGCGAAAAGCGGTTGAAAGACAATCCCATCGGCGTTCAGCGTAGGACACTTGTTGCTCTGGATGAATTTGAAGCGTTCTAATTGTCTCAGTGATGACAGGATTTTCGAGATCGAGAGTAAGGATTCAATGTTCTGTTCGACAAGGGCCAAAGACTTGAGCGAACGAGACTCGGGGCGTGTTGCATATTGACATAGTCCTGTATCAGTCACACCGGGGAGGCTCTCCAGGCGAAGCGAGTCCAGCGGCGGCAGGCACAGCAGAGCGCTGTCCGCGAAGGCATCAGCATCAAATTTGGAGATGCAGAGATTTCGTAACGACGGCAAAAGGCTGATCATGCGAAGGAAGATACTCGGTTCCAGGGCGTTGTTCTGGTTCACGCCATAGAGCATCAGCGTTTCTAGATTTGACCATGAGGCGTGATAGTTAAGAAACTCAAACATCTGGGAAGGGCCTAGGCTCCCAGGGCAGGATGTGCTGCGAGGGGATTCTTCAGAAACCGCCGGGGCCTCTCCCAAAACCCATGTATGCTCTTTCAGCTTCCGCCGCGTGGACAACGCATGTGTCAGACGATCGAACTCGTGGTTGTACGGGATGGTCAGGCCTAGCAATCGTTCCAGGTTAGGACACACCATGACGACCGAGGCGACGAGATCTCGATACTCCTGCCATTGAGTGCTCTGCTTCACTGCAGTGAACAACAAGTCCATCTGGGGAACACGAAGCTCCAGAACGAGATTGGCCAGCAATTTCCTCTCCCGGAGGGTTCGTCTGAGCAACTTCAAGCGGCTTCCCCTTTTAATCCGATATTTCTTCAACTGGGACGGCGAATCATTTCCAATGATGTGTATATGGTTATATCTAAGGGATAGAATTGATTAGCAGATTCATTTCGGGGTAGACCAAGACATTCACTCACAATTTCGCTCTGACACCCTTCTCCCAGGACCGACAGGTCAAGGAGAGAGAGTGCAAGTCGCGCTGAAAACATGTCAAACACCCAGTCTGATTCGGGCCAGTGTGTAGGTACTGCAACTGATCTAGGATGACGTCGTAGACTTCCTGGGGTAGTCGTTTGAACACCGACTCCAAGATCTTATCTAGAGAGGCAGCGGAGTCGAAGCGATATGGTGATGCGGGAGAGATCGGGGAGTAGACTGTAGGGGCGGTGGAAACACTGTAGTTGCTCTTGAAGGAAGAAACTGATGACGTTCTAGATGAGACCGGCTGCACTGTCACGGCATATGCTGCATCCTTGTAATGATGAACCTGGCTTTGATGGATGGGGGAGAAAGGCACAGCAGCGCTCTCGGGTCTACTGGCGACAACACTCATTATGAATTTGGTGTTTCATTTGACGAGCACCAAGACAGGGTACGTAGGTGCGAGGCGAGGAGCGAAAGTGGTGGTGTGTGTGTGTGTGTGTGTGTGTGTGTGTGTGTGTGTGTGTGTGTGTGTGGTGCGTATGGAATAAACCGTCAAGAGCCGTTGGAGAGAGAGGGAAAGGGGGAAAGAGGCGCTAGAGTGGGGACGATGGGCGAAAAGGAAGGGCACTGAAATGTATGTACAGCGAGAGAAGCAATCCAAGCTACACTGATCAAAGCGTGTATGGGTGAAGGAGTGTGGGTGTAAGGAATGAACAGGAAGGACAGACAAGAGGAAGAAACAACAATGGAGGATGTTGAAGTCAAGGCCCCGGGAAGTACTCGAGAAAAAAGAAACGACGGAGCGGCACTATTTTAGGAGAACGAGGGGAACAGAGCGGGCGCCAAAAAGCAACCGGGATTAGTGGCGGCCCCAAAGGAGCTTAACGCAGGGCCATCAATGGCACGAGAAAGTCAAGAGACCAACCACCGCGAACACGCCACTTCTCTGTGTACAGTATGTAGGTAGGTAGGTAGTAGTTCAGGCTTGGGACCAGGACATGGGACGGCAGTCGAGGGCCGATCGTCCCCACCGGAGGAACGAGGATCTTAGGTTCACTAGTCCGTGGTGCGACTGCAGGGCATCGGCATCACAGCGACTCGTGCTGGAGTTGGTAAAGCGGAGACCTCGGCTCAAACATCACTCCATCCAGGATCCATCCATCACTGACAGACCCAAGGGAGGTCCTCGCCAGGGGGAGGGGAGGGGGCCGGTTATGACGGACTGCATCAGCCGAACGGAGCAGTAATCTGAAGTCGGAACTAAGCTGTTAGCTGAGAAACCGTCGGGCGACTCCAGGATTCAACTAGATTTGCCAAAGAGGACAGAGGCCCGTGAACTAATTCGTTAGCTGGAGAGTTAGTCTGTAGCATCATCCCCCCAAACCAGTAACGATGCGACTCTGGATGGGAGTCTGAGAGGCCTGTACTCTGCAGGATGCGAACCCATCAGAACTCAGAAGGCTTGGATTGGGATCCATCTGCTCTCTGCTTTCAGCTTTGCCGGTATGGAAGATAGCAGACACTCCGTAGTCCCGATCCCACCCAAGAGTTTGGTCGAGGATGACGACGGAGGGGAAGAAAAAGGAGGTGGCAGCCCCGAATCCATGGGATCCCGTGCCAGGGGATGCCTCGACACCCGCGGAACCAGGCAGGCAGCCTAGGGGATTTGGGGTCTAGCGCCATGGCCGGGGCGGCGCTAGCGTCAGGAACATGGCACTAGTCCAGATTAGGGCCGTTCATTCGACATCCATTGGAGCCCCTTTTCCGTCGCAGTGCGGTCACTACCTACTGTGTACTCACTCAAGTGCCCCCGGACAAGGTTGATGATCCAGTAGTTGGGGTCATTTATGAAGTTTATTTATACCCTCCAATGGGTTGATGACGTCGGTGCTGCTTACGATCACCGCAGGAGGCATTTACGCAGTCGAGCAACAAGAGGCAGTCCTCATCCTGGTCCAGAATTGAAGTCACTTTACAGTGTACACAAGTCCAGTGTACATGTGTGTCTGTGTGACGGGGATGTACCACCACCACGCAGGCAACAGAAATCCCCTGCAGGATGTCTCCTGAAGACGAACCACCGTTATCACCCGCTTAACCGCTTAGCCTCTTAGCCTCCATGGCAATGGATCCCTTCCACACGTCGGCTCGCACCGTCAATTAACCATTGGCTGATGCACCAGACCCATTTGCGCGAAGAGGATTCACCGCATATGAGGGGGCAGCGGAAGTGGAACACCTTTTACACACTGGGGATTTACACACTTTACACACGCCTGTGCGAGATGGTTAGTCAGCCCCCATTCCTGAGCATCAATCTCAGACAGGCTCGGAGATAACTGTTCCACTTGCTTCGTCATGTATATTGGATGGGCTATATACTGGACAAAGACAAGGGCATGAGTATATTGCAATATCTACGGAGCTATAGCTACTAGTAACTAGCCACAGAACAGATATAAAACGATTGAATCTCATACCCATACCCGGAACACACAACTTGAAGTCACCATCATTCTTAAATCCGAACCCACCAACACTAAGTGCCCTACATAGCAGGACTAACTCTTAGCAGTAACTACACTCACAATCCGAGACAAACCGATCCAGAGTTAGACAAATGCCGTCTGACACTCCACCCTCCGACCAAGTGGCAAGCCCCAATTTTGTTCCGATCTTTGCAAACCCTCCGAGTCCGTAGGGGCCTGTATAAATAGCACGCGCTGTACCACCACACACCGTTGTGAAACAAGCGCAGCGAAGCAAAAAAATAAATAAATTAACAAAAAAAAAAAAAAAAAAAAAAAACCAACGTGCTGTTTCACATGGCCTGGTCGAGTCAGGACCCGTGGGGCCGTGGCTGCAGTAGCAGCCAGCACCAGTCTGGGTTACGAACCTGCAAGTGTTGCTTCGCTGGCAACGGACGTCTCGCGATTGGCTTGGATTGGGGATCCGAAGGATCGTTGCGAATGTTGATCTACGCACTGCGCATGGCTAGATAGGTCTTGCTCGTTTCGGACTCGCCGTTTCCTGTTCGAGGAGGCTGCATGGACTAGTCTGGCCAGCATGTACTATGTACACAGTAGGTAGTACATATGTGAGTGTGCTTGGGATATTCATAGATACATACATACCCTGGCTCCTTTCTTTGTATGTTGATGTACGGATACGGGACACGGAGTATACCCCCCGAGTAACAGGGGTTATAGTAATAACCACCGGAACAAAATATCCGATCGGACAAAGGCTTACTGGCATAGGTAGATGATAGTATACATACACCCTACCCTTTTCCTTTGTTGTCCGACAACAATGGTTAACCATGGGTTTTACCAACCCTCCATGAGGCATGAACAAAGAGACGATCACCACCACCACCACCACCACCACTCGCACGGCCCATAAGGCGACCACTGGAGTTCTTGGCAGAAGTGAGTCAGGAATCGTCCGATAGCAGTGTGATTGGTGATGCTCCGTCTCACAACCATGGACACTGGTTCATTCCCACCGCCCGCAATCCCAAACAAAGATCTGACACGAATACAAAAATAGACACGAGAGAAGACTGCCATTCCCATCCCATCCCATCACATCGCATCGAATTTCATATTCACCACGGTCGGATCACTCGGTGGCATGTGAACTACACACCATACTCATCATCTTCCCGCGCTTGTCAGACAATGTCTCGTTTCAAGAGTATCTTTGGCAAACTCTCGGACAAAAATAGGGTATGGCTGGCCAGTGCAGACTCCAGAAGTTGGATCTACCTACTTTTACATTTGGCAGAGGGTCGGTTGGCTTATCTTCGGAGACGGGCCTTGTCCGATACATGCGTTTCAGACCACGGGAATTTGGTACGGCCCGGCTGGCTCGATCGCTGGCCGGTGAGATACCGAGGTTGAGGGATCGCCTGTGTAGATGGATGCTCGATCTAGATACTATGTAGTGGCCCACTTGCTGGGATGGGTCTAGTAGTCTGGTGAACTGAACATGTTGGCTGCTAGATCCATTGAGTATTTACTAGAGCAGCTACGGTCTGGATAGATCTGATCATGTAATTCAACTCGTTTGGCTGACCCATCGCCAACCACCACCTCCAAGCACGCGACCTCCTGCGCCATGCTGCCGGATAAACGCCGCGGCAGCAACTCTCCACCATGGGTCCTCCCCATGCTTGTACCCCCGCATGGAACGGACTGGATTGGAAGAGTCGCCAAACTGACCGCAAAACCATGGCAGTGGGGCGACTGCCGGATATCACTGGGATCGAGGAAATGAACAAGGTGCAAATGTCGGGTCAAATATTCTGGGATCTTAGGCCGGTCCCGTCCTCGCAGGACAAGCCCAATCGATAAATATATCCAAACCTCTAACCAGATGATCGGGAAAGAACAAGACAGAAGCCACAAATTGGGTTAAACTTTAAAAAAAGACCACGGCGGGGGACTAATCCTGCTGTTACCAGAGCAAAAAATAAACAACAGCTAAGGTGGAACCACAAACAGCAATTCAGAAACGAAAAGGTAACAACAGTTTAGGCCTGATTCACCCACAAAGGCATGTACAAAGCAAACCAAATGTCATATGAATCACAACTCCATTATCATGCATGAATCCATTATCACATGTCGAAATTATCGTCAACGTTGAAGATGCCGGGCTCGCCGCCTTCATGCGTCCTCTGTACACCACTCATGCGGTGGTTGGCCGCGCTCGCTGGCTGCTGAGGTCGTTGCCAAATCTCAGTATCCTCTTCCATATGGTCACCAGGATCGTTTTTGAAATGGTGATCGATAGAGCTCTCGTTAACAAAGGTGAAACCCTTGAAGTTGGCCTGCAGGCCCGGCGACAACGGCGTCGACGCTGGCATGAACCCATTCGCGATTGCAGCCGCACGGTCGTTGAGTGAATTATTGTTCTCGAGCGCATTGGTGAACTCGGGGTCGAAGTTGGACGTGTCCGTGTCTGATGTGAGCGTCGGCTTGAATGGAGGGATCACCTCTTTACGACCCAATGCCTGCCAATCGACGTCGTTAAAGAAAGGATGCGCCATAAGCTCGCTTGCGTCGCCCTTGGCACCGAGGCGGTGCTTGGGGTTCCGGTTGAGCAGTCCTTTCACGAAGTTCCTTCCTTCTGTGCTGAGAGCATCCCGGGGGAACCGGACTTTGCCAAAGGCGATGTTTTTATACATTTGCTGCGTATCCTCTGCGTAAAACGGACTCCACCCGCAGCACATCTCAAACACGAGAACACCAAGGGACCAAAAATCGACCATCTTGGTGTAGCCCTGTTCGTCAAGTAGTACCTCAGGGGCGAGATACTCAGTTGTTCCACAGAATGTATTCGTCGTGTCGTTTTGCGTCAAGTTGGCCTTTGAGAGACCAAAGTCACAGAGCGCGATGTGACCGTTCGCATCGAGCAGAATGTTTTCAGGTTTGAGATCACGATAAACGATATCGTGGTCGTGGAGATGCTGCAGAGCTAGGATCAATTCGGCGATATAGAACTTGGCTCTAGCCTCCTGGAATCGCCCTTCCTTCTGGAGGTGCCAAAACAGCTCACCGCCAGACATGTAGTCGGTGACAAGGTAAAGGTCGGTGGGTGTTTGGAAGGAGAACTTCAAGCCGACAATAAACGGGGAAGCGGCCATGGCTGTCCGGACGAGGATATTTCGCTCTCCTAGAGTATGCGCAACCTCCTTCTTCTGGATGATCACCTTCTTCGACAGGACCTTCATTGCATAGATACGACGCGTGTCCTTCTTCTTGACCTGGTAGACCTGACCAAACGTTCCCTTGCCAATGAGTTTTAGAATCTGGAAGTCGTTCGGTCCGACCTGCTTCTTCTCGGTCCTCTCGAAACGCATCTCCATATGAATCTCGCCAGACACTTGAGAGTCACCCGCAGCACGGGACTTCAAGGGGAACCATCCCTCTAACCGGCTGTTGTCATCCTTTAGGTTGATACAGAGGCGTACGTGGCCCAAGAATGCTTCCTGATCCTTGCGGTCATACACAGAGATATCTACCTCGGACTGATCGCCGAAGACATCACTAAAGGAAAGCGGTTAGCCATATACTCTTTCCAGGGAGCTAAACGAAAGGAAATGAAGAATCAAACGTACAAAACGGCCTCGTGGTTCCAATGCGGGTCAGTCACTGGAGCCCGACCCTTGTGCTCGTGACCATCAAGCGCGCTGTTGTTGCTGCTCTGTCGGCTTTTCATCGGGATAGCCATCGGTCGGCCAGCATCACGATCCGTCTGCTCTTGCTCCTTTTGCTGACGTTCCAACGTAGCTTCCTCCTCATCCTGGGCGCTCTTAGAGATACACTCATTCCACTCAAACACGCACACGACGTAAGGGTCGAAGCCGGGTCGCAGTCCCCTGGCTTCCGAAATATTCACGAAGAGCTTGCCCTTAAGCGAGGCCACTGGTGGACCATTTGGTGAAGGGCTATCTCTTTCCGGGGGAAACACTTCGTTGAGCTTGCCGGCAATCTCGTCTGCGGCACTTGACGCTTCATCGGACTGCGGCGGCACAGGTTCCGACGGTTGGGGGGATGACGTGGGCGGTTTCTTGTCGGGTTGCGAGCCTTCATTGGACATAGCCCGAGGAGTGAGAGGGGGGGTACTCTTTAGACGCACGAGATCCGACACAGTTCCAGTTAGCTTCGCCAGGTTCTCAGAAGACATAGACACATGTGGTTTTTCGTGTTCGAGTAAGGGGGCTTCCGGCAAACAGAACGCATCTGAGGTAGGAAGAAGGGAAGGGTTGGAGAAATGAGAGGCAAGGACTGGGTCGTCAGAAACGCTTGAGACGGGAAGAGAGGTATGACGGCGGGAGGTTTGCTCAGGAGATGACATGCTTCCGGATGGAGAGAGATAGTTCTTCAAGGTATTAAAAAGGGAGCTCATGCCCTTGTCTGGGGCGGAAGAGCCCAGCTCAATTTCATCTGAATCTTTTTGGAGAAGGGAACAAGCGGAGCTGTAGGGGGGAGTAGGCAGATTCGTAGGGGGTAACGATTCTGGTTGTAATGTCTGTGCCTCAAGTCTCTGGTCCGGCGAAGCGGCAGAAGACTGGGTGTCCGAAGCCTCGGGACGCTCCATCATAACGAAGGAGCCCGAGGGTGAGGAACCTTGATCATCCCGTGTCCCTGTGGCGGACGTATCCGACAGGGGGTTTTGCGCGGAGGTAGGGGTCTCAAAAGACCGGGTGCTGGAAGAACGGGTTTTATCACCAGAGGGAGAACCAACCTGGAAATAGCTAGAGTGTATCGAAGGCAGACGCTTGTCCGCTAGATCAGGTTGCGGGGTCGAGATCCCAGTGGGAGTTGGGCTGTTGGAACCAATCTGGTCCTGATTCTCGTCTTCCTGCACGCCATTGCTATGGGACGAGTTAGCCATGCATAGAGACGACGATGACGTTCGGAAACTGTAGGACAATATAGAACAGGCCATCATAATCGAATACATGCTGGGATGATATGAAAGACAAAAAGCATATCGTAGCCGTTGCACAGAGTGATAGGAGTGATGAGCCGCATATGGATGCAAAACTTCTCTCAGCAGGCAGCATTGCATAGTCATCGCTTGTCGCGGATGACTGCCGCTGGCGCCATGATCCATGGGCAGCGCGGCAGAAACCAAGGATGGCAAGTTTTCATGTCAGGCATGACAACACCATGGAGGCTGTGCTGTTGAGACGAAACCGAACCAACCTCACCAACGCGGCAGATAACGAACGCAGACCAACAGCAATAACGAGTGAAAGTCGCACGATTTCTACTCACCTCCGAGGAATGGGCTGCTTCAACAAACCCGCATCTCCATGCGACCCTGGTCCACTCTGAGCAGCAGCCATGATTATCTTTCCATCCGAGACCTAAAATCCTCCACCGGGAACACCGAAATTCGAGGCCGTCGGTGGCGCCGCTATGGTGCGAGAAACAGGGTCAGATTCACGACGCGATCGAGTACCGACCGACCGGGGTGTGACGTCTTTGGACGGGGCAGTTAAAAGGGGAAAAAAAAAAGTAAGGTGAGTCAGACGTTGGCGAACGTTGACGAGCCAAGGAAGTTTGCGGGACGATGAATCCGATCGGGGGATCGGATAGGAAAGACAAGGGAGGGAGGGGTAAAAGCGGGATGATCTGTGGCTGTTGGTAAGTGTTAAAAGAGTCTTTTGGGTTGAGCCGTGGAAGGGAAGTAGTGAGGAAGGTAAGTGGAGAGTGCCGATGAGATCAACAGCGGCGAGCGGCGAGCGATGGGAAGGAAAAGGAAGAAAAGCGAAGCACAAACCTGAAGACCTGAAGGGTTTACCAGACGAAACCCAATGAATCCCGGGGCGACTTGAAGAAAAGCAGCTTGGCCTCCAAGTAGTCAATCAGTCAGTCTCGGGCAGGCAATTAATGCCCGTCAATGTGGGCGACGGAGCCTTAGCGTCAATCAGGCGCGGACGGACAAATGGCGGGCGGACGCCGGCGGATGGCGGGTTTCGTACCAGACGAACACAGATACCTCTCGAGGAGTCGAAGGAATAATAGGAGGCGATAGATAGGGAGAGGACCACGATGGATCTTAAAAGGAAATCCCGGGGAAGATACAGATAGAATTCGGGGATCACGTTGAAGATTAATTCAAAAATGAGCCCGGCGATGAGGTGGCGTTAACGACCCAAACCTCTCAAGTCATAGACAACAGCTGAACGGGTCAGGGACTGCGGACGTGGTAACTTCGCGACCGATGTTGGTTGGGGCAGAAAAGGGAAAGCCCGCGTTAAGAAAAAAGGGTTTAAACGTGCAGGTGCTGAGTTACAGGCGAAAACCCAAGGAACAGGCGAGGGAGAGAGATTGGGAAAGAAGCTGATGGTAGAACCAGCGATGGGCGTGTTGTAGAGTGTAGATAGAGAGGTGGTGGTGGTAGTAGTAGTAGTGTTATACCACACCCAGGGGGGGAATGGATGGATTACTATCTCCCAGAATGATACAATGCGACCCGTCCCGTTACCTGTTGTTCATGAGTCCCTTGATAATACTATCAAAGGATGGTTGGTGTTGAACGATTCGAAACGATAGCCTGGCAAAAGCTTCGGAACGCTACTGGAAGGAGTCGCCTAGTAAGGGTGCATGGTGTCTCGGACAGTCCCTAGAATTGGAGGCAAATGCCACCCATTGGGAAGGGAGCGAATCAGGTTGCAGAGGGAGGCGTAGAGAAAAGGGAAAAAGGCCTCAGACGGAGTGGAGATGGCGGTGTTGCTGGCAAATAGACGGGGGAGGGTTTGGGATGGAACCACTGGTGAAGTCAACCACGAACCACATTGCTTTGGTGGCTGGAGGAGGAGGCACACAGTAACGTTAGATGAATACTAGCGGTGATGCCTTGGGGGGGTGGGAACTGGGAAGAGAGGGAAAGATAGTAGTACTAGATAAGAAAATATTTGATGACTTACCACCACCACTGACTGCTAGTAGCTTAGCATCATCTATCTCTTTCTTATTTTGTGACTTGCCCCTGGGGTCTGGATGGTTGAAATACCTTCCTGTAAGGGTTCGACATGGAACGGGATGGCTGTCAACAGGCCGTCTGGCAAGCCGCTGATGACTGCACGAGGTCCGATGATGAGCCGGTTTGCCTCTTGGGCCAGGATGGTTATCCGCCCGGTGGACAAGGGTGGGTGGGCTGGTGGGAACCGGGAATTCTCGAAGTCTGAACCCTCTAGGCTCTGCGAGGCATGACCACTGCCATGGAATCCTTCTGTTCTTTCGGGTTCTCTATCTTTTCTATCGGTTCAACTGTCATACACACACCTCTTCCTCTCACCTCATCATTCCCCGTCTTTGATGAAGGAAATACAAGGCATTGCTTCACCCCCCATTTTGATTCCTACTACTTTGTATCAATTCCACCCCGACCTGCAGATGCTCTTACCCATGTAGTACTCGGTAGAAAGCTTATGCTCCCTCCTTGGTCAACCAACCTGCCATTCCCTCAAAATTCCGGCAGCCTGCCAAATAATGCCTCTTGGTCGCTCGATGGGGGTGGTTCTCCTCTTTCTCTCTCCACCATCTCCTCACGCTAAGCGCCCCGATCGCTTTCTCCGCCGCCACCTCCTCAGTCCTTATCCTCTTTAGTCTCACCATGTCTACTACTATGTACTTGGTAAATATCGGCATTCGACACTCTGGATGGGCTAAAAGGGTGGGGTACAGGCCACGGCAACTGTCATCATTCACCACATATTCGTGGTAATTGGATCAATTACCTGACAAGGACATTTCTACGTCTGATCGACCTCCCGGGCCTCTGGAGTCTCCCATCAATCATTTGCCGGGCCTGATCGACCGAATACCCGATTCGGAATGTATTGCTTCCTGAGTGGTCGCCAATGAGAATATTCTTGTGCCTGTTGGTGTCAACCACCACCACAACTATTCTCAAACCGAGCTACAGCATGAGCGATAAATAATGTGACATCACAATCGTTGCGCTGCTAACGCCCCGGGCTTGAACTTCGGCGCGGGGGTATCTCAGATGATGCACAGCCTTGCCGGCTATGATGGTTACTCGGCAGTCCCTACCATCTCACCCACCTTCATAGGAGGTAAGTCATAACTAAGTATACCACAGCCGCATCCTCGGCCCCTTGACCCCACCCAAGTACCCCGTTGCATTTCTGTCTGCCTTAGTCAGACTATCGTCAGCCTCGAATTTATACCCACTGCACTCAAACTAAACACTACTCCGTATTGTACAGGATGTAAAACGTAGAGGACCATGAGGATCGCTCTCAATGGTGAGCGGAATTCCAGGGTCAACCATCTCCTTACGTTCGCGCATCACAAGCCCAGGGCAGCTGTACGGTTGGGAGGTGGAAAGTCTCCGCCATGGAGTTACACCATGTCAGTGCAGCTGCCAGCTCCAGGGCCATTGTAATGCGGTCGCCGCTTGGGTAGCATCGATTATGTTTCAGAATGGCCTGGTTCGACGGTAAAATCAGCCGGCCATAGCCGGCCGGGCAATGGGGATAATGCAGAATGCACATCGGTGCAATGGAGCAACTCGCACAAAGTTTCATCATGCAGATAACAGATCCCGATTGAAATAATAATACCGGTAGCATTATTGTCCCAACCGCTCCAATAGGGAGTGAAATGCCTACTAGGCATCATTGGAAAAGATATCCTAAAGGAACCACTTGGTGGAGACCCCTTGTCTTTCGTCTCGCGTCCCCCCGATCTGCCAATAGCAACCTACAGACCCTGGTCGGCCAGGAAGACCGTCACTGCATCTGAGGCTACTTGGACGCCGTCAGTAGGTAGGTCACCTGCAGGCTGCTGCGAGGTTGTGTAAGCGATCTGCGGCACGCAGCATCTGGTCATCACCGAAGCTCCGAAAACATCCACGGGCCCACGCCCTGCCCACGATACGACGGAGGGAACCGTACCGCGATGGCCTAGCAGCTCCAGCACGTTCAGATCATTGCGTGATGGGGCCTACCCTCCTTCAGGGTGCATAAGGTGGTCAATGTCGAGGAATGCGGAGCACAGCAGTCCTGGCTGTCCTGCTCTGGCGCTATCGAGAGTGGGGTTTGAGGGGTTCCAGAATTTCAGCGCCCACCGCCTCTTCTGCGGCATGTGAAGTTGGGGTCCGAACAGGTTATAGCTGATACCTAGCTACCTACCTACGTCAGTGGTTCGGTCTGTGCATACCTTATCGCGGCGGATGATTCATCTGCTGGCTTGAGCCGTATTGGCAAATGGTTCAGGCCAGCTTCTGCCAGCATGCAAGGCTCCCGGGGCCTGTCTAGACCGCGGAAGGACTGTGTAGCCAAAGCCAAAGATGACGCTCGGGGGAAATCCCGCATACTGCAGAGACTATGTGCACGGGGAAGCCGATATGTCAACGAGAAAGTCAACTCCTCAAGATCACACAAACCTCTGCGAACGAACTGTCGGCGATCAGTGGAGGAAAGGGACCATGACATCATCCTGCAGAGACCCCAACCGGGCTGGAGGGGCTCCATTATTGGTTCGGCACGTGGCCGGCCAACTTTATTAGCCTCAGGCATACATAGATACTGGGGGAGCACCTGGCACGTGACACAGCCGCAGCGGCTCGGAAAAACACCGTCCCGACCGGCTCTAGCGCGATGGCTGCGGAAAGGACGTCCAAGGGCCTCATCCAGCACCGTCTAGGCAGTTTACTGTAGTTGGCGTTCTTGCCTAGTTCTACACGTTCACTGTCCGTATGGCTCGAAAACTTCGAGCGGCTGCTCAAGCAGCTGCGCAATCAATGAGTAGGTGGATCTGCTTGCCTTCCCTTCCTGTCGTTGGCTGCCGCCGCGCTTTCGGTCGTCACGGACGCGAACAACTAATTACCCCGTAGGGAATGCCGCCCCTCCGCTCCCCGAGGCCTCTGACGAGGAGATGATCGAAGCACCCCCGTCGCGTGGATCTTCTCCACCCATGGAGGATCCAGGAGATGTGTCGGACAAGGACCTTGAGGTGGACCCCCAGCCAGAGCCCAGCCTGGACGACGACACGGCAGCAACGCCCGCCCAGGATTCCAACACACCATCGCACGGTGATTCCCCTACTCGCACGGGTGGACGCATGTCAGCCATTCCGCGAAAGCGCCGCATCGGCCGTCCTCCGAAGAACCGTCCGCCAGACTGGGATGCGCCGGACGAGGGAGGCGCGCAGACACCCATCCATGTGACCACGCCGGTCAAACGAAGGCGTGGGCGTCCTGCTGCTAGCGGTGGACGGTGGGCGCGCAATCGGGGGCCGTCGCATGTTACTCAAGTTCCGATCGATAAGGAGGGCAACATGATGGATGTCATTGACGACGAAGTGGCCCTTCCGGACGACCCTGAGGGCGAAACCAAAGTGGACAAGAACGGAAACCTACAAGGTGATCGAGAATATCGGGTCCGTGTGTTTACGATCCTCAATCGTGGTGATCGCAAATACATGCTGTCCACGGAGCCCGCGCGTTGTATCGGGTTCCGGGACTCGTACCTATTCTTCCAGAAACACAAACTTCTCTATAAAATCATCATTGACGACGAGGCCAAACGCGATCTGATTGAGCGGGAAATCATTCCACACTCCTATAAGGGACGAGCTATTGGTGTGGTCACCGCGCGTTCTGTTTTCCGGGAATTCGGCGCAAAGATCATTGTTGGGGGAAAAAAGGTGGTTGATGATTACAATGTCCAGGCAGCGAGGGAGCGTGGCGATGTCGAGGGCGAAACTGCCGTTCCCGAAGATAAGCTCCCTCCGCCAGGCGAGCCTTACAATAAGAACCAGTACGTTGCGTGGCACGGTGCCAGTAGCGTTTATCACACCAGCGCTCCGTCGGTTCCGTTGCCCACTGGTAAGGCGGTGGACTCGAAGAAACGCAAGGTCACGGTGACTGGCGATAACTGGATGCTTGAACACGCCCGAGAGGCAAGGTATGTAATAGCCAGTTCGTGCGACCAAACAATGGATGCTTACATGATGAGTAGCAACTTCAACTCGCTCATCTCACTTGCGCGCCGCGAAAACCTCGAAGGACAGTACGATATCCACACCAACGTCGTGCAATACCCCAAGATAATGCAGCCTACTCACGCTCGTTGGGAGCGTCTGCCTCCCCCAGACCCGCGAGTCGCGAGCAAATTGGCCAAGGGGCTATCAACGTTGAGTCTAACAAATGGCACGGACGAAGAAGAGTCGGCTGCTGTCAGCAGCGAAGCCAACGAGGCCGGCGACGGCCAGACCGAATCGGAGACCACCGACGCATCCATATTCTCTACAGTCCCAGTCGCGCTCTCCCGCCGATTCGCCATCCATGATATCCACTACGAATCATCACCGTATTCCAACCTGGGCGTTCCAGGCCCAGACGGCGACGTGCATGACCTCGGCTCCAACGGACTAGTCAGCGTTGCCAATTCTATGAATCCTGAGTTCACAAGCCCCGAGGTTCTGGAGGAGCTTCCTCTCGAGTGCAAAGAAGCGCTCATCGAGGCCGCTGCGCGCGAATGGGAGTGGAAGTCCAAGTGGAGCCGGGAAGCGAGCGACGGGGCTCGAGCGACTTCGCTCAAGAGCTATGCTTGGTTTCCATAAGTGCATGCTTTAACTATTTCTTCCCCAGACGATTGTATGAACTGAAGCGGTCGTGCCTCCGCATACTCTTTCTACCCAAAGAAGCGACACGTCAACTTCCGAACACACAACGGCTACTTATTTTTGGGCTTACGTATAACTAAATCACTGACTATTTCACACGGGCGGGATGATTCCGGATGGGTTGCGAGATTACCAAAAAAGGGAGTTTGAGCGTTTTCAATATCTGGTGTGCTTTTTTTTCCTTTACCTCTTTATCACTACTACTTTGCCATATAAAGTCCATACTATTATTCCCCTTTCTTCCTCTTTCCATTTTAATTCTTACTTTACCCATTCTATCCTAATCAATCCTGAGAAGGAATACAGGATGGGATTTGTTCATCTATTCTTTCGTTCTTAATCACTCACCCAATCAATCAATACCTACTTACCTACCTAACTAGTATCCGATAGTCAAGATCATCATCAAATCTAACCAAGTCGCATGATTGTAAAAAATGATGTATCGTCAAGTAGATACTACGTACGGAGTAGCTACTAGGCTTCAATGAATGTATACCTAAACTAGTCTAGTAGATTAATAGACGAGGTAGTAGGATAGGTAGGCTTCCACTGATCACTTACTACCTACTACCTAACTACTATTTACTTAGCTAGTTACGAGGAGTTGTTGCCTAGGTGGGTAGGTAATAACTAAAGTAGGTACTACTGGGTGGGATTATGAGTCTGGGCATGATTCGGTTGTATTGATGCAGGAGGGGTTTAGGCATCAGGATATTGAATGTGTGTTTAGCTGACTGGGTTGTATAGGGGTAAGGTACTACTAGGTATAACATGTTGTGTGTGTGTGTGTGTGTGTGTGTGTGTTTGTATGTAAAAATGGATGGTTAGATATGCCGAGATACAAATGGAACAGGTCTGTAGGGTTTACTCTCTATACTGTCTATAGGTGGTATCTAAATCAAATAGGTAATGATTCATTCCATCATGCCAAATAAAATAACTAACTCCAAGGCGCAAATAACGCAACAAACGATTAGGAGGGGGTCAAACAGCACATGTTCTTTGGCACATATGATAATAGAGAGGAAAGGAAAAAAAAAACCGGAATCTGATGTATTGGTAAACAAGGCGGGCTGATCATCCCATGGCCATCTCCGCACGTAGCTTCTCCAGTTCGGCTTCTTCGTCGTCTTCTTCGGTTTGGGGTTTCGCTTTGACTGTAAATTTGGGTTAGAGATGGCAGTTCTGGAGAGAGGAGGGAGGACGTACTTTCTCCGTTCGCCGCAGGAGGTAAGCGGTTGAGCTGGTCGGCAACTGGCACGGTGCCTGTGTTGAGCATCCGCTCGTCCATGGCCTCCTGTTCCAGACCCTCCAGCTCTTCGTCCAGCTCGGATTCGTCTGGTTGTTCCACCAGGGAGGTGCTTGTGATGGCCTGTGCGATTTCGGTACTGAGTTGATGCTGCTCGCGAAGTGTGTCCCTTGGCTTTGTGTCAGTGTTTCCTCTACACATGGTAGGACTGTGGAATCATCATACATCGTCTCATCCACCTTGTCAATAGTCATCGAGCCGTGAATCTTCGCCATAGCCGCACCAGCAGCCTCCATCGCCTTCAGCGTCTCCTGGTTGATATTCGCCGCCTCGATCGAGTAAATCTGTTGTTCAAGCTGAACAATCTGCGCCGTTGTCTGTTCAAGGTTCTTCTCGTGGACCTTCTTCCGGCGAAGGGCGTTTTTGGCCGCTGTACAAAAATCCCGTAAGTCTGATGGCTGCCTAGCGCCTTCTTTTCCTTGTATCACCTACCGGCCTTATTCGTCGCCACGTTCTTCCGAGCAATTGTATCCTGCTCCTCCATTAGGTTCTCCAGATGCTTCTCGCGTTTCTGGAGCATGTCCAGCTGCTCGCGGAGCATGAGGATCGCGTTCTTCGGCGCATCTTTCCGCTTCTGAGCGGCGGATCCGCCAAACCAGGACCACATTTTGATAAGGGTGTGTTGGCTGGAAAAGGTTGAGATAGGGGTGTTGATTGGGTTGGGTCGGTTATGCTGAAGTCAGCGGTTGAGGTTCGACGGGGTCTTTAGTGGTTGATCGGTCGGGCGTTGTAACGACGGTTCTGGAATGGGTGGAAGGTGGGATGGGAGGATCGTGGCGACGGGACGGGATCGGTGAGGATCGCTGGATGGGAATCAGGGGAGCAGCCCGAGTCACGTAGACCAGGTCAAGGGGGAAACGGTCCTTGATAAGAGCGCGTGATAAGACCGACGAGAAGAGAGCGAGAACGAGAAGATGGAGAGATGATGGCGGATGAGGCTTGTCGGTGGTTTTCCCCTCGTTGGCCCTATGACATACGCGCTAAGCCTATCGGAGAGGCGGGGTCACGTGGGGTATCCCGTATCATCCATCAGTGCTGCTACTTTTCCCATCCAATCCCCATCAATCATCCCATGCATCAACGACTGCACCGGTCAAGATTCAATCACGGGCATGAACGGGCCTCTTCCCTCCACCCGGACATTTCTCTCCGATCTGCCTTCTCTGCCACTTGAATCCAAAGTCCGCTTTCTCGGTTGGTGCGTATCTTATCGCCGTGCATGTGTATACTGTAGATGTCTATCCGGGGATGCGCAGAACCCGTAAGACTGATTTTCCCAGCGTGAGGACATACCACGTACAGACGGGCCACCTCGTCCTGGAACACAACTATCCCCGTCAAAAACCACCCCAGGAACCACCCTCGGTTTCGGTTGATATCAACGCCGTGTTGGCGACGGTCACGTCGGAGGAGCTGCGCGTTGGCGCATGGGTGAACGTGCTCGGGTATGTAAGGAGAAAGGATGCCGACTCAGGACCACTCCCCGTGTATGTTGAAGCGGTGATGGTTTTCCCAGCAGAGGCTGTGGCGTTGGGCGAGTATGAGCGCATTCTGCAGGATTCGTTGGGGGTGGAGAGGAGAGTCCGGAGGCCAGAGTGAAAGTTCTCGGGGCTTTTTCTTTTACTGGTTACGCTCTAGTGGACCAATAACCAGTTCATTATTTCTATGTGCGATGCGCCAGAACTATTAACCATTATGAGCGAACATTCCACAGTCATGCATAGATCCAGATCGTTTAGTCAAGTCATATTTCCATGGCAAAATGAGGAGCGCTATCCCAACTCCAGCTGTGCAAGGTGTCGCTTTTTTTTTTTTTTTTTCCAACCCCATCATTAAATGCGAACTGTGCTTTCATTTCATGTGGTTGGGAATGTTCACACCTTCAGACCTCCAACGTGGTCTTCTCTGCTTGGGCAGTCACCTCCACCGGCTGGGTTCGTTGCTGGCGCTTGCCAGCAAGTCGCCTCTTATCCTCCTGCATCCGTCGGATGAGCACGCTTCTCTCCCGGATCTTGTACCCGTACTTGTAAAAGACGAACGGGATCGGCACAATGGCCACCTCCAGTAAGCCCAGCAGGGTGCCCGACCAATTGGGACCAATGCCGGCGTACATGTACGTCCCGACGAGAGGCAACACACCACCAAGGATACTGCGGATCACGGAGTTTCCGGCCAGTGCGGATGCGGCGTATACTCCGTAGCTACCAGCGAGGTAGTTGGTCGCGTAGATGAAGACGCCCGTGTTGCCGGTGCCGAAGAGCACCCCTGCGAGAATGGGGACAATCCAGGGAATCGAGGCGGGGGAGCAGGTCCAGGCGAACCATAGCTCTCCAGCTGGAATTAGAAGCGCGCAGATGCATACGAACGCCACCATGGCCTCCGGAGGCGGTTTGCCTGTCTCGGGATCGGGTTTGTGGGAGTTGATCAGACGGCGGATCAAGGGCTCGCTGGAGATGGTGATCAAACATCCGGTGCCGATGCCCAGGAATGCAAGGCCGGAGAGACCGAGGGACCAACCCCGGATTTCCCGGAAGACAATGGGGTAGGCAGTGAAGCAGAGGTATAGGATCCCATAGACGATCGCGATGTAGATGTTCCAGAATATGCTAGATGAAGATGTTAGTTTTGACGACGACACAAGACTTGATAGAGGGCTGACCAGATGGGCTCGGTGACTGCCATGACAAATGGGCGGCCCAGGTTGACTTTGAGCAATTCACTCAGACTGGCTTTCTGTTCGTATCGACACCACCAGCGGGAATCCCCCGTCTCTTTGCGCATGCGGGCGGCTTTCTTCTGCAAAATGATCGGACCATAAGTCTCCTTGAGGATACACGACAGAACCAGTGCGATGCCGGACAAAATCAGGGCGATCCAGTCCATCCAACGCCAGCCCAGATATTGGGTCACGAAACCTCCAATAATAGGTCCAATGACTGGTTGTTAGGTTAGCCACTGATGCAGCTCCTGCACGGGATTCTCTGCTTACCTGGGCCATTGATTGGACCAATGCTCCAGATAGAGATGGCGAGCGCCCGCTGATCGTCTTCAACGATATCCGCAACCATTCCGGGCGCAGTAGAGATCATGACACTTCCGAACAAGGCGGCGATAAACCGGACGACAAGCAATGTGGTCAGGTTCTTGCTGAGCGCACAGGGAATGATCAAGACGGTGAAGATGAACGAACAGACTATGGAAACCGGCTTTCGGCCGTACAGTTCGCTTAATGGAGCCATGAACATGGACCCGATAGCAAGGCCGATGAGATATAGGGTTAAGCCTAAAGTGACGACGGTGCTGGAGGCTCCAAATTCCGCTGCAATTTGAGATTCGCCAGAAGTGTAGGATGTAGAGTAGAGAACGCTGGACATGGTCAGTCTGGCTGTCGGTTGTATTCATACGCGCGACTCACATGATCAAGGTGTTGTAGGATAGGATCGCGATGCCCATGGCTTTGTAGGCAAATGACCAGTTCTTCGGGTTGTTTTTGTCGAGCCCATCGTCCCAGTCAACCTCATAGTTCGGGTCTGAGGTACCTGTCGTCCCGATAGATGTCACTCTTCTGGTTAAGGAGGGCTCCGACGCGCGAGAGGCCCGCGTAGCGATACGTGTTAGGGCATCCCCATGGTCGATTGTGTCTTCAGATGAGCCCGAGGCTGCGTAGGTTTGAGTGTAGGTGGCAGCGGATTCCTCCTTGCCATGCTGGGGGATCAGGGAAGACATGCTTTGGTGGCGTCGATTAAGTGGCCCGTGACCCGGTGATCGAGGCCTTTACAGCCAGTGGATATCCAGCCGGTACAGGCGATCTAGTCCCAAATATTCAACGTCGTGATGATGATAAAGCAGTAATCCGGGTGCGCATAAGGTAGGCGACGCTTGGGCGCGTAGGGATACCGGTACGATGGATGGACCAACTGATCTCTTAATCCAGCATTGGTAAATCAAGATCGCATGTAATACAGCGCTATGTATGAGAAGCCTGCGATTAATATTCCACGTCAACGCCGACTGAAGTGAGGTGACCCATGAAAAAGAACAAACAGTCAACAGTACAGAGCAGCCGTGCGGCAGAAGTAGAAAATGACTGCCAAGTCAAACATTGGCAAGAAACCGGTCGCTTGGAGTGATTGACGTTGGCTTTCCGATATCAAGCCTAGTGGCAATTGAATTGCGAGACGCGCCCGTTATTAGTTAATGGGAACCAGATTGGTGAGTAAGTGACATCGGGGTGGAGACCGGACGAGGGTTGTCGGGATGCGCGCCCTGATAAGCCTCGCGCTCAACTGCCAAGCAAGACAGGTGCTACTGGGCTTCATGAGACCCCGACTCGATACGTCTACCGCTAGTCTAGATGACTGTCACTTACTTGCATCTTCCACGTTGAGCTACCGAGTCCGCTGCCCTGCATTGTTGCGGTGGTGCCTTAATTGGGCGATCTGGATAACACTACACGGGGATGGGGCCCTCCTAGATTTTAGGGAGGCCCATCCATGGTCAGAACTCAGAAGCTGCCGGCCCCATTGTTGGCCTGCTGCAGACTGGTTCTTGGTCACCACGCAGTGACCTATGACACAAGGTTGCTCCCAGCACGGACCGGGCATGACTATAAAGAGACTAAAGGATGAACGGTCAAATCCCGCTACGGCATACGAGTCCCACCGTATCCTTTTAGCTGGATAGATACTCATCAGCTGTCGTTGATCTGCATTCAAAATTGGACTGGGATGGACAACAAGTCAGGTTCCTCTGCATAACTGCCAGGAGGGTTGTTTCCTGATCTACCCCGGGACCCTCAATTACTCCAGACGGGGAGAAACTGGAGTAATCCTGAACGTCACCACCGTCTGAATAAGCATCCCCACTGCGGGATGGGTAAACACGGATGCTGCAAACGCCAGGCAGAGAATCACACCAACGTCAGAGTTCTGAAAACAACCGGCTCCACTTGAAGAGAGGAGAAGTTTTGCGATTAGAGGATCGCTACATGAATCATAGCCAGCAGCCTTGTCAATTGTCAAACGTAGGGCGGGGGCCCAGGCTCGGTTCCGAGTGCCGCCCGTGCCGGTTTGCCGATTTAACTTTGTTTCGCTTCCAGAACGTGGCCCATTTTTTGCTTTTTCTGCTTTTGTTTTGCTTTTTAGGTAGCCATGCTGATTCTTGGGGGTCATAGGCAACGGCCCGTGTTCCCATGTCAACCATGATAGGTCACTTTGCTGTAGTTCAGCGTGGAGTTGGGCTATCAGCAACGGGATTCTTTCTGATAGGAGAGATACATAACATGACTGGATGAGAAAAGACTCACTGCACGGGCCACTCAGCGATAACTTGCTTATTGCTTAGGGGGAAAGGTGGTGATAACTAAGAGTGAACCTTTTCACTCCGACTACTGCTAGGCTGCTGCCTACTGATTAGGACAGGATTGTCCCTTGCAGCTGATAGCGAATCAGCGATATTACCATTGTCCCTTGTGTAACCTTTGTATCTCTACCACATCATTTGAGCTCGGAACTCGGAAATAGGCACGACCCACCTTCGGAAAGAACTGCAAAGGGCTGTTCCTGACAGCCCTGATTATAAGAACCATTTGACCTGCCTAATCTTCTGGGGTGATCTAGCTGCCAAAGATCGGTGCATATCATACTGATGGACTGTGTGGTTGACCGTCTGTGGCGTACGGAGTACTTGTCCACCATCTACGGATTGAGATCCCTTGACTGCACACACTACGTACTAGTAGGTACTGGCATCTGCAGTACCCCCTAAAAGACTGACCTTTCATCAACCAATGACCACTCCTTTTCTGGCTTTGACCGTCGCTCAATTTCCTTGGGATGTCGTCTACTTTGACTACTCCGTCCTTGTGAAACCACGGGAGCCAATCGGCCATTTCTGCGTGCTTTGGTTCCCCGCACAAGGCTGCCATCGATGCATCTCAGCCATTAAGTCTTACATTATTGAGGGACTCCTTTGCCCATTGAGTGATTGCCTGGTGGACCCCGGTTTAGCCGAGGCAGCGAATGGGCCCGTTCGCTTCGGTCTGGATCCGTTCATGGTTGGATCATGGTTCGATCGTTGATACTATTAATACCGCGGTCTCCTCGCAACTCCTAGATCTCACTAACATCCCATTCTTCGGTTAAACAGCATCGTAACATGGAAAGAATTGGTTAATTGGGATCGCACCCTCCCCCCAACCCGGATCTAACCCTTGTAATCCGTCTGCCTGGCTGCTTTCAGCATGTTTCCAGAAATTGCAGCGGTCTCCGGACTGGTCCTCCTCTACCTCTACCATGTTAATCGTGGTATGAATCATATGCCGGATGACATCCTCCGCTTGACGCCTCATCGGTGGACAACCGAGGAAATCCAAGCCGCGTATGAGGAAGCCATCCGCAACCCAGTCGACGTGCGGAAAAGTCTTCCTCCGACGCAGAATCGGCGGTATATCGTGGTTGGCGGGTCAGGTAAGTCCTACAATGTGACTGGCTCTGTGTCAATTGTCTCAACCCAAGCTAATAACCCCAGGTCTCGTGGGAAGTTGGATGGCGAGACATCTGCTCATGCGCGGCGAAGACCCCTCAGCTATCCGTATCCTGGACCTTGCAGTCCCTCCTCGCGATCTCCTCAATCAGGGCATTGCTTTCGTCAAGACAGACATTACCGACGAGAAGGCTGCGATTGATGCCTTTGCACAACCCTGGCCTGAATCCGTGGCCGATCAACCCTTGACCGTTTTCCACAACGCCGCTGTAATCAGGCCCGGCGAGCGCCACAAGGCTTTCCTTCCCCGCTGCCGCAATGTCAATGTCAACGGCACCGTGAACGTGCTGAATGCTGCAAAGAAAGCCGGAGCAAGCTGTTTCGTCTCGACATCCTCCGGCTCCATCTGTATCCACCGTCCCTCCTTCTGGATTGCTCCGTGGCACAAGACCCCCAAGAACTTCGTCCAGGTCATCAACGACTCCCACCCCGTCCCCCAAACCCACGACCAATTCTTCAGCAATTACGCCGCCTCCAAAGCCGAAGCCGAGCGCATTGTTCGCGCAGCCGATGACCCCAGCAACAACTTCCGCACGGGATGCATCCGCCCCGCCAACGGCATCTATGGCATCGGTGACACGGACGGTTCCCTCACAGGATCCTATCTACGCAACGGCGGCAGCCCAAGGTACTACCCCCAAACCCCCTTAAATCAGCCTCTGATCCATACGTATTCTCTCTAACACCCATCCACCCAGCTGGCTCTCCAACATCGTACACAACTTCGTCAGCGCCGAAAACGTCTCCATCGCCCACCTCGCCTACGAACACTGTCTCATCAACAACCACACCAACAACCTGCCCAACATCGGCGGCCAAGCCTTCCTAATCACCGACCCCAACCCACCCCCCACCTACCGCGACATCTACCTCCTCATGCACACGCTTTCCAAAACCCCCGCCAATTTCCCCCCTATCCCCGCCGTCCCGTTCCTCCTTCTTTCATATCTTTCTGAATGGTATGCGTTGCTGCAGTGTTGGTATGCTTCGTGGCTGCCTCGTCTCTCGGAAACTATGGAGAAGTTGCAGCCGGGTTTGTTTGGGATTATCTGTGTGCACTTTGTGGTGGATGATGGGCGGGCTCGCATGGCGCCGGCACAGGGCGGGTTGGGCTATGTGTCCCCGATTACGACGTTGTATGGGATGTGTAAGGATTTGGAGGCTTGGAATGAGAAAGTTGGTGGTAAGGGGGTGGGTGGGATTGGGGAGGGAGGGGAAGGGGGTGTTGTTGTGCAGAAGGAGAAGATGTGATTATGATTTTTGGAGTGGATTGTAGATTAGGATCTGTGTGGTTGTACTGTATATTGTAGGGATAGAGTTGACGTTCCCGTTGAATTCTTGTTTAGATACGGTGATTTAATTTAATATATACCATACCTGTATATTCAACTCAACTGAACTACTTCTCTGATAGGTAAGTTCTGGGTATCTTCTTTGATTCGACTGGTGATTGAAAATACTTCAGTCTTCCTGTTCTTTTTACTAATCGTGGGGACAGGACTTGTTCCTTCGCATAGTAGCAATTGTGCAAGACGTATATTCGACTCAACTGCTATTTTTATCCTATACTAAATACCCCCCCCCCCACCCAATAAGTAACTCACAACCTCGACAACCACGTCACCTCCCCAGGAGCATGATACTCCGGCACCTTCATATCCAAATCCTTACCCGAATATCCCAGATCCTCGGCTGTCAACACAGCACATTTCTCTCCGATGAGGAGGGCCGTCTATCACAGACATATTAGCATAATATTCTCCCCCCTTACCCTATACCCCATACCACCTAGCCTAGAAAAAAAGAAACAGGGTAGAAAGGTATACATACACTGTACGTATTACACCCCACATTGTCAGGACAGATGGAGAGATCGGCTACTTTCAGTCCTTCTACTCCATGAACGTTTAGGCGTTCGTCGACGACACCACCGTGTGGGGTGAGAGCGTTTCCTTGGCGGGGGGCCATGCTGCATGTACCCAGGGAGTGCCAGGTTGTTTCGACGTGGCGTTGGACTTTGTTTGGTGTTTAGTTAGTTGGGGTTCGTTTGGATAGGGTGAATTGAGGTGAGGGTAGGGTAGGATTAAGCTAAATTGGGGAGGAGGAGGTATAGGAGGTAGGAGGTATAGGGGATAAGAGGAATAAACGCACCCCACTTCTCGATATGTTCAATATCCTTCTTACTATACTGCAACGACTCCCGAGTCTCCTGCTTATTAGAGTTGAGCATCGTTGGGGAAGCAGGCGAAGTGCCCGGTTCAAGAGGCTGGGACCAAGAACCTATAAAATATCTCAATGAGTATACTACCATCCAGAAGAAAGAAGAAGGGGGGGGGGGGGGGGGGGCTACCATGTTGAATCCCCGCAGAAATATGATTCGGACCAGCATATGCCTTCGTAGTGGCTAGGTCAAGATCAAAGGCTCGCGCAGGCGAATCGAAGGAAAAGTGCGGATGCATGCCGGTCACCTCGCCCGCATAGGCATTCATGCGTCGGGCAGTTTCGCGCGACTTGATGTATCCCCAGACCATTGGGGCCATGTCGCGTTTGTCGTTCATGAAGCCGGCGTCGAAGTCGGGGCTTTCGTAGGGATCGGCGGATTGGATGTGGGTGAAGCCTCGGGAGAAGGGGTATTCCTGTGCTGTTTGTTAGTGGGGATGGAGCAAGTTGGGGAAGAGAGGGGAGAGGAATGCAGACGAGGAAGTGGAACATGGTGAAGAACTTGCCCGGGGGCATCAGCATATGGTCGCCGAACCAGCTGGGAGAGTTAGTGGTGAATACTTGTAGGTGGAGAGGATCGAGATTACCCGGCTATCACAGAGTAATGCATCACTGGCTTGTCCGGCTTGTTCTTAAAGTAACTCTCCCATCCCTTGTAAAAGTCGTTGGTTGGCCAGGTCTTCATCTCCTCGAGCTCCTTTGCATCGGGGCGGATCTTCACCCCCGCATCAATGCCGTTGGTCGCTAGAGGCCCCGTGCCTTTGATGTTCCATTCCTCAAACACTTTCTTCTGCACCTCTGGGTCTCCGCGGACAAAATCATCAAAGGACTCGACGTCTGGTTTGGCCCGGTAGACGGAAAAGGTCAGGTAGTGGTCCTGGAAGTTACGGCCAACACCTGGTAGATTCACCAGGGGCTGCACGCCAGCGCGACGGAGTTTCTCGGGGTCACCAACACCCGATCTCTGAAGGATGAGAGGGGAGCTAAGGGTGCCGCCGCTGATGATGATCTGCTTGCGGGCCCTGAAGACCGTCCGTTGGGGATCGCGGCCTGCGAGCGGCTTGGTGGGAACGGTTGTGACGCCAACGGCGCGGCCGTTCTCAATGATCACTTTGTCGACCTTGGTGTTGCACTTGAGGTGCAGATTACTATACTTGGCCCGGGTGCTATGGACATACGCATGGGCTGAGTCACTACGACGGCCTGATGACTGTTAGTGGGATTTTGGATGGGTGATGATAGCCATACCAGTGTCGCGGTTGATCCATTTCAGCCAGTGCTCGGCTCCGTGGCTGCATGTATAGTCAGCAAGGCGTCGCGTATAGGCCTACATCACAAGCTTACCCTGTCTTCAGATCCTGCAAATCATCCGTGACAGGAATATCCTGCGACTCTGCAGCACGCAAAAAGTCCTGCGTGATGGGATACGTGTAGTTCCCGAACGAGACCTTGATGGGCCCTTCAAAGCCATGGACATCCCGGTTATTGCAGGCTCGCTGGTACGTCTCATGCTTCTTCATCAAGGGCAGCAGCTCATCAGTCGTCCAGCCCTTGGCCTGGAAATCATCATAATCGGAGGCAGAAGCCCGGGTGTACATCTGACCTGTTAGCTTTACTCTAGTCGTGGACAGGAGCATCCTACCATGAAGTTGACGGAGCTGCCTCCGCCGAGAACATGGGCACAAGGCACAATAGCTCGCCGTCCATCCAGCCATTCCGAGGGCCGGGAGTAGTAGAAAGAGGCTGTCTTGGAGTCCAGCTTCATGTTCCGGGGGTAGATGCCCGGACGATAGACCCTGACTTGGTTAGGACTGAGTGCTACATGGGATAGAACCTACCATGGGTTGTTCAAGTTGTCTTCACCCGCTTCGATCAGCAGAACCTGGAGATTCCGGCCCAGGTTGGCAAGACGACCGGCAATGACGCAGCCGGTGCTTCCACCACCGCAGACGATAATGTCGACTTCATCTGGGATGGTCATGGTGGATTGTTTCGCTTGATAGGATTGGGAGTCAAAAGAGGTGCGGAGGTGCGATTCTCAGAATGAGAATCTGGACATTGAGCCAGATGAGAGGGTTTATATACCCTAACCCGGTAAGACTACGCAGCACCTCCTCACCAGGCAACCACCCCGCACGGTTATGTACGTCCCCTCTCGCATACGAGCCCTGGCAAGGATACCGACCAGGCATTGGCCGTCGAGGTCATACAAGGGACAAAGAATCCGGGATGGTGATATGGTACATGGCACCGTGCCTATGATGTTGAATACAAAAGTACAGACGTTGCTGCAGATTCCCCGCACGTCGAGAGGGGGTGATGCATAGTGCATGCAGTGCGTTGTCAGAGATAGATGATATGAAGATAGATTAATCTAAGTACAGGAACAATATGCGGGAGCCTGTGACGGACACATAGTGTTCTGTCCGCCGTGGATGGCGACTGATTTCAACCAGGCGGAGACAATTCACTAGCAAAAACAATCGAGCAGCTCCAGATCAATCGCACCGAATCTCAGCAACAGGCTGCGTACTTGTACGGGTCAGCTGGGAGCTCGGAGGGAACCATCCAATGGTAGGCCTCGCGGCAGCTGGGATACAAAGAGGAACCCGGCAACATGCCGAACGCATCACCAATGCGCATTGGCCGGATAGCCACGGACGGAAAAATTGCTCCTCAGCACAGTCATCCTAGGCATTAATTGCTTTCATTATGCGGAGCCGTCTTGCCGACGTCTGAGCTGTCGCAGTGGTGACGATGTTCCAAGGTCTCGACTTTGCGGTGGTGCGGGGAACGACAAGAGCTGAGCTTCCCCGCCTGCCGGCATCGCCACCATCATATCCGAACGCCAATGATGATCCCCGCTAATTTTGGCGTCGTCTTATATGAGACGAATGCAGCATCTTCTTTGTCGTATCCAAATTAGGGCCAGCCCCAAGACACTGGGCAACTCGCCGCTCAGCAGACTAGTTCTACCAGGTGGATCCCCTTTCACCTGGCAAACAGTGCGACTCCGTACACCCCAGCCGAGTAGGTCCATCCCGGCAATAGGTTGTCGGAGATGCTTTACTGCGCATGCTGCTGCGCCAGTTGGCGCCTTTGCTCAAGGATCTGCATACGCAGGCCCTCTGCAGCCAATTCCACATCGAGAATGGCACCAACGCCTCGTCTCCATGACTCCTCCAACCCCACAATCTCCCCCTTGTGGGCTTCCTGGGCGAGCTTTCTCTCCTTGTTCACCGTGTCCGCAGCCTCCTTCACTTCGGCCAGCTCCTTCTCAAGCCCCCGTAGTATGTCTTCCAGCTGGGAATTGCCAATAAGCCAAGCATTCTTTCCGTTCTCCTCCAGCAGTGCCAGGTTCTCGTGTCTCATCGATAGATGGGAGCTGGCGGTGTAAGCCTTTTGCAATGTCCGTTTCCATCCTTCAAGGTCGGGTGTTCCATCTGAGGATTTAGCAGGCGCCTCGGGGGCTTCATAGCGGGAGAGGTCGATTCCGCCAGCCCAGGGCAATCCAGCCGCCTTGCGGTCAACCTCCTGCTGGATGAGGGGGGATAGCCTTGTCTCAGGAAAGGCCGGAATGGACGAATGAATGGTGGTCCGAGACTCCAACGGGAGTTCCGCAGCGATTAGCTTTTCTGCAGCTGCTCGCGCCTGGGTAGAAGGCTCCGGTTCGATGTCTAGTCTCACGCGTTAGACAGATGGTTTTAGTAGAGGTAAGGCAGCTTACAAGGAAGGGAATCATGGGATTCGTTGATAAGAGGCATGTTGACAGAGACCTATGTCCGCAAGATGAATAGTGAGAACCTAAAGCCGGGGTAATCGCTGGGTGAATCGCATCACAGCACCTCGCGATCGCATCAGCTTTTGCCCGGACACAGGAGGGCGGTGAGAGTGGCTGACTCAGCGGGTTCTGCCACGCATGATCCGGGGTCACGGGCCTTACCGTTTTGGGCAGCCCAAGTATAGAGCTCGCCGACCCGAGGCATTCTTCTTTCATATTCATCCTGCACGCGATCATTCTTCTCGAGTGTTGTCTTTAGGCAAGACGGGCCTCACATCCTTTGTTTAATTAAAGAATCAGCCTAGGCCTCGCTACCTAGAATGTGTTCATGCGATCGACATGGCTCCCTGCTACCCTGTACCCTGTGACATCCTGTGCTGATTTCTGACTGGTCAGTCCCCCGCCATGGCATCCATTGACAGCAACCATGATGACTCAACCATCACCAGAGTCCTTCATCTCAGCGCAGTATTCGGCCTCAGAATCCCCTTGTCAAGCTATGCGGGGCGACGAGAGCATCCCTGATCGAGCCTAGCCGCGGAGGACAACAGGACGAGCCGGACCCTTCCTGCTACATTCCAGTCGCCTTCACACCAATCGCGCCTCTTCCGCCGTCCGTTTTCAAGGCTCCAGGACGCTGCAGTGTCATCACCGGCACCCTTTTCCAAATTAGCCGGTCATGCCTTGTGATAGCCCCTGCCTCGGTCGGTTCTTGCAATAAGAACCTTGCATTCCCGTGGCCAACCTGAGAACGTCCTGGTGCTCTAACGACCCAGAGCATATCGCATATCTCGCGGAATGGCCAATATTAGGCTTGGCGTGGCTCTGGCCAGCAGCTTAGCAACGGCTCTTGTGTTTCTGCAACTCTTCTCGTTGGTTCAGAACCATTACCAGCCACTCGATATCGGTGCACAGCCTAAGTGGGTACACAGAGCGGCTGCTACTACGGCGGATGATGATGGCATCTTCCTGCTAGGGGCAGGAAAGGCGGATATAACGGGGTAATACTCCTGTCCTCAGGACCGCATCCACGTTGCTAATCCGTCTACCAGGCCCGTTGTCGAGCTAGGGCTTAATGGCTATGCTAACCTGGATCAGATTGGGACTGGTCTTCGGCAGAGAATCTATTCTCGTGCTTTCATTGTTGCGGATGCCAATAGTCCAGATGACACCTTTATCTATTTAGTCGTGGATGCCCAGTCGGGTGACACTGCTGTACGACATGGCGTGCTTGAGGGTCTTGCTAGCCTAGGGGGCGACTATGCTCGGTACACCGAGCAAAATGTTGCCCTTACTGGAACTCACTCTCATTCCGGCCCGGGAGCCTGGATGAATTATCTTCTTCCTCAGATCCCTACGAAAGGGTTTGATAAACAAAGCTACCAGGCGCTTGTCGATGGTGTTATTCTTTCTATCCAGCGAGCTCATGAGAGTCTGGCGCCTGGGCGTCTGAGCTTTGGGTCAATAGACCTAGAAAATGCCAATATCAATCGAAGCCCCTACGCCTATGATGCCAATCCCGCGGAAGAAAAAGCACGGTACTCGGCAAACGTGGATAAGACGCTGACCCTTCTGAGATTTGATCGGGAATCCGACAACAAGACCACGGCTGTGCTCACCTTCTTCCCGGTCCATGGCACATCCCTGTACGAAAACAATACCCTGATCACTGGAGATAACAAGGGAGTTGCCGCTTGGCTCTTCGAGAGAAGTGTCCAGAGCGACCAAAGGTTTGCGGATGACTTTGTCGCAGGCTTCTCTCAGTCGAATGTCGGCGATACCAGTCCGAATGTCCTGGGTGCTTGGTGTGAGGATGGCACTGGACAGGAATGTAAATACTCGGACAGCACGTGTGGTGGAAAGACAGAAGACTGCCACGGCCGTGGACCCTTTTTCCGCGAGAAGGACAACGGCGCAAAGAGCTGCTTCGAGATCGGACGGCTGCAGTACGCAGCTGCGAAAGAATTGTACGGTCAACTGGATTCTAATCCTGTTCGGATCCTTTCCAGCACCGGCGTCCGCTCTTTCCATGTATACCAGGACTTGTCCAACTACACCTTCCAATCACCGTTCAATGGTAGCACCCTGAAGACATGCCCGGCAGCGTTGGGATTCTCCTTCGCAGCAGGCACCACGGACGGGCCAGGAGTGATGGATTTCACTCAGAATGGCACCGGCCCAGCTGATTCCAATCCTCTGTGGTACGTTGCGCGCGCGTTCGTTCATCAACCATCGAAAGAACAGCAGGCGTGCCAAGCGCCAAAAGAGGTCCTTCTTGACGTCGGGCCAATCACACAACCGTATGCCTGGACACCAAATATTGTGGACATTCAGCTCCTGAGGGTGGGCCAGCTATTCATCATCATCTCTACAAGCGAGGCTACAACCATGTCGGGGCGGCGGTGGAAAGAAGCCATTGCCCAGTCAGCCACTGATGTTCTTTCGGTCGCCGAACCACTCGTAGTTCTGGGGGCACCGTCCAATAGTTATGCTCATTACGTTGCTACGGAGGAGGAATACGGAGTGCAGCGCTACGAGGGGGCCTCGACCCTGTATGGCCCCAGCACACTTGCGGCGTATGTCAACCTGACCCTTATGTATCTGCCATACCTCGGACAATCGCCCAAGGCGTCTAGTTTACCGTCATTGTCATCCGGCGTGGCGCCTCCTATCAACACCAACAATTCACTGAGCTTTATCCCCTCGGTGGTATATGATGGCTCGCCTGTGGGCAAAGCATTTGGGGATGTTGTATCCTCGGCAGCCAATATCACCTATGGGCCGGGGGATGTCGTGAGCGTCACGTTTGTGGGAGCCAACCCCCGAAACAACTTGCGCTTGGAGTCCAATTTTGCGGCCGTGGAGAAGTACAACTCCGGTAACGGATCATGGGAGGCTGTGCGCACCGACAGTGATTGGAACCTTCTGTATAATTGGGAGAGGACGAGTACCATCCTTGGATACAGCGAGGTGACGCTCCAGTGGCAGATAGAGGATGAGTATTACAGTACTGGAAACCCCAATCCTGTGGAGGGCGGGACTTATCGGTTCCACTATTATGGCGATTCGAAGACTGTGTTGGGCAAGATATCATCCTTCGAAGGGATTAGCGAGGCGTTTACGGTCGCAGTCAGCTGAAGTCATTATGGATTGGTTGAGAGTCTCCATCCGGTAATGACTTTGGGGCTTGGGCCGTGCATCACTGCTATAGCATGGGAATATAAGCAATCCAATTTCATCGTGTGCGTAGCTCCTCCAATGATTGTCTAGCCATGGCTCAAGGTGGTGGCTTAGCATCTCCGTGAGGCGTTTCCCCGACCGCAGGAATGTATTGGAGGGCCTGACCAGCTCCATTTTGCTTCAGCGGTCTGCAGAACAGAGCGGGATTGCCAATGGATCGGGTGGGTGCTGCAAACCTGCAACATCCTGGAGCCGTTCTTTGTCGCGCGCCAACTCGACTCGCGACAGCCAACCGTTCCAGTGCCCACCACCAGCCAGTCTACGCCAGTCCCACCACCGCAGGCACCTCGCTGGTAGGTTTCATGTCAAGCTGCAGACAATGACGGCCCAGGCCGTGCTTAAACTAAATAAAGAGGCCGATGCTCTCGTGGCCCGCTGCCTTCTTAAAGCTCTCTTTTGCCGCCGCTCTCATTCGCTCCCACCGTCTTTCTCTCCAATTTTTCTCTCCTTCTTCCTAATAGTATTGTTCTTCTTCCCTTTCTCGTTCGCTTCTTTCATTGTCTCTTAATAGCTCACGCAAAGATGAATCACTATCTCTGAACTTGCCGAGTCATGCCCGTCCAGCTTGACAATTATTTATACTGGCATCCTCTCTTTCACTGCTAGTCTATTGCATCATACTTCATAATCTCCAGCAGAACGCAGAATGTCTATTCTCCACGTGATCCTCTTGGTTCATTTCTTTGTCTTTACCTGCGCGGCTGGCCCGATCGCTCTTTTGGCTCCCAAGATCAGACACCTCGAGTCACTCGCTCCATCCCCTTCGCTTACTACCCCCTATGTGCACGTTGCCAGTCATATTGTCGACGAAGCTGCTGGCGATGATGACGATGGTGGCGACGCATTGACCGTGATTCCTGTAACACCGTCCAGCCTCCCTCAAGCTGCACACACCACCACCGAGCCGCTGTCCAGCTCAAGTGCAGTGGTTCCAGCACCATCTACATCCCATTCTACTCGGGTTGAACCAATTACTCCGGCTGAATCTTCTTCTGCGAATGCAGCCTCGCCTAGTACCTTGTCGGTAATGTCGGAGAGCACCACGGAAGCCTCATCGCCCATCCCCGAGACTATAACCCCATCATCTGCAGTCACGGTGTCACCCTCAAGTGCAGCATTAATCTCTCCGACGAAAACGTCCTCATCACACGCCTCGGACTCTATAACTTCCTCTAGTACACTTGCAGAGTCCTCCCATGTCGCTACGTTGTCCTCCTCGAGCGTTGTACCGGAGACTTCAATGAAAGCTTCGTCCTCCCACAACCCAGAGACATCGTCCTCTATTATAATACTTGAAGTATCGCCTTCCGCAGTCTCGCACTCGTCAAGTGCAACAGAGGTTCCCACAAAATCCTCATCATCCCACGTGCGAGAGACCATCGCGTCCTCTAGTAGGCCACTCCAGTCTTCTAGAGTCGCAGCCTTGTCCTCAAGCGCCGTGCCAGCGATCATTATAGATTCTTCGTCATCCCACGTGCCTCAAACTACAACGTCTAGTACGACGCTTGGAGTAATCGGGCCAATTCTGGGGGCCAGCACCAGCTCTTCCTCTTCCCCTTCCTCTACCTCTTCATCTGCCTCTTCATCCTCATCTTCTACCTCGTCCACTTCCAGTGAGAGCATAGCGACTCCAACCCTCACTTCTACCAATGATGTCTCCTCGTCTACGACTTCCATGGAAGGAAAATCAACCCTTGCGACCGTAAAAGCCACTGGCAGTGTTGAGGCTATCGCCCCAAGCTCGCAAACCCCTACGCCAACATCGCACAAGCCTTCCCCATTCATTGGCGTGACAGTGGCTGAGACCACCTCATCGTCAGGAATAGCGGATGCTAGTACAACCTCAGCCCCTACCCCAGTCGTCGTGCTGGTCACGCCTGAAGGTTCAACGACTCTGGTTGGGACGTCCTATCTGGCCCCTGATCCAGATACAATCTCCACCTCCACCCCAACTACAACCCCAGAATCCGAAGAAACAAGCACCATCCACGCAACATCAACCTCAGTCAAAACTGTCTACGTCACCATCGCCAACAAACCAACCACAACCAGCACAACCACATCCTTCGCTCAAGACTCAACATCTACCATCAACACCCCAGAGCCTGCCCCAGCATCTACAACTCAAACAGAAGCAGCAGTTACATACACACCTACATCTACATCCATAGTCACATCAACAATCATAGTGAAACTAACGCCAACTCCCACCGAACAACCCTCAACCTCTTCCACAGAAGCCGACGAAGAAACAACAACCCCAACCACAGCAGAGCCGAAAACAGCAACAATAAGCTACTCCTCCACCACCGAAACCGGCGACATCCTCAGGATTGTCCCAGTCACACCAACAGGGCATGGTTATATCACTATTACCGAGACGGAGACAAAGATGGAGACAAAGACCGTAACGGAGACAGAAACGGAGACCAAAACCGTAACGGAGAAAACCACCGAGACTGTGACTGTTTCTGAGCAAACATAACACCACATAATTGGTTTATTAATGTGCTGGATAATGTATCTCTTTCCTATGGTTGGGGATAAGAAAGGGGGCAAATAGTTGACAATGTAATTATTAGAATTGATCTGCTCGACAACAATCGCTTAGGTTCATTGTATATAGAATCCATGTATACACCGTGCAGTGATGCTTGGCGCTTAGTCATACTGCATAGTTAAGCCTCCTGGCGGCTATTTAGGGAGCTCAGCCTCTTGTACCTTACTTTCCCTTGTACTTGATCATCTCCAGAGCGTTCCAGTAACGCCTGAATGCCTAATGTCGGCTCTTTGGCGACTGGCCATGACATCGCGACGTAGTATGTTCTCCTTCGCTCAAAAGCCGCTCTGGCAGTTACCGCCCAATTCGGGGCCTCCAATTCCTCAGCAGGAACGTGTCGACGAGGAGCTTTGTCCTGCCTACAATTCCGCGGATTTCTACCCAGCAAGGCCCGGGGAAGTACGGGTCAAGAAATTCCAACTACTTACCAAGATTAGCTGGGGATCACAATCCACCGTGTGGCTCGCCCGAGACATTTCAAGGTACCCGCGCTTGCTTGCTTCATGTTGGCCTCCGAGAAACTGATCCTGGCCAAGATTCAGATGGGAATCTGAGCGAACAGTAGCCCTGAAGATAATAAATTGTAATGATGCCGATGATGTCCTGCATGAGAAGGAAATTGAAAGCCATATCGCTCAGCAAAGTCCAGAGCATCGAGGCCGCGTGATTCTACGGACGTGTTTGGATGACTTCGAGATCACTGGTCCGGAGGGAAAGCACATGTGCCTCGTATATGAACCAATGAGAGAGCCTCTCTGAATTTTACAGAGGCGCTTCGTTGATCGAAAGCTTCCTTTGCCCATTGCGAAGGCCTATATCTATTTTCTCCTTGCTGGTCTTGACTATCTCCATTCGGAATGCAAAGTTGTCCACGCGTGTGAGTGCTAATCGTAATTCCCTGCTCCCATTCTGATATTCTCTTTCAGATCTAAAGCTCGGGAATATCCTCATGAGCTTCGAAAACGAAAATATCCTTACCCGCTTCATTCAGCGACAACAACCTATGCATTCCAAGATTGATCGCGAGAGTGGCCGGACTATCTACCGCTGCCATAATGATTTCGGTGCTCTTGATGCGAAAGAAATTAAGAACATAGTTCCCATAATAGCCGATTTCGGGCTTGCGACAAGACTCAACCAGCCATCTACAAAAGACGGAATGGTGGGAGAGCAACTTGGCATTTATCCCATCCAACCAGACTACTACCGTGCTCCAGAGGTAATTCTTGGCTGCGGTTGGGATTCTAAGGCAGATATTTGGAATTTCGGCGTGCTGGTAAGACCCCCGTACTTGTTTATCTGGACATGTACAACGCTCGTGCTTTTCGTTTCCTCTCTTATGTTTGATATCGTTGGCGGGCATCATCCTAATGATGTCTTTTGGCAAGTTGTAGAATGTTCTTGGGACCAAGGAGTTATTCCAGCAGGTGCATGATACAGATGGCCATTACGACGCAAAGTCACACCTCGCTGAAATGATTTCCCTATTCGGCCCGCCCCCAAGGCATTGCTTGCGAAATCCCAGGTCATGTCCGAGCACAACTGGCCCCAGCCCGTCACGAACGACTCTGGCAAGCTCTGCAATAATTCCCAAGAATTCTTTGGTGGCCCTTTCTTTAACGCAGATGGTGGGTCGAGGAATATCCCATATGTCAACACCTGGCTTACTGACCGTTCAAGATGAATTTCGACATAATGAGTTGATTCCATCTCAAAGCTTGGAGGACAGAATCCCATTCCTTGAAGAGAAGGATCGAGAAGTATTTGTATCCTTTGTTCGACAAATGCTTACCTGGCTCCCGGAGAAGAGGAAAACAGCTCATGAATTGATGGATCACCCGTTTCTGAAACTTAGGCGCTAACAACGGCCAAATTACTTGGGGGAATCAAGCCTTACAAAGTACCCGGTTTCAGACTAGCCCTCTACATTGTCCATCAAACCCCGCTAGCATATACTACGAGTTAACTAACATAGAGCACACTCCAGTTGCAAACGAGCCAGCTGAGCTTCCATATCCAACAACGTGTGAAGCCAGCCTCTCAACCATGACGTGCTACATACACCCAGGGGTTTCAGTTGGCGCTTCGAGAATGGAAGAGCTGCATGCAGGTGGAGCCCAAAGCGAACTAGACAGTCACCATCACCAGTAGGTAGGTACATTATATGCACACGAGGCTCAAACATACAACAGTCGAGAAGAAAAAGGGAAAAAAGGGCTGCTGACCTTAGAGTGGGCGTTTAAAATCCATCCAATCAAAGACAATACAGGCAATCTGGATATCCCAGTTAGCGACAAGGTTGCACACACATCCTTCGGCGTATCCCGAGCCCCCCATTTTTATGACCACTATTCGCTCAACACTTTCCCCAAATATCTAGACTATACACACACACAGCGAAGCGGGCATTTAAAGCGATCTATGACAGATCAGGCCCCCTGCCGTCGCCAGTCCATTTAAACCACAACGCTACTAATAATATAGCAGAACCCTGGACCAGATTCCGCGGCGAAGCGCGCCGAAAGAGTGAAGAGTAGGTACTACTAGAAGCTTAGTGATTATTCCATGACTAAGTGGGTAGGTAACTAGGTAGGTAGGTACTTTGGGGAAAGGGGAAGGGGAAACTAGGTACCTATAGAATATCCACCAAATGTCAGCCTTTATGGCTTTTAGAGCATTCCTCTGTGCGATGCTATATGTGACTCGGAAGAAAAGACCCGATGAGAACGAACTGTTACTTATTGGCCTTTCTTCTTCTGCGGCCCTGTTCGTGAATCATAAAACTCACGCAAGATCATTCAGCCCTGTAGGGATTTGTTGCTAGTGTGTGCAAATGGGCCTTGCGCTATATGCAGCTTGTTGGGCCTTTTTGTGTTAAGCCCCTATCCTTTGGTACAGCAGGAGATGGCAACCGAGACTGTCGAGTCTGTCGTTTCGTTGAAGTCATTGCGAATCATGCAAGGAATCTGGCGCATCAGGATGGTAGTACGCGCGTTGGGAGGAAATGGACTAACCAGGGATGAAACTGTGAGGACGAGTGGATTCGGAGGTTGGTTGGTAATGTTTCCACCATTCGGTTATGAAGTCGGGTATACAATTCATGGCTGAATCGTCCCAGGGGGATTTCCTTTCTGGGGGCGGTCATAATTGGAATAGAGGGAGAATTGCACCAGTATTATACCCGCTGGCTATTTAATCTTATCGGGAGGATTGACTTACAGTTTGACTCGTCTCAAGTCTAAGTGATTCGGCGGATGGGCCAGTCCCCTAAGCGCAGGGCCTAGCTCCAATGGTAGACAGTAAGGATCGAACATTTCTATATTGGTGATACTTCATGACATGTTCAGTCATCTCCAGAATACAACTCTATTATAATACAATTCCAAGGCCGTTCAGTCATCTTGCCCAATACACACTCGGAACTCCGTCCCCAGCTAATCAATCAAACACAGAAGTACTCGAAAGCAATTAGTTGGCCATCCAACTAAACAATCAATACAGCCTGCCCAGACTTTGGTGGATGCAAGTAGCAGTTTTGGAACCCTATCACAGTTCGGATAACACTCCCCCTGCTTCGGCAAACTTGGATTGGTATTCTTTCAAACTGGCCCACTGGCGCAGCTCTTCTTCGTCACGGTCGTGATCACTTAGATAGCTGATCGATTGCCGATGTGACCCGGGACTAGTCCCAGCTGCTATCAGACCTGGTCTCACCCCCTCGAGGCGGACAAGTGTGTCGATGAATGCGCGAAGGTAGGTTTCCGCTTCGGTCGTGGTGAGAGGGTGCGGGCCTGACATGGAGGGGGTGATCACGCTGTGATGAGGGAAGTTGAGTAATGTGGATGCGACTTGCCGAACTTTGGAGGTCTGCAGATAGATCAGTAATTGGGACGAATGGCAAAGGGTGCTAGTGTGCATACAAAGCTGCCACCATTGGGCTCCATGTTGACTTCGTTGACCGACTGCAACAAGATGAACAAGTCGCGGATCACGAGCCGACGCTCTTCGGCCATCATCTGACCAATGTGGTCGGATTGCGCATCCGCATCGGATATGTCCTGGTTATGTGACTGCTCGCCCTCGACCTTGATGGTGGTTCGAGGGCTCAGGGGGATTTGTTCGTCGGACAGTTTTCGCTGCATTTTCCATGCCCCATACAAGGTCCAATATTTCTCAACCAAGTATGACCTGGTGCCTAGCTGGGTTGCGTACATGTTCGCCTTTTGGATCTCATATTGTACATGACGGGTATCCTCCGCAATGGGCGTGGGACTGAAGTGGCCCTGCCCATTGCTCGACCTAGAGTCATCGGACAGCCGAATCACCAGTTCTCTGGGGACACTAGAGAGTGCAGCTTTAGCCTGTTGCAGACACTCCCACATCAGGGAACGTTGCCGGTTCCAGTCAAAGATCTGGCCGCGCCCAAACGCCGTCTCCCAGGCGGAGAGGGCATTGTAAGAATGCAGCACACGAACGTTGGCATTAAAGCCCACCAAAAGTGACACCCGATTGGGTGGTTGTGGATCCACATGAGTTGAGAAGATATATTCGTCGTCCACCTCGAGTGGCAGAGGAGGATAGCGTTCAGTAGGAGTCTCGGAAGGCACATGGATAGTTGCGTCGCCAGAGCCTAGCTGCTGCAACGTCCGATAGCCGGCGATGGTGGTGTAGAATAAACGTCGCCCGAGTTCCTGCTCGATGATATCGACGGGATTATCAGCCATCGCACCAGACGGATCTTGCGAATAACGTGACGAGGAAGACGGGCTAGTCGGAGTCATTGATGAAAAGCGGTTCGACTGGCGGCAGAGATCGTACACATGTATCATGGTCAGACATTCGGCCAAGTATGCGCGACATCGGCGTATGTGCCAGACATATCCCGAGCAGAGGCCGAGAAAATAGCTGATGGCGGCATCGTAGATCGTTGCGCTTCGGTCAAGGTAGCCGGAGCCCCGAGCTTGGACTGCGACGTCATGGCACCGCTTGACCAGTGCCATTGAGTGCGGGAATGCTGCTTTTTCGGCTTCCGTCTTGATGTGCTGTTTGGGTCGTCGCGGAAAGGAGGCCACTAGGGTCCCGATCATGGCGGCCGTGAGGGCTAGAAAGGTGGGATTGGTGAGGTCCTCTCGTCGCTCCAAAGAGGCGCGGAATGTGGGTTCATGGGGAACGGGAACCAATGGGTGAATGAAGGTAAAGAAATCATCTATGAGCAGTCGGACTGTAGGCAATGAACAAATGGATTCCAGCGACAGGAGAACCGGGCTTGCTGAGGGCGTCGATGCTGGAGGACCCGGGGTAGTAGTGTGGTCTGACGGACTCGGAGAGCCCGAAGGGGATTCTGCTAATTTCTGCTTTTTGAATGCTTCTGCATGGCGGTTGGGGGGACCACGCCGGCGACTCGGTCGTTCATAGGTACAAGGAATGTCTAAGCTTGCGCACGACCGACAGGGTGGTCCGCTGGTGTCGCACTGCACACATCAAGTGGGGTTAGCAACCATAGCATAGGACGGGGGCATTAGAACATCTACCTTCACTTTGCGAATACTACAGGCATCACAAGCCTTGCGCAGCCGGGTTCGTTGGTCCATGGGTATACAAAGAGCACGGTGGATGCTCCCATGCTTTAAAGGAAGACTAGAACATCGGGGCCTGGTGCAGACAAGGACCGGGACCGTCCGCGCATACTAAACCGCTGAGGCGGTACGTTGTGGCGCTGTCGGGCGCGGGCCGGAGATGAAGGCGAGATGGGTGGGGGAGAGAGATCTGGAGAAGATGCAGCCAGAATAGTAACGGATAGTTAAGGCCGGTCGATAGCACCGGGCACTAACGACGACTGCAGCACTGCACCTGGGCACCAGCAGGGGGGGGAGAGGGACAGGGTAAGCGGAATAGGTATCGGATAAACGGCGCAGTCGCTGTGGGGGAAATTGGAAGGACGATCGCCGGACGAGGCTCGAAAGTTATTAAGGGCGGCGTCTAGAAGCCGACTCGATCGCAGGACCGTTCAACATTTGAGTTTAGACTTGTGAGAGAGTGGTCAGCGTTGTTCCCAAAGAAGCGACCCCGGAGTGACCTAATGCAATATGGACCACCGGTCAAGATCCCCGCCCAGTGGAGGTCTAGACGATAAAGCCGCCGGCTTAGGTTGGCTGGTAGCCTGGTACCTTAAGTTGGGTGACTCCGCCGTCGATCGAGAGGAGGGGCTCCAATGACGGGTGGAATCGGAAGCCTGCACCTCACCGGTGATGACCGTTTATGGAGCACCATGGGTGCGTCTGCTGTGTTTTCTTCCTTGTAGGTAGGTACTTCCACTGTCACACGATGAGGGGGAATGGATGATTTGGAATGGATTGCCGATCCCGCCGGGCCGCGAGAGCGACGAGCGTAACGGAGAGTGTAACGGAGAGCGAGCGAGACCGGCCAGGAGGCGGGGGAGAAGTCACGTGGCGGCGCGTCATACAATCCTATTCTGAACCATAATTATCATCATCATCATCATCATCATCATCATCATCATCATCAAGGCAACTGAGGTCACACCGGACTCCCAGAGGCGCCGAGGCAGTGCTTCATCATGATTGATAATACATACAATGGCCCCGACTGAGACTCTCAGCGTCACAGTGTCTCCGTGCCTGATTTGCTCCCTCGCGCGGCGGGTAACAAATCCGGTGGGATCGAGGGACTTGTCGGGCGCCGGAAACTTTGCTTCGGCGCCTAAGATTTGCTACTAGTCAGTAAGTAGTCCCGCCCCGTCAGGGGATCCTTCCCAATCGGTCGGCATCCACCGGCCACTTGCAAAGTTCCAATCCACTTAAGACACCTGCGAAATCATAAATTGATAAATGCCCAAAAAAAAAAACCCGCACCAGGTGGAGTCGGCCCTCCCTCGTATCCTGTCGCAGGGGCCAGCCATCGCAACGGGATGGATGATGATCGCCTATCTACCGGAATATCCGGGCATCTATCTAGCATTCTAGCTACGAGACAGCAAGATATGGAAGGAATGTTGGAAGAAACCCCGGTCTGTAATGCGACCACATTAAACCAGTACTAGTACGGAGGATGGCCGTGGAGATCACCATTGCCAAGGCAGAGCATAAGTAGGCGAAAAATGCAAAAGAGGTGTGGTGGCGCTAAGAGAAGAAAATTAGGCTAAAAGAAGGAGCGGAACCCCCGTTCATATCATCGCGTCGTCGTCGCGGTAGATGCTCTCGGGATCTCGCCCGGGCCTTCTACCCAAAAGATCCCGTTTGTTCTCGATCTCCACGGCCCAAAGAGCTGACCCAACCGCGGTTGACATCAAGAAAAACATTGACAAAATGGGCATCAACTGAAGAATCAGGGCCACCGTCCCAAATCTGGGTCCCGCGTGGTTGATCGTTAGCATGCTGAGCCTCGGTAGATCTTCAGGGGGACAAGGTTGAAACCCACGTGGTGTATTGCAGTTGTCTGCGACGAATCCTTTCTTTGCGCTGCGGTTTCGAAAGATCCAACAGCTGGAAGTATCGCCAGTGGTGGAAGGGTCCCGCTCGGTAGCCGGTCAGCACGAGAAACATGGGCGTTCCGGCCACCGGAATAAAGTTCAGCGGCAGGAGCACCACGAATTCCACAATTTGCCGCAGGGAAAACGGCGCGTAAACGGCGCTCTTAGTGGGCTTGCCTAGCCGTTTGACGACATCATCGCCCTGGGGGTACAGCACCCGCGACATGGTCACGAGTTCGCCATGGCCCTCGCTCACGAGCACTGAGTCGAAGATGTCCACTAGCGTCTCGTCGACAAAGAAGGCCTCGAACAGAGCAGCGACAATGGCAGCGCCTTCTCCAAGGACCAAGACTGCACCACTGATCCACGCTCCAACGCCCTGGAAGATGGAGAGGAAGGCCACCTGGGGCAGGTATGCAAACAGGAAGAGCAGAACGTAGATGAAGGCGGAGAGCAGCACAATCGGGATCAGGCGAGTCTTGAACAAGGGCCAAAGATAACGATGCGATGCAAAATAGTAGACACCCTGGAGAAACCGTCAGTTCCACTATGAACGAGAACAGGCAGCAGCAGGCCAAACATACACGCAGGGGATACAACCACGCGGCTTTACCAGTATCCCACTGTCTGTTCGGCATGATCTAAGAAAACGAGCCTGATAAAAACTAGAGGAATTAGATTGAGAGAATAGGGGACAAGAGGAAGACGAGAAAGGTCGACGGTGCCAGATGGATGAGCGGTGCAGACGAGAGACAACAACAGAGCACGGCCTCAACATCGTCATTCCGCCAAGGCCTTATCGATAAGCAGGCGGTGAGGCGCGGTTATAAAGCCGAAATTTTCGCCCGCCTCATCCTTTTCCTTTTCTTCTTCCATAATAAACTGAAACACCTTCTTATTCACTCTGGGCTCCTTTATCCATGGATCCTTGGAGGGGAAAGAGAAGGTCAGAGTAAGCCTGCTGACTTACCCCGAATTCTTCTCCTTCCAGCGTGGAGCATTTGGAAATATAAACAGCGGTACATCGCTTTTAACGGCCTCTTGCTAGTAATAGAGCTCACTGTGGCAATTGGCTATAAATGGACCTTGAGCACGTCTACAATCCCTCCCAGATGGGTGACAGTCGCTGTCGGCTCCAGATCAGGCAGCGCCTTGTCGGTCCAGCTTGCCTCTGCCCGGTCAACCCAAATGGCATTCATACCCACACTCAGGGCGCCCGCAACGTCAAACGGGTTGCCACTGACCAGCCAAATGTCCTTCAGGCCGGACGGGTCCTTCCCGACTCGTTCCGCTAGATGCTTGTAGACTGCCGGCGCAGGCTTGAACTGCCCCACCGAGTCCACGCTGACGGTATCCTTGAAGAGGAATTTGTGCCGCGATAGAGATGAGTCGACGCAATCCGATACCATGTCGAGGGTGCCATTCGAGAAGATGACGGAGTGGATATGTGGAAAGGCTGCAATCCGGCTCAGAGCGTCCTCGACATCTGGAAAGGGAGATAGGCTGTTGTAGGTCGCCATGAGATGCTCGATCTCGTTGCTTCTCAGGGAGGATCCGGTATCATCCAGCGCATGCAAAAGGGAATTCTTCGTGACCTCCAAGAAGGACAGGTAGCGCCCTAGAATCGAAGTTAGCCAAGACGTAGCTGCCACGAATTGCGATTGAACCTACCCATGCTGTTCAATCTCCAGGTATATTCAAGCTGGTAGCGTCTCCATGTCTGCGACACAGTCCGGGCCCGAGCTCGATCATTTCCAAAGCACCGCTCCAGCTCGTGTGTGACCTTGTCAAAGGAGAGCAGAGTGCCATAGATATCGAAAGCAAGAACAATACCCCCTGCCATGGTATACACTTTAGGAAACAATCACAACTATAATCCTATCGGAGTACTGTTAGAAGCAAAGCAAAAACGAAAGCAAAGCCAAAGCAAAGCGGAAACTCAAGCAACCCGCCGATGATGTCAAGGCCTCATGGCAAACCCCTCACCACCACCACCACCACCAACTCAATCCCACTTCACTACTATGCCCCTCCCCAATGAACCAAGATGACAACCCCGGACAGCGAAAACTACCAAATCTTCCGCGACTGCGTCTCAAGCGCCATCGTCGCAAAATCGTCCCAACCCACCCCTCAATCCAAAAAAGCGCGACGCCCACGCACCACCCAGCGCCAGAAGTCCAGCACCCCTCAGCGCCAAAACCCAGACCGGGAACCAAAGTCGGTGCAACAAGATGACTTCACACGCACTGATCCCGAGGACCTGGCCGAGTTCATCGACGTGCGTGCCCCCTCCTTCCTCCACCTACCATAGTCTATACCCCCTCAAATCCACCAGCACGTCAGAATAGAATAACTAACACACCGAGACACCCCGCGGGCTCACCCGCACCTCCGGTCTCACCAAAAAGAAACAGTTCATAGCGAGTGAAACCTTCCCCTCACTACCCCCCACCATCCAAACCCTCAGCTACTCGCCGAACACCGATTTCTCCACCCCGGAATACAGCCCCAAACATCTGTCCGAGATAACCAGCAACACGCTATCGCCTTCAATCACCGACACGTTGACGGCCTACGGGCTTATCGAATCCCCGTCCGACATACCGTCTTTCCTGGCCCCAATACTGGGGGAGTATGTGAGTGCTGTGACGAAGCCCCCGCCGGTATGGGCGACGACGCGGGCGGACGCGTGCGAGATCTGCGAGAGGGATTGGATTCCGTTGTCGTATCATCATTTGATTCCGAGGAGTGTGCATGCCAAGGTGGTGAAGAAGGGGTGGCATGAGGAGTGGAGGTTGGATAGTGTGGCGTGGTTGTGTAGGGCGTGTCATAGTTTTGTGCATCGGATGGCGAGTAATGAGGAGTTGGCGAGGGAGTGGTTTACGGTGGAGAGGATTTGGGAGAGGGAGGATGTGAGGGATTGGGCCAAGTGGGTGGGGAGGGTGAGGTGGAAGGCTAGGTAGGTAGGTAGGTCTGTAGAAGGAGGCGATAGCATGTCTATGTATATGAATCGGGGAATATTGTACAGAAAGATTTCCTCCACCGCGCGCGCCGAGTCCATGCTTTTGGAGCATCCAGTCGAGGATGTCCGACAACCAGAGAAGGGGAGGGTATGTTTGGAAGCGGGATGTAGTAATACAAGAGCCAAAAGTCGGAAGAGGGGAGTCGATTAGAGGTATCGCTTCTCGTAAATCTCCTCGTAGCACTGGATGTGGTCGCCAACCGCAAAGTCGGTCCAGCCCTCGAAGCCAATACCACATTCCGTGTCTTTGCGCATCTCCGTCACGTCCTTCTTGACGTTCTTCAGGGAGGTGATCGAGCCTGGAGTCAGTTAGTAAGTTGTTCCGAGAGACCATACGCCACCAATGCAGCTTACCGTCGTAGATTGTCTCCTGGCCGCGGAGAACGCGGACCTTCTTGGCCCGGTTGATCATTCCATTGCGCACCTTGCATCCGGCAATGGACGTCTTGTTACGGCCCTTGAGCGTAATCTCGAAGATCTGCCCGATCTCGGCTTCTCCCGTCACACGCTGGCTGACGTTCGGCGCCAGATGCTCACTCAGTGTGATCTTGACCTCGTCGACAAGTTTGTAGATGACATTGTGGTTCATGATGTTCACGCCGCGCTTCTCCGCCATCCGGGATATCGCAGGGTCGATAGGCATGTTGAATGAGATGATGTGGCCATCGGCCGTGGCTGCGTGCTCAATGTCGAACTCACTGATCGGGCCTACCTCGGAGCGAAGCACATTGGCAAACACTTCGTTGTTTCCAACCGCTGTCACTGAGTTCAGGACAGCCTCCGCAGAGCCACCGACGTCGGCCTTAATGATGAATTGCACCGGTTTAGGGCCGGATTGTTTCTCTTCAACCTCGGTGCCCGCCTCTCCTTGACGACGTTTCTCGAGTTTTTCACGACGTGCTTCGTTGATGGCAGCCATGTCTTCACTCAACTTGTGTGTTTCGACCTTTTCCATTCGATATTCCACGACTTCCTTAGCATGCTGCTCATCAGCAGCTTGCAAGAACTCGGTGCCAGCTTCCGGCTGCTCACGCCAGCCATCAACCTCCACCGGCATACCCGGAGTAGCTTCGGGGACTACCAGGCCAGCTTCGTTCCGGAGTGTGCGCACACGCGCCCAGGTAGTGCCAGCAACAACGATATCTCCGGGTCGTAGCGTGCCACGTCGGATGAGCATCGTAGCCACCCGGCCATAGCTCTTTGTAGTACCTTCGACTACCCATCCTTCCACGTTGCCGTTGGGGTCGGCCCGGTGGTCAAGCACCTCTGATAAGGTAACGATAGCTTCTTCAAGCTCCAGCATTCCCTGGCCGGTCTTACCACTCACACCAATTGCTTGCACGTCGCCACCAAAGTCCTCAACGTGCACCTCATGCATAGAAAGATCCTGCTTGACCCTGTCAGGGTTAACGCCCTCCTTGTCCATCTTGCTCATAGCAACAATGATAGGGACATTGGCAGAGGTGGCGTGCTTAATTGCCTCGATCGTTTGGGGTTTGACACTGTCATCCGCCGCTACCACGAGGACCACAATATCGGTCACGTCCGCACCACGACGGCGCATATCCAAGAAAGCCGCGTGACCAGGCGTATCCAAGAAGGTGATGGTCTTTCCGGAAGGCATGGCTACCGAGAACGCACCGATGTGCTGCGTAATACCTCCGTGCTCAGACGCGGCAACGGAGGACTTGCGGAGCCAGTCTAGGATGGTGGTTTTACCGTGGTCAACGTGGCCCATAATCGTCACGACCGGGGGCCTAGTGGGTAAGCTTGATTTGTCTTCCGGCTCCGGTGCCGCAGTCAAATCTTGCTCGCCATTGTCAAAGATGGGCTCGTAGTTGTATTCGGTGGCAATCAGACCAGCGGTTTCTGCATCAAGCACATGATCATAGGTGACATCCTCGAAGCCCATCTCCTCCATCCGCTGGACAAATTGTGCGGGGCGGACGCCAATCACATCGGCTAGGTTGCTGACGCTGATGAACTCAGGGAGGTATAATGGGCTGACGGTAGCCTGCAGCTCCTTCTTGCGTGCTTTCTCCTTCTTCAAGCGCTTTCGCTCTTCACGACGCTTCCGGCGATCAGCCTCATCGTCCTCGTCGAATTCATCCTCTTCCTTCCTCCCCGTCTCCCGTTGCTTGCGGACGTCTCGTCGCTTGGGCCTTGTGTCGAGCTCATCGTCTTCTTCTCGTAGTTTGATATTCTTCAAAGACGATGCATCCCAGGCCCACGGGTCACTGGGTTTGGCTGGCTGTGCCTGCGTGTCTTCTGTGTCGAGCTTCGGTTCCGCTTGCCTTGCTTTTCTCGCTTGTCTCTCTTTTCCAGGTGCTATGTTTTCATTGGCTTGGCCGTCGTACACAGGCCGTGGGCCAGTATATTGTCCTTTGCTTGCCATATAACCTCGGAAGGCTACCTCCCTTGGATCGAGCTTGTCAACCTTTTCACCATCTCTTTCGGGCAAACCAGTCTGGACCAATTTCCGAATCTTCAAGGCCTTCTCCTCGTTTTGACGATAGCGAGGTGGAGCCCAAGGTCGTTTTGGCATTGCGCCCAGACTGGGTCTGGCTGCTTTGCAACACGGGCAGACGCTATCCTCACCGGAACACCTTGACTGACAATCCGGACAGGTCCAACTCGTCGACCGCACATGCTTGGGTACCCTGTTGACGTTTACCTCGAGTGACCTGTCGGGTTGGAGAGACAAACTTTCCTTGTCTTCAGGGGAGAAAGCCGGACGCCGCTTATAAACAATATCAGGTTTCCCGAACTGTCTGGAGCCGCCCTCGCGCCACCTAGTGCTTGGCCACTGCTCTTGCGTGCGAGCCCCGAAGCGCGATTCTAGCCTGTGTTGTTGTTGTCTCTCCCTTCGCTGTTCTGCTACCTGCTGTCGTTCCTGCTCCTCTTGCTGCCATCGTTGCTGTTCCTCTTGCTGTCGTCGCTGCTCTTCTTGCTGCCTCTGCTGCTCTTGTTGCTGCTTTGCTACTAGAGCATCTCGGATGGCCTGCTCTGCCGGACTAAGCCCAAGCGGTTTCTGTGCTTTGCTTCCCCAGCGATTCCCAAACTTCGGACCCGCAAAGGCGGGGGCGGAACCCGCACCTGAGTCGCCAGTGTTGCCTGATGATGGAGGCTCGGACGAGTCGGAGAGGGGGAGGGAGACTCGAAAATGCCGTCGAGGCACCAGGCCTACTACCGGAGCGAAAGCAGCATTTCTGCGGGCGGTTGCGCACGACCATTCAACACCGTGACGGCGGGATAGCTAGAGAATGGGTTAGACCATCGGGGCAAGACTCACGAGTGACCGGGAATAATCAGAAAACTCACTTCCAAAGCTGCCCGCCTGTGCATGATGTGGTTGTCGTTGCTCACAGCGAATCCCTCGGCGCCAAAAGTCCGGAGAAGAACATCGGCGCCGTAATTAACGCCTGGTATCCGCCGGTACGCAGCCCGCTGACTAATAACATTCTTAGTCAGGAGTGTGACTAATCCCGCGGGTCCGCCAGTTTTCCGCCTCACGTGCGCTCGGCGCCATGGCCGAATCGGAGGCCGGCATTCGATCGCGACATCGAGGGTTCCTCCTGCTCGCCCTGATAAGCTCGTCGCTTCTCCTTGTTCTTCTTCTTCTTCTGTGTGCGTCCAAGGCATTTATAATTCCCGGGCTAAGGAGCACCGCTGCACCTCTTGGTATCATTCCGTTTCCGGCTTCGCGACCCGATATCCATATTCCCTCCATTTCAGTTTCCCGGGCGTAAAGTAGTTCCCCGCAATGGAGTCCGAGGCTTTTGAGGACATGCAGAAGGGCGGCGGATCCCTCCGCATGGTCAAGGATTTGGGGGCCGGTGCTGCTGGTGGAATTGCTCAGGTGCTTCTCGGTATGTTGTGCAGTGTTTATTCAAAGCTTCATCGAATGTACAGCTAATATCGTATAGGACAGCCTTTTGGTGGGTACCCTCTCGTCAGCCGAGAGCATCTCCTAACCATGAACAGACATTGTCAAGGTTCGCCTCCAAACCACTACCCAGTACTCCAATGCCTTGGACTGTGCCACCAAGATCTTCAAGAAGGAGGGCCCCTTTGCCTTCTACAAGGGTACCCTGACTCCGTTGATCGGAATCGGTGCCTGCGTAAGTCCCCCTCCCAGCTCGATTCGGTACCATACTGACCGCCCACAGGTCAGTGTGCAATTCGGTGCTTTCCACGAAGCCCGGAGACGCCTTGAGAAGCTCAACAAGAAGAAATACGCCGACAGCACTCTCTCCTACTCCCAGTACTACCTGGCCGGTAGTTTCGCCGGTCTCACCAACTCCGTGCTGTCGGGTCCCATTGAGCACGTCCGTATCCGTCTGCAGACCCAGCCCCACGGTGCGGACCGCCTGTACAACGGCCCCATTGACTGCATTCGCAAGCTCTGCAACCAGGGCGGCGTCCTCAAGGGTCTTTTCCGCGGCCAGAACGTCACCTACCTCCGTGAAGCCCAGGCCTACGGAACCTGGTTCCTGGCTTTCGAGTACCTGATGAACCAGGATGCCAAGCGCAACAACATCAAGCGTGAGGACATCTCCAGCTTGAAGGTCGCCACCTATGGTGGTCTGGCCGGTGAGGCCCTCTGGCTGAGCAGCTACCCCTTCGACGTGGTCAAGAGTAAGATGCAGTGCGATGGGTTCGGTGCCCAGCAGCAGTTCAAGAGCATGACCGACTGCTTCAAGAAGACTTATGCAGCTGAGGGATTTGCTGGCTTCTGGAAGGGTATCGGACCTACCCTGCTTAGGGCTATGCCTGTGTCTGCCGGTACTTTTGCTGTGTATGTCCCCCTCCCCCTTTCCGTATACCCAGAGACTGATCAACCCCACCCCAGTGTCGAGCTCACCATGAGAGCCCTTGGTTAAACCAACCAGCCAGCCAGAGAAAACAAATCAAATAAAAAATAAACTAATACCCATCACATATCCCAACCACAGTTCAAGTTCGGTGGTGTTTTCTTGATATCCTTGTCTATCTGTCTATCTCTTCGTCAATTTCAACAGGGCACACACACCCACACTGGAGGAAAAGTTCCGCTTTAGACTTCTTCATCATCATTATCAGATTTTGTACTCGTCTCGCATGGTTTATAGACAGCCCATCTGTATTTGACAGATGCGAGCAATTCAGCTTCTTTTCAACACGGCCGGTTCATGGATTTTATTCGTCTTTCTTTTCCTCCTCTTTTTTTTTAACTACTACTATACTAAGAATTCTATACACCCACCCCATATATTCAAAATATACCCCCGAAGGGATAAGATAACACCCAGTTGGAATCAAGTCTCACGTCTTAACCACTCGACCACCTTACCTCTGCTTCTTGTTTAAGTCACGCAAAAGGAACAGTGAATAGTCCTTTTGAATGAGTTTTAAGGACATTTTAATGATAGTAGATTCGCTTCAAAAGACTAAACGCTATACAAACCACCTATCCCCACTACTACATACTTTGAAAAGTCTGGAGTGACCTTCTTAGAGTGACTTCCTTAGTATACATAGACAAAGTCTTCGTTCTTCCAGTCCGTAAGGTCCTTGAACGCATTGTCCTCGCCTAGTGCCTGCTGAGGAGATTCGGTCTTGTCGACTGGGACAGCACCAATGACTTGCATGGATTGATCGACGATCTTTGCCTGCTTTCCCATACTTACTCGTTGCTTTTCGTGCCTCTTGTTGAGGAGGAAGAGGTATGTCATGTTTAATCTGGGGAGGTGAGCACAGGCATGTTTAAAGTTGGAGGAGGGGTAGAGGTCTTACAGGCAGAGCAGGATGAGGACGCAGAACATTGCGAGGCTGTAGCTCTTATTAGTATAGATAAAGCTATGTATCAGGCTTGATTGACTTACTTGGATAGTAGACCACGTCTATACAATGGTGCTTCGTTGGTGGTGTATAGGTTTGAGCCGAGGACCTGGCTCTGATGAGTATCAAGGCTGCTTTCTAAGCTTCGCTTCCACATACGTTACCAGCACATTGACCGATGATTAAGACGCCGTTCACAATCTTCTTCTTGGTCTCGCCTGCTGTGTTACCTGCGGACCATGAGTAGATCAGGGGTGCTAGGGTCTGTTAGCTTGGTTGCTTGTGGAGTCCGGGAGCCATACTGATTCCAGGGTATACAGAGACCTGTATTCATATTAGCCAAGCTATGCAGAGGTTACAGATACTTACAACATAATATCCTGCAAGCAATGCCCCGTTATGGTGGCCATTGTGCGGAATCTCTAGCAACATCAGACAGCCCGCAATAGCAGGCAAGCATAGAAGGGCTATGACAGGCCCCTTCATCTTCAACGTAGTCGCCAGCCACGCTCCTCCCATGGTTGCGATGAGCTGTACCGCACCGAAAGGTATGTTGAAGAGGATTGTATCGAACTGGTTGAACCCAAACGCTTCGATAATCAACGGTCCAAATGTCGAAATGCCACCGCTAGGGATGCTGTATGCCCGTGAGCCTTGAATTTTCGGAACTTGAGAGCATGTTCTTACGAGATCAAAAACATCAGGGCAAACCAGAAAAATGACTTGATGTCAAGACATGCCTCTTTGATATGGTCCCATTTCCACTCGTGGGTTTCGATACCTTGCTGGTTCATAAGAAGTCTAACTCATCTTGTAAGTGCCCGACACGTTTCATAAGATGACGGCAAATACCTTTCAATAGCCAAGAGCTTATTATCCTCCGCAAGGAACTTGGCTTGTGTCGGTGAGTCCGGCATGAGAAACCTATAGTGTCAAGATCAGAAACACGAAATCCTCGTTCCTGAGGCAGACTCACAAGATAGCGACGGAGAAAACAATAGTGATGAGCCCAAAAAATAAGAAGATGATCTTTTCTACAGTCAGCACCCTAACGCTTTGATTTTTGCTGGGATACCAGCCTGATAGGGCTCAAAAACTGAAGAGCCAATGTGGCCAAGACCATATGTTATCAAGCTTCCAAACTGTTCCGGGAAATCATCCTCTTAGCAGCTGCACTTAGACCAGGTGAATGTGTAAAAAGGCTAGCTCACCATGTTCACCACACCGTTCATAGCATACCATGAACCAAGCCGAATGGGTTGCTCCCGTCGCCGGTACCACATTTGAGTGATTGCAATAAAAGCAGGTGCTTCAACTCTCAGCCCTAGCTCAAACTAATATCAGGGCCCAGGAGTACTCACGTATACCAGCTTCAAAGAGACCCAAAAACATCCGACAGACCAACAACCCCGCAAAGCTATTTGCCGGGGTCATGCATGTCAGAGCTATGCCCCAGCAAAGGGTTGTGCATGCCAGAAACTTCCCCAATGGCACTTTGACCAAGATATAGGCAACGAAGGGCTGTGCAACAAGCTGCACCAGATAGATGACTGCCCCCAACCAAGAGTATTCCTGCCCATGGAGGTGGGCTTTCTCGACCAGACCAAAGACTGACGCGTAGGCGAGAGTGGATTTGTCGACTTGTTGTAGAAAGTAGATTCCCAGAAGAATTGGCAGCAACCGAAGGTCAATCTTCCGAAGAACTCGCGCGTTGTTCTCGGGGGTGAGAATGGCAGACTGTCCCGCATCTATGATAAGGTCCAGAGCTTTGTCTTGGGTGGCATCGTTTAGTTGCCCCTGCTCCTGACGGGGCGGTGATTCGATTGACTCGATATGCTCATCCTGTGCCTTTTTTCCGGATGTTGCTTCTTGCTGGTGTGACATTGCTTCTTTTCTGTTCTTGACCCGTGTTCGACCTATAAGGAGATATCCCTGACGAGTCGTACGGGCTTTCAGATAAGAAGAAAGAACTCCAGCCTTAGATTGTATTTTTTTGAAGATGAAGAGAGAACTTCTTCCAGGAAGATATATCTCCGGTTGAGGGAACAGCGCTGGGGAGGCATTCGCCGCCCCCCTGCAAGGTATACCGCCATGGAGGGAACCCCGTGGGGAAGGCCTCATCCCTGGCCGGGTGAAAGCAGCCCAAGGTCGATGCGGGAGCGAATCAACGAGCCGTGGCTGGTTACGCAGACCATGACAAGCCTAGCGTCAACGTAGCCATTCAGGCCGGTAGAGCGCAACGGGATAACAGGGCATGGAAGATTTCGGACATGATCCGATGCAGCGCCCAATAGTTCTAGTCATACCATCACCGTGCAGGCGGGGATCGGACGTGGGGAGATACTCGAGGTTGAAAACCGTTTAGCTTCGGGTTTCGGTTGTTAAAACTGATGGCGGGGATTCCCCAGCTTTGCTTGGGAGACGTCACGAGGAAGAAAGCAAGTGTGGGGGATGCCTGGGGGTAGCCTAAGGCTGTCGGCGATGAGCCGATGGTCCGAGTATACATGCACATTTCCCCTCATGCATGCCCAGCAATGCAGAGGCATGTAGAATCACTCAAATAGGGCTGTTTTGACACCTTGGTTGCTCTCTGTAGTTTGTCCTCCATCCTGTCCTTGATCCCGTATTCTCCAAATTACTTCAACATGCCCCAGAAAGAATTCTGTCCAAAGAGCTATCAAGAGTCTCCTGCTGGGACTCAAGACCCCTCCGCTGTACATCTTCGCTCAAGCCCGCAAGAGCGATCCTTTGACTTCTCCTTTGAGCCAATCCGTGAAAACCTATTCAGAGTCACCTTCTCTTCTCAAACCCATCCTCTTCCTCCTTATCCCAGTGTGGCCAAGCCAACAACCAATCTGAACGACGTTCACGTATCTGCAACGAGCGACCACAGCCAGAAGACAATTGAGGTCGGGGATGTAACAGCCTCCGTTGAGTGGACCAATACTCCGGTCGTCTCGCTATCATGGAAGGGCTCGAAGAAGCCCTTGTATCGCGATCTACCTCTGCGTTCCTATGTCGCTGACGCAACTGGTATCGCTCATTATACAGAGCATGACCGCGATGCTCTTCATGTTGGATTGGGGGAAAAGAGGGCCCCCATGGATCTCACTGGACGCCATTTCCAGCTCTCGGCCACAGACAGCTTCGGATATGACGTCTACAACACCGACCCTCTATACAAACACATTCCTCTGCTGATCAAAGCTTCTCCTGATGGGTGCGTGGCTATTTTCTCAACGACCCATGGCAGAGGCACCTGGTCCGTTGGTTCGGAAGTTGACGGCCTCTGGGGCCATTTCAAAATCTACCGTCAAGACTATGGTGGACTCGAGCAATATCTCATTGTCGGGAAGACCCTCAAGGACGTTGTGAGATCCTATGCAGAGCTGGTCGGTCTTCCCATTCTTGTTCCCAGATGGGCATATGGGTACATCTCAGGCGGATACAAGTACACCATGCTGGACGACCCGCCTGCGCACCTAGCCCTGATGGAATTCGCGGACAAGCTGAAAGAGCACGGAATCCCCTGCTCCGCGCATCAAATGAGCTCTGGATATTCCATCGCAGAAACTGAGCCGAAGGTCCGCAATGTCTTCACCTGGAACAAGCATCGGTTCCCCAACCCGGAAGAGTGGATTGCCAAGTACCACTCTCGGGGCATTCGTCTACTCTCAAACATCAAGCCGTTCCTGCTCGCCTCCCACCCCGATTTTAAGAAACTTGTTGATGCAAATGGATTTTTCAAAGACCCTGATACTAACAAACCGGGCTATATGCGACTGTGGAGTGCTGGAGGCGCAACTGGAGGTGATGGATGTCATATCGACTTCTCCTCATCCGTTGCGTTCAAGTGGTGGTATGATGGAGTTCAAAGCCTGAAACGTGCCGGAATAGATGCCATGTGGAATGACAACAACGAGTACACGCTTCCAAATGATGATTGGAAGTTGGCCCTGGATGAGCAGACCGTCTCCGAAGCCGCCAGAAAGGGTGCTGAGAACTCTGTTGGACTCTGGGGGCGGGCTATTCATACCGAGCTCATGGGCAAAGCCTCCCACGACGCTTTGCTTAATCTCGAGCCCAATCAGAGACCTTTCGTCTTGACCCGGAGTGCCACCGCAGGCACAATGCGCTACGCTGCAAGCACCTGGAGCGGGGATAACGTTACCAGCTGGGAAGGCATGAAGGGAGCAAACGCTTTGTCCCTCAGTGCAGGCATCTCTCTCCTGCAGTGCTGCGGTCATGATATTGGAGGATTCGAAGGACCCCAGCCTTCTGCCGAACTGCTTCGCCGATGGATCCAGTTGGGCATCCACTCGCCCCGTTTCGCCATCAACTGCTTCAAGACATCCCCTGGAAACAGCTCAGTCGGAGAGGTCATCGAGCCCTGGATGTACCCCGAGATCACGCCTCTTGTCAGGGACACCATCAAGCGTCGTTACGAGATCCTTCCCTATATCTACTCTCTCGGTCTAGAGAGCCATCTGACCGCTTCTCCACCCCAACGCTGGGTGGGCTGGGGCTATGAATCCGACCCAGAAGTCTGGACGAAGACTCTCAAGTCCGGAGACGAGCAGTTCTGGTTTGGTGACTCCATCCTAGTCGGAGGCGTCTACCAGCCTGGCGTAAGCATCGCCAAGATGTACCTTCCCCGAAAGGCGAATGACCTGTTCGACTTTGGGTATGTGAACATAAACGAGCCCTATAACTACCTCGCTTCCGGACAATGGGTTGAAGTCTCCTCCGAATGGAGGAAGAGCATCCCCCTCCTGGCCAAGATCGGTGGTGCCATCCCCGTCGGAAAGTCCGTCCATACCCGGGTGCCTGGCGATGAGACTCCGGCCTCTGTGGCCGTGGAAGAGATTGACGATTACAGAGGAGTCGAGATCTTCCCTCCCCGTGCCAGTTCTCATGGACAAGTCTTCAGTACCACCTGGTTCGAAGACGATGGAATCTCGCTTAATCCGAGCATCTCACAGTACACTATCAAATATAGCTCCACAGAAGAGAAGGTCGTCGTTGGGTTCACCCGTGATGAGAAATCCGGGTTTGTTCCTGCTTGGAAGGAGCTTGATATCATCCTTCATAACGGTGATGAGAGACGCGTTGATTCCGATATTGGGAAGCCGGTGGAATACAAGGGGAAGGACTCTCGCGGCCGGGTGGTGTATACCTTGAAGAACTAGGGTACATTGATGCTGGTTCGTAACCCTTTCTTGTTTTCAGCATTGCAGGTGGGGATTCACGAAAATGTCACTGCATCATGATAATGTGAGGGGCGTTTGAAAATAGAGAAGAATGAGTTCCAAAAACATGTATGCTGCGACAGAAGTAGACCTATTTTTAGTTAGACTAGCATGTCAGCCAAGCACTTTGAATTTGTTAGCATACTCAAGATAGATGCAGACCATGGGCGTCAGAGGATAGGGCAACCGAGAAATAAAGCAAGCGGACACACTGTCACTAATTTCGACAGCAGCTAAGATCAAAAGATCAATTCAGTAGCATTTGTTGATACATGATATAACACCAGGGGAAAAGAAATGAAAATTTACAGTGTCCTATACAATACAATCCCAGTCGAAAGTTCACATGTAGGCAGACCGATATCAAATAAGAACAATTGTCAAGACTCCAGCTCTAGTCATCATCTTCAGTCTCCTCCTTAGGCTTCGAAGTAGACTCCTCAATAGAGGGCTTCTCAGGATTCCTTGTCGAGGCCGCGTCTACATCCTCTGCTGCATTCATGCGGAGTGGTTTCATAGGCCGGTATGTCAATCGACCCCTCTGGGCTTGCTTTAATCTTCTCTCCTGGCCCGCTTGTCCCGCCCTTCCGAGCACACCGGCAATCAATGTCACGGCCCGCAAACTGTCATCATTGGCAGGGATGGGATATGTGACCCGAGTAGGGTCGGCGTCCGTATCGATGATACCGATGGTTGGAACATTGTTGAGACCACATTCATGCAACAAGACAACGTTCTCGACGGGATTGAGACAAACGACAAGGTCGGGCTTGAGGGCACGGTAGTTTTCCAGTTCCTCCTGCCAGATCTTCACCTCCCCATCCAAGCCGTTCACAATCTTCTTCTCGCAGTGGCCCAAGATCTGCTGGCCATTAGTCAAACAACCAGGGATCCAGCGCTCAAAGATATGATATCCCTGAGCCAGTTCTGCAGCCCTGACCACAGCACGTTTCTGTCCCTTTCTTGTACCCGCGAACAGAATCAATCCGCCCTTGGCCGCGACCTCCTCCACGACCTTGGCCGCACGTCGTAGGTAGGCCGCCGTCTGATCGAGGGAGATGATGTGCACTCCCTCCCTGATACCGAAGATGTAGCGCGAGTTCTGGGGGTTCCAGCGGGAAGTCGAGTGACCGAGATGTGTCTGGGACGCGAGGAGCATTTCAAGGGTGACATCGGTGGCTTTCGGAGGGTTTCTGAGGAGGGCCTCTGGCCGATAGGCACCGGTGACAGTACTACCGAGACTGTGGAATTTGATCTCTATACAAGGGGAATGGTTAGCTTTCCAATCAAGCAGCGACGGGCTTAACAACGATGCTGCTGCGGTACTGACTTCGGATCTGGTCCTTGTCCAAATCCTCTCGTGGACCTGAACTGCCCGGTTCAGACACCGCGACAATTGGTGAAGGCGTCTCTAGTCGAGATGCTGGCTCCGCGAGGGGAGTCTGCACGGGGGTCTGGAAGGTGGTTTCGGTCGAAGAGAATCGGGCCAAACTGCGCGACTGACGGGGAAGAGCCCGAAGCTGGCGGCCTGGATTGGGGAGGAAATCAGCACAAAGTTCCCAGTTATGATACCTGAGACAGTTGGAATCTCACTTTGCCGCACACATAGTTGCCGAACAATCATATTGTCTTGTGTTGGCCCGGGGTCTGTTCTATAGCAGCTGATTCCAGGGAATCTTCCGCTCGAACTTTTGATGTCGGGCTTGGCACCATCCGTGCCTGAGGCCGTGAAGATGCGCTAAGCCGTTTACGGATCAGCTCTAGATGTCGGGGAAGTCCATTTGTCGATCGATCCCAGCTGTCTCGGGTGAATGATCAGTCAAGTATTATCTATCCCTCGTTCGACAGGCAGCTTGGATGTTCTCTATGGAGTACACCAACACATCATCAGGAGCCACCCTTCAACCTTCTTAGTGAATCCCATATCTCCGAGACTCCGCCGACCTCGGACACGCGTACTAGCCCATCCCAACTCCATACCCATACAGCATAAACTCACATACCACTCAAACCACCAACCACCCATTCCTTAATACCCAGGCCCAAACAACCCAATACAATACCAACCCCATAGATACCCCTACTGACCTCCTCCGACATCTCCCGGAAAGAAAACATCAGTCCACCAATCCCTCATAATCCCTCATCCCCGCAAACACATCCCCTACCGAACAAACAAAGATCAAAACACACCACAATCCCTGGGGAATATGTATGTATCTAGTCAGTCACGACCTGAGAAAGGCAACCCCGCCAAGTCTGCCAACGCACACAACGCTACGATAGAACCTTCTCGACCCCGGGTAAGGCAACCAATTGGCTAGGATACGCATTGCTTATGAATCCCCTGCCGGATCTGTCAGGTCATTTGCGAATTCTGTGGATGATCTTTTCCCGCTTGCTGACTGGGTTGTATTGGCTGGTAAGTGGGAGAGAGGGGGAAGGGAGAGGGGGGTTAGGACGTGGCAGGTTGGCTTTGTTAGGTACATTCGTGCTGTTGGGGAAGTTGTGGCATGGTGGTTGAGTATGTTTGCTAGGGTATTTATCCCTAGTAGTGATTGTGAACAGAACCAGAAATGGAGGTGTAGATTTTCAGATAGATTAATCTTCTCAAACGTGGGGGAGGCATTATTTCCCCGGAATGCGTGGAATTGCACATCAGAACTTTGCCGTCTTGGTCATGGGCCGAAAATTAATGGTGATAATTACCTATCTACCTAGATGGAAGTAAGTTGGGCTCGCAGGATGGAAATTCGGGAGGAAAAGGAAGGGTGATTATTTTCCGGCATGAAACGCTGAAGGTGGGGTTGGGTCGTCGAGACTTTCACCCCGCCACCTGAAGCCCCTCATCCAAACATCATGGGAGAACTCAAATGCGCGAGGATCAAGCGCAGGATGGATGGTCGGACATTGCACATGATGAGCATAAAACGGGTTTTTGGGCATTGGCAAAACAAGATATGGGAGTTTTTAAGTCTACAAATTAGTTTACTGGTAGGGAGCGTAATTATTGGGAGCACATTTATTTAATGAAGCCAAAGACTGTATGCCCTTTCTATGGTAATCAGAAGAGCTAGACTGGAATACAGCGTCGGTATCAAGTTAAAAGTTTCATCCGCACCAGGTGTGCAGAAAAGCGATCTCAAATATAGGAATAACAACAAAGTAGTTCAATAATTCTTAAAACCCGGCCGGCCGAACGAAGCAATGTCGATAAAATTCACGGTTGTCGAAGGGAATTCGTAACGTTAAAGCAATGGAAAGGAATCGGTGTAAAAAGAAGCCGTCTATCGCTTGAAGAAGCCGCCGAGCTGGTCCATCATGCCGCCGCTGCCGCCGTGGGAAGGAGGGGCACCACCCTGAGGGGGGTAGCCACCATAGCTGCTCTGGTAGTCCTGCTGCTGCTCATCCTTGTGCCTGTGCTTCTTGATAGCGTCTTCGGCAATGCTTCCCATGATGGCTCCACCGATGGTTCCGAGGAATCCGTGATCGGCCTTGTGACCGGCGAATCCGCCCGCCAGACCACCGGCAATGGCACCACCAAGTCCACGCTCACCCTCCTGGGCTCCGCCGGGGGCACCCTGGTTGTATCTAGAGATAGAAAGTCAGCTGGAATTCGGGCAGATAATAGATGGAGGAATAACATACTCGCCGCGCTGGTCCTGGCCGTACTGCTGCTGACCACCCTGGTGCTGCTGCTGACCGTACTGGCCCTCACCATACTGGGACTGCTGGCCACTACCGCCATAGTAGTCGTTGGCACTGCCGCCACCCTGGCCACCGTGCTGATTGTACTGGTCGTATCCACCCTGCTGGCCATATCCTTGCTGGGGGTATCCGCCCTGGCCCTGGCCGTAGCCGCCCTGGCCGTAACCACCCTGGCTGTAGCCTCCCTGCTGGTGGCCGCCCTGGCCGTAGTAGCCTTGGTTGTTGTAGCCGTCGTATCCGGACATGGTGATAATAGGTTTGATTGAATTTGGTTTGGTTTTGGTTGGTTGAAGTTGAGGATGAATAGGAAGGAAGAGGAGTGGATTTGGTAAGATGATGGAAAGAAAGACAGAACGAGGGGTTCCCGGGGCTTTTATAGTGGGATATTTGGCCACTTGATAAGGTGATCTGGCACTGCAGGGCTGAGCAGGCGCCGTGCTGACTCGCCCAGGGAGGAGCCCCACCAAGATTCAATGAAGCCCCCGTTGCGCCAAGACCTGAACCCAGTGAGAAACACGGGACAATATTACGCAGTTCAGTCACAGCGCTGTCATGGACAGGGGCTGGACGCTGTATTGGACCCCATGAGCCTGCTCAGCCTGGCGGTTGCCGTCCGGATTGTGGCTGTTGTGAGGCTGATGCCGTACGGAATCACTAGATCCCCGCCACTATGCAGCGCGGGGTGGCTGTGTCATGTGTTCATGATGAGCGCCGGCTGCTGTTGATCCGTCTCTGCCGGAATTCCTCCCCGCCAACCTGGGGATCGATCAGGTTGGACGTAGGTACTTTTGTTTTTTGCCTGAAGTGGCAAATCCAACGGCCTTCTATATTTATTCCCAATCAGAAGTACCTCATAACTACGCGGTTACCATGATACGCATAACGTTACATTTGGCCCCCCTTTCCTACCATTTACCCCGTAAGCGCCCAACCAAATTGGCGTCGGAGTTGGCACGGATAGATGCAGTGACGTTACCATGGTACCACAATACGTCCTACCGAGATCCTGATGGCCCTGATACACAGCCTCATGGTGGCTTAGTACTAGTAGGCTCCTTCCTGTGCATATACCAGGATGACTGTGCTAATAATAATGGCGTGATGCCGATACCCGTTCAGTACGGGTATTCCCTTCGCCGAGTCCATTGGACAAATCCGACCTTGAACATGCTTGGGGCTTTTTAACCGATAGAAAGCAAAGCCACTGCCATACAACCTTTTCCTGGGAATTCCGGATGTCGGAATCGCGCCTACTTTTCCCTCCGTGTTTGCCGGACTCCGTGAGGGTTCCTAATTGGGATTGAAGACGACCGGCATTAGCAGGCAGACACATTATTTTCATCCACTAGTGCAAAATTACATCCGCCTACGTAACCCTAGTGCTGCGAATACGTACGAGCAGTGGAGGATCCGGAGGAAATTTGGGCTCTGAGTGGCCCGCTCGCGACGGGTTCCAGTCGGTTTGCTGGATTCCATATCTTGGACCCTTGGCGATTGATTGAGGCTTGCAACGATCGGGCTCGGGCTCGGGCTCGGGGCTATCTATGGGGCACTGCGAAGTTGATCAGATAGTGATGCGCGCCCGTACTCCGTTGATAGAACACAGATGGCCGAATCAGCCTTGTCGACTGTCATTCTAGAATCCTCGGGCCATCCTCCGAGATTACTAGGCCAGGGTTCTGCCTGGCATCGGGCGGAGAGCTGAGAGGAATGCCTGTCAATTGTAGGCAGCAAGACTGAGGTTTAGGCGTCCAGACATACTCAAGAGGCAACAGCCTGAAGATTATCTTACCTGAAGATTTCGTTAGCTATAATATTCTTCATCGTACTTGAAGATTATTGTCATGGTAACTATTGATCCACAGACCTGGGGTGGCTGTTTATTTATGTAACCCAGTTCGGGGACTGCACCCAAGACATCATCTGCTTACACACCACACCCAACCCAACAGTATCAAACCTTATCAACTCAAGATCCAAAACTTGCACCAAAAAAGCGGTGCAACAAGCTCATCGTCCCTTACAACACGCAGAACGCAAGGTGGAGTGTACCATGTTGCACATGTCGACCATTGCCCCTTAACGAGCCCGCCTTATGCTGTAGCCACGCGGCAAGAATTTTGGTCATGGATATTTCCAAGATTTCCCAAGGTCCTCGCCAGCAGTGCGCTCGGGTCTAATAAATCGATCATCATCTGACTTTATCAGCCAGCAGCGGTGACCAACAGATTGGTCCGGTTTAAGGTTATAGTTTCAACGATGGCTCAACGGTGGGTAGCCGCCTGACCGACAGTGCTGTGTCCACTCATGGAGGAAGTTTCAGCAATCAGCATCCATGACCCCAGATCTTCCTACATACGCACAGTTGATCCCAAAAATTCGCTCATAGTCAGAATTTCAACACCGGCGCATGGGACTTGACAATCCGATGATCTTCTTGTACCCCACATATCGCTGTGAAACTGTAAGATGGGTCCTTTAGAGCACCATTGGGTATCTATATAGTATATAGGCACCTTCCCAGGATGGAGCTAGAGGAAATTCTCCTTGACTCCAGGTCGCTTCTCCCACCGGAGGACTCCTGACCTTGTTCTTGCCCTTCCAGTCTAGAAAGCGAACTTTGGACGTGTACAACTGCGGTCGAGATGACTCTCATCTCTTTCTTGTGTTTATTCCTTTCCGGTATTCCGCACGTATTTTCGGCCTCTATACCCAGTCCCCCGACCGTCTACCTCATCCGCCATGGCGAGAAGCCTCCGGATCCTGAGGACAGCGGACTTAACGCAGATGGTTTCAGACGCGCAGAGTGTCTCCGAGATGTATTCGGACTGACCTCGCCTTATAGCATTGGCCATGTGATGGCGCCCAAAATCAATTCACGTAAGCCATGGCGCATCTTACACAGTTGCTTCCACACCATACTAATCCGTTTTTTTCTGCGCTATTCAGAGGGGCAGCACAGGCGCTCCTATGAGACCGTACTCCCCGTCGCCACGGACCTCAGTCTTATAGTTGATACATCTTGCAAGCGCAATCGCGTGGGATGCGTGGCGCAACGCATTAGAGAATTTAAGGGAACCGGGAATATTTTGATTTCCTGGCGCCACAGCAGGATGAGGGAGATTGTCCAGGCTTTGGGCTTTGATGACCCTCCGGAGTATCCTGACGAGCGGTGAGTTAAGGGGTAGTATTTGGTTTTGGGCTAGGCCAGTTACTAATGAAGTCCTATCTAGGTTTGACTTGATCTGGACCATTCCGTTTCCTTATAACAATGTTACCGATATTCGAAGCGAGCTATGCCCCGGATTGGACGTGCCATCTGTGTTGAATGTTCAATTGTGATTGATCATCATGGTCTGGTACCTGATGGTCATGGAAGCCAGCCTTTCATGTGGATGTGGATGTAGATGTAGATGTATGTGGATGTGGGATGGGAATGAAGATGATGACCATTTATTTGTATATGAAGCTGAAGCGAGTCATGTTTGTTGGTCAAGGATACGGAAGATGGATATGCATATAGGTACAATGATGACTGGGAGAGTAATACGTAGTAGTACTGTAGTATCGTTCGCCGTAGTTCGCCAGTTGGTTGGGGATCGGCGGTAGCAAATACAATCCGCCGAGGGGGGCCTGGGGCCCACACCGTAGTACACAACCAGCGAGTGTGCGCGCGGGCGGTGAACAGCCGAGCGGAGACAGAGCGCCAAGATTTCAACCTGCCCACCCAATTTTTTCGAGATATCGCCGGCCTTCGCTACTTCGACCGAGCGTTGCCCAAAGATCCCCTCAACCTCCAGTACGTTATCGGTATAACGGTTTGAACCCCTGGACGGTCAGCGGTCACTCTGTTTCTTGCAGGATGGATGATATCGAGGTGTGTTGTTCCGTGCATTGCACTAAGCCCGATCACGAGTTTGACCTCCTCTTTTTTTTCTTCTCAGGAACGGCTGCGAAGCCATGCCCAGGCCTTCGACGGTTTGCTGTCGCTGATCCCGGCCAAGTTCTACTACGGCGAAGATGGCAGTGTATGTGACTTGTCATATTCTGTTTCGTGCAAAAAAACTCCCTTTGCCCTTCTTTTTCTCCCTTGTCCCAATGCCGCACCCAAGGCCTCGCTGACCGCAATGCCGGGAATAGGATCAATGGAAGCGGAAGAAGCAGACCAAGGAGCAGGCCCGTGAAGCCAAGCGGGCGAAGCTGGACCCTGATGCCGCCAAATCAGCCAAGGATGTAATGGACGAGAACGCCCGGAAGCGTAAACGCGACGAAGAACGGAATGAGGACGACGCTTCTGACAGCGGTGAACTCGGGTCCGAGATGCCTAAAGAAGGACTGAAAAGAGGCGATGCGACCACGAAGAAACAGAAACAGGCTGAAGATTCCGCCAAGTCGACCGAAGATGCCGAAGCGCGCAAGAAGTTGAAGGAAGAGAAGAAAGCCCAAAAGAAAGCGAGCCAGAAAGAGAAGAAGAAAGCAAAGGAAGCTGCCAGGAAGGCAAAGGTAGTCGAGCAACAGCCAACCGAGACCAAGACCCGCGCGGCAGAGGCCGCGCAAACATCCGGATCAACCCCCGCTAGTAAGACTAAGGATCAAGAACAAGAGGACAGCGACAGCGATGACAATGAAAGTGTTGACGGCGTCCCCGCCGAGGAGCTCTCACTCGAATTTAGTGCCGAACATGAAGAGCATTCATCCTCTGCATCTACTCCGAACTCTGGGCTAGACGCCTCCAATCCCCAGTCGGGCAGCTCTTCCATATCTTCGATCGTTCCTCCAGCCGAAGCCTCTAAATCCTCCACCTCCGAACCCAAGCCTCTCAAGGCTACTCCCGATGAACTGAAGGAACGCCTACAGAAACGGCTCGATGAGCTTCGCGCAGCCCGCCATGCAGACGGGCTGAACGGCAAGCCCGCCAGAAACCGCCAAGAGCTTATTGAAGCCCGACGCCAAAAAGCTGAGCAACGCAAAGCACACAAGAAGGAGCTGCGCCAAAAAGCCAGGGAAGAGGAACAACGGGTGAAGGATGAAGCCATGGCCCGACGCTTTTCTCCTGGTGGCTCGGGTTCCCTCCTCGCCTCCCCGCGTTCCCCGGCGGACTCTGTCGGCTCAAACAACAACTTCGCCTTTGGGCGCGTTGTCTTCGCCGACGGCCAACATGCCGACCCCACCCTTTCCAATGTTCGGGATCAACATAAGAGCAACGGGCCCAAAGACCCCGCCGCGACGCTCAAGGCCGTTGAAGCCAAGGCGGCGAAGCTTGCTGCCATGGACGACGAGAAGCGTGCTGATATCGAGGAGAAGGACATGTGGCTGAATGCGAAGAAGCGGGCGCATGGCGAACGAGTCCGTGACGACAGCTCCTTGCTGAAGAAGGCCCTCAAGCGCAAGGAGACGGCCAAGAAGAAGTCGGAGCGCGAATGGAAGGAGCGTCTCGAGGCCGTCAAGAAGGGCAAGGATATGAAGCAACAGAGACGCGAAGAGAACCTCCGGAAGCGGCGGGACGAGAAGGGCAACAAGGGAGGCGGCGGCGGCAAGAAGCAGACAGGAGGCAAGAAGAAGTCCAGGCCAGGATTTGAAGGTAGCTTCAAGGCCAAGTCTGGCGGTAAGAAATAAGCCACATTGGCTGGGGGGAGGGGAGGAATCCGTCCAGTGTATAATATGACAGCGTGTACATACATGTACCGAAGAATGGGCTGAAAAAGGAAGAACAAAAAGGGAAACCAGAGTGGTGAACGATGCTACAGATTGAGCCGGAGCTCGAGACAAAAGTTGAGGAGTGTGGGCATTGGAGAAACGGTGTTTGGGGAGTTACTCTGGAGGTTTCTCTGTTCGTTTTGTGCATATATACCGAATCTCACGAAGCATTTTGTCTTTCTGTTTACCTTCTACTGTCACGTACATGCAGTAAGAGGCTTCCATTCAAACTAACCATAACCCGAAAAAACTTTTGTCAACAACTTGTGTCTGCAACTTTTGTCTATCGCAACTTTTGTCTATCGCAACTTTTGTCTATCGCAACTTTTTTTTGTCTATCAGCTTTTAGCACACACGTCCCTGCCAGCAGGATGAGTTCATGCCCACCCAGTTACAGGGACACAAAGATGTTTCTCATCCTTCGCTTCCAAGATGGCAGCAACCATCTTATCAATTGCCTCCATACGCTGCTCTTTCGTCAGGCATTTCATCTTCAACTGCCCGTTCGGCAGACATTCAATGTCCCTCTGCTCCTTCGTCAGACATTCAACCTTTTTCTGATCGTTTGTCGGACATTCCACCCCCTTCTGCTTTTTCATCAAGCTCTTGATCGCCTTCTGCTCTTTCGTCAGGCGTTCAATCTCCTCCGGATCTTTTATCAGAATCTCAAGCTTCATCAGCTCGGCCAAGACATCACCGACCCAATGATGACAATTCCACTCCGAACCATCATTGTTCACCCGTGTATTGGAGCAGGCATCTTTGATCATGGCACTGGTGAAACCTTCATGAAATGTGGTAACCAGAATATGTCGCTCCAGTTTACCGCTCTCTGCATGATCCTTCTCAACCTCTTCGAAGTGGTAATCCCTCGACGCCCCCACTATATGCAATGTACTCTGCGTGCCATCACCATAATCCAGGTATATGCTTGTATGACGGAACTCGATGCAGTCGAAGGGTTCGGCGCGGAAGACGAGCACGGACAATGTAATAGCCATGTCGAATTGAAGTCATGCGACTGGACTTTGCTCAGCTGGACTCTGGTCAGCTGGACAACCCCCCCGTTATATAATGTCCTGCAAGCCCCCTCCATAGTGCGTATTTCGGCACTCTCCATCTGATATAGCCTGCAAATTCCAACATGAAACAACCCGATTCTGAGGTATTCCATCCCAGTATAAGGCAAACAACATGAACGATGGCCCTTAGTCCCGGGTCCTCATTTCTTGTGGCTGCTGTCCTGGCATATATCATCGAATATCTCGGTGATAGTCTACATACTCACAGCAATAAAAACTACTATGTCCTGTTATATTCCACCCTAAGAGAAGGACAAGTAGCGAACAACCCGCCTCATTCTTCCCACTCTTAAAAGCCCTATCAATTCGGCCCTTCTAGACCCCTAGCCAAACGACCAGCAGTAACCAAGCAAGCCTTACCATAGGAACAAAGAGACACACAAAGGAAAAATAACCTTAAACCCTCCTCCTTTGGATCTACGGCTCGGCACGTAACCGTCCGCCTAGGACGGGATTCTCCTCGATGATTGTCAGTTTACTCCCGCGATATTCCACTAACCAAAGAGCGCACTCGAGTTTCGAAGAAGACTGACGGAAGCTCATCAAAATAGACCGAATCTAGACCGCAGAAGTCGATGATGGCCTTGGATAATGATAATAGGGGATGAAGTGAGCAAGCCACTAATCAGGTCTTACTACTTTATCATATCGTAGATCACCTATTTATCCCTTAGGAGTCTTGTAGGAATCTTCCACAGTATGTATTCCACTCTACCTACCATCTTCATTGCTTCACGACCCGTGAGTTCCTGTGTATTTGGTCATGGTACAATAGAAATCATTCCCCGGTAATTCTATGGCAATGCTGTATGCATTGTATTGTATCTGGACGTATCTTAACCTAGCCGAAAACGAATATAAGATCCACCACTTTTACAGTTCGTCTTGGCTTCCATGATGGAGAGAGAGATTTGGTAGCTCTAGTATATGGTGGATTGTCTTTGTTCTTGTTCTGTGCGGCCATGTATGCTGTTTAGCTGGCTTTGTTGAGGACTGGTCTTAGAGGCCTGGATTGAATGTGCTGTCGACTTGGATTATCTCTGTTTGGGGGCTGTAGAAGGGTGAAGGGGTTCGGGTGACAAAGGATAGAGAGTCTTATGGATACGAGATGGAAGACTCCAGCGGCTTGCGGAAGTGAGCAGTGCGGCTCTGACTGGGCGTGTTAGAGTGCGACGCGAATAGTCACTAGGTACTAGTAGGCTATTGTCTGAGATGCATTGGCTGGAATTATCCCATATAAACCTCTGGCCCAGGCAAGATCTACCGAGTAGCACATAACAAAGGAAAAATTCTTTGATTGGATCCTAGACAAACAGAAGTAGAAGCAACGCGACATGGAGGATTTCCTTCAACATCAAAGACAAAACCAGACCCGGAATCGGATGACTGAGGAATTCCGGTAGACCCGACTAGTACAGAAGGTAATCAGGGGAGGGAAGGGGAGGGCGTTAGATATGTACAGAGTGGGAATAAATGGGGTGGCTACAAGCCAGGCTTTCTAGCTCGGAAAGACTTTCTTCTTATATCATGTTTCTTGCATCACTTTCACTGGAGTGTCAGATAGACACTGTGGTCGGTGTCAACTGCCTATTCAGATGCATTTTAACGGTAAGGAGCATCGGCTCTGATGGCAGCAGCAATTTCGGGCTCCCACTTGTCACCGTTGGCAAGGAGCTTCTCCTTGTTGTACAGCAGCTCTTCACGAGTTTCGGTGGCGTACTCAGCGTTGGAAGCTAAAGCAAGGATTGTCAGTCACGGTTCCACGAGCTGTGGTCAATGCGGTGTGCACTCACTCTCAACAATGGCGTCGACCGGGCAACTTTCCTGGCAGTAGCCGCAGTAGATGCACTTGGTCATGTCGATATCGTAACGCGTCGTGCGACGGCTTCCATCCTCACGCTCCTCAGCCTCAATGGTGATAGCCTGGGCCGGGCAGATGGCCTCGCAGAGCTTGCAGGCGATGCAGCGCTCTTCACCGGTGGGGTAGCGACGCAGAGCGTGCTCGCCACGGAAACGGGGGGAGATGGGACCCTTCTCGAAAGGGTAGAAGATGGTGTAACTAGCCCGTCATCGCATCAGCCGGCAATGCCATTGAGAGGTAAGATCGATGAACCGGCCAAGGTGCCCCACGGGGGAGATCCGACGACGATGTGCACCGACGCAGACAAGGCAAGCTGGCGAGGGGCGACTTACGGAGGTCTGAAGAACTGCTCCAGCACGACGTACATGCCGCGGAACAGCTCAGCCATGAGGAAGTACTTGCCGGCCTTGTCCAGGGAAGATTCGGAGCCTTCGTCCCATTTCTTCGGAGGGGGCAGACGGAAGCCCGGCTGGGGGGGACCAGCTGGCGTAGCTGCCCGGCTCACCGAGGAAGAGAAGTTTGCGATGGAGCCCAGAGGCGACGAGCGAAGAGGGAAGGCTGTAGGGCGGGAATAGGCGACGAGCCTGGCGATGGACTGGGGGGCGGCCATCGCGGAAGTCGAGGGAGCGCGAGAAAGAGCGGGGAGGGCGAGGGGAAGGGCAATTGGAGAGGGGGGACAGCAGCAATTCGAACCAGAAGCGTCGAAGTTGGAAGTCGACGAAGTTCTGCTTGGCCGCCGGCTACTGCTTAGGTCATGGCTTTCTGCCGCCCCCTGATTGGCCCGCCGCCAGGATTTTGCTTCCCCCGAGCCGCAACAGAATCCAAACTGCACTCATCATCTCCATCATTTCCAGTTCCTCCCATCACCTCCCATCACCACCACCACCCGCTTCTTTCCATTTCCCCCCACCTCTCCTCCCACCTCTTCTCTTTGGTATCTCGTCCATCATGTTCCGCTCCGCTATCGTCCGCTCCCTCCGGGCCTCCGCCCCCCGTGCCGTCAAGACCTCGGCTCCCTTCCAGATCCGTAGCTCTGCTGTCGCTCGCCCGGCTCAATTCTCCCCTCGCTTCGCCTACCAGGGTGTCAGACTCTACTCCGCTCCCGCCGGTCTCAACAAGGAGGAGGTTGAGGGTCGGATAGTCAACCTTCTGAAGAACTTTGACAAGGTGCGTCCGCATCGGGTTCCCGACTTCCATCCCCAGCAAGGAATTGTATGCGACGACTGATTGCATGGTGACTAACGGAATTGCATTATATACAGGTTTCCGATGCTAGCAAGGTTAGTTGACATCAGATGGCGGCCTGGCGCACTGGCTCGGCATTTTCCCTCGGACAAAGGACGATTCTTTTAACGCTCAACCCAACAGATCAACGGTGCTTCTCACTTCGCCAACGACCTCGGCCTGGACAGCCTGGATACCGTTGAGGTCGTCATGGCCATCGAGGAGGTATGAACGCCCATCCGCGTGGTTTCGGATAACGTCGTACTGATAGGATGTCTACAGGAATTCAGCATTGAGATCCCCGACAAGGATGCCGATGGCATCCACGGTGGTAAGTGTGGCCCTTGAGTCACGGAGTTTACATGCTGATCATCCTTCTGCAGTTGACAAGGCTGTTGAGTACATCCTTGCCCAGCCCGATGGTAAGCTATTCATCCCTCTTTCCCGCCACGGCAACGGAATACTGACTCCTACGGCAGCCCACTAAATACGAACGTAATGCGAGGACTCGAGAGTGGGTTGGGGGATTAGAATAGAAAAGAAAGGGAATGCTGGCGTGCATCTACGCGGGACTTGCCACCGCGGAGGTGCCGGGAGTCGGTCGCGCTACTCTGTATGCTGATACATGCCTGTGCTCTTTCACTCTATTATATCGTGTATATCATCTTCAATGCAGTTTTGACTGATTTTGGCTGGTCGGTTCGTAACGCTCTTCTTTGGAGGGAAGCCGGGGTAGGGACTGGGGGCATTTGCCCAGGACAGTGGTAGCTCCGAATTAAGCTTGGAATCGCACGCGGTGGCAGGTCGGAACGAATCTGATATGTGGTTCCGTGGGATGACGTGGAGGCTACCGAGTCGGAGGGAGGAAGAACGAGGGCACCAGTCAGCGATTGTCTCACACAGGTGAGGGCGAGAGGCGTGGGAAGAAGAGTATCCGTAGGGGGGGTACATACTAGATACTCCGTACGGCTGAAGTTGAAACAAAGTGCAGGCGAATGAAAGCATGGGGCTGGGATGATGGGGTCCGTCACCGGAGAAGCACGACTGGAGGCGGCAGCTGGCAGACCAAGCGCCAGATAGCCTTAGCGACCGCATCAATCTCATATCTCCTTGTCCTCCATCTTCCTCCTCCACCACGGCTGTCTCGCTTTCCCACCCGCCTGAATTGGCGTTTCTGGTTCCTCCCCGGTTGCGTTCCCCACTGCCTGGCCGCCCGTCTCCTTCTCCGCCCATTGATTGTCGTCGGCCTGCCTTTCCTCTTCTTCCTCCCCCCCTGACAATTTCCCGCCCAGCAAACTTTCGGCGTCACTCTTCCATTCCAGCAACTCCAACCTCCGATCCTCCCACCCGCTCCAAGGCACCGACCTAATAAGCAATCACCAGTCCATGTCGCATGCGATAGCGGCTTAGACCCCCATCACTCGCGTGCTGACCGACACTCCGTCTTTGGTCCCTTTATCCCTCCCCCGCTCCCGATCCCCAGACGCTTTTAGATCCTCATGGCCTCAGCCGGGGGCTTGACTCGCCGACGAGGTGGCGGTCGAGTCGCTGGCGCCGATGAAAACGATGACAGCCGAGTCTCCTCGCCAGTCTCGAGAAACGGCTCCTCTCTGGATAACCGCATCCCCGAGACCTCGTTCACCAGCTCCGAAAATGGTCACAAGATCGCCTTCGACCCCAGGGACATTAGCGAGACGGAGGAGCGCAGCAAGCAGCCCAAGCTGACGCTGATGGAAGAGGTGCTTCTGCTGGGATTGAAGGATAAACAGGTGAGCCCCTGGCCTGTACAGTACATGGATTGGTGAGGGGATTCAATAGCTGACAGGCGCGTTCTGGATGGTTGGTGCCATTGTAGGGTTACCTGTCTTTCTGGAACGAGAACATCTCATACGCTCTGCGGGGATGCATCGTAATTGAGCTAGCGCTTCGGGGCCGGATCAGCATGCAGAAGGATTCTTCTCGACGACGTTTCCCTTTGGCCGATCGTGTGATTGAGGTGGTCGACGATACGCTGACAGGGGAGGTCTTGCTGGACGAGGCGCTGAAGATAATGAAGTCGAGTGAGAAGATGAGCGTGAACTCCTGGATCGATCTGTTAAGCGGTACGTACGGGAGGACTTGGCAATTCTACGATGTCTTATTATTGAGTCCACCCTGGTTACTATTCATACAATCGCTGACTTGACGTGTCTCCCGACCAGGTGAAACGTGGAACCTCATGAAGATTGGCTACCAGTTGAAGCAAGTGCGCGAACGCCTCGCCAAAGGCCTGGTCGACAAGGGCATCCTCCGGACCGAGAAGCGCAACTTCCTCCTCTTTGACATGGCTACGCATCCCGTCGCCGATGGAGGAGCCAAGGATGACCTCCACCGCCGTGTCCGCAACGTCTGCAGCAGCCGTACCGTGATCCTCCCCGCGAATGCATGGCTCCCCGAGGACGTCGAGTTCCGCTACCTGCGGACCATCACTATGGTATGCGCGGCCTATGCGGCCAACGTGCTGGAGAATGCGCTCGTCACCATGAGTCACGAGGCTCGGGAAAGGGCGTTCGCGCAGGTGGATGAGTTACTGGCGGAGTACTCTCAATGGCCTTTTGGCCGGAGGGCAGGAGGTTCGCAGGCGATTGGTGCCAACTTGGCGCAGGCCATCAACGACGAGGTGAACAAGGCGAAGGACAGGGAACTTCAGATGGAGGTACGTTGTCAATCAATAATTCTCTGCGCTCGATACTAACCTTGGTACAGATCGTGGCAGCATGTTTGAGCGTTTTCACTAGACTCGACTCCCTACTGTAAGGGTATTCCCCTATCGTCATCTGCTATAGTCCCCAACCTAGCTCGTCTTTCCATCGTCTTCCCCTTCTTATGCTATTGGTTTCTGAAACATCAAAACACTACCACGGGGAGCTACTGGGCTTCTTCATCTTGAAGTAGTCACCGGGATACCGGTTGGAACTGGCAAAGTGGCGTTTATATGAAATCCGTGGAAAGCGGTCCCTTGCATTGTTGTACGAGATGTTCGAATCGATCTCCCTTGATCGGTTTTGTTGTCTGTTTGATTCATCTTTCTTCTCCATCCACTCGCCCTCCGTCCCCCGTGGCAAGGGCATGCCATGTGTATTGCATAAAACACATCCGACAGGGCACGTCGTATCGTGTCCTTTTGAAGTCGGTTCAGATTCGGTCAGGACAGCACCAGAAGAAACACTACCTTCACTTTCTTCTCAACAACAGAGCCAGACACGACCCGGTATGCCACGATGAAACGCAACTGGTTTGTGTCAACATCGACAGACAAGACGGGAGATAAAACAATTCATGCAGAGGAAAGAGAGACTAAGTTCGAGATCAACCCCGGCTGGAGCTCTCTGCCTTACTTTCCTTCTACGATTCTTTCCTCAAAATTTCCCCGATTTTCTTTCCTACCTAACTAACCTATAGGTAGTCAGGCAGTCCCATTCTAATCATCTATCCCCTTCCTCTTCTTCTTTCCCCTTTGCTTTTTTTTTTTACATATACAGCAAAAAAGCTCCTTCTCGTCTGCCTGTGTTCGATCATCCTCCTTCCTCCGCTTCCTCTTTCATTCTCTTGGTGTCATCTCCAATTCCATGTATGTACCATACATACCGGGTGCTTTGCCAACTTTCCCTCCATCAGCCCCACCTCTCCCACCAAACTCATAGTTAGAGTTAACCATCTACTGAGGCTCTTGTTTTTGTGCCTGTTATCCTGTCTGAATCGGATCGAGTTTCTACTCTTTTCTTTTTCTTTTTCTTTTCTTTACTATTACTCTTTCTTTCCCTTCCCTACTTTACTCTTGTTCGACCTCCTTCTAGCGCTTACCTTTCCACCATGTCGTTAGTTACTTTCATCGGTACCTTGGCTGCCTGTAAGAATCATTAACAAGAAAAGAATTTGGTGTTACCTTGTGGGTGGTGAGATGATCCGCGAGAGTATGGCGGGGAGGTGAGGATGAAGGTTGAAATCTAGTAGTCTAGCATTCTTGTTCTTGGTTCTAGTGCGCTGCAGCTTCCAAGTATCGTACATTCTTGCAACAGGCTGCTATGCTGAACGAGAAACATTCCTATATTACAGAACGCTGAAAGACCAAAAAAGTACACGCAATGCTATACTAATTCACGCGAATCACCATCATGCCTCCCCGTCGTCCTCCGCCTGCTCCCGCCGCCCCCGAAGCTAGCACGTCCGTGCCATCAACCAGTTCCTTGATGCTCTCGACTCGTCCTTGGATCTCGTGCGCCTCGACTAGCTCGGAGACACGACGCAACGCCTCACCGTTGGGGCTGACCACGACAAACCGGCTAAGCACGCCATCCTTGCGCGGTTCCTCTTTACCCAGAGGATCCCGGTCCTCCGCGGGTGTGGAGTCCACGGCGGTCAAGACAGCCCCGTGCTCTCTGATGACCTTTGAGGAGTGCGCTTGTTCAAACATCTCCTCGCCAGCGCAGTCCAGGACAACATCGACGGGATCCCAGTGGTTCTTGCGAAAAATGGATCCAAGATTGTAGTCTTGCGGCAAGGGAAGCGGTGCGTATATCGTCTCGTCTACCCCGTACTCACTTCGCAGGTACTCCTCCTGATCTTCAGCATCGCAGGTCGCGCAAATCCAGGGGCGGGAGTGCGGGAATAATGACTGTGATCGAAGCAATTGTAGTGCCTGGGTGCCGACCTCGTTGTTGCGGGCATTGGTAATAAGAACCCGCAACTGCCGGCGATCGTGGCCACCGTTGCCGGGGTCGACTCCAGCATACTTGAACAAGGCCTCCCAAGCCGTGAGAGCGGGCAGGGGGATGGTGGCTGCTTCGGCCGCGCTGATGTTTTTGGGCTTGTATGCAAGCTCATCTTCCGCAACGGCAACGTAGTCGGCTGCGGCGCCGTCGCGACTGTATTTGATCAGACCGAAGACGGCATCCTCGACTTTGAACTTGGGCCCGTCCGGGTTCCAATGGTCGGTTTGAGGGGTGCTGATGACCGTACCGCAAAAGCTATGCAGTGGAATCTGGGGGATCGATTTGGCTGGATTGAGGATCTTGGACAGCCGGAGTTCATCGTGAGAGAAAGCCGCTGCCTGGACTTTGACGAGGTATTCATTCCCCGAGGGAATGGGAGTTTGGAAGTCGGAATCGAACTTGACGTGGGAGTCCACCCTGGGTTCGTCCAAGGCCGTGAGGTCTGTGATGGCTGTTGATGCGGGGCTGAAGTAGATTGCTCTCATGGTTGGTGGTACGAACGTCTGTTCGTCCATCGTCGTGGACTGAGGCTTCGCGGGCTTCATAACGACTTGCCTAGCCTCGCTCGCCGAAGAAATTGACACGATGTCTCCACGAACTTTTGATCTAGCTATTCAAACTCAATTAGGATGATTTGGAATGAACCGCTGTGACCGTAGTTACTGTGAACCTTCGCTGTGTCTGGCGATAGGTGCGATAGAAGACCTGAACCAGAGACGCAAACTTGCTTAATGATCTCTGTCCTTTTTGTCCAACAAACCAGGGAATTCCTGCTCGTCTACAGCTTCTGGAGACCAAGGGAGTATAAATTCTGGTGTGGCTGCAGCCACCGTGGTTGATCGCTGGGAAATACTCTCATGTTGACGTAACCAAAGTATGAGTTGCTTATCTCAGCACCGAGTCAACGGTCATTGAGAGATCGACACCCATCGTACCATTGATCAGGCGAGATTAACTTTGTCACCGTGCCTTGCGGTGGTGGCGGGAGATTCTGCTGATATTATTTCCAGACGTGTGCCTGTCGACTGCCTTGACTTGAGTTCCGCCACGAGGTGGTGTACTTCGGCGGGCTGTTCGAACACCCTCCAAATATACTCTGGGACCCCCGCAAAAGCAGCTTTGAACCTTTCCGGCGAATTCTGCTCCTGCAGGTGTGGGACATCGACAACCTTTCTGATCCAGATAGCTTGGATCCAATCCGGATGTCTCTTGTAGAGTTCTGCATAAGCTTCGGGGTCTTGCTGGGTCGAGTCTCCGATACAGAGCACTTGTCGCTGGGGAAACCAGCCATGGATTTTCTCAGAGCGATCCACCTTGTACTCGCCAGTATTTACAGTGAAGGACTTCACCAGCTCGCTAACATCCAACCAGGAAGTATCGCGAAGGATCATCGTACCCGGGCTGAAGTATGAACCAAGGAACCTGTGCAAAAATGGGTACAAGTTGTATGGGGAAGCAGAGATGTAGAACCATGTCGGCACAAGCTGGTTCTGGATATGGGCATAGAGCTGAGGCATTCCGGCAATGGGTCTAGGATCTTCGACAAATGTGGTGCGAAGGATGCCAGTAGACTCCGAGGTCATAGTATACTTGATCGTATCATCGATGTCGGAGATGACCAGCCAGCCCTCTGGGCTCGCAAATATGGTGTCCATGAATACTCCACTTCCCCACCCCCGAAGGTACGATCGAATCTTGGTGCCGTCCGTGATGTGCTGGCTATCTGCGCTGATGGTTTGACTACTAATGCCACTGTCATCGGTGGGTCCGATCTGCTGCATCTGGATGGTATTGTTGGGGAGGGGTGTTTCTAATGTCATCAAGTGTGCGGATGCAGTGTGAAACAGGAATGGCTGCAGCCGTTCTGTTATCCGGTGGCGCGTCTCCTTGTCCGTGCCTATTTCCCCATCCAGTCCAATGAGATCTGCAATCAGGGCGACAAGTTTGGTGATGTCTTTCCGGCTATCTTTCCGGAAAACACAAGCCACGACTTCTGCGCGCCACGATCCTTGCCCCGATATTGTGGATGACGCCGGCTGGTAGGCCGTATTGTCGAACAACCATACAGTGTGCTGGCGCGCGTCTGCCATTTGGATTGAGGGGGGTTTTGACAGAAAGGATGTGACCAGTTGCAGCATGCTCGAGTCCCGCTTCCACGCATGTGCTATTCGTGCGACTTTTTGGAGGATGGTAGGGTCTTTGGAGATTGTTTCAGAAGACATTGTTAGTGCGCTCTTGTTCAAGTCAATAAAATAGATCCCGGAGATGAGTCGAAACAAAAGAAAAGGGAATGTGATGATCCAGGCAAGGTAACTATACTATCGAGAGAGTGAACCGCTCTGTAGATAGTGAAAGATGGTTCAAAGCCAGTTTATGGTCTCCATAATCTACTTTATAGACCACCACGAGGCAATTTTGTTAGCCACCTGATGCTGCAGAATCGCAATGTTGATCCCAAGCCGCGGGGCAGTGACATCTATTCTTGTTCAGGCAGACTAGCCTGAGTCATTTCCTATTTGGATGAGTCAGGGGAACAGGGCCATAAGGCTGTGTCCCTGTGGGGTATAGGATCGATAGAAACATGCAGACTGCTAGGCACTTGCATGAGAGGTTCGTCGCCTGGCGCCCGGTCAGCCTGGGGTGACTTGTGACCTATGGGAAATCGAGGCGCAGCGGCTGACCGGTCCTCAAGGGTGTGGTCGAATTGGCAATTCGCGTCACCTGCAGGCCACGCAGGAACAGGGATTAGGCCGATCATTGAACTTTACGGAGTCGGACCGTTGCTGTCTGTGTAACTTGTGTGGCGGTGAGAATGCCCAGGATGTCCTGCATGGCAATATTGCAACAACGTCACTGTGTTGGATGGGTTGATTGGATATGGATGTCTGTTGAGATGAGCATTAGTTACATGGTGTCACTGACAATGGTATCTTTCCAGTCGGCCCGAGCCAAGCAATCACGCGGCATGTGAGCAGTCATGGTCAAAGTAGGATGACAGCCCTGCTGTGATCTGTGACAAGCGCTTCTGATGGATAAAGTAATGCAGAGGGAGAGGAGAAGAAGAAAAACGGAGGAGAGAGAAGCGAAAAGAAGAGACGAGCAAAGTACAGTAAGAAAGGGCGACGGGGCCTCGATCGATGGGTCTTCCCGATCGGGAAACTGCGACATCCGCACATCATCACATGACCGGACATACCCCCGCGGTTTGTTACATGGTCTGCAAAGGTTTGCTTTAAGGTAGAGTAATGTACGGATTCTGGCAGAATCAGTAGAATCAATGCTAGCATCAGGACGGACAGTGGGCAGGTCAATACTTTCGGGCCGGCCAGATCACGTGCAGCGGCCAATCTGAGCGCGTCTCGGTGATCGACACCCATCACGTCGATATCCGACTCCAGCGGTTGACAAGAGCTCTACTTGGAAAGATCCTCGTGGTCAGCGATTGTTTCCTATCATGCGCGCGTATCTACATAACGAAATATGTTCGCAGGCCGCAGTTGAGTAATCCATTGCGAGATCTCCCCAAAGCCGCAGCCAGCAGTATGGCTAAGACCATCGACTGGCGGAGTGGCCAGGTCTATACCGAGTCAACCACCGTCCCCTCTTTGTCCTCGTCCAAAGGACCATCCTGGGTACATGAGACGCCCTTCTTGTCGAGAGGCTGGGAGGAGACCAGCCAGGCCGGGGCCCCCTCTTTGCAGCACTCCGCAATGAGACAGCTCTTGTCTGATCAGAGAAACCTACAACCTGCCCTGTTTGCCAACGTACCATGGCGCATCGCCGGCTATCTTTGGGAGTGCCTTGGCAGGAGGTAAGGGCGCCTCCATTAGTAATGAGCGGATCTAACTTTGCCATAGCAGGAAAAGGACGCTATACAGCTGGAAGCTTTTTGCAACAGCATACCCCGAGCAATTTCGAGCCGTCAGCTCCTACCGATCCATGAAGATCGAGGGTCCGAAGATGCCCATGCGAGAATACCTAGGGCTAGTGAAAAGTGACTCGCTAAGCTGGAGGACGGTGTTGACGTTGGTCTCGTCATTCGCCAGGGTCCCTGAACTCGTAGAGATTGCCAACATCAGGAACCTGGTGGCACTGGAAATTGCCACGCCATCGCGTCCAGCCCCTGTTTTGGATGAGGCCGAGCCGCCGCCGTCCGCGCTCAGTGACCGTATCGTCCGAACGTGGAGTGAGCTGGCGCAGGATGCGGGGGCGTTTGCGCATCTCCGGGTGCTGGTCTTGTCCCATCAGACGGACCTCTCGCAGCTGACGCTCGGGTATCTGCGAGACTTTCCGTCGTTGCAGATGGTTGTAGCTGAGGACTGCCCGAGTCTCGTCTCTGCGAGCGCGGTAAATCCCGACGTCGATGGATGGGACGTGATCATTGAACCAGGACAGGCCGAGACCCTTTACGAGTATTACCAATCGAGTATCAGGGATGAGGCGAAAGAATCGTCTGTTCTAGCCGACGCCCCGATCCTCGATTTTCAGGTCGGACAAAAAACCGGCCGCGCACTAGGCCAAAGGTTAAAGAAGCCGCGACTGGTCTGCTTACGCCGCGCGAAAGCTTACGAGCGAGAGCCGGCTCCGAAGAGGCCGAAAGTGGCAGCAAACACCCGTCCGCGGGGTCCCAAAAGAGCCGTGATGAAGGAACGCAGCGCAAAAGATCTGGGAGGGATCTTGCAGGAGTTTCTCTGACTGCAGCGACTGGGGATGCCGCTGTCAGTGGAGGTGGGTCGGCTGAATGATGTCACCGGGCCTCAGGGGGTGGTCGCTCTTTATCATAGTGCCATGTAGGAGCACCCTCCATTGGGCTTTGAGGGGTATACATAGACCAACAATGAGCCACCCAACCTGTATCGCCGAACCAGCTAATGTAGATAGGATTTAAGGGGGAAAGAAGTGTAGACGAGAAGCTGGAGGAGCTGCTGGATGACGCCGGGATGACAAGCGGGGGGCGCTGATTGGGCGGCCGGGGAGCCGCCGCATCCCCGCCTTTGGCCTCCTTTCAAGTCGGTTTCACCTTCGGGCATCTCCATCTCGCCTCCATCTGGCCAGCTCTTCTTCCTTGTCAGTTCGGCTTTCACTGCCCCCCTTCGATGCTGTTGATCTCCCACGGGAGTAACACCTCCCCTGTCTGATTACAAATATAAGAACTCTTCTACCTTGAATCCGCTTCCCAATACTCCGCCCCGACCCCTCCTCCTTACCTAAGCTCCTCCTCCCCGACGACTCCAAATCCGACCACCATGACGGACCGCCCGGTGGAAACGTTGGCAGACAACAATTCCAGTGGATCAAACGTCGCATCTCCCCGATCTAGTACGGATTCCCGGCCTCCCTCGGGCAGTCTTCGGTCCCTCCGCCTCTCCTCGCACCTCCCGAACCATCAACACCGCCAGAGTATCAGCGACAGCCTCCGCGCAGCGCCGGGATCGCCGCGAGCACGCCGACAGCCCTCGCTCACGCAGTCTGCCATCCAGAGTCTTATCGATAATCCACCGGCCCCAAGCAATGCCAACCCCGCGTTTGTCGGCCGGGACTGGCGCGAGATCTCAATCGGAGAGCTGGTCAGCCCAGACGACCTGAAGTTCGTTGAGGTGGACACGGGCATTGAAGAGGCGACGAATGTGGGCGCTGCTGGATCCTGGTAGATGGCCGAGTCGAGCTGACGCTACTAGATTCTGATCGACTCCGGGGCTGCGGTTCTGCTGATCCGGGAATCACCCCAGCACAAGTCGGCCGTCGGCACCTTTGACTACTCCGATCTGAACGCATACCTTCTGCTAGCGGCGGGACTGACACAGCCGGGCGAGGAGCTCCTCGCGTCGTACGAAGAACTAGCGCGCAAGGCGAAAGAGGGCCTTCCGATCCCACTGCGGGACGTCAAGGATCTCGGCCGTAAAGAACCGCTGACGACGCTGCCGGCATCGGCCAATGTGATGACGGCGGTGCAGACGTTCGGCGGCGGCGTGCATCGCGTGGTGGTGGTCAGCGAGCGGGACGACAACGAGGTGGTGGGCATCTTCAGTCAGTTCCGGCTGGTCAAGTTTCTGTGGGAGAACGGCCGCAGCTTCCCGGTGATCGACCAGCTGTATCCGCAATCACTGCATGATCTGCGGATCGGATCGCGGGATGTGGTCTCGATCAAGTGGGTATCTTGAACGTTTCTCATTGACTCGACTGACCGCGTGCAGTGGCGATCGGCCGCTCGTTGAGGCGCTGCAGATCATGAATGACGAGGGTATCTCATCCATTGCGGTGGTGGATAACCACTTCAATGTCGTCGGCAATATTTCCACGACAGATGTCAAGGTATGCAGCTCCCCCCGGCCAGCAAATGCAGCTAACAGGACAGCTTCTCACCCGCTCGTCATCGCTCCCACTGCTCCGCAATACGTGCACGCATTTTATCTCGGTGATCCTGTCCAACCGCGGACTTGAAGAGGGCAAGGACTCATTCCCTGTGTTCCATGTCAACCCGGGGTCGACGCTGGCGCACACTGTTGCCAAGGTGGTAGCCACCCGGTCACACCGGTAAGCCGCTCCACTGATCCCATAATCATACCCTGCTCACATGTACAGCCTCTGGGTAACCGATCCGCTGTCTCCATCGTCATCGGGGCCTCCCACGCCGTCCCACTCATCGGTGCACATTCCTCTCGCGAACAACCCCAGCCCGCCGCAGTCCCCGGCCGTCAACAATGGCAGTGCGACGCACCTCCCCAACCCGCCGGCGGCCTTCCTGAGCGCGCCATCGATTCCGGCATCGGCATTGCCAGGGGCACGACTCTCGGGACGACTAGTGGGGGTAGTCAGCCTGACGGATGTTCTCAACCTCCACGCGCGCGCCAGCGGACTGAGTCCAGCGGACCCAGCCGAAAGCCGCAGCCGACGACGACGCAGCAGCAGTTCAAGCGTGGGGGTGCGGCGCAGCGAGGAGATCGGCCGGGAGTTGTTCAGTGGACGAATCGTGTAGCCACTCCCCCCTCCCTCTCTCCATCTATCTTTCATCCTTTATTTTCTTTTTTTTTTTTTTTTTTTACTTTCAGTCTGTACCTAGATCGACTCGTACATATTCAATCTCATACTAGTATTGTAGCAATTGCACTGCCCATCTGTCCCCACCCAAACTCAAAAATCCCTAGGTTCAAACTCGGAAAACACCCGCTTTACATACATCTCGGTATGAATACATGTATCACTTTTACGCCCCATCTTTCCCCAACCCCCATTCCTCATTCCCCAGTACTAGTATCAGCAATGACCCACTCAGGTGTCCCTACTTTATTCCTCCCCTCCACTAGTGACGGCCCAGTACGTGTCCATGGTGGCAGTGTCAGCGAATCACTGCGTAGATGGACAGATGAGTAAGGCTCCGGGCATCCCCGAGACCGTGTGCAGGTGGATAGCACGTAGATAAGTAGTAGGGTGAAGTAGAGTTTGGGTTCATCCAGGGCACGAGGGTCCGGAGGAGATCCGTTGCCCTCAACTACCTGGGTTGGGTGGGTTAGGATAGGGGTTAGAGTAGGTAGATCTGCTATCTATCAGTGTTGTAGTAGTAGTAGTTAGTGCCTGGGAATTGGTGGCAGGCTTGGGTTGGGTTATGTTAGACGGTGGCGAATATGCTATCGGTGGCTATGTGTGTAGTAAGGTACGGATAGATGATCAGGTGGGTAGGTAGGTAGGTAGGTAGGTGAATGGCTAGATTATCTGCCTGTCTGTGTGTAAGTACCTCACTTGACATGATTCAACATACATAGAAGGAATATCTACCTCTATCCCCTTAGGTATTATACTCAGTAGATACTACTTACATACCACAACTCCAAACATAGGTTCAGTACTTAGGTTAAGAAAAGCCCATATCCCAAAAAGACACACCAATCAACCAATCACTAACCCATAACCTAAGTGGCATCTCTATTCCTATCCTATCCTATCCTACCTATATCCCCCACCCTACTCCACCCCCACTCCCACCTAACCCATCCCAGTGATCCCCATGCCATGCCATACCATCCCAAAATAAACACCAAAATCCAAAACACCGACCTGCAACCGAACCCCATCCAAATCAATACCTCAAATCGAGTCTAGACTTTGGCAAACGTCGTCTAACTCTACCCACCCAAGGCAAATACCACTACTAGACAGTAGACACTAGTCTTTAGACCCCCGGCTAGCGCAAGGCTCAAGGACCAGTAGATATCGATATCTATCTATCCTCTAGGCCTGATCGCGGCTAGCGGGATCGGGGGAAACATCGAGGGGAAAAACGCCGGCCAATGGGTGGTGATGCCGGGATGACGGAAATTATTTCCCTCGTGTGGTGTGTGTTAGTAGGTTGGTGGTGGAAGTATAAGTTTTTTTACATCCCCCCCCCAATACTACGGAGTATCTATGTGGTATTGTGTTTACTCACTGGGTTTGAGAGGGGGGTGGTGATGGTGGTGGTGGTGTTAGGGCTAAGAGGGTAGGGTTAGGTACTGTGTCGAATAGGAGGAAGTAGCTTGTCTCATTGCTTCAGTACTAGTACTAGATATAAGGGATCGGACATATGAGTAAGATACCAGAGAAGGTACTACAGAGTACAGAGTATCTAAATCGCTTAATCACACACCACACCACCAACCAAATGCTCCCCGTTATCCAAGTATCTCAGCCAACTCCAACCACGGACGCCCCCCACCCACCCAACTTCCCGGTCCCAGCAGTCCCACTCTTCAGATCCCATCCAATGATCAAACAAACTTCAACTACACAACTACACACTAAGTAAGAAGAAGTGACTACGGTAGTATCAAACAAGAACTAACCCTCATCCGTCGCCATCCGCACAGACCACCCTCCTCTTGCAGATCCCTGCTCAGTACCCACTTATCATCGTTCCACTTGATCAACTTATCTTACTGGACCCATTATTCCACCCTGAACAAGTTAAGCGAGTGAGTGACTGATCACTGCGTACGTACCTAGTGGCTAGTGGATCCACCCGGCCTGTGAAAAAAAACGCACAGTCCAACGATCGAGAACTGCCTGCCCAGTCGATCCGGAGATTTGACTGATTTAGGGGCTGGATTTACGGGGATCCACACAAGCTCTCCATTTCAGTTGTGTCTGATTTAGTGGGTTGGAGGGAAGGGGAATGGGGATTGGTGGGTTCGTGTAGGATTTGATGATCGTTTCTTGTTTTGGGAGGAGAGGTTGAATGTTCTTGTAGGTGGCAGTTAGGGATGGATGGGTATGGAGTATAGGTAATAGGTACTATAGTAGATAGACAGATAGATACATAGTGAGACTTGAGAGTGAGAAAGTGAAGAAACCATCACCCCCAATAATAAACAAACACCACATTTTTTGTTCTTCTTCTTAGGTACGTACGTACTACCCTGTCCTGTCCTACTCCGTCCCAAGGACCAAAGAACTCACCCTCACTTCCATAATATCATTCCTCTCGATAGTGTCGAAAACATAGTTACATAACCCAATCTCAAGTTAACTCAACTGGACCCAACTCAACCTAACCCATTAGACAGTCAGTATGCGTAGGTACTCCGCATTCCATCTCCCGTAGATCCCCAGTCCAGACCCCCTCCCCAAAATCTATCTAGGTACGTGTCCAAGAGACCGGGGCATAGCAACCATCGTCAAATAAACTTCCCCCGAAAGCTTACATGTTGGCACCGACGTTTCACTTTCTGCTGTATCTAAATCGGGGGTAGTGGACAGGTAGACCATCCTTGGGTTCGATTGGCTTTGGCTAGGGTATCGTCGGGTAGAAGGGGGTCAGCCATTAACTACTAGATAGTTGGCTGTTTGGCTGGCTGTTTGGCTGGCTGGCTGGCTGGGTGTTTATTTGTAACTGAGGTATTTACTGGATGGTTGTTATCCACTTACCTACTACTTTCTAGTTATTATCTACTTGGCACATTGTGGAGATGAAGTCGTATCTTATCCAAGTCGCTAGTGATATTTGTGCTTCTTGCTTGATCGACTCTGTAGCTAGCTGGGATTCTTGACAAGGAGCTAAAACATAGCTAAGAAATAGTGAAGAATCCCCGTTGAAGACTATTATCCTATTAAGCCATTATGATGAATGCTTTCAAGCTGCATGCGGCATGAGCACCCGCTGTTTGCGGAAATGTAACCTCACCTCAGCCCATCCACGCCCCATCCGTAGTTACTGAAAAACTCTCGCCGGTCTAGTCAGGTCGGTCTCCACTCGCCCTGAGTCGGTAGCATGCTCTATCTACATAGTACTGTTGGTCTCGGGTTTAAATGTAGCAGTATCATTCGCTATGAACCGGCAACGCCCCGGGTATTCTCCCCTCGTACACGTCCAAGCAACTCAATAGATAATGTATAGAATAGAATGTAGCTTCATGCACTGACGGGGAAATCCTCCATCGTAAAAAATTCATCAAACGCTGTTTCCGATTCCGGCAGCTGGCTGCCGCTGCCAAGCCCAAACGCGAACCGACTGAAATCTTCAAAGTCCGGATCAATATGGTGCTCTTGCCCGTACCCCATCCCCTCATCCTTGTTCAGCTCCAACCCCCACAGCCCCGGGTTCTGCCCCGTCGACGTCGGCGAGTGCGGCGTGCTGGGCGTCGGGCACAAATCCGGCGTCGGGATGGGCTCCGTCTCTAATGGCAACCCATGCGGTGAGTTGTGCTGCGACAAATGGGCCAGGCTCTGCGACCGCATCGCTTGGCTGGGCTCCGAGCGAACACGAGTGTGCTGGTACATCGGGTGGGCTGTGCGACTCGCCGTCGTGGGAGGCACCGTAGCACCGTTGCTGGGGGCCGTGGGGGTTGCGAGAGATGGAGAGGGTATGGTGTGAACGGGGATGACTGGCGCCGAGCCAAGGCGGTCCCGGAACTGGCGGACCGGCATGGGGCCCATCTCGCCCATCGTGGTCGGGACCTGCTGCGGCGGCGACGTGAACCCTGCAGTCCAGGGCGACCGCATCGGCTGCGGCCCGCCCAGCTGCGCCGGCCAAGTGGGTCCGCCCGCCGTCTGGGTGAGGTAGGATGGCAGTTGGCCCGACGTAGCGGGGACGACGCTGGGATACGACGGCGACTGAGAGCTCCCGTCGTAGGTGGGAGACAGCACGTAGCTGGTCTGATGGGCACCCAGCGGGCTGGTCATCGGCCCGGTGTGCATGCCCTCGGACACGGAGGCACGCAGCCCAGAGAGGTCGAGGCTCATTTTGCGGATGCCGTTGAGGGAGGCCCGCGGGTTGAGATGGGAGCTGGTGGCCCGGCGCTGATGCAAAGCACCCGGGCGGTTCACCGCAAAGGCGGCCATGAGATTGCGGTTGAACTCGCTCTGCAGTTGCATCGACTGGGCGTGCAGCATACGATTGATCTTTTCTTGGTAGCGGTCGTCGACCTCTTCGTACATGGCCTCTCGTTCGACGATGTCCCGGCTGATGAGCAGGGCCTTGCCGGTGCGCTGCTTATGCAGGCTAGAGGCCCGGTTGGCGGATTCGACGCGGGCATCTAAGCTGCGATCTTTACGTCGAGAGGCAGCGATGAAGGCACTGTCGTCGTTAGCAGGTTGGATGCCGAGGGATATTTTTTTTTAAAAGAAAAAGCCTACCGTTCCTGGTTCTCCTCCTTGGTCCGAGGATTGGGGCAGACGTCAACATCGATGACGGGGGAGCCCATCGTGAGTGATGCAGCGATGGATGCAGTCGGGCAGTGATGGGCAGTGATGGGCAGCAGTAGGCAGAGGCAGTGAGAGTAGAGAGCTAGGTAGAAAAAGTGCACCTCGCCCTGTATACGGAAGAAGCGGACAGACAATATGGGGGACGGGGTGAAGTTAAATAGCGGCAGCCAAGGAGGGGCATCCAACTGTGCCGCGAAGTTGACACGGGAGTGGTTCAAGCAGCGAAGTTAGCTGTCAGGTCACAGCAGCTCAGCCAGCCAAGGCCCGAGTCTAGACGAGGCATCCAGAGCCGGGGCAAGTCTGGGTCGCCGAAACAAGGGCCGACCAAAAGTCAGGATGGGCTGAATCCATGGCACGCCCGACGGCGCAAGGTTCTGGCAGAGCCGGGTCGAGGACTCAAGGGGGCCAGGATCCCATGGGCCACCGGAAGTATGGGCTAGCAGTGAACCGGAACCATTTTCCAGTTACCATAGGTGAAGAAGGCGTGGAGATGACTGGGTGAAGGGGAAAGAGATGACGAGGGGAGAAGAGAAGGAGGACGTGAGGAAGTGCGGAAGTGAGGATGGGAGAGATGATCCCGCCAGCATTGGGCGCTCATCTGGTGGGCAGTGGGAATGGTGTGGTGCTGGTGGTGGTGAAAGAAACCCCAGGCAGGAATACGATCCTCTCAGAAGTAAGTAGCATACAAGTCACTGCAATGTCACAGGGACCTGCTGTCAAGGATTACTTTACTCATACCATGCCAGGAGCTGACAGTACTACAGTACCCAGTACGCAGAAGGTACTTACTAGTTACCAGTACCACCTCCCATCGTCCCTCCTACCGGGCCTGCATACTACTAGCAGTGCGACGATCGCGATCCAGGCCCCTGATTGGCCCCCACCGCCAATCCTATCCGGATCGGGCAGGGTGACAGATGGCCGGGTCCTCCGCCCGTAATCCGCCCGTACGCGCTACTGTAGGTACACCAGAGGTACCGTTTTGCCCTCGTATCTCATTCTCACCAGTCGCCAGATGGCTTTCAGCACACTGTCGATCACCCAACGCCCACCTGCCAGATCTCCCACGACTACTATTTTCGACGGATTGACAGACATCGACAGCAGCCCGCCGCGCTGTGGATCTTCATCGTCCTCAAACATACCCAAACTGGGAATCCCTCCTCGCACTCCGTCTGGATTAACCCCAGCTTCTACTAAAAAGAGAGAAACTAGCTATCTAGTAGTAGAGAAAAGGCTCTGTTGGCCAGTGCATGCCCAGTCCTGGGTACTTCGGAGGTACTTCCCAGCCTAGTATTGTTACTCAGGCAGTATTATCATATGTCGGTACCCACCAGGATCATCCCAGCATCGTCAGAGGTACCATCAACTAAAGTTCTCTACATACGCCGACGACGACGAAGAACTTACTGCTAGCACAAGCACTAGCTCCAGCACCACCTCAAGTGGCCAACATCCCTTCTACCATACAGTGCAGTCTCTTCCCATCCCTACTGATTCCAAATGGCATGAGTCGCTTTCCACGGGACCCCCCAGTGGCCACCGCCACCGACCCAGGAACATTCCCCCCCCCCTCCAACTCGAGGCTCGTCTCGTCTACTTGCCCTTCCTTGAACATTCACACACAAAACACACCCTCTCTCCAACAAACTAACTCTCGGGCTTCCCTGTTCCATTCTTCTCGGGCTTCAAGAGGGCTTCCGCCTCGGCATCTACCGCCCTTTGCCTTTGGTGGCTTCCACGCCTTCCTAACTCAAACCCAACCATTCCATCATACCCCCCCGGGGGGTATCCCTGGGTGGATTTCGTAACGCCGCCGTGGCTGGGCGGGAGTTACAGGGACGTAGGGATGTACCTAGGTAGCCGAGGGGAGGGGAAAGGGGGAAGTGTTGTGGCCATTCGGGCGAGGGGATCAGTCAGGGTCGGGCTCGTTCGGCGACGGGGATGGGGACGGTGACGTCGGGGAGGAAACAATTGGTTTGTTGGTTTGTTGGTTGAAGCAGTTGGGCAAGGACAAGGACTGGGGACACACTGTAACTACCTAACAGAGGAAGAGGGGAAGGTTGCTCGTTAGGTTGCAGCTGTGCGGTCAAACTTGCTCTGGTTGGTATACACGAACTAAATCACGACAAGGCACGATGCAGGCTAGCTAGCGGAAACACACACAACATCAAGCACAACCCCAGTGGGGGGTGGGAGGGCAGGCCCAGATCCTGCCCCGCAGAAAGTATCCATCATCAGGCGATGCCCAACGGCGGCACCATCCCCTGCTCCTCCTTGCGCTCGTTGCCTACCCGGTATGACACCCGGAACCGTATCTTGACCGAGTTTCCCTTGCCCCCCGCAACCCCGGATATCAGCATCTCCTGCTGTACTCCGTTCGTCTGCAGCGGTCCAATGTCCCGCCCGGACTGCGGGCGGAGTTGCAATGTGTACGCCTGTTGCTCTTAGCTTCCGTCCGTTCATCCCCGATCCGAGGGAGGTACTCACCTTCTCCACGGCCACCAGGAAGTGTAGCTCGTTCAGCGGCTGGCTCGTTCCGTTTGAAAACAGGGCCACCACATGGATCTGCTGCGCCTGCTGAGGGTTGCGGCGCGCCACAAATTCAATTCGAAGTGCCGAGTTCAGCACCGACACCCGGTTGGTGCTCGGCAGCGTGTTGCTCTCCGGCAGTGAGGATGCAAAGTTCCACTCGTCGTCCTCGACCGCCTTGCCGCTCCCAACCGGTTGCGCCGGCCCGCTTCCTACCAGATCGAGCAGGGACCCAGCTGCAGACCCTGTCGCGGATCCCCCGGACGGCTGCGGGCTCGCATGACGGGGACTGGCTGACACTAGTGAAGCAAATGGGTCGACGGCTGGCGGCGGGGGAGTGGCCGCCGCGACGATGCTCTGCGGCCGTGCACCTGGGACCGGTGTGACAGGTTGCGACGGAGGTTGGGAAGAGCTGCCCAGCGAAGACAGTATGTCGTAGTTGGGCTTGAATCCCACGGAAGCCTGGGGCATCGGTGGCGTAGCAGTGGTCGTAACCGCTAAACGAGCATTAGCCATGTCAACGCATGCATTCCAAAAGAATCTTCTCCTCCCTACCTGGTCCGAGCGAGATCCCACCTAGGGCCGGAGCGGGCTCGTCTATTGACAGGCCCAGCAAGTCGTTCTCCAGCGAGCTGCCACCCGTCGCCGCCGGCGCGCCGTTGCCGTTCGCACTGGCAGCCGGCTCCGGGTCGAAGTCGATTAGTGACAGCTGGTTGTTCGCATTCTTCGCTACACCCGTCGTTGTGCCCAGTGTTCCCTTGGGAATCCGTGACGCAGCCTCCCAGTCGCCCTTTTTGACGAGCTTGTACCGTGCGATGGTACGGTGTATGCTGTCATTGATTTCGAGTAGCTTGTGGACAGCCTCCGGATCATCCGACTCCTCCTCGCACATCTTCTGGATCTTGGGATGGGCACTCTGCAGCGCCCCTGCCAGTTCCTAGATACCCGACGTCAGCTGGTCCACGACACATCCGCACCGGACCTACCTCAAACACGTCACCCTCCGCGACCGGGTCGCCAGGCTGGTGACTCTGTAGCATTTCCTCCAGGATCTTAGCCTTCTGCTGCACCTTGGCGACCTCCTCGGCCGCCTTGGCCCGATAATCAGTCTTGTGTCGGTTGTCGTAACCCGCCATGACCTTCATCAGCCGATTAGCCTCCTGCAAATCCGCAGGCGTACCCCTACGAATCAACTCCTGCAATTTAGCCGACTGTGCCTCTTTCTCTTCCTCCTCCATTTCTTCTGCGGAGCGCAGATTCTACCACTCGTCAGCAAACCCACTCTCCTCTCAGAACTAGAGACACGCACATCACTAGGATTCAACACGGCCGCATCCTCATGGCGAATCTCCGGAAACACGTAGCCCTTGTAGAGTAGTAGCCGGTGCATGTCGCGGATATGGCCCAGGTCCTCCTTATACCTCGACGTCTGACAAATGGTTTGCCTCCACTCCTCGATGGACTCCAGGATACGATGCTGCACCCGAGTGGGCCGCAGCTGCGGACGCTCGGGGAATCGACGAACCAACTCATTCAGAAACTCCTTGGTGCTGATCTGGAGGTGGAAGGGGTATCCGCAGTTCTTGACGCAGATGTCGAGGAGCTGGAGGGGGAGGGATCGCAGCGGCATGTTAGCCCCGCATTCATACAGCTAAGCCCACACGGAAGGTATGTCATGGAAGGCCTACCGCCAATGCCAGTAACGCCACATTCTGGTTCCGCGAGTTGATCAGATGGACGATTTCGAGAGCGGCTTCGCGGGGTCTATAAAGGGGGACGAGGGTGGGTGGGTGGTTAATAAATGCATGGCACGGTTATCAGCGCCGGAGTGGGCGCGACAGCAACAACTCACGCATTGCCCTTCTTGGAGTTGATCAGATCGGCCACTTCGAGGTTGAGGGCGAGGTTCGGTTCGTAGTGCGAAAGGTCACAGGCATTTCCTGGGCGGAAACGAGGGATTAGTAGGGGGAGGTGTTTTGGGGGGGAGCCGAACAGGGGGCGAGCATACGAACAGCCCGTTGCAGCGGTGTTAAGCCCAGGTCAGCGTAGGCACCGAAGCGGTCCCTCGCTGCCATGCGTGCTGAAGCAGCCTCCAGGGTGACGGCGGGGATGAGGAAAGTACAAGAAAGTTAAAAAGGCGCAATGGCAGACAAGTTAGCAGCACGCGCCAGCAGGCTCGAAGGGACAGACGTGGAGTGAGGGGAAAGACGGGGGAGTTGGTTGAGTTGGTCGACTTGGTTTACTTTCCAGGGCGAAGTCGCCCGAGTCCGGCTGGGTTTAGTTCGATTCCACGTGTGGCTCTGCTTGTCTCTCTCTCTCTCTCTCTCTCGTCCCTCCCGCCGCCGTCATCTCTTCATTTCTCTCCCCCTCCCCTCTTTTCCCTTCCCTCTCCTACACAACATTCCAACATCGCACAGCATAGTATTATCCCACCATGGTCCGTCACAAAAAAGACAACTTCGCCCGA